CTCCCTGTGCGTGTAGGGCGCGCTCTTTCAGGCACATCGTATAGTAGGATCTTCCTAACTGTGCTGTCTCCTAGGTGGTAGTAGCCCTGGAGCTGTTGCAGGCCTATTTTAGCGAATTTGAAGAGCCGGCGTATGCCCTCTTTGTGCTTGGTTCTGATCTCTGCACCTGGGAGACGTGGAGACATAGGTGGAGTGGTAAAAGGATCCATAATGGTGGAGTTGTTGATAGTTTAGTCCTAATGTGAAGAGTTTTAATTTCGAGGTTCTACAGCCTGAACGCACGGACTTTTGTCCCCATGTTCGTAAGATCATGCACGCACGCTTCCTGCTTAAGTACCTTGGAAACATTCCAGCTAGATCCATTCCGTACGGGATGGTGTTTTGAGTCAAATTGACAAAGATTTGCGATGAAAGAATGGCGATTCCGGCAAAGAATGTTGCGCATCTACTCAGAGGGGTGTAGGTCTCTTGCTGAATAGAGATGAGTAGGAGAAGTGGATTCCACTGAATGACACCCCCATTCATCTCCGTAGTCGCAGTAGTGACAAGAACGCCGATTAAACCAGTGATAGTTATCGTGATTGGAAGCGCAACAGCCATTGCTAGAAATGCGGTGTTTTTCCTCCTCTCAAATCGTGACCAATCAGAGTATCGCTCCCCAGCTCCTCCCCAAGAACCACTTACAGTGCTCAAGCATTGGACTATTCGAAAGGCTTTCTGCGTCTTGGTGAGTACGATTGGAGAGCTAATCAGGCTCCCAGTTCCGCCGTTTGCGTGGAGAGCCCAAGCCAAGAGACCGATAAAGCAGGCACAGATCATGATAAAAGAGGGGTAAAGACCCTTTCTGATCTGATGGAGTGGAACGAACCCTGTTATACCAATCGGTAATTGATCCCAGGTAAAAAGCGGGGAACGCACAAAGTATGGGGATATACACTGCGATGAAGCAAATGAACCCGATCAGATTCTGCGTTGTGATGGCTGCGTTAGCAGGTAGAGTGTTCTTCATTCTGTGAAAGGACGGGAAGATTGCACCCAGGACGAGTGTAAAAGCTTCGCCGCCATAGTACGATTGAATGCCAGACTACGCAAAGTCAGCGTGGGACCGTAGAATACTGACGGAGCAACTGTACGTAGACGATGCCGCCAAGACCAACAACAGTAATTGGAAGACATGTGCCCCATAGCCCAAACGTAGCACGATTCATGAGAGTCTGTAAGTCTTGAATTAGCCCACGGTTTTGTGAAGCTAGGATGACTAACGTTTCACTTACATAGCCAATGCTATAATCCTGCCCAGGCTTCCCACAAAGACATCCCACAATATCGGAGAGAATGCATCCACCAAGAATCGCACCCAGCGTTTCCCCAGCATTGAGACCGAGCGCAATGTACGTGCTTCCCAGGGTGAACGTGCCCACTGACACGCCAGTTGTAATCCAGTAAGCAAAGAAAGCCATCACTCCAAACGTTCTTTCTTTCTTTGGAATGGGGTAAAGATCGTGATTATCCCATCGTGTGGTCCCATAGTAAGTGTAAACGTCTTTGCGGGGTGGTACTTCAGCCCACTTGAGCCATTGTAGACCTTCACTTCTGCTCTCTCCCATGATTGCGGAGTGAGTAAGGCCAATAAGATTGGGGAAGATAGTAAAAACAATGAATTTTAGGAGTCAAGAGGGGGGGGGGGGACAGTCGGGGAGAAAACAATTGTATTTAAACGATTCCGGGGCTAGGAGCTTGGTTTGATCGATTCCTGAGATATGCTTAGATCTGTAATCTTGAATCTATCGATGTCGTTATCTCGAGCACTATCTTCGAGATAACAAGCCTTATCTTGAAGAACATTCATGAAAGTGGAGAGTGAGATCTACCTGGGTCACTTCTGCTTGAGACTGAGATATCGGATCTGGCAGCCGTCCCCATTGAAGGCAAACTTGCATCTTCGACTCGATTGGCATTTTCCCAAGCTGTGTGCAGCAATGGAATCGACCCGATTATCTATGGACCTGGAAAAGTGCCACGAGACCGGGCTCTATGACTTCGGAGAAACACTCCTTGTGGACAAGATGGGATGGTTTGAGATCTGATGCGCACGGGGCGGCTTGAGTTTTCCGAGGCGGAACACCGACCCGAAAACCACCCCCTAAATCCAACGAAGAGTTTAATTGTCCGGTACTTTGATGATGGGAGATTCATGGACGAACAAATCACGGGTTGTGATATATGTGGTCTCAGGAAGAGAGATTTTTACTCCATATCATCCGCACCTTCTGGACTTTTTGTGAACAGTTGTAGCATACCTTCAAGATGCAGTCCACCGGGTCTTCCAAGAATACCAAACAAATGCACCTCAACTTCTTTGAAATGGCATGTAATGCAAGCCATATGTGTACAGGTCAATGGAAAGATCCCGCAGACAACACCCAGGGAAAATCGCAGATTGACCACTATCTCTGGCTAGCAAAGTTGGCAGAAAAGGGTAAGATTACTGCCATATTCTTCGCAGATGTCTATGGCATTTTCGAGACATATCAAGGCAAGCCTGATGCCATCTTTGCGGGAGGAACGACGTGCGCATATCTCGATCCCGTGCCTCTCATTCCTGCAATGGCTGCTGTTACAAAATCTGTCTGTTTCGGAGTTACTGGGAGCACAAGCTATATTGGTTGGTATATGATGCCGAGGAGAAACAGCTGCATTGCTGACTGCAGATAGCGCCTTTTATCCTGGCGCGAACGTGGTCGACTCTTGATCATGTAACTAAGGGTAGAGTCGCATGGAACGTGGTGACGAGCTACCATACAGCTGCTGCGCAAGCCATGAGCCTGAACAACGTGGAATCTTCAGCAGAGCGCTATGAGGCAGCACACGAGTACATGGATCTGGTCTACCAGTAATTATACTCGTTGTCTCTGAAATAAAGAACATACATTAACGGGCAATATGAAGGCTTTGGGAGCAATCGTGGGAAGATGGAGCCGTCAAATTCCAAGTCGACCCCGAAGTGGCTTATGACGCTAGCAAAATCCACAAAATCCATTTCGACGGGACATACCATCGCTGTCATGCATATGCTCAAACACATCCTTCCCCACAACGCACCCCGGTTATTTTCCAAGCCGGAGCATCCAAAAGCGGGATCGACTTCGCTGGCAAGCATGCTGAGGCAATCTATACAGATTTCAGCACCATTGCGTCTCTATCAGAGTATGTCCGGGACGTGAGGCAAGCAGCAATTAGACACGGTCGAGATCCACGCTCTGTCAAAATTTTCATGGCCATTGCGCCAATACTAGGCAAGACACAGGAAGAAGCGCAGGCAAAACACGACAAAGCGAAATCACTGGCTAGCATTCAAGCAGGGATGGCAAAATTCTCCGGATACACGAACGTTGATCTATCAAAATATCCGTTGAAGGAACCGTTTGATACCGAGTTAAAACATGCTGACAACCTGGTCGCGGGCGTGATCAAAAACTACAGTTTGAAGCAAAAAGAGGCAACGGAGCCTTTCACACCAGAGTATATAGGGAAAATGGCGGGGTTTGGATCGACGCCGAAACCGACAGGTACTGCTGAGACAGTGGCGGATATTTTGGAGGATTGGTTTCACAAGACTGACATTGATGGTTTCAATCTTGTGTGTAAGTCAAAACCCTAGTCTCTATGGTTTGGAATTTCAACGTGATAACATTGTGTGACTCTTAGATATCTTAAATCCAATGAGTTATGAAGATATTGTCGAGTATCTGGTTCCTGAGTTGCAAAAGCGGAAACTCATGTGGGACGATTATCCTGCGAAGACTTTTAGAGAGAATTTGCATAACGTTCCTGGCTATCCTGGATTGGCGGACGATCATCCTGGTTCCAGATTCAAATGGAACGCTCCAAATGGAACGCTCCAAATGGACCCCTGAAAGGAGCACAGATAACGGTCAATCTTAACGAGTAGCAGATTGAAAGCTGAAAGATTTTGAATATGCGTCAAACAGAGTGGTGGAAAAGTACAGTAAATTCCAGTAAATTCCAAATCAAGCTGCTGGCTCTTCAACCACGTGTCGTCTAGATGAGAAAGCGAGTGCAATGAAGGATACACAGAAAACATGCACGCAAGGGCTGCTATAATTCAGAATATGGAGAGATCTTGGCTCAACCAATTCTCTCCCACGACTGGCAGCTAGCAAGAAGCTGTGGTAGAGTTGCCCACACTAGGGCTGCCGTTTAAATCGCGCTGAGGAGCTACCCATCTGACCTTCTGGCATACAGCGTCATTATCCGGATCATTTGGATCCACACTGAAGTTGCCTTTCCATTTTGGGAGAGATCAGAGTATTGCCAGTGCAGCTTGCTTCTCCACACTTGATGTTGAATAGTTGCACGCGAACCTTTGATCTTCGGGCTTGAAGTCGTCACAATCACAGCCTTTCCATTTGTAATTGTTCGTGGGATCCTGTAGTCTCAAAAGAAATAAGATTAGCCCCTCAGGAATTCGACTACCATGGATTCTCGTATCTCACCCCTTTGCATTTTCCCTGCGACCCCTCGAGTTTGCCACCGCACATATCGCAAGTAATCCAGTTAGCTGGATCGTCGTCCATCGCCGGACAGTCATCAACCGGTTCGCAGTCGGCTCTTGGCTTCTCTTGGGTGAATGAGTTGTTAGCCTCTGGGCTGCAATTCTCGCTTGACCATTTTGGTGCTTGGTCGCCAGAGGCGCAGGTCAAGCTTTCACAAGCGCAATTCGCCTCTGGATATCTAAACAGTCCTCGCGGAGAGACATAGTTCGCAGCTTTTGGTGCGTAATTCACGCCGAGGTGATCGCAGGTACTCATAGTTGATATTTCTCTTCTCAACGTACGTGCAACCATTCCGGGCATTGGATTGAGGAATGAAGCTGCACGGCTGGAAGAGGCTATTGTGATGCCTAGAATGAACAGTTGGGAGACTCGTATACTGGTCTGTGAAAAGATGGAATAGTCGATGAAAGGAAGGTCTGGTCTGGATGCGTATCTAAGTCGTGGCAAACAGCCCTGCAGAGAAGAAACACATGAAGGGGTAGAAAATCAGCACATCAAGATGCATGAAGCTTAAGCAGCGGGTGATGCATGAGTTGAAGGGGCAGGCGGCATGTCGCCGTTCCTATGAGAACATCTAACAAGGGAGGCTCCAATCAGGAGGACTGCCATGTTGGACTTCTGTTGTTCGGGGATCTTGTTGGATTGGAAGTGGTGCGTATGTTTGGTTGGTTGGAGAACCATGACTAAATTGAGTCTAGTGTATAAACAGGTTAGCGTCAGCCAGACATGAACGCAACACATCATTTCAGAGCTTTTTAATATTTTTCTCCTTGATCTGTAAAGAAGAAAATGTCCAGAGACTCAAAAGTTATCATTCTCCAGCTTCTGCGCTTCACTAAATTGATTTATCAAGATATTAAAGAATTCGAAAGATGACAATGCCAGCACGATCCAGATCCACATCCTTTTTAACGCGCTTACTGTCAAAGCTTTGCGCCGCCGAAGCAACAACAAGCTCCAACGCATCACGTACGGCTTTCTCCCGATCCTCAACCCCTTCACCGACAGTGACGCGAGCCCAGTCAACGCATAGAGAAATGTACTCGAACAAGATACGTACAATTCCGTCGTATTTATCACGTTTCGCTTGGATTTGACGGAGTGTGAGGGTGTTCCATGCAATCAATGGTGCTCCAGCGAGAGCGGGTAATATAATGGTGGGTGCGCCGTTTAGGAGGATGTACTGTAGTACGGACTCGGACGGCCGAGCAGATGATGTCCACATCCCTAGACGATGTGGCTCCAACCCGAGAAGAATGACAGCTAGCTGACGGGGCGGGGGAACTGTTGCCTGCAGCGTTGGGGGTGGAGAATCTGGAGAATCGGGAAATAAACTTTGTGGATCTGATGCTGGTATATCAGAGGAAGGATGAGATTTCGTTCGATGTATCAGAGTTGTGAACTTGTCGTTGAGCTTCTCGTTCATTTTGGAGACATTAAGCTTGTCTTTGAAGCTCATCGACGGCGTCTGCTGCGGAGCAGAAGAAGCTGTGCTTTCTGTAGTGGGAGGTGCTTGACAGAGATGAAGAACCTTTGCACTCTGTGCGACGAGTGTCTCCCCGACACTATAGTCGCCAGACAAGAAAGGTCCATGACAAAAGACGACATCTGGTTTCATTGTCCTCGGAATGATTGGCCTTCTTGCGCTCGCAAATAAATAAGGGCTGAACCATCCTTTCTCTACGGCCAGGTAGCCACTGACACTCGCGAAAAGACTGGGATCTGCATGTGTTGAACTTCTGAAGAAGCCCAGGGCGGCATCTTCAACAGAATGCTTGTATTTCAACGTGATTGTTAATATCTTCACACCAGACGTAGTAAGGTTCGCAGAGTGTACTGGTATGATCTTCTTCATCGGCTTGTCGATGAGTATTTCATCGCCTGCCCAGACAGCTGCTTCAAACCCCGCGTGAAGGCCGAGCTCAACGAGGATTGTATCTCCGAGGGAGCCCACGACCACATCTGAGATTGGGCCCATGACAGGTGCAGCGATGGCTGCTGTTCCACCCGTTGCCGCTACAACGGCATGAATTGCCAAATCGCGGAAGCGAATACATGGGAGGACCAGAGGAGTTGAGTCTCCCCATGGCGAAAGACAGACGACCGAGGTGCCTGTTGCTCTTAAAGACTCATAGCTAGATATGACTACCCGGCCAGTCATGGACTACGACTTGAGTAAGCTCGGCAACTGATGGGACAGCAAAAATGGTGGATAAAGAAAGGCCTCTTTACCCCCGCTAGTTTCCTGACGATCCATGGTGCTTCCTTCTGCTCCTCGTTTTGTACCGAGGACGGGTCGATAGGTCCTAATGCCGACATGGTGATAGTAGCTGCGAACCGTGTCTACTTTGTTGATTGTACAGCAGAAAAGGGATGTATCTTTATATCATGGCATTGTTGGCAGTAGCAAAAAAGGAGACAGGGGGTTAAGCGAGACAGCGAGGCGAGGTGTGACGTAGCTCGAAACAAGGGTATGATAGAATCAAGGCTTTGTCCATTTATTTCCTCTCCTCTAATATGCTGTCCAGACTGTGCAGTGTCGCTTTAAATATCTACGGGAGAGTGAGCAAAGAAGATTTAAGCTGAGCTGTCGAACCACATCTGACCGAGCCCGAAGGGGCTCTTGGTCACGTGTCATGGTGCCTCCTTTGGGATCAGCGCAGGCAGGAACTTCGTGGCAAGGCTTTCTGAGGAGTCTCAGTATCGTACCTATGGCTACGAGGTTGTGCTCTTGCATAGATGAGACTGTATATCCCGTGTTCTGTTGTTAATGTTCTACTTGTATTCTGGGACATTCGCGCCCTGTGGTCGGTTATTTGACTGAGGGTGTTTCAAAATCAAAGCTCTGCTATTATTTCAAAAATACCCATGCTAGGATCCCCCGAAGTACGACAGGCAAATTTGAATAAACAATCGCTCCCTTCACTTCAATCTCTTCGTTGCTGTGCCGGTACTGGAAACGAATATCACAAAGCTCTTGTCCAGTTCTTCCCTCAACGAATCATCTGACCACTTTCTTGAGTTTTACATTAAGTTCCTGCTTTTCCCACAGACTATACGTCTTTTGGTCAAGCCAATCCCTTTCCTTATCTGCGAGCTCCAAATCAAAATTGAACAGCAGCTTGGAGAGAATCAGGCGCATCTCTGCGTACGCCAGGCTAAGACTCAAAGTCAGCTCAACACTTTCAACGCGGCGCCAAGGACGACTCACTTCTTGCCGATACAGTTTCGCGGCCCCGTGCTAAATGGATTGAACACAGAGCGATTGTCATCCGCATACATTTCATCCCCACAGAAGCGTTCAGGAACAAAGCATTCTGGGTTGCGAAAGTTGGTTGCTGAATGGTACGAAGCATAGTGACAAACTGATACGATAGTCTATCGATTATCAGCTCTGTTAGGGACAATTTAGGATAGACAAGTCGTACTCCACCAGATACCCATTTACCCGCAATCATATCGCCCCCTTCCGGCACAATGCGTGGCAGTCCGACGGGCGCTGGTGGATACATACGTAGTGCTTCATTCAGACAGGCTAGCATATAATCAAGGGTTCCCGCACTTGCCATAGTTATATCCTCTGGTTTTGCAAAGGTTGTGCGAACTTCATCGATGACCTTGTTGAGCTTGTTGGGGTTTCTTAGCAGATGATAAGTCACGCCTGATAGAAGCGTCGCCGTCGTTTCACTGCCAGCTATGATTAAGAGCGAGGAGTTGGCTTTCATGTTGTCGAAACTGAACGTCTTCTCGTTCCGTTGCATATTTCCAACAAAGTCAGGTCGCTCAGTCTTTAGGGCAAGCCTTTGGTTGAGTTTCTCGGTGATTATATTGGCGTGGGACTTCAGTGTCTCCAGGAGGCGCTTCGGGACAATGAGCGACGATATCCCTGTTCCGCCAGGCACGTACTTAAGGGCCTTGAGGTAACTCGAAGCCTTCATATTACTGAATATCATGCTGACCCAAGGATGATAGTCACTCTTTTCGAGGCAATCGAATGATTCTCCGAAAGTAAGGTCGCCAATGATATCAAACGTCGTGAAGTTGTACCAGGAGACTAGATTTAAGGGCTTGCTGCCATCGTCTGCATGCTGCTCAAGACGCTGGATGAGAAGGTCGATATATTTCTGGATCAAAACCTCTTGTTGCCGCAAATATGAGTCGGAAAAGGCGTGGGAGAGGCTCCTGCGCTGGAGAGCATGGTCTTCCCGGTTGGTCGTAAGAAGAGTTGTGCCTCCAGGTTGCTGAGTATAAAAGATTTTGTTCTTCTGCATTTCGAGCTTGCCTTGACGATGGGCGTAAATGTCCTTGAACGCTTCGGCACTGATATAAGAGAGCTCATCTGGACAGACACGAACGACAATGCCATATTGCTGGTGGAGATCATGTACTTGGCGCACTTGGTTACCATTCACGAGTGCCCAGAGATATGGAATTCGAGAGATAGCATTAAGCTTTGGACCAGGGTATGATGCCAATGGATGGAAGTAAAGATTATAGATGGCGAGACCTAAAACATAGGAGACAGCCTAGCACGAGGGAATCAGCAAGATGTAAATAGTGCGATTGCGTGGTTATCAGACAGGTATTACGTACTAGAATTGTCAAAACATAGGAGATTGCCAAGAGGCTGCCCAAGCTAGAGAGTTCGTTCAGATATGCCATGGCAGACGGGCAAGAACAGTCACTCGACAAAGAGCAGATGCTATTCGGTGAACGAAGGTAGATTTCAAAACGAAGTATATGCCCGTGTATTTGATTTCAAAAAAGCGATCTCGATGATGAGGTCAGTTTCACGTGTCTGACAATACTTGTTCTTGAATCAGAGGAATAAATGACATGTCAATACAGATGAGCTCTAAGAAGGTGTTGGAATCTCCGACAATCCGTGTTTAACTTGTACATGATTTGTTGGAACTATCAAGAACTGTTGAAAGGCTGGCGAATTCCTTTTCGCCTATTCAGTTGAAGCCTAGTACGAACAGTTCTGGTCTAGTCGGGAACATGGCCTACCTACCTTTCGAAAGGTCCGATGCAGACAACGGAACTCGCGCTTAGATATCGCCGACATGTATGTCGGTCTAGCATCTATACCGACGCGAGATGGCATGTTTGATTGTTCCATTGCATATCTCTCGACATCACTGCTCCCAATCAAGTCAGCAGATACTTTGAAAACAACGGGTAAAGCGGGCGGAACGGATCGACCCGTTATACTTTCACTATTTGCGGGGTTGAGGAAGGGAAGTGGTCTGGCAGTTGTTGAGAGATTATTCCCCGCATTACCATCGAGTTTTGTCGCAACTTGGGCCTAATCCAATCTGGTTCCGGCAGTTCCGTAACGTAGCGCATTAGATCAGTTAGCATCGATAGGACCTGGGAGAGTGGGGGAAGTTTCCGTGCTTTGTGAAGTAAAATGTCTCTCAATCTCGAAGGCCGTCCCAACTTCCTACTTCTGGTGCATTCTATCGGGTCTATCCAGATGGCTGCGAACAATTGACGGATTTGGTTTCGCAAGAGTGATAGTAATGTAAATCAGTACCCCTCTATGCTTTGCAGGCCTCAGAAGCTGATGGCATGTGAATTATGCTTTTAATTCCAACGATTTGTGCAATATACTATCGGAGATAGAGAGGAGCTTATGATTGGCTTGTATATCTAAAACTCCAACTGCTGTGCCGCTCCTCCTTGAGCACAACGGTAACCGAGGCACCACCAGCGCTTAATGCTGTCAAAAGATTGCTTCACATGACACTCGTTGCTCAGCTCTCACCCTACTGTCTATTCTGGCGGACACAAGAGAATACTCGAATCCTTTCATATGTCGTAATATGCCAGAATCTGTGACTCAATCACTTCTCGGAAAGTCGACCAACGCGGGCGCTGGATAACAACATATCAAAACCAGAGACCAGTAGTTGGTTGAAAGATTGAAACATGACCAGATATTTTGATGTTCCAGAATGTTGTTTCCGTGGTGAATATGATCTGATTTCAGGAATGGGCGAATTAAAAAGACTTGAGTCTTTCACGATGATGCATCGATGTCTTGCCCATACTTTACAGTACCCCGCCAAGTCGCACCTTACCGTCTGTCAAATTTGCTGGTTGCTCAACATCGCAGCTGGATTTTGCCAGTCAACCCAAGTAACGCAAAGCATGAGTTCTATTTACTGTGTCGGCTCAGATGAGTATCTTGATGCATCGGGTCACCTGACGGTCTTTGCAAGCAAGTTATCATTGCCTGATGAGGATGATGAAGACTTGAGATCGACTATGATTCACAGAACGGGTTTACATCGGCCATAATCTGAAACTTTACAGGGAAGATCATATTAGAAGCGGACAAGAAATTAAAAATTGCATCCTTCGAGGCAAAATTCCGAAAGCAGCGTAAATACATCATGTGCTTGATTCGAAAGACTTGCACCTGAACGGAACAGACATAAACACTTTTCTTAATCTAAGAACTCAAATTCCCATTGTGGCTCAACCCAGTCAGGAAAGCGTGCCCTCGTGTCGTCCGCTTCCGCGCGAAGCTGGCTCTGCATGTCCGATACCAGCCGGGAAGAACGTGCGAATTGCGCTTCGAACATAAAAGTTATCTTTCGAATGCCCCTCATGTTGCAGAACATGTACTCCCGAGACAAATCAAATCCCAAGAAAACAAAGTCCCAAGGTACCACAACTGTCTTGATCAAATGAAGTTGTTCGATATTGATTTGTTTGCCAATGCAGGAAAGTTCCGCGAGAGGTGTTGGAACGTAGTTTCCAGCAATACTCGTGAGCCGGAAGAACATGGCATTTGTCCACGGCGCAGGACTGCATTGACTTGCATGGTATTTGACGTCCTTCGAAGATCGTGGACTGATGAAAAGAGTGTCTAGATCGAAGTTGAAGTATCCTATGCCCAAACCAGTGATTGAATGTCGGAGAAGGGTATAGAAATTCATTCCCTCATATCTGGATTCCCGACAAACGTGGAGGATTGCTGGCACCGCATTACGCTGTTTAAGGGTAGTCGAAGAGGCAAAGCTATTGTCGTTCATTTGATTCTGCCAACCACACATTATGAAGTCCACGTTTCTCGGCCATATCGTGAAGCTCCAGACACGAACACGAAGCTCTGCAGGGAGGCGCGAAAAAGGGTGGAAAGAGGCCGTAGGAGTTGATGCAGAGGCTGCCACGTCCATGGTACTGAAAAATATCGTCGACGGAATGTAAAATGTCCAATTCGTACAGAACGTTGCCAGAAATTTATGGTGTACGGTAGAATGACATCCATCAATCACCAACACAGTCATCTAGGGCATCGTTGCCCATTCATGATATTGCCACTAGTTTATGTGAATGTTTCCTTATTGGTCTCTGGAGCATCAATATAAAGTCATGGACGAGTCGAGCTTCAATAGACAACAATCTGCTCTCAATTCCCAGGAGACTGAATATGGCCACAATACTTCATTTGGAAACTCCTTCAGAGCTGAAATGTGAAACACAGAAGACTTCACAATTATTCAGACAGCGTGTACGAGACAAATGCTCGTATCTTGACGATAAGCACTGGGCTCAGCAAAGTTCTGCGAAAGAAGAGCGTCAAAGTGGCGCGTCCGACCACTGCAGGTCCAGTGACTCGCTAGCGCAGGACATCACGTAAATTTATGTCAACCAAGGAGCGAAGCGTCATGATCTCCAGCAGCTTTCCCCCAACTTCATCCTCAACTAACCAGGAGCAGGAACAGCGACTTCATCGCGAGCCTCTAATACGAAGTAATGCGTTACCTCTGCCTCGGACTACCTGTGGCACTGCTACGCGGCACAGCATAAAGTTCATAAAGTTGGACAGTCCTGCGAAAGGTAGGTTGTAATTCAAAGATCCTACACGTCAATCACACATCAAACTCCTCCTCAATTCCATATCTCCGTTTCACAATGTTTCTCAGCCTCTTAACAAGCCTGCTGATTTTCGCTGTAACGCCTCTAACCTCTGCGAATTGTACGACATTCACCGATACCCGCTCCCTGGCGGACACAGGTAGCAGCTTCTCGAATGAGTTCGAGCAAGTGGTCGACATACTCACATGCCCATCCAAAAGCAACGAGACTTGCATGTTCCCCCGAAAATCATACGACATCACGATTCCTCGGTATCTAAACATCTCTGCGTCCCCTTCCGACGCCGACAATATCTTCAGTCTGGCGCAACAATACTACGGGATAGGCAGCAGGAATTACACCGCACCTCCATTCATAACACGAAATACGACGATTTCCACAACAAATACTCGTCAAGCATCCGATCTGCTTTTGGAAGTCGAACCTGGGAAGAACAAATCCTTGGTTTGGGTGCCGTACATGCTCTACAGTTTCGGAAATCTTGGGGGATGCTCGAATACTAGCCTGGATGGTGTTGGGGTTCGAGCTGCAGCGCCTTATCTGACAAACGATACGAACAATAATACTGTAATCGCTGGAGGTTGGGGCGCGTTTACAAGCAATATCACAAATGATGGCAATGCAGCTAGAAGTTTAAAGAGTAGTGGTACAACAGCCGCCTTCGTTGGTACAGCTGCTGCTCTCTTTGCCCTTGTGCTTTGAGAGGATATTTCCATTGATTGGGAGGGTAGAAGGAAATCAAGAACTTATTTTCGGCTGTTTCACTTGGCTGCTCGTTTCATTGCGTGCCAAGAGGACAAAAATAGCCTACCCGTGGTTCACGTAATCCCAATATACTTTTCTTTCATTACTGATATATCGATTGTCGAGTATTTTGATTATCAAATGCTATTCAGAAGTCATGGATCGTTGTTGAGATATAGAGTGTTACCAATCGCGATATGTGTCGTGGATATTTTCCGTCTGGCTTCTACTGTGGGAGCGATATTAGAATTCTGCTCCACTATTCATGTTGAGAAATTTTCCGCTGCACACTGCCCAGAGTTGAGCTCCGCTTGTGACAAGGCCTTCCCACTCGGGAACCTCTGGAGAAGGAAGTTCAGCCGCTTGCCAAGATTCAATTTCAATCGAGCTTTGTTTTACCCATGTCACACTATGTTTCTTGACGGTCTGCTTCATACGGCAAGTTTTACCGTCGGAAGAAGGCCGATGGCTCCTTGATGAATTTGTTTGCCGTTTGATAGGCGCCAAGCTCCTTATTTAGATTGGCCAGTGCAACAGGTCTTTTGGTCAAGCGCGAAGGCTTTGTCGAAGGGCAACAAGTAACGCCACGGAAACTAAAGCAAAACCCAGCTTATCATTCTTGAGCATACTTATTCAAGAAACAAGTTTGAAGGCTACACCGCAATGTCTTTGCCTTTGTCGAAGAACTGCTTACAAGCGTATCTACATAAATCTTCTAAACCTTTCCCCTGTTTGCAACCAGGAATGATCAGTTTCTTTGAATTCCTAGTGGAAAATTATGTTGCCTGTGCTTAGTCTGTACTTGGCTGGAACGTTGTGGCAACGTTGATGGGATGATGGGTTGGGAGAGGCTCAAATTTGTGGATTTGGGGTTCGGACGAGTCCAAATTTGGACGCCAAGATGCTTGAGTCTTCATCAGAAACCAAAGTACCGATTTGTGGGGAAGCGTCTCCAGTGTAAAGAAGGATTACTTTCCAGCTCAGATGAGTGATGATTCTTCAGATATTCGACTTTCTAGCTTGGACTTCTTGCACATTCTATTCACTGCACTGGCAGATAGCCTAGACGGCATTTCGATATTTGGCCCTGGTGGTCGTTGAAGTCTCCTTCCGAAGCCGGCTTTCAAGGCAGGAGCTATATTCATAATGTCTGAGCGGTCATGTCCAATGTCTGGATCCGTTGGATCGGGATGTCCAGTGAACAGAGAAACACGTACGGGACCTAGAGGATGCAACTTCATGGCCTTCTCTCAACCAGGCGACCTTCGAGCCGTGTTCGATGTAAGACGAACCCAACCTATAACAACTTGCTTGGAAATCGCTTACAGTGCCAGATCCCTTCTGGTGTTGATCCAGAACAATATTTGCGTCAAAGGTTAGCCGTTACTCCAACGTAGTCCCTCTTTCTGACAATTCCAGGGAACGAAAGGCAATTAACGAACTGCTTTACTCGAATGTCCTAGCCATGGCTAAGATTCAAGAGATACAAACTTCTCAAGGCGTCAAAGCTCTTGATTCTTTGAACGCCACGGAGCAAGATCTTCTCGCCGTGGCTCTTGGTGCCCCAGCTCGTCAAGTACTCATACGAGCAGAAGAAGTCGGACCTCGAACTGGTTGGCGAGACGGGTACTTAAGCACCGAGTATGGCTTCACTCCACCAGATGCAGACGAAGCTGCTGCCGCATTGGCCAAATCACCTGGCCGCGTGTGGTCGGACTTGTGTGAGCGAATGCCCGGTTGTGTTGCCAGAGGAAGAGTCAGAGAATGTGTAGCAGGACTTCCTGTCGTCGAAGGGACTGTTGATATCATTCCAGACAGAGCACTCTGGGCTGCGCTCGTGGCTCTTGGAATGTTGTGCTCTATCTACCGGTACGAGGACAAGCACAACGGAAGTGAGGGTGTCCATGTATCTAGACATGCTTCATCTTTCCTTGTGGAGATGAGTGATGAGCTCGGTGACGAAGTCAAAGGTATACCAAAGAGCATCGGACTGCCTTACTACCAGATTTGCAAGAGGATGGGAAGATCCATACCACATCTAACCTTTTTCGATCAATCCTCTTACAACCTCAAAGTGCGCGACCCCACAACGACATACCCTTATGTCGCTCGATTCTCCAACACCGACCTGAGGTGGCCAATGTTTGGTGACAGGTCCGAGATAGCGTTCTTGAAGGGATGTGCTGATACATCAGGTAAGCCTTTTCTTCCGCTGTTGCTCACAACTTTGCTGACACTTGTTAGCATCCTTCCAACATGGAGTCGATGCCATTGCCAGCTGCCAGGAGCATGTCATGAGCAAGAACAATGAAGGACTCCTTCGCGAATTGATTCGACTCAAAGAAATTCTTGAGCGAATGCCCAACGCCTTTCATTCCATCTCTCTCAATCCAAGCTCGGGAGAGAATTATATTTCTCCGGCAGAATGGGTCCGCTGTAAGTCTCACAATTCTAAAAGTAACTGCCAGTTCCTTGCTATTTGGAGTTAGTGCTCTGGATGCACACCTGAGATGCGGTCATTTACTCTCGAAAACTTGCAAAAGAGATTTACTGAGCCCAAGATTTTGACTATAGGGGCGAAATTCTCAGCTCCGCTTTCCAAGCGTTGCCCTGCTACAAGTGGTTTACAGTTTCCACCGTATCTCGTAATGGATGCGTTTCTGGGTCGCACGAAGTATGAATCATTTCTGGGAGCCGAAGGTGTTCATCTGAGGGCTTGGTTGCCATCTAATTGGAGAGCCTTTATTGCTGCCATCGAGTATCATTACCGCATCCCGGACTATGTTGCTCAATCACATGACCAGCGACTAATTGGTGCACTGGATGGCATTGTCGAAGCTTATACAGGTGAGCGGGGTTTTATGGGGACGCACAGATACAAAGTCTTCGGATTATTGGAAGTGGCAGGGAAGACAGGGCGTGCGGAGACAAATGGGATGTCAGGAGCCCCTGATGCTGGAAGACCTTGGGAAGCTACTCACAAGGCGTTCTCTGACGGTAAGTTGAAATCTCCCTTGACGTCAAGGACAGTTTGAGAGCCGATTCCTCGGACACTATTCGGGTGATACCCGCTCCTGCGCTTTCTAGTATTCTGTCGAAATATATGCTAACATGTGAATAGCTATGAAAGAGCGCTTGGAACCTCATCGCGGAAGCCTTCAAGTCGAACCCCACCAAATGCGAGGTACATTCGCTGAATGTAGGTACAAGGCCCGGGTCCTTGGGAGATCATTTGTCGATGCAGATCCAGAAAGATCAATTGCCAGAGTCACGCTGGACATTCAGGAAACAGGAATCACATTCCAGCCTGGGGACAGACTTGCTCTGATGCCTCTCAATGGCTGGTTTGAGTGTGGAAAGATTCTCGCGGCTTTAGGGCTTGATGAAATGATTGAAAGTCCTGTCGCTATGAACACTCAATGGACAAGATTCGCCCAACATCTGGGCTCGGTATCGAAAATCCCAGCGCCAACAATGACAGTGAAAGATATTCTACGTCGAGGACATCTTGCACCACTTACCAAAGACCTCGTCGTTAAACTTCATGCCATGCTACGAGCATCCTCTACCACTGTTCTCCAGGTTCTAGCAACAGATGAATGGCCAGTACGTGCGACTTTAGGAGATATCTTACAGGCTGCTGTTGTGGACACGCCCACTCATATCTGGGATCAAGCTTTCGATATCACCACAGATCTCCTCTGGCTCTCGGAATTAACCCCGATTGAAGTTCCAAGGACCTACAGCATTTCCAATTGTCCAGATGAACTCCTTCCAAGCACAGTAGACTTGACAGTCTCTCGGTCTGAGTATCCCCTTCATCCCGCAATCTCTGACCCTTCGGTTCCAACACGCCATGGAGTCAGTAGTAGCTTCCTCAATCCGCCTGTTTCCAGCCAAGATGAATTCATCGCAGATGACGAAGAACTCCTTATCGGTGTCTCGAGACCACTTGCCTTTCAGCTTCCAATCGATGATGCCGCACCGTGCGCATACTTTGCTGGAGGGAGTGGTATAGCGCCGTTCAGAAGCTTCTTTCAGGCACGCGCTGGAAGGTCAGTAGGCAAGAACATTTTGTTTCTCGGCGTACAATCTCGAGAGAAATTCTGCTATGAGGACGAACTTCGAGAGTACATCAACGCTGGCTTCATGGAAGTCTATACTGCCTTCTCTCGCGATTCTCGAGGGCTGGTGTACGACCGGAGTCTCAGAGATCTGGTTGAGAAAGAGATTTCGCCACGATACATCGACAGCGCAATCATTGAGGAGGGTGCCACTGTATGCGATCTGATAATGTCAAAGAAGCAAGGCGGGCTTGGAGGGTATCTCTATGTTTGCGGTTCGCTATCTGTGTTTGATTCCGTGATGTCTGGCATCAGAAGAGCAATCTACAACCACCGAACCACTAGCATGGAGACAACGGACGTTATCCTAGACACTGCTTTTGCCGAACGAAGATTCATGATTGACGTCTTCATGAGTCCGAAACCACTCCCATGCAATACTCCAACTATTCCGCTATCGCAGTTGGCGATGCATACGGGACACCAGAAAGGAAGTCGCATCTTCATCGCGGTACACGGAAGTGTTTATGATGTGACTGATTTCTGTCCTATGCATCCTGGTGGGACGAACATCATCAAGTCAAATGCTGGAGTCGACTGCTCCAAATCGTTCGACCTCCTCGCGCACACCAACAATCCGGAAGTCTCAAGTCTACTGAACAAGTACTTCATTGGACATCTCAGCCCAAAGCCCGACTTCCATCATGCTGATGAAATTAGCATGCTGTACGATCTCTGGTCTGATTATCTTCGAACTGCTGTCGAGACCCTCGTTTCACAAGCATTTGAAGTTCATGAGTTTATGGAATCATCGAATCTTTGGTTTCAAGGGAGTCTACTCAATATGGGTGGTGTGAGAAGATTCTATCATCATCAGTCGCGTTTGCTGCAAGGGGGGTTCTCTTCTTTGTTCGGATCCAAGCTCCAAGAGCTATATCTCAAATTGTCCTTCACGCTGGCGAATATTTCAACAAGCAGCAGTCCAAGCCGTCTACCAGACATTCTCGGTATTATCGCACGCGCGAAAGGCTCGCCAGATGCCATGAGAACCTCAAGCGAAGTATCGCAAATTGGGGAATTCACGTCAAACAGCGAGGCAGCACGTTTCCATGAACAAGGTATCCTTGACTATGCTCGCAAGTCGGTACAATTGGATATGGAGCTACTTGAAGGAATACGAGAAGAGGCATGCCGTGGTATGGATGCATTCGATTCGATCATGGATTTGGATGCCCCATCTGAGTCTCAGCGTATCACGGCACTCTCAACATTTTTGTTGCAAGTTTGTGAGAGAATGGCCGTCAGGTTAGAGGGATTCTACTCAAAGCTAGCACAGCACTCAGTCTATCATCCTGAGATGGAACCAAACCCTGCTAGGACAAGATGGAATCTTCTGCGGCGCAAAGTGTGCGACGGATCATTCTTCGTCCTTACACAAGATATGGCCATGAACACTTCAATATCCTATACTCCGCATCGAAGTCAAGATGCTGTCGAATTTGACCATGTTGTCTCTCAGATCCAACAAAACATCAACCGCTCTCCATACTTACAACAACGACCACTGGATCTGACTGAGCAACATGTAGCCCGAGGGGAAGTTTCTACCGGCATCTCGGCATATGAATCTTACGAGAATGGGAATGCCCTGAAACAAATGTCTTCGTTCATGAACAGCAATATGCGGGCAATTCGACGACTAAGCAAGATGCCCAGCACAGGTGTGAGCCTCGAGCAGCTCATGAGTGCTTATGCTCCCAAATCCCAGCAACTTCCTACCCCGCCATCAAGCCGTTCATCGAGTCGATCGTCAAAGGGCTCGACAGATCTAGGAAGAGACAACAAGAGGCAACTCCATGGACTAAATACTCGTGGTCGTTCAGTTGATATGCCATCGCTAGGACTTCAACGTCGTGGCACCAACTCATCAAACGGAAGTATGTACCATGGAAATAGACCCCCATCGCCGGTGAGAACGCCACCGCCTACACAAGCACTTCCGAGATCTACTTCTTTGCCGATAGCCCCTATGTCAGCAGCTGAAGCTCTACCTGCTATGCTTAGCAAGATGAAAATGAACAGGCGGCAGACAGCTGGAACAGTGCCGCCTTCACCAGCGTACGGTGTTGGTCGAGGGACAATGGTGAATGGTATGCAAAGCATGAGATCTTCGATGGCAAGTAGTGAGAATGCAGGCGCGGGCATGGAACATTCGAGAGCGACATCAATGACGGGAAGCTTGCGGACATTGAAGTTACAAGAAGTGAGGGTACAGCCTACATTCTGATTGTATTGATGCTTGTTCATAGTTTTGTTGTCTACCACTTCTGAAGAGTGTCTTGAAACCAAATTACGTCCTTCGATCCTCTTCGCTTCACTCATCCGTTCCTTTCAAAGTGATTATCCTTCCCAAATCGCGGGACCTGGCGGGGTGTAGCTTGTAGGGACAGGATAAACAGGCAGAATAAGCCCTGCATCTGAAATCTTATACACGCCTGGGAACGAGACTAGAGGGCTTGGAGTTCCGCTCCCACCACCAGTGACTGTGACTTGCGCACAACCGAGGTAAAATTGGGCTCCGCCAGCTTGTTGTGCTTGATGCAGGGCGATGCTCTCGACACGAACAAGGTAGCTACCCATGGGAACGTTCTTTGGTATCTTGACGAACACGTTTTTCTGGATAGTTGGGGCTTCTATGCGTTAGAGAGTTGATTCTGACAAAGGTTCGAGAATGACTTACTGTAAGTGGGCCATTCAATACCCTTCGCAGTGACATTATGACCTAAATAACCAATCTTAAACCAGACCTTCCCTGGGCCATCCCAAGCATCAGTCGTGGTTCCATCGGGAACCTTGGCCATGTAGAACTGAACAGGTCCAGGATGATCAACGCCTTGGTCAGCGACGAAGCCGAGAGAGTCCCCTGCAGCAACAGTGACTGTACTGGCAGCGCCTTTGTATTGGAAGCAACGAAGGTCTACGCTGCTAACATCCGTGACTCCGTGGTCGTCTTGGTAGTTCTTTGTCTCGCGGACATAAGTCCATTCCTTTGCATCGGTCTGTCCATCCACGATTAGTTTCGAGAATCTATCTTCATTTTATGTCAGTAGGTATATCAAGGATCATGAAGAAGACTTACAGTGAGCTGGGATATCTTACCAATCATTTCGCGTGGCTGTAGATCTGGGCTTTAAGATTGTGTCTTAAGGTCCATAATAGATTGGAGGCTGATTTCTCGATTTAGCCTCAAGCGAAGACTTGGCTCGGTACGTATTTACGAATGGCGATGAAAAACCATGAAAAGGAACATGAAGATATACTCCACTATATAAATTCCTCAGACATGAGATAATAGTCCCAAGTAGTATCATATGTTCATTGGAGCTGGGCGACTATCTGGCAGGTTGGGAATGATGTCCTGCAGCCCAGTATAAAGTCATGCGTTACCCATTTTGGCTGCGACAAGAGCGGGGCGAAGGGCCAAAGCTCATTTTTGTTTCTAAAGTCTCAAACAACAATTCGATTTGATGGAAGGAAGTTAAAGTAAGTTGAAACTCGCTGCAGACCTCATGCTTAGCAGAAGTTAGAAATGAGACGAAAGCAAAAGACAGGGAGTAAGCTAGCAGTGCTCAGCTCCCCTGAGAGGGCAAATTATGAAGTTTGACATCGTTTAGGCCTTGATCTACCACACAAACATGGAATGTTTTTTAAGCAAGGCCAACGTGAGTAATTTTAAAGGCATAGGTATTTCGAATGTCTGGAGTAACTTTGAGAAATAAGCTCGAGACGAGCCCTCGGCATTTCTTAGCTTCAGCACCCGCGGCAGTCCAAAATAATGATTCATTATGAATCAACGTCTAAAAGCAGTACTTGGATGACCTGTCTACGTGTGGGACAGGTTCCATTATTGCTTTGTAGATCAATGTGAAGAAGGGAAGGAAACTCCGCGAATCGTTTTCAAACCGTACTTAGTTGTCAGAGACATCAAGTTCTAAGCAGCGGGATATCCCCGACCTCGACTTTCACCGAGCCGTGAATTGTTCTAAATAAGGACAGGAAGCGGGGTTGTTTGTTGTAGGGACTTTGAGCGAGCGATTTATTTCGGATTGGGCCGTACACCATATCACAGAATATCGACGACCAAGTCCTCCTTCTGCCAAAACACCTTCCAAGCTTTGGCCCATCTCTCCTGCACTCCATCAAGCCAATCATCGAACTTGATCTCCTCCACCTGCCCCATTCCAACATCGCCGTTCGTCAATTTGGTTCCTGCTTCGTCCACATCTCCGAGCTTTTCAATCTTCAAAACACCGCCATTGACACCTTTCCACCCTTCGATAGGGCCTTTAATGTATCTGTGGTTCTCTCCGCAATAGGACTTCCACTCAGTCCAAGGCTCGCCCTTATTGTGAGCATCAATTTTCTTCCAGCAATTCTCGCAAAGATCACAGTTCGTGCAGATGATACATCCGTACACAGGCCCTTGCTTCCAATTAGCGAAGTGGTCCGAGCAGCCATTGCAATAGATTTCGCTGTTTGGATTCAATTGTTCAGAGTCAGTTGGGGACACCTCCTGAATTGTCCCTGAAGCTTCCTGACTTTGATGTTCGGCAACATTTGTTTCCGGAGCAGGGACATTATTCTCAGCTGCTGGTACAGACGATGACGCTTCTCCGTCCGCCTGTCCGTCATCGGCAGGCTTCCCATCATCATTCTTGTCGGCCGGAATGAAAAGCTTCTCATCCACAGCCGAGAACTGCAACGAGAACGCAATCTGAGCATCCCTCTTCATCTCCGGCACAAAAGCCAGAACCTTAGCCAGAAGTCTGAAACCCTGACTATCATTCCAAGCCTGCGTATCTGTTAAAGCATCGATACATCCACGGAACGTCTTGTCCATCAGACTTTGAAAATCATTTGTAGGTCCCATTTTCCCAGTCATCAGAGCAAGGGCGATCATTGTCTGGGACTCGAAGGGGTTGAAGTCGTTGGACATAGCTAAGCTATGTTGAAGGGCAAGATTCTTCATCTCTCCGTGGAGAATGGTCTTTTGGTTGGGATCTGTGGTCGCGCGGAATTGTTCGGTCAGGATATCGGTGAGCTGAAGTCGGGTTGCGAAGACAAATTCTTCGTCAGCATCGCCGAATGGAACTCCTTTCTTGCCATCCATAATCTCGAAGAGAAGTTTCTTGGCTTCTTCGTAGTTTGGAAAGATGTATTGGTACACATTGGCCAATTGACTGCGCACATGCGCCCCAATATTCCACTTATCGACCTCCATAATCATGTTTTCGTACGTCTTGATCAAGAAATCCTGCTTCTTGCATTCCCAGGCGGCATGTTGGAATCGGTCGTGACCAGTGGCAGACTCGAACCCTATCCAGGACAGCATATCCCATTTCTTAAAATGTCCGACGACTGCAAGCAATTTTTCGTAATCGCCTTCGAGGTCCAGTGTGGTTGTGATGTCCGTCACGAATTCTTCACCCAAGGAGTTGCCTAGATCGTCGCCCAGGAGAACATATCCTTCATCCATGGTGGCAATAGCTTTGTCGACCTCTCCGAGTTTGATTTCACATTGACCTCGATTGAGGAGGCCATATTGCTGAATGAACACCATGTCTTTCGCTTTGACAAATTCCCTGACCTCTTCGTTCTCTTGGTACAGAGTGATACTTGCAGAGATGTCGTCGTAAGCTTTTCGAACGTGCTCCATCTTCTTATCATTGTCATCGATCGTATCACTTAGCCCAAGCTCCGTCTCCCCAATCCAATAAAGGACATGCCATCGTTCCGTGTCGACAGTTGTCAACTTCAAACTCATTCGTAACTGCTCTAGCGCAGGGAGATAGATCTTGAAAGCGAAAAATGTCGTTCCAATCGCTTTATACGCTTGGCCATTTTTTTTGATCTCAGGGAACGCCTTTGCCACCTGCAACATATCCGCTTCAGCGTGATCACTGTTGATAGCATCATCGTCCGAAAGCCCATCACCAAGCCTGGTCTGCACAATTATTAGCAAAGTGCAGTGAGTCATCGAAGAATAGGGGAAGTAATACCATTCGCAAAGTTGACCTAGCGAATTCGAATGATCTCCTTGCTTTCCACGATCGCTCAGACTTGAACCAATTCATGACATGGCCTTTTGCAAGATGGATCAAAGTTTCCTCTTCAGAACAGCAAGTAAGCATCCAGCTGGCCACTGCATCGTTGAATCCGTGAGCAGGCTCCTTCATAAGATCTCGACCGCGTTCTAACCACGCATTGAAGCGAGTAAAGAACTGTTCCCGAAGTGGGAATGGAGCTGCGCCAAAGAAATTTCCTTTTTCCATCCCCCTCATATTAATCTCGATGTTTCTCAGCCCTTCTCCTTCCGGGTCCATGATCGTGTAGAGACTATTGATGACAGTGTGCACGCTATCGACGGAGGTGCTTTCCAATTCAATGTCGAGAAAGTGCTGCATCCAGAACGTGACAGAATAGTCTCGCAGCTGCCAGTATGTATCATCCCCACCATCTGTGATCTTTTCTTCTGGAGTGTTTAAGATCCGTGCTGTGAGCTCGAAAATTGTGTAATGTCCCGAGGATGGAGAGCTTCTAAGACCATTTTCGTCAACTTCCATTGCACGGAAATATTGTCGCATAGATCTCTCCTGGAATTTGAGAGGAGAAGTGATTGAGTTGTCGAGATTGGGAGTCTCCTCATCGCTTTGTTTCTCATTGAGTTCGCTGTCGGTCTCCTCTCCACTGGAACTATCACTGGCAACATCAGTTGCAAGATCAAGGATTCTGATTTATTGTTAGCCTGGATGCCTCAGAGAGTTTCGTGACATGGGAGGGGTCCATCACCTAGCAGATCGCCCATCAATCTCTTCTTCAAGGCTGAAAGAGTTGGTTCCAGGCAAAACTTTGATCAAAGAAGTTGCCTCTCCGAAGGTCAGCGGGCGCTTTGAATATGCCAGCCATGCGAAGAGCTTTTTCAAAGCAGTCAACTGGTCTTTGCTTCGATCTTTTTGACATTCAGCAAGGAGGATTTCGTAAAGTTTAGGCAGATCCTCAGGAAGTTTATCCAGCTCCTTGAAGATCAAGCTTTCTCGTCCAAGAACATTCAGTCGGCGAAGCATGTGCTCCACATAGAGAACGCCTAGAAGCGGTTAGCAGATATCCTCGTGAGGTTGAACAATGGAGATTGCTTACTATCAGCTTTGATTCGTAACTTCATCCCAATTCTCCTCAGCGCTGGTTTCTGAAGCCTTTTAAGCTTTGATAAACTCTTGCATCGCTTCATAATAATTTTCCACAGATCACCTCCCCGCGTGGAGATTTTGGCCTTCGTAATCTCCACCTTGCTAGGCTGAAGCTCTACCGTCACATCCTCAATCTCCTTCATAGGGCGACTGGTGAACACAACCTGGATACTCAGCCCATCCTTCTTGATCTGCTTCAACAGCTCAAGGACCTGATCTCGATCCTCCTTTTCAGCCTCATCGAGTCCATCTAGGACAATGAACAATTTCTGGTCTGCATCCTTGGGGTATCGTTCCGCGAAGAATCTTGCCCAGATGTCAGCCAAAGCCTCGCCGAGATCGGTTCCTCTGGTCTTCAAGTCTGCAGCAACTTCATCGCGATATTTGCCATCTCCCATCGCGGTCTGGATGACGGCCGCACTGAGCATGTTTCTAGCAGATCGGAGCTCCTCATGCTCCTCCTTGAAGAAGTAATACGCAACCGACGATCTAGCGTCATTGGCCGTTGACTCTAGTAGCCTCCCAATAATAGAGTATGCCATGCATGACTTTCCAATACCGGGAGCTCCGTACACCCATAGCAAGGGTGATTCGCCATCCATGAAAGTCTTGAAGCTCTCTTCTTGGGCCACCCACGTGAAAGTTCCTTGTACAAATGAAGTTTGAATCTCCTTGAGCTGAATCGCTGGTTCAGCTGGCGAAGCGAAAGTTGTCTTCACCAAATTCAACACTGCATTCTTCTTGGCTCCAGAGTCCTTGGATTTGCCTTTTGCTCCATCCTTGTCGTCCTTCTTACTTTCCTCTTTCTCCAGCATTCGCCTTTCGAGTCTTTTGATAGCTGTCAAGGTCTCGCCTTGCTTGACTGACATACCTCCAACCATGCTCTGTGTTTCCATGCTTACGCTCAAAGTCTGATTTCCGACAGCCAGGGTCTGGGTTCCGACCTTGAGACTCTGCATTGAGATGGCTGTGAGATCTTTGACATCGGACTTGGTCTCCATGACCGTGGCCAAGGTGGCGAACATTGTGGCTGATTCGAGTCTCTGGATGTTGGTCTCCAATTTTGCATAATCGCCTTTGATGTCATCGTCGGTGCCTTTGTACAGGGCCTTGAGCCAATGCTCTGTCTTTGTCATTATTCTGTCTCCTCTCATCCAGACTCGATTACTTACTGAATCTGCCTTCTGTGACATATTTTGTGGCAGTACCACACAATCCCATCAGCGAGCTGAACACCCGCATCAGAATCGTTCTATAGTTCTTAGCACTTGGTAACTTGGTCTCCAACAAGCTCAGCCTCTCCATGAGCGAGCCCATAATCTCGAAGAAGGCTGCGACTTGATCATAGTCGTCAGAAACATTCTTCGAAGCTTTCATCACATAAGTGAAAGCCGTCAAAATCGCAGCACTTGGAGGAAAAGCCTAGATCCGTCAACACTCTTCAGCCTCCCCTCACCCACTGATTGGTCACTTACACTGCTCGCAGCATTGGCAACATTGTTAGCCACTGACTGAATGACCGCCGAATTCTTACTGATCAACGACCGAAACTTGTCCGTCATCCCCTTGTTATGACGATACTTGTTGAATGTGTCCACCTGACGTTGTTGCTCGCCCATGATGGCATCAACGTTCCATTTCATCTGCGGAAGGTATTTGATGTTCGTTCCTGTGTCTTTGCAGTACTTGTCCAGCGCATCTTCCCACGCGCGACCAATGTCCGAGGCATCTTGGTCCATCGCTGCACGTGACTACGCGGTCTCTTCCTCCGTTGATCAAATTTCGACTCAAAAAATATAAATAGACAGCAAATTGACAAAGCACCGAAACAACGAGGTAATTGAAAGGAATGAAGGAAGGAAATCTTGGCGAGAGAAAGACTGAAGTTCATTAAATGTCATCGTCCCGCCATCGCTAGGGTTTTTCAGCAGCTGAGCAGCCATTATTTATTGGGGGCCGAATTTCTTAATGGAGACACCGACCATGCAGTCGGCACCCAGTAATAAGCCCTTGTAACGGCATCGGCCCAGAAAACTCAATTAACGATCCACTTGTGAGCTTGTGTCGTATTCTGTGACACGTTTGGAGTATGCAGCCTTATGATATATGCTCATCAGCTGCAAGCCCCTATTCACTGAGGCAAGAGCAAGAGCTGACACCGAGTTGAGGTTTGAGAAGGATTTTCCATTGCGCCCGTAATTTGCACGATCAGAGTCAGAATATATACCAAAAAAGGTTAACATAACAAAATATACTTTACAAAGGTGATTTTGGGCCGTCGCCACGAGATAGCACAATAAAAAACGAGGCCATAATGATGAATAGATGAGTCGAGAAAAGTTATGGGTTGTCCAGCATGAAGGTACATCATTAACGAGGCAAGATTCGGGGTACACCAGATAGCTTATTTTATCTGTAGAACATGAGATGCTGGCTCGAATTGGTGTTTGATGTCCACCACCTCCTTGGCTCAGCGCCTGGCAAAAATGTTCTAGATCGCGATTGTATCTCGAACATTGATACTCGCACAGGTTGTAGTTCCCGGACATACATCGAGCCGGCTGCTATTGTCCGGATCCGGATTCCACTTCTTGAATGTGGTCCCCGACCCAACAGGAAGTATGTATCATTTGCCCAGCGCACCAATCATGACACCAACTTCTCTCTCCCATGTCTTCTCCACGTTTTCAGCTTTGACCTTCCCGGCAGCTACGCCAGCAGGTGGAGTACTGCCCCTCACAACGCACTCCTTTATTGCATCTCGTACACTATTCTTGTTCGTCCTTAACGTTCTTGCACTCACGCCTCCCTTATTTGTGATCTCTGCAACTTTTGTGCTCAGTCCTCCTGCCAATGTTCGCCAGAAGTAACTGGCCAGTGATCCCGTCTCGAGGCTCGTGAGCAGTGGCTGAAGGAAATTCGGTGGTATAGAAACTGTTGAGGGTAGTGTTGGGTGAGGAGGGGGAGTTGTGGCTGAGAGAAGTGATTCGAGGGCGAGTATATTTTGGCATCGTGCTGCAACTTCGAGAAGAGTTCTGTCGAGTGTAGGCAGTGTTGCAAGAGAGCGTGTGAGAGAGGCCAAGGAAGATGTCAGAGCCGTGCGGAGGTAATCTTGCAGAGAGTTGATCAGGAGCTCTGGCTCCCATTTCTCGGTTTTCTTGCTTTTCGAGATCTCCGCAATGGGCGAAAGAAGGTATAGGGATATCAGCGCTGACGTCGTCCTCGATTTTGTATCTGCTGTTTGTGCGTAGGTTGTGGTATTTGCTCCAGTCGACAAAGTGCTCATCGAGAATTCCCGCACAATCTGCTGTGACTTCGTAATGGCTGTCCTTTCTGCAGGATTGACAACTGTAGTTTGCAACGTCCGCACAACCTCCACACGATCCAGTCCTTGCCCCTCTTCCCCCTCGCCCTTCTTCGACAGCAGGTCTCGCAGACTCAGCAAGGTATTCGAGCACCGGACCAATGCTCGGTGATCTTCCTTCTGCCCTATTGTCTTCACTGGATTGCCAGTACCTGCGACTTCTGCCAGCTGTATCTCAAGTTGGCGTCCTAATTGGAGGCATCGTCCAACAGACCGCCCCAATCTCACAGTCTCCCATAATCTGCCTGCGACCGCTCGAACTTCTTCTGCAGTCTCATACCGGACCAAAACTTCTTTTTCTAATCGCTTGTATCCATCGTTCAAGCTCGCGACCTGAGAATCTATTTCCTGCACTATTCGGGCACTAGATGCGGTTTGTTGTTGGGTGTGGTTGAGAAGAGGGAGGGCGCTCTTCGAAGTGAGGGTATCAATGTGGGTATTGATCTCTTGAGAATCGAACAAGACTCGTGAGAGGGGCGTAGATAGGTCGAGAGGGGTATCGGTTGGGTTGTTCGTCCCAAGCACGAGGGTGTTTGCGAATGAGGAGGGGGAGAATGTGGGAGAGAGGAACGTTTCGTAATCGATGTACGCGGTTTCCTCTTCTTCGGTGGTCATCGTGAGGGCTGTGATGGATGTGTAGCAGTAGCCATTGGATATCTTTCAGCTTCGGAGATCTGTGTGAAGCTTCCCGTGCTTGTGAGTATTGTAGTAAGTTTACACGTTTCTTGGCCTCGTCGTTTCCCTTGCACGGCTCGCTTGGCAATCTTTTGGTAGCCTTATCGGATTAGACGTGATGTTTCTGGGGAAGCCTCCCACGCTTGAAACATACATACTCTTTGTTCATTGGAGTTTTCTATTTTCTACGATTTTATTACCAACCAGTCTTTTCAGCACGAAATGTACTTTTTCTGTCCAGACAATGCAATGTTCAAAAGTTCCCAACGCCAGCCGGACTTTGCGGGTGGCTTGACAATCAAATTTTAGCGGCGCCTGGCATCCCACTACAACTCTTGGAGCTCTTGGAAGCTTCCAACGTCGTCAGCATTTCTTCAGACACCCTTTTAGATACTAACAGGAGTTGGAATGCAATCATCATGCATTCATGAACGCTCTCCATGGTTATCGCATGCAGACATAGCATAACCACCACATAATGTCTCTGGTCAGCATACGAGACCTGGTTGCCATCCCTACTGGAGACAACTCCAGCGACACCATTATCGACGGGATACATTGGAACCTCACAGCATTACAGAACTGGAACTATACATACTATTCGAATAGGACATTTTCGAATGGATCGTCATGTCTTCTCGTCTTCGAACCATATACCCCGATCCTTCTTCCAAACGGGACGTTTCTCAATAGCACATCTTGCTATTCTCCAGTCAATCCTCTGAAGGCGCGCTCGAAAATTGGTCTCTTCTTCGCATGCTTCTTCGCAATCTCAATTATGTTTACATCTATCAATCTGCGGAAGCATGGAAGACTCTTTCTGCCGACCGAGAAGCGATTTCTTGCCATTGGGAGAAGATGGCAGTGGTATTGGATGTTCATCGTTGCGGCATTTGCTATCATAAGCAGTATAACAGGTGTGGACGTCGATCGATATTATCTGCCAGAGCTACCAATTGTCCTGTCGAGCTTCTTCTGGTTCCTGATGCTCCCTACAACGATGTGCATTGTATGGGAAAGTGTCAGACATTGGGGGAGTTGGCAGGAAAGGCAGATGATTGATCCGAATCCGTTCCAATTGAGCCAAGATGACCGGAGGACGAGGATAGAATTGCTCGTTCCTTTGGTGTTTTACTTCTTCGCCTGGGTGGTTTGTAAATCTTGCCCACATTACAAGTTTGTACTAATTCTCGCAGAACTTCTTTATGGTCGTTCCAAGATCTTGGAGCGCGATCGAACGACAACGAGATCCAGAGCAAACTCGGCTCAAGGCAGAACCGGTGGCCACAGATGCACGATTCAAAGCTGCTGCATTGCTTCTTTTTTGCAGCTGGTGTACAATCATCTTCTCCCTCTGGCATTCCATCAAACATTACAAGGAACGGAATCGTGGATACCTGAACCGCGCCATCGGTTTCGTCCAATATGTCCCTAAAAGGTTCCTGCTCACTTTAGCATTATCTCTGATTATGATAGGCTATGAAGCTGCGTGCTCATTTGAATTCTCAATCTCACCATTGAAGTTGGATACCAAGCTTGGGTACATGTACGGTCTTGGATGGGCTCCGATTGCCTTGATATTCATTGTCTACGAAGTGGCAGGATACCTAGAGCCGAACGAAGACAAAGAATTGATACGTCAACGGCGAATTCGAGGTGCCGAAATCGACCACGAGATAGGCATCGTCAAGAAACCTCACTGGTGGTCCAGACTCAACAGAGACAATCGATCAATGAGCATCCAAGACCAAATCACACGAAACGTTAATCATGTTGGCGGAGGTCCTCCGACCGCACGAAATCTAGAACGAAACATTGAACTGGGCATCATGCCGGTATCGAAAGGGGTAGACGCCAATAAACCAGCTGCCAACACAGAGGCGATTCGGGCTGCTGCGAATCTTCTGTTCCCCGCCAGGAGCGATGTTGAAGAGACTCAGGAAAGGTTTACAGATTATGCAGAACCTTCTAGAGGACGGAGCATAAGACCAAGGCACGAGACTGATCGGAGCGAAAGCCACGAAAGCCAGGTTACTACAGGTGCGAAGCCACAGGAAGTCAGAAGCATGCTCGACATTTGATCTGAGATTTGTTGGTTAGGAGTCTGGGTTGGAGACAGTGTTGCTATGGTGCTGGCGTTCGGGCAGAAGGTGATTCTGTATGGTTAGGAAAAATTGGGTATACACAGATAGATACCCAGAGGGCAGGTATTTGCTACGAGTAAAGTTTTTACCTTTCTCCCATTGTACAATACAACAACTTCATAACCATACTCTTTCATTCGTCGTCCGCAAGCCTTGTCCTCGAGCATCGCTGGAGAGATGATTCTTAAGTCTAGACTATTTCTCCACAATCATTGGTCTGCAAGTGCAGAATATCGAAGACTGAAGTTGTATCAGCGCTGACATCAGAAGCAGTACTTGATCTCTTCCGTTTCGACAACAAACAACTATACTGTGCTTGCATGATGCTTGTCAAGGACGTTGCCATGTCATCTACACCTTGTGTCTCACTGAGTACTGAGGGAAGAGGAAGTTGGCATCTGCATTCGAACAAGCTCCCCAAAATGCGTGTACTGTTTTCTTGTGTCAAAATTGCACCAATGTTGCTAGTGGAGAGGGGATATTTTTGAGATACTTCCAATGACTACCATCCACATAATCCTTCCGATCCATTACTTTGCCCAAGTCTTTCAGGAGTTCTACAGAGTTCTCTCCCAATCTTAACGGGAACAACAGAGGCAGCTCGAAAATGTGACCAGAAGACAGGCGTTCCAAGCGGTGACAAGATCATCTCTTCCGCAACCCGTTCAGTGACGGACTCCGAAAGTCCTGTAGCTTAAAGATAGCTTAGCGAAGGTCATTACTTTGAACTTCGAAGCAAAATATATGAAATCACGTGGGACGCGTGTCTTAGAGCACGTGGCGAGCAAGCGCTTCTTTGGAGCAAATCCGGACCTGAGATAGACCACGTCCTTACAACTGATAATATTACCAACTTTGTCCTATAATCATCAGATTCAAAGGCCATGCACTTTCCAAGAGCTGGCATAGCTAGATGTCTAGCGAGACTAAGCGAGTGCCAAATAGGGGTCGAACTGAAAGTTGTGGTCATTCATTTTGTCGGAGATTTGGTCTGATCAAAAATCAAGTTCCCAACTCGTGGTCCAGTCGGATCATAATCCATCGTACAAGATACTTTATCCGCCGCTACTGAGTAAATGCGCCGGTGTTGGGGCAAGTTAAAAATCGGTACCGTCGATAGATTCACCACAAAGTCAGCCCGCGAGCTGGGTGTACTTCACTTCGTGTGGATAACTTACATTTCAGACCTTCTGCCTATTTTCGGGCGTCGGGCTTCAATGAGCTTCTTTTGTTGGCATTATGAGGTACAACTCTTTCTCTTTTTGAACATATTCTCCGATTTCATGGTAAGTAGCATCTCACCAGTCGCATGAAGTCGATGTCTACACGGGGGACACTCTTTTCCTAGCATGATGATCATGGGGTAGAAGCTCCGTAAATTCCCTGGAGAACACTTTGCCGCCATCTCCCAACGTATTTCAGTTCTCGGGGTGTCAGTGGGTGACTGAATCTCCAAGTGAAATAGCAAAGTCCATGAATCTCAATTTAGGCTGCAGCTGTTTGTGGATTCTTCGGACAAGCAGGCTCCTACTCACATCAATCTTATTAGGTGATCACCCGATCGGACATTGCGTCAAATTCACTTCATCTATCGGAGTTAGTACTGCTGGTCAGACAAACCACTTTCATGCATATCTGTCCCGTCAAGAGGCACCCTTGTCTAGGTGTGTGCGATCCGACGGTTCAAAATCTATTTTCCCAGAGACCCAACCGGAAGCGGGGTAGGCTGCCTCTGACACTTGCGAGAATGACTTATACGAAACTATATGGGTGAAGAGTATTGTAAGATACTACTCATCATAACAATACCAACAGCGTGACCAAGAGGAGCTCAAAGGCGAAAAGGGTGGGAGGCCAAAATAAGACCAATCGGGGACACATTCTAATGAGTTGTAAAAGTCAAGAGAACACGAGTGGCCATGGTTGTGCACATGAGGTTAGAGAGTGTGAACAGTGTCAGTGTTAGGTACCACAAGTACCAACAGAATTCCTCGGAGTAGCATGCCAGTTCTTGAAACCACTCGGAAGGGTAATTCGTATTCGTACATCGGTGGGCATGCAGAAAGGTATCGTGTTTACATTTGAGAGAGTATTGAAAACTTGTGTGGTAACGATCGAGGGTTAATCCAATGGCTTACTAATCGATCTATTACTCTTACGTTAGGAGCAGTCATATTAATTAAGGTTATTGGAGATTAATTGGTTTGTGTGGCTATTCTTATTGCTGCTACATAATGCAAGATGAAAGTGCGGGGACAATCTAACAGTCAGCTCATATGTAAATTAAGTTCAGATAGGCTCGAGCCGGCAATTTCCGCGGCCGTGCCACTTGCTATCCGAGCCGTCTCTTGGCGGGTTGCACTCAATATAATCCGGGTATTGGGGAACTCCGAGATCTCGTAAAACTTTAGGGCTGAAACGCTCCAGTAAACATATGTGAGATCTATGTTCTAGGCTCGTTCAGGGCATTCAATCCCGACAACGGGACTCCGAAAAGAAGGTCAAGTGGCATCGTAGTTTGCGGCACGGTCAGGTGGCTACCCGAGCCATAGCGAAGGATTGGTGGTATCGTCGTGCTAACATCTGTTTACAAAGGTTGAAGTCCGCCACCGCAAGAGATACAAAAACTGCTCTCAGAAGTTCAGTAACTTCTTTGGAACACATGTGCCCTGAATAAATACATCATCCTCAATATGTCGGCGACGCAAACACTTACAACTAAAGCGGAAGATCCGGGTATCGTTTCCCATTACAAAGACGCCGCCTCAATGAAGTATGGGGACTGGAGAGACGATTTCTACAAGAATGGATATGCCGTCATCAAAAATGCGATCACTCCGGAAAAGGCGAAGTCCTATCAAGACCGAGCATTGGATTGGGTACAATCTTTCGATCTGGGCCTTGACTTGAAGGATTCCACCACTTGGACGGAGGCGCATTTACCAAAGAGCTTCAAGAACATGTACCATTACTATTGCGCCGGCCATGAAAAATTTCTTTGGGATGCAAGGACGTAAGTATTGACAGTCCTGCTTATATAAAAACATTCTGATAGTAATCTTAGGGAGCCAGGCATACTCAAGATTTACGAAGACCTATGGGGCACAAAGGAGCTTGTGGTTTCCTTCGATGGCTTCAACATTGGTCTTCCCAAGCGTACTGATATCCAAAAGATGCCCTGGCCTCACTGCGACCAAGCGCCCACCCGCAAAGGTCTCGCATGCGCACAAGGATTCCTGAATCTCGCTCCATCTGGCCCAAAGGACGGCGGCCTGATGCTCATGGAAGGTTCGGCTCCACTCTTCGAAGAGTTTTTCAGCGAGCCTCGAGAAATGTTTAGGCCACCGGGCGGGCGAGGTCCACCAAAGGACTTCGTCGACCTGTTCCTTTTCAAACAAGAGCATCTTGACTGGTTTCGCGAGCGTGGTTGTGAGCTCATGCAAGTTGACTGTGGACCTGGAGACTTTGTTATCTGGGATTCGAGGACAATGCATTATGCCTCATTCCCAGAAGGAGAAGAAATCAGGACAGTGTTTTATATTTGTTATACGCCGAGGGCATTTGGCACTCAGGAGGATATGGACTTGAAGGCAAGGCTCTTCGAGACATACAGGGGAACGACTCATTGGCCACATTGCAACATTCGGGCGTCGGAGAGATCCATGGTAGATGGGAAAGTGGATCCGATGGAGAGAGATGAGCCCTTAGAGAAACCTGAAAGGACTGACTTGGTCCTGAAGCTGGCAGCTGTGAAAGCGTGGTAGGCGATAATTTTCAGCCGTTGGTACCTTCGGAGCTATGTAGCTTTGTTCAATGATAAGGAAATTTTTACATACTTTTGACATTCAATTAAAACTTGCGAGCTGGCAAGTCGAGTAAAGAGAAGACACTCAACCTCCTATTCCGTTTGTCTTCGGGATAGCTGATAGTGTGGTTAATTCACGAAACTTTTCTAGACTTCCAAGGCTTTCAACAGGCTCGTAATCAGCACCCGTCTACTCAGAAACACAGGACTCGTTCTAAAAGGTTCTCGAGCTTCCCTATAATGGTCAAACACAGCATCATAATTTTGTTTCGTTCTGGCAAGTACAAATAGGCCCACATAGATCACAATTTTGTTTCTAGGCAAATCTGATGTTGACAACTTTCCTCCAAGAAATTCAAACTACCACGTGAAACTCATCTGCCTTCCATACCAAAGAGTTCGGTCCACTCAAGATACTTCTTGATCTCATGTTGGCTGACCGTCGGCTTCACATTCTGAAGTACTTCAAAAAAGTCCTCAGCTACAACGATAGACTCCTGAAGCTTGGAGGCTGGGACCTGACGCCAGTTCATAGGCATGGCGCCGGCCTCGTTGGGTTTACACGGTGTCAATTTCTCTACCCCATTGACCATAACCTAGAAATATTAGTATTGTGAGGGGAGAATTGGCTACAACTTACCTTTTTCCAATGCTTGGACGAGGATACTTTCTTAACCGGTTGCATGAGAGCATCCTGAACAGCATTTCCAATGTCACTACCCGACAATCCTTCGGTCCTTCGACCAAGCATGGCATAATGTTCCGATGTAAGACCACAAGGAGTCTTTCCAACATGAATCTTGAACATTTCGGTCCGAGCTGGTTCGTCTGGTAGTGCGATGTAGATTTTGCGTTGCAATCGACGTCGAATCGCTGGGTCCAAGGTCCAAGGTAAATTCGTTGCTGCGAGAAGAAGGACACCATCGTTATTATGCCCGACTCCATCCATCTGAATCATTATCTCGGTTTTCAAGCCGAGCATATGCGGGTTATGACCGGCTTTATCGCGAGATCCGCAAAGAGCATCAATTTCGTCAATGAAGACAACAGACGGCTTATTCTCCCTAGCAAGATCAAACAATGTCTTGATCAATCTAGAACATACTGTTAGTTGGAGATATTTTTAGAGAATGGTTCCCTTTACCTTTCGCTTTCACCCAACCACTTGGACATCACATCGCTGCTTCCAATGCTGAACAGCGTAGAATTTGCCTCTGTTGCGACGGCCTTTGCGAGATACGACTTTCCGGTACCAGGAGGCCCGTACAGCAAGATTCCTCTATGAGGCTTTCGCTTGCCACTAAACAGCTTGGGAAATTTCGCGGGCAAGATCACTGCCTCTTGGAGCTCTTCCTTTGCGGTCTCCAACCCAGCGACATCTTCCCATTTGACGTTGGGATTCTCTTTGACAATAGAGCTCGCTAGTCGACTTCTCAGTCCCTTGTCATCTTCGGAGACTTCCTTTGATGGTTTGCCTGGTGTGTTGTTCTCGTCCGGCTTGCTAGGTTCTCCATTTCCGCCATTGTCGTCATCTTCGTTGAGAAATGGGTTGTATGACGATCCCGGTGCATCAAGGTCTAGCTGATTCACGCCTGGTACCAGCTCGTTGTCCCTAACAGTCAAATCATGCCCAGAAGGGCACAATTGACCAGGATAGTAGCAAGTATCGCAGCTATCGAAGTCGCACTCTTTTCGATACTGACATTCATACAGATTTCGAGCGCCTTGTCCCCAGACCTTTCCACACAACCCACAAGTAGCCGTGCCTTTTACGAGATTTGCTTGTATCAGTTCTGCCCGCACTATTCTCTTCCAAACGGGCTTGTGTTTGAGGGTTTCCATCTTTTCAGCGTAAGTAAAACAGCAGCACGCAACACAAATGGTCAGGCCAATAGGGCCTTCAACACCTTGCTCAGTACACGTCGGACAATTCCAGCATTGCCAACAGGCTGTTGTAAGTTCTTCTTTACACAACATGCATTGAACTTCAGCATCCTGGGTGTACACTGTAGTCCATCGTGCCCGGAGCTGGTCATTTTCTGCCTTGGCGGTCAATATAGCTTCCAGGGGGACTTTGGAAGGCAAGGTGTCCCCTTTCTTTCTCAGCATGATGAGGTAAACAGCAATGGTGAACTCATCGAGAGAGAAGGTACCGTTCCCATCTGCATCTGATAGGCTCCAGACCTTAGCTAGCTCATTCTTTGGCAAAACGGAGTTGCAAAATGCTTTAAATTGTGCGCCGTTCATAGAGTCTCTGGAGTTGGAATGCTTTTCGAACAGATCCGCGCACATCAATCGGATCATATCCACTTGAATCTTCGTCTGGTCTTTAATTTTTCGAGGTGGAAGAGGCGGTGGTTTCGTCTTTGCTGGCGGGGGGATCTGTGTCGATGATGCAGCTTTCTGGGGCACCTCTTTGGGTACAGTCGTTGGGTATTCTCCTTCCCAGATTTGCCGTACGAACAAAGGGGGAAGCATCACATGTGGAGGCAGGACATACAGAGTCTTGATCCCGCCCTGAGAGTTTGTCCATTCGGCGAAATAATACTCCTTGTTCCATGGGCACAGATTTGTTCTTTTAGTCAACACCCATCCTTCGTCGAACAGGGTACTGAGATTCCGAGACAAGTTTGCGGGCACGCCCTTCCAGGTCAAACCCCCAGTCTGCATAAAGTCTGTGGGAACATTGTGTTGAATAATGATTGCATCATCGGCGCCGAAGAAAACGTTAGATATTTGCGACTCTTGAAGAGTGTAGGAGCCTCTAGTGGTCATGTAGCCGGATGCTTTCTCGTGGAAGACCGAGGGAAACGTTCCTTCCATTGACAAGCGAACTGATCCTCTGAACATGCCATATTTCACAAACCAGCCCCCACCTGGAGCGAAAGTTATGTGAGAAACCCAATCACTATTCAAATCCGCCTTGAGATTCTCCGTTTGTGAGAAAATGACTTTGAATAAGATTTAGCACAGCATAAAGTACGCAAGAGTTGCACGTACTCTCGCCACGATCAGCCTGAATTTTGAAAATATCATCAGAAGCCCATTTTCGGAAACAGACGAGGCCACCTGGGCCAATGGAACACCACTGTACGTTTCCTGACGATAATCCTCCGTTATCAACCTGATTCTTGATATGCGATGGCATTCCATACCTGGAAACCAAAAGTCAGTGGAACTGAGCCTTTCCAATTCCTGGGACATACTGGGTCGTGAACTTATCGTTTCCAATGATCCAGGAGTCCTCAGTGGAACCGAACACAAACAACATCTTGCAGTATCAAAGTGGTAACTATGGCGAGGAGGTTTTATCTGAGGTGTCGAGAAGGGAGTTTCAAAGGGGAGAAAAAATTGGAAGCGCTCTCGTCTTGACGTGGCGAAGCCAAAAAGAACTATTGTTTCAGGGTCGTTGTCTCAATCCATGACCTGGTACTGGCTGGGGAAACGCCATTGTGACCTCGCATGCAGGATGTCGGAAATGTGAGCCTCAGCTGAAAGATCAATATCCTTGGCATACGCCACCGAATGCAAATTACTGTACGCGAGAGTAAGGACGAATTGAAAGCTGCAGTGGCAAGGCTTGAAACTACGGAATCTCAGATTCAAAACGTTGCATGCAAAAGCTGGTATAGGTTGACGCGCCCAAACGCATATATATGGCAAAGTATATGGAGCCTGACAGTTCAACAGGAACGTGCAAGAGAAATAAGGCCGACTTTTGCTTCGCTTTTGTCTTTGATCCTGCCGCTGAGTTATCCTACCATATGACCTCTTAACGCGGCACCCAGGGCACAAGGTCATAACCTCTGAAGATCTTGTCCTTACCTTTGAGAATCACCTTCACACCATGAAAAATGATCACAGTCCATAGCTCCTGTAACCATCGCGGTGTTGTCTTCACGAATCCATAGAACGTGATCGTGCCGGGGCTACCTTTAGCTCCTCCTCTCCCTGCTGATGAAAATACTATCCCGTCGCAGCTCTCTTCATAGTCCGCATCCACAACCTTTATCGCGATATCGTCTTCTCCTGCTGTCGCATCTCTATAGCTCGAGCCAGCCGGAAATCCTGCGATAGGACTCGGATCATCGAGGAGGACTCTTCGTCAATCATGACAATCCAATCGAATCGCATCCCGTAATGCTCTCTCAGCTCCCTCAGAATCCTCTTATCATGTTCCTCAGGCCAACCGTACTTGGCACGGCAGTGTTTTCGGGCATCTTGAGTGCTTGCGGAGGGAAGGCGGATAAATTCGATCTGCAATGGAATATTCTCGCCGTATAATTCTTCGGTGTTGAAGCGCAAGCTGGCTTCGATGTACGCTCGTAATCGCTCGCAGACGAGCTGGTCTGATAATTCCTCCGTGGCGCTGCTAGCTGGAGTAGGGGCAGGATAGATGCTGTAGACTGTGAAAGTCCAAATACCCAAAACATCTTCTATGTTTAGGCTGTTGAAGAAGGCTTGAAGCGGTTGTGGGACCTCTTTAGTCATGGTAAGAAGCTTGAACCTCATACAAAAATCCAGGAACGGAATTTGGGTTAGATTGTTCTTTACCACTCCCGGACTACAACTTGAACCCAGCCATGTTGTTTGAACAAAGTTTCTGGATATGTGATGCCGGGACCTGTCTACGGTTAATTACCAAAGAAGCTAAGCGGACTCGATATCCAACGGTGTCCACTGTAATCGAAATAGCGGGAGACCCACAGGCTTTCCTCTACTACTGCCGTTCGGGAGTGCGGTCATTTCAATCTTATGCAATAGCCGGGAATAATTCTCCGCAAGCTCCGAAATTGAGAGCCGGGAGGGGAAGGAGCCACCCACGTGATCGCAAGGCCAGCAGCTGAGTTAGATTGCGGTCTACAGCCAGTCTAAATGAAAATCCCACATCCACTTTGCACAAAACCGTATCTCGAGCATTTTCCAACCACAGAGCCTGTAAAACAGTATCTCCAGGCTTGAGTTTGGCTTTTCATTGAAGGTTTCTGATCATCATTCACCATGCGATATGATATTGAGCGGCACCAGGCTGTCTATAACTTCGATCCAGAATACCTTTGGTAAGTTTTCCGTTTCTAGATCTCGCTTAAGAGGACTGAAGCTTACTCGTCTGACATTAGGGATTGCTTCGTCACCGAAGAAGGTAACCCGGTCTTGCCCACACTTGTTGGGAAAAAACTCCAAACCGATCGCGATCCCAATAAGTTTCGTAAACCGGCTGGCTACGACGCCGAAATGCATTCTCTTTACAACTTCAATCCAGCGTATCTTCAGTAAGTAATCTCCAATGATGCACAGCAAGAAGAAAACTCAACTCGTCCCAACGGTCTCTGTGTCAAGGCCGAATCGGGTCCAAAGGACACATTCGATCGTATAACTACCGCGGCTTTGGTCATTTTGGGGGCTGCGAAAATGTTTATCCACATTTGGAGATTGTTTAACAGGAGTAAAAGGCCCGGAGAGTCTCCGCACGGAGAGTCTCCGGTGCGATCCTCTGATCTTTCGTGACTTGTCACTCATGTGACAACCAGTAGGATGGTTGATCTGCTCCTTATTGGAGAATGTTGATGTCCCTCACATCCTGCGAGATTCACAGAGCTATGCAAGGGATCTAGGACGTATACAGTACAAAACGCTAAGTTCATGCATCCTGGTCCGACAGCGGAGTTGCATTAGTTTGCTTACTGTATCCAACTGGGTACGTTCACGTGTTCAACTACCAACAAACACGGCGCTTATATATCGTTTGGCTGTCGTCGTATTCGACCTTGGAGTGTCCATACCCAATTACTCGACGATGACGATTAACATGACTGTGCTCGTCTTGTGCGTTGCATTTGTGTGGTTCTTGAAGCAAGTGCAGGTTGCATTCTTCTCCGACTTGTCACCTATCCCCAATGCACACTTCACAGTTCCACTCTCACGTCTATGGATTCTCCATAAGAGATGGAAGAACCGTCAAAACCGAGCGAGATTGGCAGCACACCAGAAGCTCGGTCCAGTGGTGAGAATAGGGCCGCGCGAACTCAGCGTCAACTGCATTGACGATGGGGTGCGAACTATCTACGGGAGTGCTTTTGACAAAGATGCGTGGTATGCCAAAGCTTTTCGCGGTCATGAGTAAGCAGATCTATTCCTGTTGAGTGCAGGAAATGAGCGTTCTAAGTCACCGGACAGGAAGCCATACATGTTCACAATGATATCGAGTAAAGCGCACGCGGAACGAAAAAGGATGTTTGCAAATGTATACTCGAAGTCTTACATTCAAAAGTCTTCCAGGTGGTCTGAGATGGCTTACACTATCATTTCGGGTCGATTGAGGGATGAGATGATATCCTGGGCTGACAGCGACATCGTGGTAGATGTGTTGGAGAGAAGCAAGGCTTGTCTGATGGATCTGACCTCCGCGTGGATCTTTGGTCTCAAACATGGAACCAATTTCATCCAAAATGTCAAGGAGGCGGAGGAGTTCTTTACACCTTTCAGAAGAACTTTCGGTGGATTCTTTTGGCGCAGTGAGTTTTTCCAAGCTACAAGACTCCTGCAGTATATTGGCATTCATCTCGTCCCAAGGCAGGTTGGGCCATGTCGGGAGATGCTTGAAAAATGATGTTCTGCCAAGTTTGGAATAATCCATGACAGCGTGATCCAAGAGACATCGGAGTCCACTCGAGAAACGCCCGACTCCGCGGATTATCCACTCGTCTACAATCAAATCCGGAATGGAATGGAGAAGTCAGACCTTCCTCACGAAGCCCTAGAGCAGACGTTGTCCATGGAACTTCTAGACCATATGGTAGCCGGACACGATGCCACTGGCATCACTGTAACATATCTTCTCTATGAGATTTCCCAACGCTCGTCTCTCCAAAGAAGACTCAAAATTGAGATCCAAGCACACTGGAAAATTGGCCAAAAGAATTGTGCAGAGCAATTAGAAAAACTCCCTTTGTTAGATGCCGTCTTAATGGAAACCCTCCGTCTCTACTCCGCAAATCTAGGTCCCTGGCCTCGTGTTGCACCGTCATCTATCCGACTTGGAAAGTTTTCTAATATTCCGAAAGGGACGATCATCAGTGCCTCAAGCTATGCTTTGCACAAAAATGACAAGGTATTCCCATGTCCCGAGAAGTGGCTTCCTGAGAGATGGCTGGATGCTAGTGAGACGCAGCGAAAGGAGATGATGCGATGGTTTTGGGCCTTTGGAAGCGGTTCCCGTATGTGTATAGGATCCCATCTTGCAATTTATAGTAAGTCTCCCGTCTCCTGTGCCTCAAGTGGAGTCCTTTCAGCTAATGCAGTCCAGACATGAAGGGGATTGTGGCAAATCTATATCGTGAATTTGAAACTAGCCTTGTGGATGGTTCCGGGATGGAGCAGCTGGATGCCAACATTGCTGGACCTGTAGGAGATAGATTGCTGCTCAAGTTTCACCGCTTGAAAACGTAAGAATGGTAGAGGAATGCATCTTATTGAGGGAGTTTGTTTCTTGTTGGTCGTTTTGTTTTGTTAGCTGAAGCGTACCTCCAGTATGTAGACAGTGAAGAAGAGAAAAGTGGCTCGGTAAAGAGTGATTTTCACGTGATCCCCAAAAGTCGCACTAGGTAGGTCAATCCCGTTTGTCGGCTGCCGTAGTACTCCATAACCCTTAATCAGATCTTTTTGGGCTTCTCCTTGCCAACGTATTTCTCTTTCACATTCTCCTTACACCCCTAGTCGACTGCTCCGATGTCAAATCTACCTCACAAATCGAACTGGATCGATGGCTCTCACCAGCAGCCTACACACCAGCAAATTCACATTATCAATCCCGCGACGGAAGAAAAAATTGCAACGATAGATTCTACGCCATTGGAAGCAGTCAACTCCATCATTGCCTCCTCATTACAGAATTTCTCGAGCGGCGTCTGGAGCAAAGCCAATGCATCGACACGCTTCGGAGTCCTTTCCAAGGCTGCAAGCTTGCTGCGCTCCCGCTTACCCGAATTCATCGATCTTGAGACGCAACAAACAGGTCGACCAATTCGGGAAATGCGAGCACAACTTGCCCGTATCCCTGAATGGCTTGAGTACTTTGCCTCTCTGGCACGCACCCACGAAGGTCGTGTGACACCTTTTAAGGGCCCTGTTGTCAACACTCTCACACGTTTAGCTCTTGGTGTTGTCGTGCAGATCACGCCTTGGAACCACCCACTTTTAATAGCAACCAAGAAAATCGCTGCCGCACTAGCGGCAGGAAACTCAGTCATCGTCAAGCCATCCGAATCTGCGCCGTTATCTGTATTGGAGATGGGTAAACTTTTCAAGGAAGCTGGACTACCTGATGGAACTCTGCAGATTGTTTCTGGGTACGGACGAGAAACGGGAAAGTTTCTCTGCGAATCTCCATTTGTTTCGAAGATTGATTTGACTGGCGGTCTTGCTACGTATGAAGCAATTGCTCCAACAGCGAGCAAGAACATGGTTCCCATCACCGCTGAACTAGGTGGCAAAGCGCCAGTGTGCTTCTTCCCAAGCATGCCAATCGAGAAAGGCGTCAAGGCCGCTCTCTTCGCAAGTTTCATTGCAAGTGGCCAAACATGCGTTACAGGAAGTCGTTTATTGATACACTCTGACATTTATGACGAGTTTGTCAAGTTATTGGTAGAAAGGACAAAAGCTCTAAGGATAGGGAACCCCGTAGATGACAAAACCCAAATTGGAGCTGTGATCTCACGCACGAGTGTGGAAAGATGTTCAGCATTTGTTTCACGTGCCATCTCAGAGGGAGGAAACGTACTTTGTGGTGGAGAACCAACTAGTGTAAATGGAAAAGGGTTCTTCTTTGCGCCAACCTTGATTGAGACGAAATGTGGAAGCGACTTGGCATGCAATGAGGTCTTTGGCCCCGTCATTGCTCTCATCAAGTGCCAGTCTGAGGAAGAGATCATTAAAGTTGCGAATGCTACCTCGTTTGCTTTGGGCGTATCAGTATGGACAAATGATTTCAGCCAGGCCCATCGAGTTGCGGAACGGATAGATGCGGGGATTGTTTGGATCAATGGCCATCATCTGAATGACCCATCATCTCCTTGGGGAGGATTCAAGGAAAGTGGGCTTGGGAAGGAGAATGGCATTGAAGCCTTTGAAAGTTACACAAAGGTCAAAAGCACTGTGATTAACTATGGCCAGGAGCCCACGTGGTTCGACGATGAGGTAGAGAATGCGCGTTATGGATAGTATTGTTATCCGAAGCAATCAATTTTCATGCTCAGATCCGTTCATTGCAAGAGGATGCAATGCACTACAAAGATATCAATACTTGCTAAAGTGAGCACTCATCTGCAAGCACGCACAATCTGATCAATTACATGTCCGAGCTACTTCCGTACATACGTATGCAATGCGGCGTTACCAGGCTGTTGGAACCCCGCCAAGTAAGCACTTGATGTCAAGATACGCACAAACCAATCAGCTGTCAGCACTTTGCCGCGCCTGCTTCCAACCTCAAAAGGAACAAATGACGCTGATGCTCAATCAGATCTACTTAAACAGCGTTGGATTTCAAGATACGCAGAAACAAATCAACCTCTGTATACAGTACATAGATTTTCGGGGACTCGGACATTTTCTTCAATCTGCCACGACCTCATCATGCCAAACTTCACGGTGATGTCAGTTTCTTCTTCCGCTCGTGATCGCAGAGGGAAACCACGCTTGGGCGCGAGAGGGATTAGGAAAGTCAAAACCGGCTGCAAGACTTGCAAGTACGATGCAACGCAAAGAGACACACTCTGGTATTTGCTTTGCTAATCTGGAGCATAGGATCAGGCGCAAGAAGTGTGATGAGATCAGGCCCGCGTGCTCACAGTGCAGTGATACCGGCCGTCGTTGCGACTTCAGCGGAGGTGTTCTGAACCATCTCCCGCAAACTTCGGACATACCCCTTGCACGAAAACCGGAGATGAGCTTTAGCCTGCGACCAAGTCTACCTTGCCATATGCGTGACCTGACGTATGCCGAAGCAAGCCATCTCGACTACTTCCGGCTGGTGTGCGCGAAAAGCTTTGCATTGTCTTTGGATGCCACGCTGTGGGAGAATCTTCTTCTGCAGAACGTACATCTAGAACCCAGTATTTATCACGCCGCTCTGACGGCTGCTGCACTAAGCAGACACCAGTATTGTCCAATGCAAGCATGGTACGATCGAGGGAAGACCAATTCACCCATTGAATTCGCCATAGTCCACTACAATCTGGCCATACGAATTGTAAATGAACGACTTGGACATTCAGCAGGAAGCTCTGAGCTCGCTGTGCTGGCTAGTATCATCTTCGCTCACGTTGAGGCATTTCAGAATTTCCGACCCGGCAAAAGAGATTCAAATCTGATTTCTGCTCACCTCAATGGTGGACTTGCGATTGTGCACAGCCTCAAGTCCACGTCTCAAAACATAGACCATCTTGAAGCTGCCTTGACACACATGCAAACTCAGATGGAGCAATTTGAGCAATATTCGGCCCGGTACCAACATTCTTCCGGAGATCTCTAAGTCTTATAACTCAAAGTCGTGCAACCGCTACTCGTGTTCCACATTGGGCTAAGAAAAACAGAATTTACTCTTGTCTCTTAGTTTCCTGAATGTCCCCCACAACGACCATCTTCAGCTTCTCGCGGTCCACGAACTTGTCTTCGACGATCCTCAGCTCCTTGGCCGCTTCCTCCACTTTCAAGACTGCCATGAAAGCTTGGAAAGCTGTTTCATCACCAAAGATGATCTCGGCGACGGCGTCGACATCCACAGCAGGATCCATTGATTGCCCAGTCTCTGCGATTTGGCGCTGGAGGTAGTATCGCTTGTGGCTTCTGGGGAAATGTTCGCCCCCAAGTCGTTGAAGTAGAGGCATTTGGATGGTCTCGTAGTACTCCTTGAACTCCTGATGAGACATGCCGGCTTCGCGTGTGAGGAAGATAAGGATAGTGTAAGGCATTGTAGACGTTGAAGGAAGTTAGATCTTTGGTGGAATATGGCAATGAAAGATTGAATGATGAAGATATCGAAGAAGTAGTCTGCAGATTAAAGCACGCCTTGAGCGGGTCTTATATACATTGCTTGCTAATTTCTGCGCCTTCGATCTACGTGGATTTCGATCGATGCCTAGTTCTTTGGCGGACAACATCAGTCCTTTTGCAGAAGTAGTTTAAGCTAGTTATGAGAACCTTGCCCACACTTTGGCTTGCCGCTTGCTATTTAATTTGTGGATTCCACATGATTTTGCACAAGTGTATGTGAACGGACTCGGAAACCAAGATACACAGTCCGATTCGAGGCAGCGTAAAGCGAGCATCGCTTGTGATGTACAGCCCTGGGTAAGTTAAGCACTATCCAATAGAAGATCATGCACCAAGACTAGATAAGCCACCCGTGAGAAGGATGTATTGAGTCATGCAAATCCTTTGCCGCTTTCTCCCCATATCTTATTTCCGAGTTGTATGTTCGGAACAAGCTGAGCATCCTCACCCAACGTACAGTAGCCCCAGACATTCTCATTTATCCCAATACAGAGCTTTGCAGAGTTCTCCCTGGTTCTATTGCATTTCGCATATCAGGAATGATGGAACATAGCAAGTAAGAATAGAGGCAATAATCGAGATGCCGAAGGTGGGGTTTGGGTCAACTCAGGCATAGATATCAGTGAATCAACAATCACATTAATTACATTGGTGCCCACCAACGAAAAGTGGAGATGGAAAGTACTACTCAGTTGAATTAGAGTCATCGTTATCAAACTCCTTCCAGCCCGGTCATGGCGGGAGAGGAACACCTTTGCGTGGATTTCAGAGATTGGAGCAAGGAAGATAAAAGAAATCAGAGAATACAACGCATTCAAATAGCAGCATTGAAGCGAATTAGCTTTCTCAGAATAATAATATCAAATTTTTGTTCACTAATTAAATTTAGGAAATCAATTCATAGATCTTCACCACACCTAGTTGAAATTAAAGCTCCGCTGATATAACCACTCCAAGCTCTCTCGACCTGATAATCGAGGGATTAAAAATGATTGATGAAATTTTTCCAAACCGTGAAAGTTTAAAAGACTGACAACTTGGGTCAAAGTGGATAGATTGGAGCTTTGTCTCGACTCGATTGGCTGAATTAGAGTTTGAAAGCGAAATCACAGAATAGGCGAGGCGGAAGAACACAAAAGGACAATCGCCGAAGATGGAGGAGGATGGTCCCCTGGAATCCCGAGCAGGCCCAAATGGCCCCGTAATCGAAGGCCGGCAGCTGAGTAAGATTGGCGAAAGGAGGGGCCAATAAAAGTTCAAGTCTATCTCATTGGGCGACAATCCATGCATGGCAAAGATCGGCTCCGGAGCCGTTTGGATTCCTAGATTCCGACCCCGGAAGCTGTTTGGATTTCGAGATTCCGACCTTCACGGCGTGACGCATCCTAGTCTCAACTCGGAAATCTTCAATGCGTACTCGTGACATCTGCCTTGAAATGCGGAAGATGTCACCCTACGCTGTAGAATGTACATCCATGCCGGCGTCAATTCGTTTGCGTGATGCTGAAGCAACGTACGAAGTATATATAGTGATAAGATCCCGCAAAGTTTTGTGGTGAAAGCTATCATACAAGAGATTTTCATATTGCTATGTTACCTTTGTACGAAATCTTCAATACTCCGCATAAATTCACCTTAAATTTCCGCCCTTCCATCGCTCTCAACATGCTGTCGGATACCGAGAAAGGATTCATATTCTTCGTTATTATCGGTGCTTGGTCAACCTTGATTGCCCTTTATAAGCTGGCATCATTCTTGTATCTTTATTCTCGCTCTGGCTCGCTCAAGAAATACAACAAGAATGGTGGAGCTTGGGCTCTTGTCACTGGCAGCAGCGACGGCATTGGAGAAGCATTCGCCAACGAACTCTGCTCGCGAGGCTTCAATGTCATATTACACGGTCGCAATCCCAAGAAGCTATCCACCGTCCAGTCCAAGTTGACTGCTGCGTTCCCCAAAGCCGAAATCCGCACATTCGTTGCCGATGCAGCTGCCTCTTCTACGACCAACTCCGCTGCGATCCAAGATCTCGTCGACAGCATCAAAGACTTGAAATTGACTGTCCTTATCAACAATGTTGGCGGAGCAGGGAACCTGAAAGCTGCCTTTACGACATTCGCGGATCACACGACGAAGGAGATTGACGATATGATCTCAATCAACATGCTTTTCACCCTTCATCTCACACAGGCTCTTCTCCCTCTGATGATCAAGCAAGATTCTGCTCTCATCATGAACACCGGCTCCAGTTCCTACATTGGACTACCATACATCACTGTTTATTCTCCCACCAAGGCGTATCTCAACGCATGGGGAAATGCTTTGTACACCGAATTGCAAGCCGAGGGTATCACCAATGTTGAGGTGTTGACGGTGGTGTCCGGAAACACCCAAACCGGTCAAGATACTCGTCCAGCGAACTTTCTTAGGCCAACTGCGAAGGCTTATGTTAAGGGAGCGTTGGCGAAAGTCGGATGTGGACGTACGATTGTTGTGGGATATTTCTCACATGCATTGCAATCTGCTGTCACGGAGCTGTTGCCTCGATGGGCGCAGAGAAAAGTCCTCGGCATGGCCCTTAAGCCATACAAGGGGAAGAATCTGGACGAGTAAGCTTCATAAATGAGGGTCTGATATAGAGTGGCCTACTGGCTGAATTGTAATTTGGGAGGTCAAAAGAAGAGAGCGACATCATGTTCGGCGAGTCAACCTGGGTTTCGAGGGATACAGTCATAATTCAAAGCGACGATGCAAGTTGAGGAAATGTAACAGTATGAGATATTTATTCTCCTCAAATCTTAGCAGTTTTTAAGATACAAGCTGTGAACTCTCAATTTTCTTCCCCCGGCTCCTTATGGAAGTCTTGAAATCTTTACAGTTTCTTTCTGGTTGAATGGTCAAGCACATGTACAATTGATTTGAGTATTTACAAGCAAAGCAGAGATCATTTGACAATACCGAGTAATTTTTGAGAATTTGATGTGTTGTTGATTCTCCTCCAGAGATAACAACGATGGAAATAAACCGGAGCGCTATTTCAAGCGAACCAGAGGTTTTCAGTTGTCCTGCGTCAAGAATCCTCCAACAAGTCTAAAAACTTTCTCTCTGATCTCTGGTCGCTCCAGATGACACATATGTCCGGCATCTGGAAAAGTGATCCATCGTACGCGGGGTATGTTTTCAAAAAAAGGTGTGGTGGTTATATCATGGGAAGTGTCAAATTCGCCGTTATAGACAAGCGTTGGCACATTGATTTGGTGTAGGCGCGGGATGCAGGTCCAGTCTCTAAAGGATCCCGTGCAATTCAGTGGTGACGGTCCCGCTCTGAAAGAAGGTTAGTGAAAGAGTGGACTTTTTGCAGGAACATATTGAGAAGCCGTGGAGATTGCACTGCGAAGAGGGAACACGGAATATACTCAACAGTGGCGATGGAATATACTGACATTGAGTTTCGAACAGTCTTGTCTTCACTCATATTCTTAAAGGCTGGTAAAAGCTCCCTGGGTGGGAAGGGCTCCGCACGGCAGAAGTAATTGCAAAAAAACACGTTCATCGCATCCCTAAAGCGGGGACTATCAAAATTCCCATTCTTCTCCTCTTCATCGATCGTGGATTGCGCATCAAGCGGCAATTGTTTGCGAATGGTATCCATACCTTCCACCCAGCTTCGAGTACTGGCTATGCCGCTCGCAAGGACCAGTCGTTTCAATCCTTGGGGCTGGGTGGCTGCGAACGCGGCTGCGATCCTGCCACCCCAGGAATGCCCTAGGATGTGGTATCCTGGTCCATCGCGGAGTTGAAGAGCATCAAGCAGATTGTTCAGCTCCGCGATGAAAAGGCTCTCTTGCCAGAAAGACTCATCACCAGTAGTTTCAGGAAGATGAGTCGATGCGGCACAGCCGATCTGGTCGTAGAACACCACTGGAATACCGAACTGTTCCCACAGACAGCCAAATGGAAGAAGATACTCATGGCCAGTGCCAGGACCACCGTGAAGGATGACCAGTCGAGGCGATTTGCTCGATAAATCGCCAATGATTTTGTAGTAAGTGTGGCATGGAGCATCCAAGTGTTGGATTTGGAGCGGCACAGTCCCTTCCTTCTTCCCAGTGTCAGCCATGATGTCAAGAATCAAGGAATGAAAGGAAACAAGTGGTGTCAGCTTAGAGGACAGGGTAACTGCGTTTGAGAAATCGCTGCAGAGACAGACCAGGTAATGATAGACTCAGACTCATTGGGCAAGTTGGGGGTAGAAATAAGCTCAGGTAGGTAAGCGGCATGGGGCGGGGCATGGATGACTAAAAGCGAGAGCCCCTAGGATTCGCCTCGCGGTCGAACTTCGGGCTCATATGACTACCCTACCTACATACCCAGGTATGATGTGAGAGTTTTTTATGTACCTGGTGTACCTAGGTACAATAGCATAATATCCTCCACCTACATCAAATGATCGAAATGCAACATAAAACAAAAGTCAGCGTACATATATAGTGGGTAATGATTCATTCATTAGCTCCCTATCCAAACTCTACTGCGCACTATAATTTCTAAATCAGCACAAAGACTAAGGGGCGGCATATTAGCAGCGGCCTGAGATAAAATATTACCAAGTTCCCGGCTCACTTTGGCCCATTTCCAAGTAGCTAAGTCATGACACATTGGACAACGACTTATTCCAAATACGTTAGCCATTTTAGAGAGGTGAGTTCCATAATCCCCTAAGCTTTCAGCATTCTCGCACATGCACTGCTCGCAATTCAATTCTTCCGCTGTGGGTATTCTTGTCGCCCCAGAAAGATCAACAAGCCGTGGGATGACCATATCAATCAATCTCATTGTTGGGTCTGGCCACGGTTTCGGTACATATTGCTGGGAAGGATATCGCAAGGGAGCTTTAGCAGGATGGTTAGGACCCATGCTTCTCAGCTCGCCCTTTTTAAAAATGATCCTAGGCGCGTTCCATCCTGATTAAACGTCAGTAATGCTCGTGGTGTTTCCTCTTGGCATATTAGCACTCATTGCTGAATTCTTGATGAAGGAGCCACCACCCGCTTCCCCATTTAGGATGGAGTGCGAATTGGTGTAAACGTGGTGGAGAAAGAAATGCTAACGTACCAGCAGCAACTAATGCCATGCTGTCGGTATTATGTTGACCATCATTTGCTGTAGGTGGGTGGACGACTTTAGTAGGAGCAAGCATTTTCCCAGATATTGCAGTAAAACCGTAACTGTTTATCTAGTATGATTCATACGAATGACCTTCAAGCAATCAAACTCACATTTCGGAACCACGACTATCTGGTAACTTGGCAGGGACTGTGGTCTGTCATGAGCTATTTTCCCCACCAAGGTCAATTTGAGCTCACACTGATTCTCTTTTCGAATCCCGTTAGCCAATTCCCAAAATCCGGCAACATGCATGAGTTCATGCAGAATTTTCACACTTAGAAACTCAGTCAAATGCTGAAGACCTCTATCCTTGACGATAAGTTTCAAATTTCCATCCCCATGAAATGTTTCTAGGGAGATTAGTCCAGGAATGCTGTTCAGGCGCAGATGGTGTATTGCCCCGAGACCCGAATCTCTACAAAGTACAATCACCTCGCCGCACCCGTAACTATACGCAAATCCACCAAGGTAGTTTCCGTAAGCGTTGCGTGCGGGGTTGTTCCTCTGTCGTGGAACTGTTACTTTCCAATTTCTCAGCCTATCCGTAAATGATTCTCGAATTTGGCCATTTGCAACCAGATGCCTATCTGAGCAATGAATTATGAGACCGTGGCCGACAGACTTGTCCGCTGGTAATTTGCTATGTCGTCACAGTTCACTCATGACAAAAATACTAAGATTGGAATGTCGGAAAGGTGAAGTGAATGGTTCTAATCACCTGTCTCTCAAATTATAATATCAACAGCAATTTTATAATGCTAACTGGCAACATCGCGCTTCTTAGACCATCATGATCATGATGATGGCGAGCCATGGTACTCTCTGCCAGCTCAAGTTCGACAGATTATGACGCAAGAGCGAGATATCACGGTAATTGGTTCCGCTACTTAAGCTTGGAACCGTTAAGAGCCCCGAAATTGTATGCCAAATACCTATCACTACCGATTGGGTTTCGGGTACAATCATGCCACGATGCGAGGCCTTTATCCGAGGCTAGACCACCCCTTCGTGTGGGTGTTATTATTGCTCTATTTCGTCGGCTTCGGCGGTATTGAACTTGGTTACGTATTTTGGTAATTCGCTTTGGACCTTTGATTGGAAGCTTATCTTCTTTTGGCCGATGCAATTCCTATCTAATAGCCCTATCAATTGAAATCCATGAACTGCCCATAGAAGAGCCGATTGCCCTCGCGACATCTTAAGATTGCTTTACTCTATTGAATACAGATGTCTTAGGATCAAAGAGTCTTATGGCATGGGAAATTCACGAGCATACGCCTCCTCAAGCGCAGTCCTAATCTGCAATAGAATAGTATCAACCTCCTCCCCGGTTCCTTTTGTAATCCTTAGACTGCCAACACAGCCTGCCTCTTTGCCACGATAACGCACCAGAATTCTTGACTTCGTCACCAGGGCATGTAGAAGAGCTTGGGCAATGACGTTGTCGGGAATGCCTCCTTGGTCCGCAGGTTTGCTCAGAAACTGCACCAAAATGAAATTGGTATTGAAACCACCAAGGAACTTGCCAAAGCCAGGAATCTTGGGGAGCTCCTGCAGTAATCGAGCACGTTGCTCGAACATCCTTACTCGATTTTCTTTCATCAGTGCTATTCCCTCTGGCTGGAGCGCCAGCGTCGCAAGAGCAATGGTAGGGGCGGACATGTTATATGGGCCTTTGAGGTTGTTCAATAGCTGAGAAATCTGGGGTTGAGAAAAGGTAACGCCTAGCCGGATGGCGGCAAAGCCGAATGCTTTACTGAGCGTGCTCGTGACAATGAGATTCGGCCATGCGTTGACTTCAGCAGCCAGACTGGTCGTAGAAGCAAAATCAATGTACGCTTCATCGACGACAACGACGCCATTCCAAGTTGAATGCTACATGACCTGCACTATATCGGGCCTAAGAAGAAGATTTCCAGTTGGATTCTGTGGTGAGCAGAGGAAGACGACTTTGATCAATGGGTCGTTGGATAAAGTTTCGTTGGTGACGCTGGAACGGAGTGAAAAGCCATTCTCGGTGTCGAGATTTACGCAGACGATCTCCACGTCGTTCACTTCCGCGCTGACGTTGTAATCTTACATGTCGTAGTTTGGGGGGCATACTAGAATCTTGTCCTTGCCAGGAGTACAGAAAGCGCGGATTATACCATCGATCGATTCATCGGAACCGACGCCGAGACAGACATTCTCTGGTTTCAATGGCTTGGCGGCTGCATCTGGAGATTGAGATGTGTTGCGGAGGTCACAGAATAGTTGCTTCAAGGGTGTCTGCTGTCTAAAATCGGTGGTTAGTCAGCCTGAGGCCCGAAAGTTGAGTGAATCACTTACGCATCGGGATAGCGGTGCAATTGCAATTCCTTGGGATCAAGAGCTGATTGAATGGTCACGCCAGATCCGCACGTCGAGGTAGATAGCTCCGAAGCAATGCTGGGGCCAAAGGCATTCTCGTTAGCATCGAGGAGAGTAACGTCGGCGTTGCTAGAGTAGTCACTATGAGCACGCATGGTCAGCACTGCTGCTCTGCTAGATTTGGATTTGAATGTGAATGGGAATAGCATACGTACTCCCTCATGGTTGTGTAAGGCTTCAAAGCCAGAATGTTCGGCCGCGCACACTTGGCGATATCAAAGGGATGGAGGTTTGACATCGTTGCGAGATTTCGCAGATTGTCGAGATCGCGAGAGGGTGGGTACCACACTTGGTGATATCAATGGGATGAGGTTTTTTGACATTGTTCCGAGATTTCGCAGATTGTCCTCCCGGCAAAAGGGCGGCTCGGAGAATGTGCTCACTAGCGAGCGAGCGAGCTACGCAAGAACGTGGGATAAATGAGTTTGTCGGTGAGATATCTTCTTCTTACATTTCAGATACAATATTTTGATCATTATCATGAAGGGATCTCATGTTCATATCCTTTGTGTCTTAGTAATTGTTTGTTTCATTCTAGTTTGGTTTGCCAAGGAGTTGTTGTGCTACGTGATGTGCGTACTGTAAATTGGCCTCTGCTTCTGTCCGGCTGCTGAAAGGCGGTGTGTAGACGTTTGGAGATTGTAGAGTTGAAGCATGGTGAGATTAGCCAGATTATAGATTCAAATTTGTAGACTGTATCATAACCACGCAAGCGTCGTGAGTCACTCGGACACTTTTGGTGACTTATGGGTCGGGCTTTCCCTTTGCCCTCTGATCTATGACCGTCAATTCATAGATCGACTAGCTGGTAAGCTTAATCTTAACTTACATTTGATACTTGACAGCAGTCCGATACTTGGCAATACATCGTGTCTGTTAGCTCATAATCAAAATATCATACATCTTAGAGAGAAACTCAGTATTTATTATTATGTGAGTCTGAGTCAGAGGAAATGGCACAGTCTACCTCATCAATCCACAAACCGTTTCTCATGCACAGGGAATCTGCATCCGTTGATAAATTGTCCTTGGGGCGATGCGGGATATGAGTATATATAGACTCTACAAACGAAGGCCGGGCCTTTAAGACGCGCTTCTGGACATTTTGGGTGATTCACTCTCTGCTCGTTGTCTTTGCCTCGAGTTCACTGTTTCTAGATCTCTCTCCCACATTGCGGGAAATCCTCTTGAGAGAGACTTTCTAAGATATAAACACTCCTCATCTGCAGAACAGAACTGTGCAGGATACGAGGACAGATTGCAGCGATTGTGCAGTCGAGTTCGAGAACTTGGACAGCATCGTATTAAAGATTGAGGCTTGGGGCGCGTCCGTAATTGGACCGGAGGGTCAAGTTATCTAAGTTCCAAAGTAGATAAGAGCACCGATGCCGCTGCCAACCAGTAGACGCTGGGAAATTGACAGTGGATTTTAACATTCGCAATAGCTACCCCGCTCGGCAAGTTTCCCTTCAACACCCTCGTCACTGTCTACTACGGTCAATTCCTCAATACTTAAAACCCACGAAGAGGGCACATATTCGATCTTAACAAAGGCACCCTAAAACCAAGAGAAATAGCACGGTGAAGTATATGTACTACTCAAGCTCTCCAGAGAAATGTGAAATTCGCATCCTTTTGAAGTGAAAGGAAGTAAATGCATCAAATTTTCAAAAAGGCTCTATACATGTGAATTTCTTTTCTCCCTGGATTCACATTAGCGTGGATTTCAAGTGCAAGACTTCCAGAGTATAAATACCTCCAGGCTTTCTGAACAGAGGGTCTTTTTGATCTGGATAGATGGAGGAGTGCATTACTTCAAATGGTGCTTGCGTTCTTGAAAAGAAAGAAGTGTTAGTAGTGAGAGAGGCTGTGGGGCCCGGACCATGGGCTTGAACATTACAAACCAATTCACTCGATTTCACTCTGATTTGGGCCGAGGAGATGAATTTCACTTTACTTTTTCATCTTACTTACTCGAAGCTCGATGCTTTTTACGAGTGAATCTATTTGATCTGATTCTCACATCTTGCAGATGTGAGCTATAAATATCCCTTCCCACCCAACACAAACACACCGTCTTTTACAAGAGCAAATTTGAGTGTGTTCAAGGGGTGGGACTGTGGTATCTCGACTGGGTAGAGTTTCGTGGGTATCGGGCATAGAGTTGGGGCAGTGCAAAACTGGCTCTGAACTTGTTTAAAGAACCTTCATCACTTGCCACCTAATTGCACATTTTATAGAAACGACAGTAGTTTTCAAGTCAACAACAATAACACAAACATTCAACGAACAAGATTACCACTCATTCTTAGGTCCCAATTACAAAGCAAATATCAATCTCAGAAATATATGGAGAGGAAAAATCACGAGCTTCACCTCCAGGGTGGCCCTTATATTACTTTTAACGGGTTTTCCTCAAGCAAACTCTGCGGAGATTCATGGAGAGGTGGGGGTCGGCGTATTTATACTAGAAAAGCTATGCATTCGGGTTCTTCATGGAGCTGAAGACAGCCAGGAGTCACAGTCCTAGATTCTTTCCTCTCGAAAGCCTTACTACAACATACCGAGGGGGTGAATACCCTATTTCCCTCAATCCCTCCGCTTATAACACTAATCTCCTCATCCTAAAAGTATAAACCAAGCTGCCATCCACTTCATTCAAGTCGCATACGACACTACCACCAAAATTCTAGAAGCTAAAAGAATTGCGCCGAGCACTGTCATCAAGCGCTTGTATGTAAACGACGAGCCCAAAAGCACTGGCTATTACTCAGAACTTCGAGCTAGTAATGAGAGTATACCTGTATGATTGAAGTCTTCTTTTAAACACCTAATGAATAAATAGCAACCACAATCTCTCCGACAACAAGAGTTCCTGACTGTCTCTACCATTATTAATCACTTCACCTTTTGCTGTTGTACATCAGAACGCTTAAACTACGGTAATTAACGGGAGTAAGAGAGTTTGTGTTCGAAAACGGGTTCTTCTACACTTGCTTGCTCTCGCGGCATAGGACAATGTTTTTAGAGTTGTAGGTGTGTTGGAGATGCGGTGGTGTATTTATAGTTGGAGAGGAGGAGTCTTTGAGGCTACAAAGCAGGAACAAGATTCGCAGGGAGTCACGGTCCCCAATCTTCGAAGCCTGACCACCTTACTTGAAAGGGTGAATCTCCCCTACTCCTTGACACCAAGTACTCCGCCAATCTCCCCGTCCTACTCGAATGTAAAAACAGCACCTCCACTCCTGCAACCAAACTATATCTTACAACAATACCGAAAGTCGACAGAATTAAGAAGAACATCATGGTTGCCATAACCTACATTCAGTGACCCGGCCATCGCTATTAAGAAGAATTCCATGTCAATGTTAAAAGTACAATAAAGTTTCAAAGCTTCTGAGATATCACAATGCCGTTTGTTTTAATCGAAAATCACCGCTCCATCGACAACAAAAATCTCCACTATTCTTCCGTTTCTCACCCTATGGCAGTCTCTCATGGATCACGATCTCATACCCCGACGGCAGAGGACAGAAAACTCCTCAAATCCAGGAACGAGTTGGTCTTCCCTCTTGCGCTTCAAGTGTTCGATGATGAATTCTTTCGAAGGAATTGTGGAGAGGTAGGGTTGAGGTGTATTTATAGATAAATATGAGGATCGTCAGAGAGCATATTTTTCCAAAGAATGGCTGTCCTTAAATTTCGCAATCATTCACTCAAACCGCGCCTACTTGAGGAAGTGAATCTTCCACCTCATCCACGCCTGTCCCACCCTCTCCAGCGTCCTTGACCCGAATATAAATATATCACCTCTTCCCTCTCCATTCAACTCCTATACCGCACAAGAGCTCGAGCTTTAACACAGGGAAGAGCTACCACCAAAGCCTCACTTATAAACAGCCACCTTCACTTTCACTACCGAGAAGTTATTGAACTAAAAATAATATAATAAAACTTCTGCGATAAAGTTGTAGTTGGCAACATATTCAATCGGCAACCACAACTTTTTCGACAACAGAATACCCACCCCTTTCATTTTACTATTTTTATGCACGAAAACTTCAAGCTACAACAAAGATCACAAATAAGATATCTACGAAAGCCTTTCCCTCTCAGAAGGCTTCGGAGCTGTAGCACAGATCTGGAGATTCGGTGGAGGAGAGGTGGGGGATATTTATATTTGAGTTTTCCACGAGGCTGAGATAAGGGGGGAGATTTTTTAATGACTTCACCACACACTTTTTCGAAGCGGTGAATCTGCTACATTATTTTCTTCCCTATCCCTCATATTACCGTCTCCATTATCCCGGTAATATAAAAAGGAACACACACTTCCATCACGATTGATAAAATCCAAGAATCATAGAGAAACTGGACCAGGCATGCTCAGTACTCTCGCAGGCTATTTGCTTCATGAGATTGGACAATTGATACACTAAACTGCTACAAGAACTTTCAACCTATTAAACAAATCTCTCACCACTATTATCTTCACCTTCGTTTCTTACCAAAAGAGAATCGACAGCCATTATTTCGTTGACAACAAAACTTTCCACCTCTGCAATTTTTCTTGACCATTAAAATTTTAGATCCCCACCCCTACAGCGACAATGATGCATTAGCTTGGAGAGTCAGGATTTCTCCTTCTTGGGGCAGCAGTGTTCTTCAGCTTACGCTTTTGGAGTTCGTGGGGGTGGGGTGGGGTAAAGGTATTTATAGCTGAGGTAAAGATTATTCAAACCACACCCAAGGCTGAGGATAGGATAGAATAGAAGTTTGATCAAATTCACCACTCCCACCCCACCTACTTAAAAAAGTGAATCTGCCCCTCTTCCCTCGAATCCTCAACCCCATCCTTTCCACTGTCCCAGGAATATAAATATATCCTCCCTCCCTACTCAACAGCACACAATACTAAGCAGTCCGCGACAAAAGCAGAACAGAGCTGGAGCCGAAGTTTAGCACGTAAACAATTGCTACAGACAACTCCTAAGCAACATAACAAACGCTCCACCGCAAAACTTTCCCTCGCCAATCTATTGACAACCAAAATTTAGTTAACAACAAAATCCCCTTTCACTTCGTCACGCATTATCCCGACCACTTTTGGTATGAAACCCAACCTTTGAATCATGGCACGGGAAAACACTCCCTCGGCTTCGGAACCGAGCATCTCTTCCTCTTGGACCAGAAGCACTGCCACCAAGTTTACATATTTAAAGAATCATAGAAATAAGGTCAAGTCAAGCTTATTTATACCCAAATATTCTAGAAATCAGAGAACTTTAGATAATCATCGTCGTACTCGAAAACAGAAAATAAGCTCACTGGCATTCATTCGCTAAAACAAAACTTTCTAGAAGAAGTGAATCACCACACCACCTTTCTCTTCAGCTCCACACCACGAACCTCCCCACTACCCCAGAGATATAAAAACAGTCTTCCCCTCATCTTCATCCAACCCATATCCAAAACAAAAGCTTCGCAATCACCAAGACCGTGCGAATCAAAAATTAGCAAAGACTTAAAGAAGTATTTATAGTTAAAAATAAGAATCGTTCAAGGTCGTGTTCAGCGTGCTAAGAATAAAAAAGAAGCGTGACTTTCAAGCTTTCCCTAAATTCACTTTATTCACCACACCGACCCAAAGAAGTGAATCCACCCCCGCTCCTCTACCAGACTCCCCACCCGCTCTTGAACACAAATCTCTCTCCCATCCTAGAGGTATAAATACAACCCCCCTCCCCCTTCTCCACATCCACCATCTGCAATCCTAGAGAAGCCAAACTATACAGAGCTCGGAGTACGGTAATCTTTTGGGATAGAGTGTTATTTCAAAAAAGTCGAGCTTTGAAAGCTAAGTTTATGTCGTTTTCTCATTGCTTCCACTACAATAAGATCCTCTCTCCTAAACAACAATAATCAAGTTAACAACAACAACCCAAAAAGCAACGAATCTCCCCTAGATCTCTTTATTTTAAAAACGACACTTATCCCTCGCTTTAAAAATCCAGACAAAATTCCTTTTAAAGACAGCACAGGCTCTCCACAACTATTTCGTCTCTTGCCATTAGATCGATGGACTTACTAAAAAGAAAAATGGAAAACTAAAGAAACGAGTATATTTATACCCGACCCCTTCCCCTCAACCCTACGGCACCAATTCGATTCAATTCCCAAAAGCAACTGCTCTGCTTTACTCTTCCCCGCGCATATTCACCATACTTGTTTATTCACTCATCCTAGTGAATCTACCTCCACCTCTACCTCTACCCCAAACTCCCAAACCACCCCAACCTCGATACCTCCACAATCTCTACGATCCTAGGGGTATATAAACATTACCCCACCTACCATTACGACCACACCACAAAATCGAAATATTCCTCCAAAGTGTGTTAGAGTTTTTCTTTTGAAAAAAAAAATTAGTGCGTTGTGTAGAGTAAGCCGACAAATGGATGAGGTGGGATATGTATGCGTTGGTGCTTTCATGGGGGCGGTTGTTAATTACACTTAAGTTTATTAACAGCAATCATTTAGTTAACAACAACTATAAAAGAAATAACGAAATCAAGTATTCGTTCCCGGAAAGAAAACTTGATCATAGAAATCTTTATAATGTATACCAAAAACCAAAGAAAGAAAACACGGGCACTTCCACTACACTCCACGTAAAGCTTGCTGCCATTTCCTTACGAAACTGTAAAGAAAGAAGAAGAGGTGAGGGAGAGAAGAGGGTTTTATACCCCAAACCAAACCTCCCACAAAAACCGCCCGAATAAGGCTGAGATCAAAGAATAGATTCACTCTTACTCCCCGACAACAACTCACCACACCAACACATCAACCACATTTATTCATAGTCATGAATCTATTATACGCCCTCTTCCTCTTCCTCAACCCCCTTAACCCCTTTAATTCCTCCGCCAAACTCCCCCGACCTTAATCTCTAAATACAACCCCTCCCTCTCCCTCCTTCCTCCATCTCCACATCTATAGTACCAAGCACAAAAAGTTTAAAGCCTCGAGTACGGTAGCTTCGTAAGCGGGATTTTCACCGTCGCAAAATATCTTTAATTTACATCATTTCTTCCGTTCACCTCATTAAGAATTTCGTTTGTTCAATAACAAGTATTGAGCTGGTAGCGGTGATACAAATAATCAATGCTTAATCTTTTTCTGTGGTTCGAGGATAGAAATTTAGTTCGCGTTCTGGGAAGTCGAACGGGCTTTTTTTTTTTAAGTACGACGAAGAGTGTTCGCTTTTTTTTCATCTTTTGTGCGACGATGTTGTGAAGAAACAAGAAGAGAAAGGGAGGGGTTGAGGTATTTATAAGTAGGTATAAACATTGTTCGAACCCTGCTTTGCGAGGCTGTGAAGGGAGAGCGTATTTCACTCCTGATTCCTGACTCAAATTCACCACACATATACTCACCACATCTCCTCACACTAGTGAATCCACCTCTTCTCCCTCTCCCTTCCTCCCCCTCAACTCCAACACCCTCCCCCCATTAATCTATAAAAACAACCTCCCTCCCACCCTCAACCACAAATCAAAACAAGCCGAAGAACTAGTAATAAAATAGTCTTTTGAAGCAAAGAGATCGAGACAATCGTACAAAGACTTTCCGTTCTTGCACGCCTTTCGGGGGTTTGTGTTATTTTTTTTCCAGGAGTACTGGGATAGTGGTGATGGTTCTTTAGTTAACAGCAATTAATTAAATCGACAACGCTTTCCGCTAATAATAGCCAGCCAACCCGAGCTTTTTCTTTTCCATCTCGAAAAAAAAACAAAACAAAAAGGCAGCCTCCGTTTTTTTCAAAGAACGATATGACCCCGGTACCAAGCACGAGAAACCCGGCTCCACGGTCCCACCCGTCGTCGCAGTTTCAACGCCTTCCAATGCACCCCCATTTAGGTTGTGGGAGAGTTTAAAGAGGGAGGGTATAGAGTGGTTTATATACCCTAGAAGTCTAAAAAAGGGGGGCTGAGGGATGAGGGATAAAAAGTGTATAAGTTTTGAATTTTTAGCAGAAGCAGTGAATTAATAAGACCGAGCACACAACAAGGAAAAAAAAGAAGCTACTAAAAGGAAAGAAATGAAAACGATCGTATTCACTATATATCTACACATAACTCTACACCCACAACTCCTCCACTCCCTTACTATCCCCAGTCTATAAAAACAACAACCTCCCTCTCCACCTTCTACACCCACAGCCAAAAAAGACAAATTCGAGAACCACACAGTATTTCTCGTTTTGTGAGTACGAAAGTCTTTTTTAGCACGGAGTATCATCGCTGGGGAAAGCCGTAGAAGCTGGGTAGAGTGCGAGTGTTACTGTGGAAAATTTTTGCATCGTTTTTTTTTTTCATAGTTTTTAACAAATTTAGGTTCCATTGACAATAGTTTTTGAGTTGGCAGCAACAACTGTGCAATAAACAGCAAAAGCGATGTTTTGTTTTGTTTTTTTTTTGGGGGAAAAAAAAAAGAAAAAAAAGGAACAGTAGTCTTTAATCGAAAGAGAAACTACATAACTCGGTACCAGGCACGGGAGACCCGGCTCGATGGTACACCATGTTGCGCAATGTCGCAGTTACGCCTTTCAATGCACCCCATTCCTAGTTGTGGAGAGTTTGGAGAGGTGGGGTGTAGGGGGTTTATATAGCTGGAAGATAGAGAGTGAAAAAGGGGATTGAGGGGTTGATGGGGGTGAATGAGTCAAATTCATTCACAAGTAGCCTGGAGGTTGGAAGAAGAAGGCTGAGGAATAGAGGTGAATGAGTCAAATTCATTCAAAGGCAGGCAAGGAAAGACGCCATGTTATAAATTCACCAGGAAGCAAATGTAAAGATATTAAAACGATTGTATTCACCACGTATATTTACAGCCCCACCCCAAAACCCCAACCAATCCAAGAATCTATGCAAAGAAAAAAGGTATCAACCGAATCCGCAATCATTACTCCTCGCCTCTTAAATTTTACATCCCCCAGTCTGGCTCTCTAATCAAACAGCCTTCTCAACCGCAGTACCAGGCGCGATCTCCGTGCTATTATCCTCCGATCCCTGACGGTATGACGTCTTATTCCCTCCTCCTCCGTTCACAGGGTCGTAGTTTGCAGTTCTAAATATCACCCACCATCAGCACTTCATCCCAAAACATCACTTATAAGGAAAAAGGAATGCTTACCCAGGAACCTCCCCCGCCAACTCCTCCAACGTCCTCCTCTTCGTCTCAGGAATCAAAAAACTAGTAAACAGCCCACAAAGCATAAACAGCGCAAAAATCTCCATAATATGATTTAACCACGGCGTCGCGGCTCTCCCTGTTGCGCCCGGCTTCGCGCCCCTGGTCCTCAGCGGGCCAAACACGCACTGCGCGATAATCGCGCCGACCTTACCTGAGGCTGCCGAGAAACCGTGGGATGTGGAGCGGTAGCGGGTTGGGAAGCATTCGCCCGGTACGATGAACGTGGTGCTGTTGGGGCCGAAGTTGAAGAAGAATTGGGCGAGGACGTAGAGCGCTAGCAGGGCGTGGCCGGAGAGGTGGTTATAGGCGAATCCGATGACGATGAATAGGATCGTTAGCATCGAGAAACCCATGATTTGAATCGGTTTCCGGCCCAGGGTGTCGATGGTCGCGACGCTGACCCAGTAACCTGGAATCGCGCCCGCGCACACGAGGATCAGGTTCCCCACGGCGGTGCGGCGGAAGATCTCGTACATGTTGGAGCCGCCGGAGTAGCCGATGGCGGCCAGGATGATGGAGTTGTTGAGGCCGAGGCCGTAGTAGGCGACGTCGAGGAAGAACCAGGAGCCCGCGGTGCCGAGGAGGATGCGGCCGTTCTTCCACTGGCCGTAGTGGTGGACGAAGTCGCGGAAGGAGGCCTTGGGGATCTCGAGGGCGGGCGAGGCTTGCACCATGGTTGTGACGCGGCGGATCTCGTCGGGGGAGCCCTCGTGCTGGCCTTTGATGTAGGCGTTTGCGTCCTCGGCGGCCTTTTCTACGTCTCGAGCCACGTCGAAGGTGTAGCGGGGAGTTTCGGGGATGGTGAGGCGGTAGTAGAGGGCGATGCAGCCGGGGACGGCGCCGAAGCCTACGATGACTCGCCACATCTTGTCGACGGCTAGTTGGCAGACGCCCGTACAGGTTGAGGCTTTGGTGCCGGTTACGAGGGATTCTTTGAAGCCGGCTGTGACGATCAGGGCGATGATGGCGGCGGTGAATTGACCGATTCCTTGCATGGCGAAGACGGCGTTCATCATGGCTCCTCTCCACTTGGTTGTGGCGAACTCGGAAGTGATGATGGAAGACAATGGGTAGTCACCTCCGATACCGATGCCCTATTGCTATTATTAGTCGTAGTTTATCAGGTTATGTATGTATTATCACTTACCATGAGGACACGCCAGAAAATAATCAATCCGGTGATGGAGATAGCTCGGGAAGAAGAAGACAAAGCTTGAGCGAGAGTAGCGAAGATGATGATAATCAACTCGAGGCCATACATCTTCTTTCGTCCTACCACATCGGCAAGGTATCCGAAACCAAGTTGACCAAGAACAGTACCACCCGAAGTCGCAACCTTGATAGCAGTGTCCGAATTGGGTGGGATTGTACCCTTGGACTTTTTATCGTTGAAGAACACAACACCCAACATGGCAGTTACCAAGTTGATGGCGAAGATCTGGATACTTGTTAGAAGGAAGTACTCATGCAAGGGGGAGAGGGAAGCGAACATCGTATGAATCAGTAAAGAAACCGATACCAGCGACAACACAGGCACGGACGTGATACCATCCAAACGGAGCCTTATCGATCTCTGCCAGAGCGAGTCGTCGACGCTCATTAGGATCGGTGATATGAGCAAAGTCATTGTGGAAGTTATGGAAAGCGGCATTTCCACCCGCAGTCTTGGTAACGGGAGCAGCCATTGTGAAATGAAGGAGTGAGGAGTGATACTCGACGAAGCTGTCGAACTCTGTCTGATATTGGTGAGTGAGTATGAGGACTGGCCCGAAGTCTACAAGAAATCCCCTGGGACGGACGGGGTGGTGAAGACGACCTTATATTCCTGTTGTGTGGTGAGCAGGAGGAGAACGAGCGTGGCTGCAATTCAGTTCAGTTCAGAAGCTGATTTTAGGCCAAGATGCGATACGGTACAGTGTCCGGCCTGGGCGTTTGGTCTAGTAGGGGAAGACCAGACCCTGACTAGCTTGCATGATTTGATCGGAGCTTCCATCCTGGAGGGCGACCGAGACACGGTAAGGATCCCCATCCCACTCAACCAGGTGTGATAATTCGACATCTGGTCAGAGTCAGAACTTGGGTCTGCCGAGGCCGCCAAGAATTAAGGTTGCAGAAGGTGGGCAGAACCAGACGAATGAGAGTACGTAGTTTTCAACTCCAAGTGGCGCATCATCTTGTCGTCGTTCGGTTGGTCATGATCATGATCCTCTCAAAATATCCAATCTCTAGACCAATTAGTTACTCCCTCACACGACATCCAGACCACCATATTCTTATCCTCCATCCCCGATACGGTGGCATCTTTCATACTATGTCACGCCTCTAGAGCAGTTCTTCTCGAGCCATCCATCAAGTGGAAAAGTCTAATCATTCCCAATCGTGCGGATTCGGGCCTGCAAACACTAAATAAATAGGCTTCCGTCTAGTTGAGCATCTGGTCCCTTCTTCCTCCGCTATGGAATCTCCAGCGGGGACCAATGGGTGATGTGCATAAGAGCACGGTGCCCTCCTCCACGCTCTGAAAGAATTGTCACCATCCAAAAATCGGTTCATCGATGTTCGTGATCTTTTCTTCGGTGGCGTCGGTTGTCAGCAAGGCTCAGATATCTCAGGGTGTAACACGGTGGTGCCTAGGTGACGATGCGAGCGTCCCCGAATTCTGCCCGGGTTCGATATTGGACAGCAAATCACGACATCCCTCACCCTGGCGGCAGCATCCACTTGAAGCAAGCAAGCAAGCAATCTGGGTAAAGACCCGAAATGGAAGGCTTCTAGAAAGGCGTTCTGGATATTCAGCCCCAAGGAGAACGATCCTCCCACCAGCTTCCACATCGGACTCCGCGAAGATCCTCCAGCATCGAGGGCCACTCGTCCAGACCATTGGAGAACGTGTTCAGGGACCTACCTCGTTGAGGCAACGAGGCTGATTAGAGTGATATTCTATTCAGCTTCGGTTTCTCCCTTGACGTCTTCCATCGCGCCTTACCATCTCAACGATCGGAGAAGCTTGGACAAAGCTTTGCGATAGATAGCTTGACACATCACCAAGAAGGCTTGATACCACATTACTCACCCTTCGAAGCTGAAGATACTGTACACAAACGCATCCACACACACGAGCAAACACTGTCTTGGGACGCGGGATACATACCGAATCTCGTGCATACGAAATCCTCTCCAAAAGTCTGGCGGTAGCGAGCGAAAGAAAAATCGACAAATTCTTGGCTGTCGTCGAAAAGCGCCAATTAGAACCCGCAGACGCAAAACGTGGGCGAAGCATTCGTCGACAGTGCACCTCCACACTAAGGAGTTAGCGTCCTCGCTTGGGGGCGCGAATAGCTAGCTTCACCTCCGGCTGGAATTTGCTTCCACTGGGAAGAGTTGCTACTGTACTAGACACCACGGGGAGACTGTGATATTTTTCTTTCTTTCTTTCTTTCTTTTTCTCTGTTCTCTGGTTTCGCGCCTAAGAAACGCACCCCCCACCAGCTCTCACAACTACTGCCAAATGTCTCACTCACTCCCCCTCTCACTCCTCTCCCCGCTCCATCCATCTAGACCATGCATACCACGCCAAGTCCATCCCATAATCTAATCTCCAATCCCAAGCGTCTCCCCATTTTTATCTCCGCCAAGGCTATCAAGTATCGCCAAGTCACGCCGGTGCATGGCCAAGGCTGAGTTGAGTGCTCGGGAAGGACCAACGGCGGCGTTTCCTTGGAGCACGGGTTGCGGGTTGGGGGCGCTGTCAAGCTCGCTCGCTCACTCACTCACTCACTCACATACACAGTAAGTATTCCGGCCAAGGCTGTGGGATTGGGGTTGTGATTGAGATGGAGATGGAGATAGAAAGGTATATGAGGTGAGGTGAGGTGAGGTGAGAAATGCTCATGCTCGTGTGCTGAATACGCCTGTTACGCCTAACGTGGATCTCGATGCAGTACAGTACTCATTGCATTGCGGGAACGGGGGTTCAGAGACAGTAAGTGAGTGGATTTCATCGAATCAAAGTTCGCAATCGCCGCCAGGGTTGGTATGGAAGGATGGAATATCCCGTTCTTCTAGAACGCTTCTCCCGCTTTTTGGGTATTGGTGCGCTACTTATGCTGAGAGGGAGACGGGAGGGAGAGAGACTAGAGTGTTTTCGGCGGTAGGTAGTGAGGCACGTGGGTGGGATGTGATGTGATGTGGGAGGTGAGATGGTAAGGTGAGTGGGTTGGTGGATTGGTGGATTGGTGATAGCACCTAGGTAGGGAAGGCTATTGGTTTCTAGTACGTACTGGATACTTGGGTGTGTGGCGTTGAGATGTGGACTGATTACGACGTACCTACCTAGGTAATTATGTATTCCAAATGCCCGCTTATAGTTTTCCATCAAATCTGATTTTTTCTTTAGTGTTCTTTTGCAAATAGTTTGCTTCGGGTTTGGTATATTTTTCCCGGAGTTTAGAAGTTTTCCATTCTTTGTGACCTCGTAAGCGAACTCATTCTCCTCTTTTTCGTTGATCCCCTTCCCGTCCGTCCTCGTCATACATCTCTTTCCCCCTTTCACATCTCCACCCCCATCGACGTCAAACTTCCTCCCTCTTTTCTCCTCCCGACGTACCTCCCTCTCCTCTCCACCTCAATCCGTCAACCTGTCTATCATATCCCCACTGCAATCGAAGACCCATCATTCGCTCGCTCGCTCCCTTTCTCCGATCTTTCCTCGCTTCGAAACTCCTCGAGACGAGTGATGAGACGGTGTTGAAGATCATGGATGATCAACAACCCTTGGATAGACGCGAGCTTGAGGATGCGGAAAGTTGCGCTGGGGTGATGGGTGATGATCGGATCGGCAAAGCTTAGATGTTGGTAGTGGGGTCTGGGTTGGTAGTCAAAGAGGGGAAGGAAAAGAGGTGTACAACAGATCGTTCGATCGAAGTTTGGTGTTGAGATCTGAGGCAGACTTGTATTCTTGTATCCGAGAGGAGAGTAAGCTGACGCGGATAAGTCGAAGGTATGGAGAGGGGGGTTATAGCGCGAGGCTGTCGAGTCGAGGGTTAGGATGACGCAAGTATGGGACGTGGGAGATTTCACTCTGTGGGGATAGAGTATTGTAGGATTAATGGTTGGGATGGGAGGTTGGTATTCACCTTCTCCACGATTTCCTGATACGGCTCCAGTCTGCGGTCGAGCGCTCGTGTTGTCCAAATATCCAAGTGAGTGAATTCATACACCTCCCTTCAGCCCTACCAACTCCCTCAATCTCAATCCTTCAAGAAATATAAATACCCCTCAACTATACCTCAAACCCTCCCAGAAAAGAACCATCATGGTCTTCGAATTGGCCGACGGGAACCTCACCGACTCCTTCGCAGGTCTGCCAGTGACCCAAATCGTGGATATTGCTGGAGATGATAATGCGGTTCTGACTTTCGTATTCATTTTTCGTACTCTGCGTTTCTGATGCCGGAGCCTGGTGGTGTCCGTTGTCATTGGTGATAGTGGGAAGATTGTTGACAATAATTATAATAGCATTGCCGACTTTTCATACAATCAGTTGGCTTCTGCTTCGGTTTTCTGAACTTTCGTCAAGTGACAGCATCAATCTCAACTTTCCATCCGAAAATCCTTAAATACTTGGCAACAACACGTCTCCCTAATATGTTCTCTCTATTCGATTTATACTACCAACCCCATCCACCGCAAATCAACAACCCCCCACTATTATTATTGTTATTTCCCGGCCGTCGCGAATCTCGACGCTCCCCCGGAGTCCTCGTTTCCTTGGGAGTTGTTCTTCTAGGTAGGAGGTTGTGGCGCAACGTTTCGGGGATGGGTGGGGTGGATAGGGGTTTTTATACTTTTTTTTCTTGCGGTTTTCTGACTTGTTGTGGGTAAATGAGTGAATTTAAGCCTATTTGTTTGTGGCGGGGAAAGAAACTTAGCATGGGAGGGGGGTTGTGGTGTTCGTGTTTTTATTCACTGCTTCAACTCCGCTCCCACGGATCCCAGGCCCTCACGATCGAAGCAGCACCGGCAAGTACTCCTATCTCCAGATATATTCTCCGTTGATATTCCTTGGACTTGCCTTTAGGGATAGGTTTCTTTTATATAATTACTTCCTCTGGGTTTTTGTTATTTCTTTGTCTTTTGAATATGTATAGGTAGTGAATCGCAGCTCACTCATTTGTGGCGGGAAACGAATTCATGGGCGCGGGTTAGCGGTATTCACTTCCCATCAAATGCTGGGATACGCTTTCGAAAAGAATTAGAATATTGACAACGAGTCTTGACTTGGATACTCGATGCCGTGAATGGCAAGATCTCCTTTCTTTGTGCCTCAAATTCGTCGAAACAGCAAGCTGGGTCCCGGAGTAGAGTATCTCGCGACGTCAACGTCCACCAATTCGCCTTCTCCCTTTGGGTCAAATGTCATGGTTTGTGTAAATGGGTCGAGTCGCCTCTTTTTATAGACTTTTGGTGTGTAAGCTCTGGTTTCTACGGGAGCAGTGGATTGGGTGTTTCGTGGAGAGATGGTTGGTTTATGATTCACTTCTTCCAGCGACTAGAGCTTTGACTCAACAGCGTTGCAGACAAGGAGATTTCTTTCAGTATCTGATCGTGATGCGGGTATATAAAAGACGCTCAACTCTGCCCGGAAGTTTCATCCGTGGAAGTTCGTATAAAGAGAGTCAAGGTGCCCTGGCCGTGCCCGGCCTGCAGTTGGTGTGGTATTACAGCTGGTCCGAAGCTAGAACAAAGTATGCTTGTTGTCTTTCAGTTCTCTGCAGTGTGGGAAAAAATATATTGAATAATTTAAATAATTCGTGAGTAACTCTGAGTAAAGTAAAAATAGAGTAACTTTTCGAATAATGACTAAATTATTGAATAGAGTTAAATAACACCCTCATATTCAAAGAGTAATTCAATAAAAGCCAGAGTTAAATTAATCCGATCTAAAGCACTATATATAAAGTCTCGGCTTAGAACGATTCCAAAAACTTTAGCTTATTATAGCTTAGTGTCTCGCTTAACCCTTGTTTCGGCCTAATTTCTTAAATCCGATATTATTGAATAACTTATTGAATAACTCAAATAATTATTGAGTAGAGTAATTGTGCTCCAGCACTAGCGTTGAGTAGAATAACGAGCGACGATTTCGTTATTGAATTCATTGAATTTCCCACACTGGTTCTCTGCCTTAGATTCCACTTTCAACCTTCTCTTTCTTTTTCCTCAGCCCCGTCCCCTATTATTTTTCCATTTGACAATAAGAATACCATCGACAACAAAACCTCAAATTTTGCCTTCTTCCCATATTATCACTGAGATACTACCTTCTCCTCCAACAGGTCAACCTGATCGGCTCCCCGCAAAGAGACCGTAGTGAGAGCAGTCTCGGAAGCAACACAGCACCACTGATTTCTTCTCTGATGTCTTCCTGATTTCTTTACTTTTTTTCTTGGTAGGACGAGGGTTTATATACCTTTTTCTCAACTCTAGTGCAAACTTTTGAGATATATTCACCTCCCTCAAAGACTGCATAGATATTTACTCGAGACAAGTTAGAGAGAGGCTGGAGTCTCCGGAGGAGTATATAAACTACACACATGGATTCTCATGAACAATATAACCCGAGAGAAGCATTATCGCACCTGCCATGTTTCGTGCCCTCTTTGCTAACCACGTTGCCGCCGGGACGAGAATTTCGCGACAAGCTGCGACAAATCGCACACCTTGCTCTTCCTTCTGTGCGACACAATTCTTGAAGCTGTGTTTCGTCAGGCTTATCAAGTCGACAACGAGAATGTCCTTGACAACAACAACGCCTCACTCCTTTCTGTCGCTTCCCAAGATCCATACATCTTCTACCGATTTTCCATTTCTCGTCTTCTAGCTAGTGATTTCATTAACGACAAAAAGCTGAATCTCGAAACGCCATGAGCCGGGATCCTCCTGTGTACTCCAACCGCAGGCACCCTAAACCGCGATCACAATGAAGGTTTAGTTCGTTGAAGTATTTTCCTTGGTGAGAGGAGGGGTTTATATACTTCTTAGGGTTGGAAAATTTGAGTGATTTAGTCAAGGGGTTTAGATTCACTTGTTTTACTTTGGGTGGTTAGATAATATTTCTGTGAATGGTAGGGCAGGGGGGCAGCAAGGTAAGGGGGCAAGCGAGGCAGCTGGAATTTCTCTTCTAGAAAATTATATAAACTCCAGTTAAGTCCTCTTGATATCTCCATTCGCGGTACTTGTTCGTATTGCAACTGGAAAGAAGTCTGTTTGCTGAGGCTGGCGGCTTGCGGTCACGGGTGAGCTATCCTCCCTTGGTTCGTTATTGGGAAGGCTTTTTGGCTCCTAGGTCTTTTCAAATGACTGTGGGCTGAAAAGGCTGACAGTAAGAATATTGTTGGCGACAACAACCCCTCACACCGACTCCTCATCTCTCTGTCTCTGAGCCGCGTTTCAAAATCTTAGTACCCCGCGTCAAGAATCTTACAATGGCACCCACTCAACGGGACCCATGATCTCCTTCATGATATTTACTAGCCATGCTTTGTTGTTTCCTATCAATTGAACGATTCAGGTTGTGTGAACAGTTCATATACCCCTCCTCTTCAGTCTCTGATGAAGTAAGGCTGCAGAATTTATTCACCGGTTTACTTTCTCATGTGAGAGAGCAGGCTCCATGCGTTTGAGACCTCGATTCACTTCTTGGCCTCTTCTGATTAGGAATTATCCATTCACTTCCACCACGTCAGATAAATTCACTTTACAATGTTCCTGAAAAACGAGGGCAGCGTCGCAGCCTCGCTAGCAAGTGCTGAGGGACTGTACTCTCACACTATATAATATACAGATCTTCGCGATCCCGAAACTTCTTCTTTGTACACACAGAACACTACAGCTGGCACTTGAAAAAAGCATGCAGTTGTGCGCCCGCGGCCCGTGTCATGTTTTTCGTCTTGCTCTTTTTGGACTTGGCTTGCAGGGTGCCGGACGATCCCTAGTTATTGATAGCAGAGCGTTTCTTGACAGTGAATTTGATGCGAAAGTGATTCTGGCTGTCTTTCGACTTGCTTGGAGTTTTCTGTGAGTGTGAACATGAATTTGGAAGCAACCATAGCAGTGCGAACAATGATCATGGGGCGCGGTAGCCCGGCTTGTCTCCATCTCAATACTGTGCCATCGTGAAGTTGAATTCTGTTGGGTTTCTTAGGATCTGCGAAGTGAACGTATTTATACTAAGGAGTTGTAACTTGGAAAGCGAGAGAGGACGAGCAGGGAGCCTCGTTTCTGGTTGAATGAGCTAGTTCGCGGTAGTTGGTTGCAAGAGTGAATCTAAAAATCCGTCTTTCGTTCTCAAATTCAAGGTTTAAATGGCCTATAAATATAAGACCAGGCCCTCTCTCTTCAAATTCTACTCTGTATCAAATCAAGACAAACAACATTCGATTCAACTGGCCTAGCTGATGATCCGTTGGCCAATAGTTTCGAGGGTGTATTTTCAAAGCAAGCTCTTGCTTTTCGGTTCAATGGGGAAATTGCACTTTTATGGTGTCTTTTCAAGTTCAGTGAATGAGAGCAACAGTGATTTTGGCAACAATTAAAGTCAATTCACTTCAATTACTAAACGATGTTAGCAGTAAATATTCTTGTTTTCCATGGATAGGTATTGACATCTATCACTATCATCCACTTGCGAAAATATCAGAGCCCACTGCGCCAGGTGAACCAACTTCTTAGTCCTCTTTCTTAGTGATAACAATAACTCGAACCTCAATACTCTGCCGCGGCGGCGTTGCTTCCGTAGCCATAGGATGACGAAACGAGCCATGTGGGCAAACTAATCATAATCACATCAGCACTTGTCCTACCTCGAGCACTTTCTTGTACACAACTCACAAGGAGGGCCTATCCCAAGCTCAGGATCCGAATCAAAACTAAGAAACAACGTAGTCTCGTCCGGAGTCTGATTGCTGAGCCAGTACCACCGCTGCCCGCTATGATGCCTCACATAATAGACCTCTCCAGCATAAGTTGGCGAGACTCTATCGACAGCCACGAGATCTTCTTCCGCGATAGAGGAGTAATCGCATAAAGCTAGTGGTGCATCTTCGACTGGGTAGTGGAGTGGTTGCCAAAAGCTAGGGAATGAGTATAGATTCTTTTTGGTGCCTGGGAGGAATGCTTACTTCATGATACGGATACGCCAAGTACCATCGAGGTATTTTTCTCGTTCGGGCTTCATGAGGTGGACTGCTGCGCGTTTGAGGCCGTTGGTTCTTGTGTGGTCTCATCAATTTAGTGAATGTTGAGATGTGGAAGTGGAAGAGTCGGATACGAACCTACGTGTGGGGTTTTCGCTGGTTTTTCTGGTAGTGAGTGGCTCCCTGTTACGGATGGGACTTGTTTGTCTTCTGGTGCTAGTGAATCCCATGAGCTGCGGCGAAACTACATTGACGTATCATAAGCATAAGTATTTTCCCGGATAGACGTTAAGGTGAGGAAACGAGAATCTTACATTATAGTCGTAGCACAATACAAGCTCAGCTGCAAACCTCTCTTCCGTAAACTTGGAGATCCCAAGCATGAATCCTTGTACATCCTCCTCCCTCCTACATTCAGTTTCCGAAATCAATCGCCGGTCAAGGAATTGGAAACCGTGTTGCTCTATATCGAGGTCTCTTTCGTAGCCACGTAAGTCTCGGAGGACGACGTTGGGGACAGCGGTGTATTCCAAGTTTGTTCTGTTCTCTTCTTGGTCTGCGGGGAGAGTACCTGAGTAGAAATATGGTTTCTGCGTATCGTACTTTTCACTCCGCTTGATGCAGTAAAAGGTAACTGTAGTCTCTGGGAGCTTTGCAATTGTTTCTGTATCCAGCGGCCAGTCCATGTCTGCTGAAGAGGAATGAATAATCAAAAGCAACAAGTCTTTTGAAATGATGCTGCTGTTGTTTGGAGGGGAGTAGCTTGGCACGTGAATGTCTATAGAAATTGCGAACACTATATTTGTACCACATTCAAGTAAGCTTCGGAATAACTTACGCATGACGTATACCTGGTAGAGTTCCCGTGTCGAATCTAGCCTTTCCCAATCGGAATTGAGTACCGGGCCGCAACGATACATATCCCACGCTTATATTCTCGCGCCTCTTGAAAGCATGAAGCTTATGCTGGCCGTAAGATGCTGAGGATACCGATTGGACTGGACACGACGCACGCATGTATTCCACGGAAAAGAAAAGCAGTTGTATGTCACTCTCATCCTTTAACTCGCCACAGGACGCAAGTAGTTCACAAACGGGGTAATATTCCTACAACTCCAAACTAGACTTCTTATTTTCTATGCAATGGGATGCTTGGAATTCTCTATTTACGAGTTGGCAACGCCGTCCAAGAATAAGGCCCCGTTTTGTTATCTCTCTTAAGTTCCTATGCAGTCAGTGCGTCAAGAAAGTGATTTTATGCATGTTTTATTTTCACGGGGGCAATATTTTCACATTCAGACAGTCCCCGAGAGAGCAAAGAGCGAGTTAAACCACAGTTCCAAATTCTCCTCCTTTAAAAACTATCAAGTATCCTCCACGTACTTACGAGCCTACGTTGAGGTAGGACTCAATGCTGACAAAATATTGCTTACAGGCCTACGTTGAAGTTGAGCCTATAACACTCCGCTTTCATTCCTTAGCCACCAAGGCCACTGGAGAAATCCTCTCCACGGATGACTCTGATAGGTCCCGTCTCCGCCTCACGAGCATCAACCTCAGGGCCACGTTCCTTGATGTCAACAAATCTCTTCCATGGCTGCTCGAGCGCTGGAGCAGCAGCTGGATTGGCATCACGTTGCACCAGATCAGATGAGGGAATGGCAGCTGCGTTTGCGACTGAGCTGCCAAGAGTACTGCCAAGAGCGAGAATATCTAAAGTGATGAGATGTGATGTACTGCAAGCGGCCATGGTAAGTTACTCACAGGTCAATGCTTGAAGGGGGCTTCGAATCGATGCCCACCATCCACCGGATCCATCGTCAGCTGAAGGCATGTTGATGTAAAAGTCAGTCTTGACGACGCTAGATTTGGAAGATTGTGTTGGGCTTCTCTGTCGGCTGTGGAGGTGATGAAGACAAAGTTTTCTGATGAGGTGAGTTGTTGCTTTATATAGTTATTCACGTTAGTCTCACCACCGCAATTTTGGTATCGTGCTTTCGTCAAGAATTTCCGATTTGAAGACACATCCTTTTCGTTTCAAGCTGCAAATTTGTGATGTCATGAAATTGACAGCTGGTCCATTTCTGCCATTGATATTGACCCATAGGATCGTGAATCCGTAGTTTCAGCTCCCCTACGCCCTCACATGCCCTCGAAATCAAGGATGAATTCTTGTTTAGTTGATTATTTAACTTTATGCCGTCTCCGTGCCGTCTTTGTGGCGCTTGTGAGTTGTCTCCGTGCCTCTCTCCGGGAAGATTGTGCCCCCTCAAGCGCATTTACATCCACGGCCGTAAACACCCCCACTAAAAGTTGTATAATTGCATTTTCCTATTTCGTTCAGAGTACATCTTGTGCCACGATCAGACGCATTGTAAGCAAGAACAATTCCTGTTTACGCAAGAAGTGAAACAAGTACGCAAGGGTGAATTCTTGTTTGTTAAACTCCTCTGACGTGTGCCGCCACAAGATAAGGGCAACCTTGTCTATTCTTCTTACGTGTAATGCAAAGTCCTCTGCAGAAGGATTTCTGACTCGGAAGGATCTCCGTACAGCTCTCAAACGTTGAATGCTGGAATAACAAAGCGTCTTCCTTGAGAGGCAGAACGTCTTCAGCAGTTGAACAGATTCTCCATTCTTGTTCAAAGCTTTTAGATCCTCATTGTTATATTCGTACTTTCAAGGAATTCATACTCACCATGTCCATGGTCCAGTTCCTGTGGTCTCCTTGGAGTTCAAAAACACAGGAAACGAAGGCTCGATTGACACATCTCGCTGATCTGGGTATCTACAAACATGAAAAGCCCTACGAACTGTGGGTAAATGCCGAACCCGAAATCCCAAGAACAAACTGCAAGTTCGTCGATCATGATGTACCGATCGAAGATGTCCGCTCCAATTCAACGCTTTCGAACATTGATAAGACTGGCGTCAAGTTCCTGTCCCATAAGTCTGCCTATTCCTTCGAAGAGGGTCGTCCACATCAAGACAATATGGCAGGTTACTTGGCAGAATCAACGGAGCTCTTGAAAGCTGAGCTGGGTGCAGAAAAAGTCTTTATCTTCGACTGGAGAGTATGGTACATTGATTCTTGACCTTAATAACTTGACTCACCGACTTCCACAGTACCGTAAAAACAACTTCGGCGGTTCAAAGCCAAGCTTCGACTTCTTGACAGCGAAGACACCACGATCTCATGCTCATAATCCATCTCATGTGGTTCATTCAGGTTTCCATCCTCATACTTTTGCGTCATAGATTACTGATTGTTGCCAGATGAATCGTTCGACAGCGGAAAAGCTAAGATGAGGCGTTACCTGACGGAGAAGGAACAAGATGAGTTCGACTTCGAGCATTATCGAGTTCGTATCGTGAAGTGAGTAAATTAATTCAAGATAACCTCCATATCTAATTACACAAAATCTAGTCTCTGGCGACCTCTCATTCCAGTGGTCGAAGACGCTCCACTTGTGTTTGCCGATCGTCGCACTGTCAAGGGCTCGGATTTCATTCCCTTCGATCGAGTGCTGAATGATCGGGTTGTAGAGGAATTATACATGGTACATCATCCGCATCACCATTGGTTTTGGCTCTCGAAGCAGAAATGTTCAGAACCAGTGATGTTCGTGACTTGGGACTCGTTATGCAAGACATCTGACCAGCCAGTGGGTGTGTTTCACTTTTTCTGAAAGTAGTAGGGAAACTGTTGATGCTGACTTTCTGAAGCTAGTGTCCCGCATACTTCCTTTATCAGTCCGAATGATGCTGGCAATTACACTTCGCGGGAGAGCATTGAGTTAAGGTCTATCATCATTACGAGGAGGAGCTAGCTTGCTACAAGGGGTCTAGCATCTGAGAAGTTTGTTGCTTTTCGCATTCCACATATGGTTCTTCGGTTCTATAAAAGGATGAAATAAGTTTTGGAGACCATGGCTTGTGGAATGACTAAAGTTGCGATACGTTCATGACATAAATAGCTATATCGCAAGGAAGTTCGCCTTAAAAAGGTTTTAGTCTCATCATGAGAGCCTTGTGGGAGTCACTAAAGCTAAGACTAGAAGAGGTTCAAGGAAGCAGTGAATTCAAATACGCCTTGGCAAGACGTCACGTACCCCATATGCTCAAATGAATGTATTGTCTCGTGTTTGAGATACTCTCGACACTTCTCCAGTTCTTTCGTCTCTCGATGAGGTGCATCAAGACAAATCTTAGCAGCAGCAGCATCACCAGGAATTTGCAGCGCATTCTTATTCAAATCAAGGTAAATATGCATGATCCAGAGTTAAACTAAATCGAAGTTAAATGAACTACCATGGATGGAGCTGGATTGAATTGGAGTAAGGCCCCTCATTCAATTCAGTTATTTGAAGTCTTCATGTGTAGCTGCTGAAGTGACGCCGGAAGAGATCAATAAGAGTGAGTACCTAAGCGAAGATCCAACTCGCTTAGTCGGGGGGCTAAATAACTTTATATAGAACTACGAAGTAAATCTGTCAGCCACGCTACTTAATATTGAGAGGAGTGAATAAATTTCGCAATGACAAATCACTTTCCACCATCAGCAAGTTTCCCAATACCTGATCGTTTCCGCTAACACATTCACTTGTCTGAGGCAGGCTAGCGGCTCATCAATTAACGATGATACCACGGTCCGTGAAAGCTCTACATCTCATCCAGTTCTCACTTTTTCAAAGCCTCGTCAAGTTTACGATTAGTCTTTAAGATTGTCAGTATCTTCCTCATCCAATCGCCAAAGAACACAACTTACATGGTCAAAAGAATTGAAGCCGTACAGGTAAGCATCATATAACGGATGCGTATCACCAGGAGAATCATCAATATGCTTCTTGTCCCATCCAATCGGAACCGCCATGAAAGGCCTAGCCTTCAACATTTTATCCCGTCCTTGTTGAGCCGGGCCGTCTTCCAAGTGCACCATCTTGTGCATGCCTCTCGCTTTGTCCCGAACAGAATCGACTCTTGGCAGGCGAAGGTTTTGAAAGATATCAAGAAGCTTCGGGATATCGTCTGTTGAAGTTGCTCGAGCAAGACATTCGGCAAGGCAGGCTGAGTCTTCAATCCCCATGGCAGCACCCTGAGCAGCAAATGGGAGCATGGCGTGAGCGGCGTCGCCTACTATCACAACCTTTCCACTTTTACTGACCCAAGTATCGATCCTAGGAAGTTCTGGGAATCGCCAGACTAGACAGTGATCTGACTCGACATACTTTACGACGTTTGCAGCCATAGGATGGAAGCCTTTGAACCTTTCCACAACATCGGAGACTGGTACTTGCTTAGTCCAGTCTCCTTCACTGCCGAGCAGTTGATCGAGGGACAAAATCATGATGAAGCGGTCTCGAGTTAAGAAGTTTGTAGCGATGAGTTGGCGGCCTGGGGCAAGCCAGATCGAGTTCTCGTCTAGCATTGGCGAGACTTCCTGGTCAGCGGAGAGCAAAGAGCGCTCAACATCGATGTAGTAAGCACTGATATGATCTAGGCGGGTAATTTTCTCCCCGGGCAGAACAGCTTCCCGGACGACAGAATTGACACCTGATATTGTTAGTAGATTCATTAGCTCGCAGAAGGACTGAATTTACCATCTGCTCCAACGATCAAATCGGCCCCTATGACTTCACCATTCTTCAACATAGCCGCTGGTAGTGCTTGATCTATACTGTCGATGGGGCATCCAAGCCTAATCTCAATTCCTGCAGCCTTGGCTGCAGTCATCAAGGCTTCTTGGAGATCACTACGTGCGAGTCTCCAATTACTTCAAGAGGTTAGACGCATATAGGATTTTTGGTTCTTTTGCTTACGGAGCACCATAATCCTCTTCTACAAGAATTGCGTCCATGTGGCATATTGTCTCCGCAGTGTCATATCTCCGGAAATGGATGCCTTTCATATGACTATCCACTTTCGGTGCTATAAGATCATACAGCCCATATTCCACGAGAACTCTAGCCGGGTTTGGTGGGACATTGATTACACCTCCGATCGGTCGAGGATTTGCGACTTTTTCGAGGATGGTGACATTGTGGCCTTTGCGCTTGAGAGAGATGGCAGTGGAAAGCCCAACAATACCAGCCCCGATGACGAGAACACGAAATGAGGGAGCCATGATGGGGAGTTCAAGTGCAAGATAATTTGAGATTTATTGTTCGAGACACCGAGAGAAAGAAGACTTGCGGAATGATCTGGGCATCGGTCTTATATGAAGAAAACCAATATTGAGTACGGACATAAGCCTCGTACCTCGAGCTCGGGATTGCGAAAGAGCGAGAGCTTTTTGAGAGAGTAAGCACAAATCAAAAATTTCCAGCCAGAGTATGCATGCGTTCATTGGCACCTTTCTATTTTGATCACACTTTGCTTACCATGATGAGGCTGTTCGGCTTGAGTGGTTGCGGTACGACGATTGCTCCATGGAACTATTCAATGTCCAATCACAAGGCGCTCCGAGTTTTAGTCCATTTCTGTTACATTACTAATACAAGTAGGCAGGGTCAATCTCCCGCCCCGAGCCCGAGTTTGCTGTGCCTCAATGAGCACGTGCACGTCAGACAGCCTCTGCCTGACATCGAGTTGGCATTCATAGGAATTTTCAATCGATATTCCACTTGATAGTTGGATCTGATTGATAATAAACTATGTCTCTGTATGTTGAGACCCGAGAACGGAATATGAACAGGGGACCAACACCTGTCTGGCGCAAGACTAGCCGTCTGAAGGTTAAGACTGGCTGTACAACATGCAAGTAAGTTTTGACCATCCCAGAATCGGCTTGCGAGCTAACGACCTAGACTGCGACGGGTCAAATGTGATGAAAATAGACCTTTCTGCAAGAAATGCAGCGGCTTTGGGCGTAAATGTGGTGGATACGACTCGTCCGTCCATCGGTCCGAGCCACCTGACAACAGTCTGCAACCACACTCCACAGTTCCAAAGTGTCAAGCCAAGCCCTTACCAGCTATTATACCGCAGCCGATTGATAGTCTGCATTTTGGTAGCGAGCGGGAGGCCCGTTACTTCCGGGTTTTCCGAGACCAAGCAGCTCATGAACTTGCAGGGGCGTTCCAACTCTACCTTTGGAATCGGCTAGTGCTGCAAGTATCTCAAGACGAACCGTTCGTTAAGCATGCCATTATTGCTCTTGGTGCATTGAACTTGGCTCACAAGTCTCGGCCGATTAAAGCTTCTTTCTGTTTGCGGACAGATCCCCGCGACCCTGACGACCACTACAGATTCGCACTCGAGCAGTATGATAGAGCGGTGAGATACATGAGAACTTCCATCTCTGATCTCGATCGCGATCTATGGAGGGCACTCCTGTCTTGTCTTTTCATATACTGTTTTGAGTGTTTTCAAGGACGGAGAGACTTGGCAATATCCAATGCTAAAAGCGGGCAGTTGTTGGTGCAGGAGCAGATCATGTTGCAAGCTCGGCGGAAGATGAAAGGAAATCACCAGAAAACTCATTTTATTGAGGGCACTATCATACAGGCGTTCGGTCGGCTAGATCTTCTCATTCTTACCGCAGCGGATACGAGAAGTACAGCAGAACATCGCGGCTTCGAGCCAGAAGGGTGTATATTTTTAACCCGAATGCCATCCAAGTTCGGCTCAATATATGAAGCTAAGAATCACTTCGAACTTCTTATGCGAAAGATCGGTCACTTCATGGGGTCAGCCCTCGAAACTATCGATACTCGTCCTTCGGGGGCATCGGTCCATGAATCCGAGAAGGCAGCACAAGTCCCGCCTGGTACTAGCATATACTCTTACCAAGGTGCAGTGTTACGCGCAGAGTATTTGTCTGCACATGCCAAACTATCGGCAGATCTCCACGCTTGGTTCGTAGCTTTTGCAACCGTTGTCCACAAGCTCGCTGGTATCAAAGAGGAAGACACTTCATGGCAGGCAATGGCACGTCTCTACATACACTCTCATGCCCACAAAATCATGCTTGCCAGCATGGTATCAACATCCCAAATGTACTACGATGACTTCATCCCGGACTTCAAAACCATAGTCTTCCACGCCTCACCGATTTTTCATCGGTCGTCCAAGATGATTCAGCCAAACTTCACCTTTGACATCTCGCTGAAGCCCCCAGTGGCCTTTGTTGCTTTTTGTTGTCGAGACTGGACAGTGCGGAGACAAGCATTGGCATTGCTGAAGCTACCAAGTACTCAACAAGATGTTTTCTGGAATAAGGATATGCTGGCGGCACAAGCGCAAATGATTATGGAGATGGAGGAGGAGGGATTAAGGTTCAGAGAAATGATACCCGAGAAGAAGCGGGCGAGGACTCTGAATGTTGATGTGGACGAGGTAAAGAGGTCTGCAAACGTAGGAGTCGTTCAGGGAAGGGGCGAAGAGCAAGTGGTCTGCCAAAAAGTGATCAAGTGGTGATTTTTCTCTACCCAATTTTACAGTATAGCATCACGGTCCTCACAACCCACCAAACTTGACCACAAATGTTTCCAAACTTCCAAAACTTGTCTTCAGTTCCTCTATACCACCTTTCTTCAAGGTAGCCTCTCTTTCCTGTTCGTTGATTAAATTTCGTCATTATTAAAGTCTCCATAGCTAATACGTACCTGCTCACTCTCCCAGCCGATTGCCCCCATGAAAGTTCTTTCTTCCACATTCTGACTGACACCATTCAAACTTTCCACTTCCCCGATTCCATTAAGGAACTTTTGCCAAGCCTCTTTGACTACGTCTTCCTTCTCTTTGTTATCCCCAATCTTAACCTTGAAGACCTCAGTAAGAGGAGATCCGAAAACAGTCGCAGGCCCGACGTTCGTTTCGTATAGTTGAGGAAATACGATGGCGCTCACTATGGGAATCAGGCGAGCTCTGAAGGCTGCGAATTCCTCGCCACTGACGACAGCTTGGAAATCCGATACCGCTTCCCATTCTGTTTTGATTTCCGTTAAAATAGTAGTTCGAGAATGACAATGGCACAGAAAGTGTGTGAAAGATTCGCCTCACGATCAAAAGTAAAGGCAAATAAGACATACCAAGACCCAGTACCGGTTGGAAGACAGAAGAGACATCCAAATCATTGGATATCACCATTAATCCGATAGTATTAAATTTCAATCCTTTCTTTCCCTTGACGAGAGTTGCGAGGGTAGGCCAAAGACTGTCTGTGAAAAGTTCACGACTAGCTTGGTCTTGCTTAAGAGGAGGGATGGCGAGTTCTGTGATTGGCATATTGAGAAACTTGGGTGATGCAAAGTTCGGAGGATAAGGATCCTAATTTCGTAAAGTAATGGCGATTATTTACTCCTGGGTGTCTGATCTCTAGAACGAGCAGGTATATTTATACAGAATACTTGGAGCAGAATACCTATCCGGAAAGATTCGGATCATCAACTTGTTCATCCGCACGGGTCATCTTTTCATTTTGCTCATTCTCTTCTTGGTAGATTCAAGCTTACGGCGTGACCAAGTTATTTCCAGCTGACCAATCATCACAGTGCGGAATTCCGCAGTGGCGTAGCCCCTAAGTCTAAGCTCGCTTAAGCTTGCAAAAGCCTCCACATCATCACGTCTGTTCCAACGACACGCTTTTGTTCTGCAAGCGGAACTCCGCAGGAATGAATTCAGACATCACGCTAACAGCATTAATGCATCATAGCCAGACGAGGAGGAAGGCCTGTGAGCAATGCGTGAGGGGGAAGCGACGATGTGATCTATTGGTTCCGCGTTGTAGCAGGTGTGCGAAAAGACGTGTGGACTGTGAATATGTGAGTTTCATCCTTTGGAAAAAAGTGAAATACCGAGCGGAGGTACAATTTGGGTCACTGACGGAAGTTAGGCAGGAGTAAAGGATGTCTTGGAACCCTTACAGTCGGCACCGTTCTGCGGTCCAGCGAGGTCTACACGATCAACAAATTTGACGATTGAACCACTTTCAAAGACATTTGAGCTTCAAGAATTGTTGTTTCCCCTCAACTCAATCGACAGTCCTGTTCGAGTCGCCCACACCCCTCTCCAATTCAATTACCTGACGACCTATTTCCGAATCAGTATCAGGTCTCTTGCCCTCCAGAGTCGCACCTTTTTCATCCATCCATCGTTCTTACGCAATCTAATTCCCACCCCCTTAGAGTCCGCCATCTCTGTTTGCGCGCTCTCGACGTTGAACTCCCCTTCTACCTTTGATGTCCTCGATTCTTACCTCAAGACTCTCATCACTTCATCACCAGCCACTTTCTACTCACCTTCCACGATCTTATTTTCTGTCCAAGCCCTCATCATCTTTCAAACCATCCGACTCCTGTCATCAGACGAACGTCGCCTCCTCCACGCTGAAGCTAATTTTCCCCTCCTCAATACTTGGACCATCGCTCTTCAAACCGCGTATTTTTCTTTACCTTCGGATTCCACTTCATATAAAGACTGGGTCCTGAAGGAAAGTGTTCGTCGAACAATATTGACTTCTGTTCTTCTGAGATCCATGTACGGAACCCTTAGAGATGGGTACACAGATTTAGTCCCTCTCCTAGCTTCGTTGCCAGTATCATCTAATGGGAAATTCTGGGAACTGGAGAGAAACGAGAGTAGGTGGGAAGGAGTAAGGAAAGAGGAAGTGAGTACCTACTGGGAATTCGTTGGGGCTTGGATCAGTGAAAGTGCTTCTAATGGAAAAAGCGAGAAAGGGGAGTTCGAGAGGGTCTTATTGTGCTTGGAAGAGGACGGAAAAGTTGGAGAGGCAGGTCGAGAATTGATTAGTAACGTGAAGTTTGGTGCGCTGTGAAATGGCGGAGTATAAACTATTGTGATATTCTGCGAATAAAGTGAAGTATCCAAAGTATGGCAAGCTTTTGGGTAGCGAGTCATCTACATTCACCCTATGGATGGTAACGAATTGAATAGTCTCTAAGGTGTGTTATTTTTTTTTTCCTTTTGGAGAACTTTTCGTTGTTGATCAATCGCATTGAAGAAATATACCTAAGATTTGGAACTCGGTACATTTTTCTCGATTACCTCATTCAGCTCTGGCAACGCTTTCCTAAGTATAAACGTATACATAAGAGTTAAAAACTATAAAGACAATATAGGAGACATTGTTGTGGAGAGGCGGACTAGAGAGCGGGGAGTGGGCAGCGGGGTAGCAGAGACAGCGCGTACAGCGCGCACAACGGAGACCGCGCAAGTAGCGCAGCCAGCGCAGCCAGCGCAAATAGCGCATGTGGTGGAGATAGCGGGACCAGAACACGGCTTTTATACTGTCGCTATTTATTTGATGACTGTACATTTTTCTGTTAAATTGTGGTTTGCAATTGTGTGTATTTACGTATACCTGGATGAGATGTTTTCAATTTTGCAAAGAGAATAGACCGGAGTTCCCCCTCGCGTCATGAAAGAATTGTCACACGAAAGTAAAAAGGAGATCAATTGAGATATTACCACTTAGATCTAGCTTAGAAGCTCTGCAACATTTTCGAAACGTGGCTTCAGAACAGAAAGGAAGGGAGCAGGATGACTATTTTGGGCATGAATTAGTTTCTACTTCCCAGACCGTCTGGGTTGAGGATGTATTTACCTGACGATACCAGTACTGAACGTTGGAGCGGGTATGATATCATTACCGTTGATGTCTTTGGGTCTCGAAATCTCGAGTGTTGCGAGCATGGTTGCCATGACCATCCACACGCTTGCTGTAGCCAAGTGGCGTCCGGGGCATATTCTGTGTGCAGCAATTAGCGAGTTCATTCCATGAAAGACAAGACAACGCCCATGGTAAAAAAGATGGAAGTCATGTCACTCTCCATCACTTGGATGTATCTCGAAAGACTCTTCTCATGCGGAATATCGTATAGCTAGAGACGAAGTGGGTTTGGATAACATACCTACGACCGAAGCCGAACTGGCCTATGGGTAGAGGCTCACCAGCTCCACCTTTCTCTATTGGAAGATATCGAGAGGGATTGAACGTCCCGGGGTCTTTGTAAACATTCTCATCCCGCAACATGGCGTACGCGTTTGCGACCATTGTAGATCTGTCATTGTTAGCCACAATAGGGGTTCAGCCAATTGCGCGCATCACCCACCCTATGTAGTCATATTAGCCCACGGACACTGTTCTCTGACACGCGACAGACCTACCTTTAGGAATGAAGTATCCCTTGTATGTTCCATCCTCTGCAGACTTGTGGGGCACACCTGTATATCACGTCAGCTGACTCAGCCCGAGATGTTATAAATCTCTCACCCAAAGGCACGACCGGGTATCGCCTAGATAGAAGTTAGTAGATGCTATGATGATGATTGTTCTTTGCTCACCTAAAGACTTCTTGCATGATACAGTCGACGTATGGAAGTTTATCTCGGTCTGCGAAAGTAGGCAGACGCTCCTTTCCAATCACGGACTCAATTTCTTCCCACCCCTTTCGCTGCACTTCCGGATGCTCAGTCATGTTTAGTACAAACATAGAGAGAGTAGCCAAGGACTATGTCTGAATTAATCCCCAAACTTGATTGCTGGAAGTAGGACTGTGCATACGGTATCTTGACCAGCGACATATATTGTGCCAGCAGCACCATTAACATCTGCGTCTGTCAAGGTGTTTATTTGAGCTTCGGTGTCTTTCTTCTCGTTCTCGTCGTTTTCTGCCATCTCTTCAAGCATTTTCTTGACGAAGGATGTCTCTGCGACCCCATGGGACTGTTAAGTCAGTCTGAATTCTGTATCATGTTCCAACGAGCACGTACCATGGCGGTCTTCACGGCAGCAAAAGGCAAATCGTGAAGAGCGCGGACGTAGGGGTAGTATTCGCGTGCGAGTTTGAGTGAAGGGAGAATGCTTAGCCACTTTGGTAAATATCGAACTTGTTCTTATTAGTAAGACCTGTGAAACACACAACTTTGCACTCACGAAATGGAAAGTTGTCCACCATTGTTGCACCAGTTTGGCCTGCATTGCTTATAATGAACGACGCTTTCTTCGCGAGCTCGACGTATGGATCATCGTTCTCTCCCACCGTGATGCCATACGCGATGCGCAGGATGACCGTTGTGCCAAACCTAAGACGAGGTTAGACTGTCAGCAGAGTTAAAGTATTTGCTTACATGATAAGGTGCGACTGCCAGTCTTGAGGCGTTTTCAAAATCCGTCCAACAACTTTGCGCGCTTCCATTTCTTGAGCTTCTCTGTACGGCACACAATTTGCGGTCGTAAATGCATTTTGAAACATTTTCCGGTGGCGTCTAAACGATGGTCCAGATGAGAAGAAAGCTAGGTTTCGCTGCCATCCTTGTCTATCGCCGTGTCAATATGTAAGCCATCAAGGCAGGCGCGTCATATTGTAGCTTACTCTTTCATGAAAGGGAAGTCTGGTCTGTCACTATACTTTGCTCCTCTTCTGTCAAGCAGTTCCATCGCTGCTTGCACACTGTTGAGGACGATCGTTGACTTTCCAAAGAAGTTGAGATACAGGATGTCGGTGTCTGCAAGGTGTCAATACATCTACATCTGATGGAAGCTTTGTGTGAAACAGACTGTGTTCTTTCCCCCATTTCACATAGGTCAGCTCAGGCCTCTCGGCCGGCACCACTCTTACATGTCCTATGATGGGATCTGCAGGAGGGCTGGGAGGCAATGGTTCTCTATTCTTTTTGTTGCCTCTGGGGCTAAATGCCCACCAGAGGAACCCAAAGAAAAGGAAACCTAGAAGTACTGGAAGCAGGGGAAGCATTGCGATCGTTCAAGTTGAAAGTTTCTGTGATGTTTGGAATATGATTGAAAGTCGAGAATCTGGGGCGACGTGACATTCTTCATTGTTGTTCCCCTCTTTTGACTGAGGGCATAGTATTGACTCCACACCATCAGGTTGAGTGAGCCACACTTACTGGCTGCACTGTAATAGCTTCATGTGGAGTATGTTACACAGCAGACACTCAAAAGGTCAATAGCCCCGTGCCAAGAGTGGTGATCTGCTTTATGTTATGAATTTCACCCTGGATTCCGAATGCGAGTATCCCGAAGTGTTCACCGTCATCTCTTCTGTGTTTGTTACGAGCAAAATGACTGAAAGACTACTGCATGTAAGATTGCCAACACTACACGATGATAAGAAGAAGACCTATAGCATACTCGAACACATTCAGAGTAGGTGTGAAGAGAGATGTGAAGTAGAGTCAGATGAACTTGATTCGCGGCCAAAGAAGGATGAAGGCTGCGATACCTCGATCACCTGGGTGCTAGATAATCCATAATCATTGTTGAATGAGAATGTTCTGGACTCACTTAGCCTTAGCAACGTAGCATTGTGGGTATATTCCCCCGCCTGCATTCTCTTCGTGTCGATGCACTCACTTTGTGAATTTCTTGTATATCTTAAGCGAGTTTTCAGTATGGATGCTGGTAGCAGACGAGTTATGTATCTTTCTTGACGCCGAGGTAACTCGAGAGTTAGTGAGCCTTATACAATGGATGAAGCAAAGAGGCATATCTTCAAGCAAGTACTACTTTGAGGTGTTTTTGTGGCACAGTGGACAAAGTTACCACTACTGCAGGGTCCCGATAAGGTAAACGGGTAATGGGGCGGGGAGAGTGGGGCCGAGCCATGCAAGCCTTAAGAGAACCAATCGCTGCCTAGTGGCGAATGCTGGTGATTCCTGGCACCTACCTGCATAGTGCAACGAGGGATCCTTGGGAGCTCTTCGTGATTCCAAAACAGTTTGCCATCGATTATTCTTGACCTTTAAATTTCGTCTGACAGTCTTCATCACTTTCAAATAAATGTGTTGATTAGACTCAGTAATGAAGTGATAGTGACTTTTCAGTGTCCAGTTTCTTGTGCTTGATATGAGCAGGGCTCTCCTTGGCAGACTTCACATGCAGGTTTTCAGAAAACTCTGATTCCTCTCAATCCGGTAACCACCTTTTCCTTGCAGTCCACCCATTCAACATCACCAATCCACTTTGCAGGCCTGACTTTAACCGGCTCCCTAGCGTTGCAATACAGGCGATCATAGTCCGACTGAGTCATATCTTACGAAATAAAAAGAGCCAGGATGGGTGGCATGCGTGTCAAGGACGTATCTCTCAGCCACATTATCGCTGATGCAGCCTTATTCGTCCTTCTTGTTCAGATGACGCCTTTTTAGTGGTGGGGTTGGAGAGCCTCAATAATGATGACACTTAATAAGCATCTATACAGTGTAGATCCTATATGTATTCGGAGTACGAAAGGGGTCGTAGGAAAACTCTTGGGGCTCGATTCGTTCGCTGTTTCTTTTGTTTGGACGGCGTGGAAGTAGCGCAATCAAGGAGATACTATCATTACAATCGGCACCCTCAACGAAATTGTGTTCGGGATCAGTATCGAGGGCCATAATACTAATTTCATGCTTAGCGAATAATTATAAAACGACAACTTGTTTGCTAAACCCACTTGTGAGTTTCGGTATAAATGATGCACTGACGATTCCAGAGAGTGGTTTTTCCTTGGGAGCTCGCCTAGTCTCTATGCAGTAGCTCACTGGTTCGAGGGTACATTTGCATACAAGGTGATGATATTTGGATCATGATATCAGTGTGTATTATTCGCTCCCAATAATAAAAGGCTAACTACAGAACTCCAGAAGCATCTCAAACACCTTTCAAAGCCAGCGGCCAAACCAATTCAAGACTTGTTTGACCGAATCTTCTAAGCAAGCCCTCTCTTGCGGGTCATCAGGATTCCCTCTCACAGCAAAGCCATGTCGGCCAGGTTTGTACACTTTATGCTCCATCTCTGGCACCTTTCTCCCTGCTTTCTTGGCGTTTGCATGGATGTCCTCTATCTTGCCTTTCGACTCAATACTGACTTGGGGATCTTCCTGACCCCAACCATAGCTGGTAGGTACGACCAAGGTCTCAACATCGGCCGGTATGGCCAAATGACTTGGATGCAAGGCCACAACTGCATCCACCAGAGGGACCTTGCTCCCGTTGACTTCAATCTTGTTGCTCTCCAAACCCGCTCGAATTGCGTACTTCCCTCCCCAGCAGAATCCGACCATCCCGATCTTCTGGCTGCTTGGGGTTGCACGTCTCAATTTCTGCAGGAAATCCATACAGACTTCGTTTGTTGGTCCTTCTTTGTGTCTTGTCATCCACATAACGAAAGACGGTGCGGATGCCAGAATGCCTGTATACTTTCCAAGCGTTGACTGTTTCTTTGCATTCACTGGAATGAGAAGATCAGCAATCTTGAGTGGCACGGCATCACCCTTGAAGAAGTCCGGGAGGTAGACAAGGTACTCCCCGCTCTTGGCGTACTGGTCCACAATGAGTTTGTTGTTGGGTAATAGCAAGCCGAAAATGTCTGAGTATACGACTATGATGCCTCGTGGGTTGGTCCGGTTGCCAACCACGTATGTATTGAGGCCATGGACCATCTCTTCTTTGCCAATTGGTTGTCCTTCGTGGACAGTACCCTGTTACAGTGAGCTGTGTTCTGAACAGTTTGAGGTATAGTAGTACCTTGATACATTCGCTGCAATCTGGAGGAGCCATGGTGGGAGTTGAAGACGTGTATCAGTTGCAGATATACTGTGCTTTGCGGTGGGTCAGGTGGGGCAGATCAGCTGATCCAAGGTGGCAGTTGATCGTGTTGTTGAGTTGTCTGATTGTTGAACAGGCAATGTACGCAATGGTCGTAAGATTGGTAGGTGGGTAGGTATAATGAAGGAAAAGGAAGGAAACTCAAAACGAACGATATCGTCACTTATATATTCAATGTTCAAACATGTCAAACCTCCCACCAAAGCTGCGCCGTTGAGCTACGCCGCACGCGGCATAGGTGACTAAGGCTTTGCACTAAGCCTATTGCGGCTCAATGCGCGAACAACCTTGTCTCTTTCCTCCTCTCCAAAAGCTCACTCTTGCCTTCCACAAGTCTAAACCTATCTCGATACCGTCCAGGAGGTTACTACACGGCATGAGGAGTCGTCGTTACGTTCCGGGCACGGTAGGAATCGGCAAGGAATCTGTCCGCTCTCACTCTTGTGGCTTCTCCATGAGATTTTTCATTGGTGACATTAACGCCATGGATGCGTCTACAACTTTTTCGCTGTCTACTTACAGTAGCTGCCGGCTTTGCGATCACGTGGGAGCTCCTTCCCTTCCTCCAGAGCTTCCGGAAGACTATTCCCGGCTATTACGTAGATTGAGCTTTCCGCCGTGTAGATATCCATGGAGAAGGCAAATAATGTATTGTCTCCTCGTCAGCTTCACTGGGTAAACCAACTTCCCATTTAGACGTAGTCGCTGCTGACACAATATGATGAGATTCTCAATCGGACGAGATGAATTCGGCCATAACTTTGCTATTCATATATTTTATTTTCGCTAAGTGACTAAGGGGAGACTTTCGCCAAGCATGACCCCACTATTCTAACCGAATAAGGACTAAGCGCACGGCGTTCTGGTGAGGCTGATTTCCAGAGCGGCCCCCACGAGACCTCGAGGCTGTGGTGTTGTCCATCCGATCGTCGAGACAATGGACAATCACTCCGTTGCCTGGCGCTCTGGTGGTACTTTCTCTTACCATAGCTTGATTTACGCTTTGTTGGGCATTCTGCTTCCGAATGATCTCCAATGTCGTTCGGTTTCTCCATCGGAGACTTCCTCGCCTTGACCCAGCTGGCTTCCAATGTGGTATCAGGCGCCCGCAGAGCCTGTGGAGCTCACAATGAGCTCACACGAGAAGTAAATAGTCTCCACATCGTGCTACGGCAGCTCTCCCGCGAGGTTTCGAAACCAAAGTCGATTCTCAACTCCGAAAATGCTGAACGAAAAGCAGAGCTTGCAACGCTCGTCGAACACTGCCACAAAGTCTTGAAGGTCCTGGACGATATATTGAAGAAGTACAACGGGTTACCGGACGAAAAGAGGAGGGTTACAAAGCTCTGGAAGAGAGTGCAATTTGGCAATGGGGAGATGCAAGACTTAAGCAAAATCAGGCTGGAACTGTCAACACACACGAATATCATCACAATGTTTCTCAACTTGTCTGCTGCCGGGTCACTGGGAAAGGTCGAAGAGCATATGAATAGCCATGGGGAAGAGCTCAAGGCTGTGCGGCGATCTGTGAATTGGGTTACTGCAACGATGCAGGCAAGTTCTGGACATGAGGGGTCGATTCTTACAACCTACGCAAATGACGATAAAGCCTTCTAGAAAGAATTCCGCCGAGAACTGGTCAAGGAGGGCTACTCAAGTACTGTACTCAGCAAGTACAAGACTCTCATCAGAGGCTATGTCAAAGAGCTTGGTGATCGTGGAGCTTTGGATGAACTGTCCCTGGAAGATATCGAAGAGGATACCAGCGACAATGCTCCAGACATTTTTCATGAAAATCTGGTCTCGGAAGAGAGGAAAGCTAGCCCGCAGGAAGAGTCAACCGCAGACTCTACAGACTCTACACTAGCAGTACACAACGAGGTTCTTGTTGACGATGCGGTGCAGCATTCGTGGGTAGAGATTAGAAAATCATACACGCCCTCAACGGACGAAGAAGTTACCGAGCCCTACGATAGAGCACCCAGTCAGCAGACTCACGATCCATATGTCGAGGGCGAGCGTTCGGATGATGACAAGCCGTTCTCGTCGTGGAGCTCATCTTGGGTGACGAAAACGGGAAATAAGGAAGGCGAGTCTGACGCCACTACCAACAAATCGATTGATCTTGGCGGAATTGGAGCACTCAGGACTGCAACAACAGCTCCTGGATCACCTGTTTTCATTACCGACAATTCAAAAGGTCCTGGGACTGGCGTTCATATTTGGGACTCAGCATTACCATTTCCACCAACCTCTTTGGCTCCGTCCCACGAATTAAATTTGATTTCGCTTGTTCTTGACACGTCTATTATACCACTTTGCCAACAATTTGCAAGGAGTCAAGACACGGATTCGCGTAGACAGCATCGACGGCGGCTCTCGAATTTGAGGGCATTAATCAGGAAACTAGTATTGCGCAGACTTGATGCTGTCGACTCCCTTGTTTCTGTGACTGGCGAGTACGTCTACCAATCTCGAAATTCGGAAGCTGTATTGAAGAAAAGAAACTTGTTACAGCGGACCGAAGCTGTGCTTGAAAACTTACACAACCTATATCACAAGGGAGTATACATGGACTTCTCCTTGTATTTGAGCCATAATTATCTAGCGTCATCAAGGCCAGAAGACCGAGACTACGGCACAACATATCCGTCTCGTGAACGCGAAAACACACCTTCGCGAGATCCGCCAAAAGATTCAACTCATTGGTCGCCTGTACTAGCACCAAACACGTCACAAAATAATCTTCGCCAGCATGAGGTCTCGTTTTAGGAGGAGCGTGATATTCTGGCCGAGATCGAAGCTTTGGAGGCCAAGAAAGAAAGTCTACTGGCTGACAAGCGTGCCGAGAAAGAGATACGCGAAGGTACATCTCGCCGGCAACAGGAGACGTCCTCTAAAAACGAACGTGCTATCCTGGCCGAGATCGGAATTTTGACGGCGGAGAAGAAAGTTCTACTCGCCACAAAGCGGACCGACAAGGAGACAAGCAAAGCACATGTTATTTGTCGTCAAGGCGAAGCCTCCAGAAGTGTTCCATGATTGAGGCCCGACGTCTCGATGTTTCTGTCGCTTGGTAGCGTTTTGGATGCGATCTCTCCAGGAAAGTCGTTCTACGGAAAGGCAATATACTGCGATGCCGCAAATTCTATATGTGCGGCACTTTAAAAACGGCTCGTCCTCGCTTTATTCGTTCTCTTGGCTATTCCATGAAAATCATAAAAACTATGGCACGAGTCAACCTAGTTTTACGGACAACCTGAGGCATAGAAATCGGATGTTGACGAAGAGAGAGGCGGTTGTAATGGAGATGTGGTAGCCAGCAAGTCAACAGCAAGTACTCCCCAAGATCGAACAAGACCTCGACCTGCAACGATACACAAGACATGCTCTTCGTATGCAAGAGGAAGACACATCATTTCCAGCATGGGCTTTCACGACAGTAGCGTTTTATTTGGTGGGGCTCATGCACTGCTTTGAGGACCACATTGTACCGAGTGAGCTCGGACGGAAGGCAAGTCTCACTTGGTCACTTTAATTGCGGAGAATCTGTTCGAAGCTAATTGTGGTGAGAGTAGGACTCTCGGAACAAGCTTCAGGAGTTTACCTTCACTTGCATCATGATAATTATTTTATATTCAATCTTTCTATGTACTACACTACAGTCTTACGCCTTTTCAAACTTTAAAATCTCCAATTCCCCAAAAACAACCAGTCAGCCCATGACAGAGAGGTAATCGGAGGTGAATTTTACATATCCCTGGGTAGAAGCGAAGAAGATCCGAATGACACAACATTGTTGCCGCACTAAGCGTCCAAGCTGGAAGGCTTCAAGCTTTCCTAGTCCTCTTTGCCTTCCCACGCCCACTTTGCTTTACGAGCTTTCGCTTTCTAGCTCCTGGCGGCCGGTAACTCTCGTCGGAACCTGACGTGGATTCGGGTTCGGATTCAGAGTCGGAGCTTATGCTAGGTATGACCTCGGCAGCTTTTTCCCCTCCACGTCTACCACCACGATCCAAAGCCTCGTTCGACGATTCCGATGGAGATGGTGCAGTCGACCTACCGCCTTTCTTTGGCGCTTTGACTACTTTCTTCTTCTTCAAGTCCTTCACCTTCTGCTTCTCAAGTTCCAATGCTTCATCACAATCTTCAAGGTCATCCTTTGCCTTCTTATCAGCCTCCTTCAAGTCCTTCACTTTTTGCCTCTCCCGCTCCAATCTGTCGGCACATTTCTCAAAGTCTTTCGTTGCTTCCCTGCCCGTCTTTTTCAAATCCTTGATTTTCCGTTTCGCGTCCTCCAAAGTATCATCGCAGTCTTCGCGCTCTTGTTGGATTTGAACCACCTCGTCGGCGAGTTCTTGAACCCTCGCGTTAGCATCGGCGAGCCCTTGGGTCAACCTCTCGATTTCTGCTTGCGTGTCGTTATCTTGCACTTCGGAGACTAAGCCTTCAACGAGGGCTTCATTCTCGCGGGTGAGCCTGTCAATCTCAGCTTGTGCTATCGCCCTCTCCTCAACACACTCATTAAGATCCGTCGCTACTCTAGCAGCATCAGCTAGCGATTGCGTCAGGGTATCAATTTCAGCTTGTGCCTCGTTGATTTGAACGCCGAATTCGGCACCAACTCGAAGGAAGGCCTCATTTTCAAGGGTGAGCCTGTCAATCTCAGCTTGTGCTACGGCTCTCTCCTCGATACATTCTTCAAGAGCCGCGACTACTCCAGCAGCATCTGCTAGCTCTTGGGTCAATCTCTCGAGGTCTATTCTTGCTTGGTTGCGCTCGCCAAGTGCTGCATCAAGCGCCCCTGTTGCAACATCAAGTCGTGTTTGGAAGTCGAGACGAAGGTTGTTCATTTCTTCGGCCATTTCTGCAGCACGATCAAGTGCCGCGTCCCTTTCGTTTATTGCTTGATCGCGCTCTTCTGTTCTTGCTTCAAGGTCGGTCCTTGCTACTATCAATCGCTCCTCGCCTCGTAGAAGTTCTTGACGGAGAATTTCAAGCTGCTCTTCACAGTCTCCCTGACGGCTAGGATCTTCTTGATCAACAGGATCCTCTTGAGCAGGATTGTCCCGAGCAACAACATCACGAGTCTCTCTGACCATGCGTCCAAGATGAAGTTCCAAGTCACGAACATTAGCTTGCGCAACTTCTCTCTCATCTCGGGCATCGTCTCGTTCACGCACTCTATCACCAAGTCGCGAGATAAGAGTTTCCGTTTCTGCCTGGGCCTGTCTTAACAACGTTGGGTAGTCCACACGAGGGGCAGCCCTACGCATTTCTCTTGCTGCGCTGGCTAGAGTTTCAGCGAAGTTTCGCTCGGCGCGCGCAACATCTCGTTCGGCGCGTGCGACATCTGTCTCCGAACGAGCACGGTCTCTTTCATTCAAAGATCTTGCCAATCGGTCTTCGCAGTCTTCGTTTTGTGGTGGTGGATCTTGATTTTCGTTATCTTGTGCTGCTTCTCTGTCGGCCAAAGCTGACAAGGCTTGGTCTCTTTCGGCTTGAGCCGTTCTTAATAGCTCTTCGCAATCCTGATTGTCCTGCGCTTCTGGATTGTCTTCCAAGTCATCCCTCTCATGAGCCAAAGCTTGATTACGACGTAGACGCGCTTGTTCTCGTTCGTCGTCTAGTTCTTGGTTGAGTGCAACAATTTGACCTTCCAGCTGACGTTGACGCTCCTGGCTTCTCCTAAGTTGTTCCTGGCAGTCCTCATCACCTTCGGGGTTGGGCGGTGGAGCTTGCTCGGAATCATTGGCTCTGCGTCGCTGTGCAAGAAAGTCTTGGCGAGCATCGCGAGCGACGTCTACATTTTCCCTAGCTGCTGCTATTGCGTAGGCCTGCCTTTCATACATGTTCTCCATCTCCCCGAATGTTGTGTTCGCGGGGACAGCACGCCTGAACTCTTCATGCTCTGCCATGACCCCGTCAAAAGCAATGTTCGCTTGACGCACCATTCGATCATAATATGCCAGATCGCGATCCCCACGCCCCACGCCATTATCAAGAGGTTGAGCCATCTTCAGATTCCGATTACGAGTTTACACTTGCCGGTGTCAATGATTTGGGTTTAGAATGAATGGGCATCCTTAAAATACATGAGGTTTTCACAACAAAGAGGATGTGCTTCATTCACGACCCCATTGGGGCTGCCGCTTGCGGAAATCTATCAATAATAGTGAATTCGAAACCAAAGAATGCAGGAGAAAGATTCCGCATGCAGCCCTCTCGAGAAATTGAATGTGCCAGCCGGCGCAACAAGCTTTTGTGGGAAACTCACAGCCCGTGGAAGGGTTGCTTACTGGTTGCGAGGAAATGACGGAAGGACTTCTGGCAATGAATCAACCATATCAGCCTCTCTCGCACTAAAAAAAAACTCTCGTGCCCTTCTACCTTTTCGTCTTGTGGCCGGAGCCTAGGGAGATGGTCAAAAGATTCAGAATACAGTCAAAGAGTCACTATCGTGTGTCAAATATGTACACCACACTCTCCATTTTCCTTCCACATCCTTCTTTGCCTTGCCCTTGTTTGTCTTCTTATCATCTCACTTCACAACTTACGTCCCTCCAATAATGAAAATCTCCCCAGTGCTGTCACTGCTCATAAACAACCTGTCCTTGCTATCCCAAGCTAACCCGGCGGGTCTGAAGCAACTATTCGGGCATGCTCCATTGTTGGCATTATACATGATGTTTACGGCCGCGCTAGTGCTCGTGCTGGGCTCGACCGGGAAGCCGTTCTTGAACAACACTTTGCTGACACGGTAGCCGTCAGGTGGGTTGCGATCCCACGACCCGTGAAATGAGATGTAGGCTGCTGAGCCATCTTTCTTGAACTTGATGTCAATCGGTGCAGTGTGGGCAGGGAAGACGAGCTTGGGTGCTTGAATTTTGGCGCAGTCTGCGTCGCTGAGCTTTTTGACTGAGAGGTCGATGGAGGTTTGCATGCCGATAGTGCCGGAGAGCGTGGTGGGGTCCCAGACTGAAAAACAATTGGGGTAGCCGTAGTTCGCGCCGTGAAGGGAGTTAGAAGTGCTATTGATTGACCCATGGTAGTTGAGCTCTTCAGCGGGATTGTTAGTATGGATGTCGACAGAGTTCTTCTTGATGTCATCCGCGGAGTTTTCAACAGACCACTGCAGGGTTATTGTTAGTGGTGATGCGAGTGGAGCGAAAATGGGGGCGTACGATATCCCCAGTGGTGGGATGTTGTCCCCATCCGACGCTGTTGCGGAGCCCAAACCCAAGGACATCGCCGTTCGTGGAATAGTCCACTGCTTTTCCAGCAAGTAAGTCTGCGATCTTGAAGATGCGCACTTGAGATCTTCCAGATGTAGCATCGACTGTTGCGCTGTCAATGTTCCCGTTCGAACCCCGCTGGACAAGGAGAAGGTCTGGATTTTGTTTCGGGATGAAGAGCGTGCGAGTGAGATGATACGGGCCGTTGATGGTCATGCCCGTGATAACAGCACGCTTATTGGTGGCTGCACCAGTGGCGGCATTGTAGTCGTATGCAAAGACACTAGCGATACTAGAAGTAAAAAGAGTTTTGCCATCTGCAGTAAGTTCCATCCCGTGGTTCAACTGTTCGTCGTCAGTACCTACTTACACATGAGCTTGCTGAATTACCCACAGTACTGTCGGAAACGATAGTCTTCGCCGTAGCACCACAGACATCAAGGCCACCATTATCGGTGATCTGAACCCAGCGCACGCCTAAACCTCCTTGATCCAAAACGAGCAAGTTACCGAGAGGATCAAAGATGATCTCTCGTGGTGCTTTCATGCCGTTGGCGATGACGGTAGCGGTGTATCCAGAGCCCATCACGGGCGTATATGCCGCCTTCATGGAAGGGCATGCTCGTTTCTCGAGGGTTGGAACAGCAGCTGTGAAGCCCAGAAGGGCAAGAGCGATGAGATTCCCAATTGGTGATGCCATCGTGATTGAGTAGTAATCAGCACCATACTCGCTGTTTGAATGCGGGCCTCCTCTTCAAGTATCCTCACCTCGTTTGCCACAGAAGCGTAAAGCCTGATGTAAAACATATTGCCCAGAGATTTCTCCTCATGGCAACATCATGGCAGACCTAATTTCTTCTGTTCATCTTCCCATTCGTGCCGGAAGAATCATTTTAAAGAGCTTCACTCCTTGGGTGCTTGGATGTCAGCTTGGCAATTAAGACCATTAAAACTCCACACCTACAGAGTTATGGTGTATATTCGCTTCCTTTCCACGAGGACATTCTGATTGGAAGGTGGGGTAATTTCCCCGCAACTAATATATGTTGGAAATTAAAACGTAATGTTATGCTTAAATAGACGGCTTCTGCCGGCCTGGACGTCTTTTCGGGTCGGCACTTGCGAAGATGTTGTCAGTTGACTCAATTTTTGGTCAAAAGACACGCAATAGATTTGAGAGGAAAATAGCCATTCAAGAAAAGGGAGATAGGCTTAACGTGAGGTTGGACATGACGACACAGAATTGATTGCTGACTTGCCAAGCATTCTATGGCAGTAATTCAGGATATCAAGAGTTTGAGAATCAACTCCAGAAAACTAACTAACATTTTGACAGAGTTTAGTGCGACGCCCAATGTAGAACTTGGTTGCATTATGCCTGGCTTCAACTGCAAATGTATATCGAATGATCGAAAAGACGAATGTCATCAATGTCACTGGTGCGACCAATATCAAAATATGCCCCACATTGCAATAAACGTATCTTAGCACCACGTTGATTCCAGATACTACATAAAGCAGCTACTTTCCTTCGCAAGAAAATCTACAAACCTTTACACAACTCCGAACAACACTTGCTTTTCGACAATTCTCGCGACAAACCTTCCTAGGTTACCCCTGTCGCCATCGACCGCCGCTAAGATCTGATTGATAAGATAAAGTGGAGAACACCCTATCAGCCTCCGATCTTCAATTAACCTTAAAGTCTCGACGACGCGCTTCATCTTCGACTTCATACTTACATAACAAATGTAAAACATTCAAACGCGGTTCGATATCCAAGAAAGACCGCAAAGTTCATGCACAACCCCTTGAATGCCACTGTGTGCATTCTCGGCCGACGGAGACTCAGTAATTTACACAAAGAAGGAACTGCGACCCGCCTTGCGCTCCGAGCTCAGGAACACAACTCTACGCATTTATCCTCGTGCCACTGCTCGGTATTCAATTCTCCAAGCTGAATGACGGTTACACAACATGGGTAGAACGGATGTAAGAGGCCGCAACCACGGAGAGCTCCAGATCTTCGTATCACAATACAACAATGCTTCGAGGCACTGCATGCGTCCGTGTATGCGGTGCCTTGGACTTGTTTTGTCCAATTGCCAATACATTCAGCTGAAATCGGCGTACGTGGAAATATTCTCATCAAGATTCCATGCCATTCTTGTTTGTGGCTTATTGTGGCTTTGTTTGCTTATTCCCACCACTCTCAATCTCGGCATCAGCGCCCGCTGAGCGCAAGGCCAGTGCGGTTCTGCACACCGTCTTGAGCATGATTTGCGACTATTAACAACGTTTTTGTTTATTTCTAACATGTTGCTTTGGAGTTTTGTTGATGTCCGCTTCTTGATTTCACTTACTTGGTCGAGAGAGGCAAAAATATATGCTAAGCTTTTTGTTTCCGCAAACCCCTGGCAAAGCTCGAGCACTGAACTAGTGCCGGAATCCGCCATACAAGGGCCTGTGGCCCATACGTTGTGATTGGCATATCAAAACTTTCCGAGATATCTGATCACAGCATCTAGCGTGCACAATCTTTCATGTGGCGCATTTGACTCAAATCAATAAAGTTCTGATTCTCGTACCTTTCTGCAGCAGCATCCTCCCCTGAAGAGGAGATCAAAATAGAACCATTGAACATCTTATTGGATATCAGGCCATGGATACCGATATCATTGGCCTGCCACTGGCAGAGTTGCTACCCAAAATGGTTCGGTGGATCTAACTTGTAGCGCAGCGCAGCCATATACCGGAGTTAGCCTTGATTCAGCATTATTTCACCGTTTCCAAACCCGGGTAAGACTCTTCCATATGTCTTAACTGAGCCCTACTTGATTCACTACCTTAAATTATTGGCAGCTCTGTTCAATCTTTCGTTCTCAAACTTTCTCAAATATAGACTCAGCTCCCCTTCGTGTTGACGTAATCGTTGCAACTCCAGCATATCATTTCTTCTTAAGTACGGTCTCTACTGAGTAGGTAAGAATGTTGTATGCGCAACTTCTATTCGCGCTGCAAGCACTAGTCGTCAGTGCAAAGACTGTTACGTACGATTGGAGCGTGGATTGGGTTTCGGTATCTCCTGATGGTTTCACACGACCGGCTATAGGTATCAATGGAGCTTGGCCATGTCCTACGATCACTATTGACATCGGTGACCGGGTCATTGTGAACTTGAAGAATAACTTGGGAAATGAAACGACCTCAATTCATTGGCATGGCATCTTTCAAACAGGCAGCGCCCAGATGGATGGTCCTGCCATGGTAAATCAATGCCCCATTCCACCAGGCTCTAGTATGTGATTTAAAACTACACATGTACGAATGAAAGCTAAATCTTCCCAGGCTTCAAGTATGACTTCGAGGTACGACTGCCCAAAGCACCAGATGTGTTTCTTCCCTTCTCCTCTTGGCTAAGACTGATCTGCTCAGATCAATCAACCGGGAACTTACTGGTACCATTCACACGTTGGGAGTCAATACATTGGTATTTCTCATTGTCAGCGGCGCCGTTGTTCTTGCTGATGTTGACCTAGATGGCTTGCGTGGCCCGATCATTGTTCATGACCCCGCCGCACCTTACGCTGGAAAGTACGACGATGAGATTGTCATGACCATCTCCGACTGGTATCATACGCAAGCTCCCTACCTTATCGAGTACTTCGAGTCTCCCTTAAACGAGAATTTACACGGCGGTTCGGAACCAGTGCCAAACGCGACACTGATCAATCATGCTCAAAACGTCCAATTCAAGGTCAAACCCAACAAGACATACCTGGTCCGGGTCATCAATGTAGGAGTGTTTTCAGCTCAATGGGTTAACTTTGATGACCATGATATGGACGTGGTAGAAGTTGATGGAGTCTACACCCAATCCCACAGAGTCAGCCAGCTTTTTCTGACGGCTGCTCAACGTTATACTGTCCTTCTTAAAACCAAATCCACGACAAAGACCAATTACGCAATCACAGTTTCTATGGACCTTTCCATGTTTGATCCTGGAGTCACTCCATCTACTCTGATGAACAATGTAAGCTTTCTCATGATGAATTAGTGACAACATTATTGACATTCGATAGGTTACGGGATATCTTGTCTATGACGATCAGAAACCACTACCGGAAAGTGATGACTTCGACTACGACGACGCCCTAGACGACACCAAATTCATCCCTTACGACAGCCAACCAGCATTGGGGCCTGTTACACATCCGTCAGTAAGATTGCTCCTCAAAATGGAATTTCAAACTAAAATATCTAGAATCAATCTTGTCATGGCATTCAATCCCAACGACGCAAACCAAAACCGCGCAACATTCAACAACGTCACCTATGTCGCCCCAAAAGTCCCTACGCTCTATACAGCCATGTCGGCACCAGCTGATCTAGTCAACAATCCTCTCATTTACGGTGTCAACTCCAACCCTTTCGTCCTTCCTATGAATGCTATTGTCGAGATTACTCTCATCAACACCGATACCGGTCCTCATCCATTCCATCTCCATTCCCACCAATTCCAAGTCATTGCACGTGGCCCGCCAGGCCCTGACGAAAACGGCAACCCTCTCTTACCAACCCACGTTCGCGTTCCTGCGGCCCCCATGCGCCGCGATACTATACTCGTTTATGCAGGCTCTTACATCGTCCTTCGTTTCAAAGCCGATAATCCCGGTGTCACACTATTCCACTGTCACATCGAATGGCACGTCGAAGCTGGTCTCGTTGTCACATTCATCGAGGCTCCGACAGAATTGCAAGCCCTGAAATTGAACATTCCAGAAGATCATAAGCACGCGTGTCAAGCAAGGAATATCAGCATGGTCGGGAACGCGGCTGGGAATTCGGTGGATTGGTTGGATCTCACGGGTGCACCGTCACAGCCGGCGCTTGATAACTGGGGAGCTTTGACTTATACGCCGCCTGACTCCGATATTCTCGGACAGGCGGCGAATAAGATGCTGAAGAGCCGAGTTGCTAGGTTATTGGGGAAGAAGAGCATTTTCAGTTTGAAATTTTGGTGATGGTATTGATCAGCAGTGGGAGTTTGGAGTCTGTTTGTGGAACGTTTACATAAATAATTTGCAATCATAATTGATAATTCTTAATTCACTTCTTGGACAACATCTCATGCTGAGTCTATCTATGTGTCCTGCATCGAGCACCCTAGCCCTCAAGCTTTAGTTCGAGAATTAGGATGACGCTCAACTTCTGACAACTCATCTCCAACATGCTTAACATTTGCAGCACAAGCCAAAGGATTCTATTCGCAATACTTATTCTCTTCAGTAGCATGCGAAGTCTGACTTATTTTCATTGTCTTCCAAGCATTTCTAGCTTCGAGCATTCATCAACCTTTTCCTTGTATACTCATAGAAAGCAAGGGCTGTCGATTCATTCATAACTTCGATGTAGGTCGGCGGCTCCAAATTGTGGGTAGATTCCACTTGATCCTCTGGCCTCACGTTCTGTTTCAAAAATTCCAAAAAGCCCTCACAGAGTTCTACCATAGTGTAACTCTGCACAGCCAAGTAATCGAGTTCCTCGGGTACCAGCAGCGCCGTGAAAACATGATCAATCTGACCAAGAAAACCCCGTCGTCTTTTAATATCTTGTTCGACTTCAAGGACAGCGTCTTGGCATCTTTCGCCCAAAGTTTTATGGATGATTATTTGTTGCCGCTGGATCAGCTTCTCGTTGATAATTTGAACGAGTATTCTGTTGCAGTGGTTTACTCGTCGTTGATACCTCTCTATGTGCATATTTACGAAGGACATAATCAGTCGGACCTAGCTTCCAGTGTGTGGGATTTGATACTGATATCGAAAAGAGTGTTGACTTGAATTTGGATCTCTTACTGGCGTCAAGAGGTAGAGAAGATTTCAATCTGAATTTCAAGCACTCATTTATAGAGGCAGTGACTATAGGCTAGTGAATCACGAAATATCTAGAAATAAGGTGGGCCGACGCTAAGAAGAACTTCTTCATTTTGACACACACAGAGCTGTGGAGGGGCTACAGTTTCGATCTTCGTTCAAAGCAAGCTACTTTATATTAAGAAGGTAGGGCATGTTGAAGCTCCCCTAGTTATACTCAACAACTAGAGCATCAGGCTCTTAGAAATGGATCATGGAATACAAAGTCTCGTCAGTGCACAGAATTTGAGCTATTAACATGTTCGCAGACGCTCTGCTCGTATGCCAGCGTGCGAAACTAAGTTTATTCTTTGATGACATTTCTGAAGAAAGCTTTCAGATTTGTGATATCGACAGAGCAAGTGCCAAGACATGGAGGGGTACAGACATGCTCAATCTGGACTAGCGCATCAGCCACTCCCGCTTCAATCTCAACCCCTCACAACCTCCTTTCCCTTGCCATCACCCATCCATCCCGCAACATATCACCATGCAACACAACATGCCTTCGAAGCCAACGCTCGCCATTATTGGAGCTATAAGTGTCATTGCTCTATTCAGCCTCTTCAAATTCCCCTTCAGCAGTCTAAACCACACCGAACCCCTTTTCCCACCGTCTTCCAAGGATGGAATCGTCCATATCGTGATGTTTGAGTTCAAGGAAGAGGCCACCGCCGAGCAGGTAACGGATGTAAGATCTCCTGACACCTCTTAGCGAATTGTCATCGCGAAATAAACTTGATGGCCCGAGTGCTGAAAACACCAGGTATGCGACCGAATGCTTGCACTCAAGCAGAAATGTCTCCACCCAACGACGAAAAAGCCATACGTGAAAATGGGCATGGGAGGCAAGCAAAATAGTCCAGAAGGGCTGACTGTAAGTATCCGACTCTGTGAATCAACCTTTCTCCAAAATTTGAGCGTCTGATGTTGCAATAGGGTGGGATGACCCACATTTTCGTCGAGGAATTCGAGAATGAGCAGGATAGAGAGTACTATCTGAACAAAGATCCAGTGCATCTGGCATTTGTGAAAAGCATCGGAGATGTTGTGAAGACGGCGCAAGTTGTGGATTTCACTCCAGGAGTATTCTAATCCTCCCGAATACGGGGTTTACTTAGATGGAAAGTAAAACTTTTAGAAGATGTGTATATCATCAAAAATCTCACATTCATCATATGAACACTTGTCTTCACTTCAAAATCTCATGTTTCATCTGCGTTCATGACGTCTCCTCCTGCCGCTCAACCGCATCCTCGAACTTCTCCCTATCCCCATCCTCCTCCAAAATAGTACTCGACCTCCAAACACTCTTCCCCTCCGTCTTCGTCGGCCACCTCTCCGCCCCCTCCTCCCCCTTTTCCCTCTCCTCCAACCCCTCTCTCAACCTCCTATACAAATCATCCATCCTCGTCACCATACCATTCAACCGACAATCCAGCTCATCTCGACACCTGAGGAATCTCTTTACTTTCCCCCAAAAAGTACATGTTCTAAGAAGGTCGCCCTCGGCGTCGACGATCTGAAAAGCGACTAGGCGCAGGATCTCGTTGACGTATTGCAGTTCGGGCTGGTGCTCGATGAGTTTTTCGGTTTTGATGTTTGAGAGGATGGATTTTATTTGGTTGATGCGGTCTTGGTAGGTTGAGCTGGGTTTGTTTTTGACCATTGTGCCGGTGAGATGTGGATTCTTGAGGAAGTCATGGGTATGGGGAAATTTGGTAGATTTTGAATTGCGACTCGAACTGTTGAAGGTGCCGTGATTCACGCGAGGAGAACTTCTGCTTCAACAATGATATTGGGTTACTCATGACGCAGGAGCATGGCTACTAGACGTCCCTCATAAACTGTATTTGGGACGAGTGGTCTCTTTCTCTCTCATGAAAATCTATCAATTCTGCTGATAGTCGACGTCTTGACTCCGCGTACTCCCACTTTCACACCTAATTTCTCAGAAGTGCAAGAAATTCCGAAGAATGTGATGTCAAAATAAGCCATACACCTGGAGACTAAAACACAATTCGACCCAAACAAAACATAACCTATTTCCTTCTGTTAACACCGCTACCAGCGCGAAATGTTGATAAACCCACCAAATTCCTTTCTCGCATCCCAACTCACTTATCATGCGTCTCCTCTCCAAATCCCTCTCTTGATACGATCACTTATGACATGCTTCTCCTCGAAACCCCAATTTTGAGGTTTTGAGCTTTACAAAACCATCTTAATTCCTTTCCTTTACTATCCTATGGCTATTTTAGTGCTTTAGTGCATTTCATTGTTACATTTTACCGAATACTCCCTTGCTTCCTAGAATAGCTAATACTTGGTCTTTGTACTAGAAAGAGCGCTATGTTTATCTATTTGGACTTCCTCCTGTGCTTTTCTATAATGTCTTTATCCACTGGATTCATGGCCACTATGTGTAGTTCACCGATCAACGTGGAGCCCTACAAGGACTTCATCGTGGAGCTCTTCTTTGCACAAAGTCGCCTCGCTATGACGATCGATGAAATAATTTGAATCACTCGAGCTTATGCTGACATGGTTTCACGGCGGAGACTTGAATGATGGTAGATCACGTGAACATACTCGCTCCCCTTTTTGACAGCACGGTCTTCGCTTGTGAACTTTGTACGGCACAGGGACACACATGAGTGGATGAGTGTCGCAATTCAATTCATGTACCAGTATAAGAATCACAAAAGTTGAGTTAGTCGCTCGCACGCAATCGATCAGTCGCAACCAACCAGTCCGATACCCATGAACCCAAAGTTCTCACAACCCCAGAATTACCCGTGTCGTACAGACACGCACACATCCAACCGGTTTCCAAACGATAGCAAGGGTATAGATATCAAAGTAGCAATCCCACCAACCCAACCCAACCCGAATCCAACGCAAGCCCACCCGTATCACATGTAACACGAACTCAGGAAATGTAAACCACACGGTCTCTTCCAAGATGCAGCCTCGAGCGAATGCAGAGGTACAGGGCTAATTGTATGCTGCAAACAATGAATAATGCTTAAAACGAACGGGATATATGATATAAGAGCAAGCAGAAAAGCAAAGTCCTTCAAAAACGCCTAGCAATGCCGATATCGCTATCCCACCTACCACACCCAATCGTGCAATCGTATGCGGGAGAGCGTCAATCATTTCATTTATGGTCGTAACGTCGTGGCGTGTATCAAAACGCGGGTATCTTCTGAAGAATGTGTATATACAGTACACAAAATCTGATCCAACCAATTGAAAGGGTATTGTGTCAAGCATTAATAAGCTGCTGCCACATTGTCTGAACTAGTAGCCACGGCTACCAATGCTTCGAGCCTGTTCATATCTCCCGAAGATTTCGGGATCTGCTGTTGATGTTGTTGTACCTGAGCATGAGAATGCCCAGGGGCATAGGTATAAGACGCTTCTGCGCCATTCGGGGGTGGGTAAGAGGAGTAGCCATTGGTTGGCATAGCTCTTGGATCATGGTGAGTTGGAATATTTCCATTTCTATTCTCAACCCATCCACTTGCGTGAACGATGCCAGGGTTGTATTCGACCGCAGTCGAACTGCTTGGTGTTCCAGGTATTCCACCTTCCGAGCTGCTCGAGTCTGCCGGAGAAGTCCGCTGCACAGGTTGAGAGGGCTGTGTATTAGGTGCGACAGGGCCATGATACCATCCCATACGTTTTGCTTCTCTCGGAGTGATCGGAGCAGGTGGAGCACTGATATGGTGTTGGTGGTAGGCACCACCGCTTGTCTGAGGTCGATTAGAGTAAACTGAATGCTCAAAACGAACGCCTGGCTGTGCCCCAGTCTGTTCAGCCCGAGCCTCCATTGCACGATTTGTATCGTTAGCCCAATGGCTTGCTCCATCTGTTGGTGGCGTGCCTTGAGAGAGGTCCAGGCGATTCATGTTCCGATTCATTCCTTGTTCCCACTGTTGACTTGCCGGTCTTTCCTGATATTGCTCAGGTGGAGGAGCTCGACTTGGAGTATCAATCACCATCGGGCTTGGCTGACGACGGACTGGGGTAGTCGGTCTTGGAAGAGGATCAAAGCTCTCAATACCTGGAAGGCGCATCGACTGGAGCGGTGGAACATTGCTGGGAAGAACCGACGTAGGCTGAGGTGGTGGACCATTAGAATAGTAGTTAGGCGTCGTAACCTGTTGAAGACGGCTTGTAAACGATTGAGAATCTGGGTGCCATGTACGGCGTCTCCATGCTTCATCCGAACTTGTCAGCGATTCTCTCCGTGAGGAAATGCCCCATCCGCTTGTGGAGGTAGTTGGACTGGAAATCATGCTACCGGATGGCGAAAAGGAGCCCATGTTCGAAGCATTCATTTGACCCAGGACTGGTGGTCCATACGTGTTTCCATGCGGAGACTGGAAAGGATTGCCTGCCGACGGAACGGAGAGTCTCCGGCCTGGAGTTCGATGGCCATAGACGTTAGTACTGTTGGTGCGGGAATGTGAAGATATCGGCGACTGCATCCCGGATCCCCAACGAGGACTATTCTGGCCAGTGGAGAAGGTTGCAGAAGTAGGTGTACTGAAACCTGGAGAATGCGAACGGAACTGCTGATATTGACCTGAAGGACTATCTGGACGACCATAGATCTCTTGTGAGAAACGTTGACGTTCTCCAGCCATGACCAACGGCGTAGGTCTTCGTCTCATGTCATCTCTCTGACTGTATACCGAGCTTACAGAACCAATACTCGACGTCGACAACGAATTCCGTTGATGGCCCCTGATGGGACCTGATTGGCTGCCTGCAGTGGATGCTCTCGACCGACTTCCTGGAGGTCTGACTCTATCAGTCCGAACTTGTCTCTGAAATCGAGTCCCTGTGGCTGCCAGTGAATCTTGTGGTATTTCTTCATTTTGGTGCACGGTCTGGGCGTGTTGGCGAAGATTGTCGAGACGGGAGAATCGACGCGAACAATGACACTGAAAGGGACGTTCGCCAGTGTGTTTCCTATTACTGTCAGCATAACGTCTGTGACCATCGCAAGTTATTCTTACCTAATGTGTCGAGCAAGATGTTCACTTCGAGTGAAGCTCAAATTACATGGGGGGTAATCCGAGCAGTAGAACCGTTGTGATTTCCCCTTCTTCTTATTTGTCCTGGATCCATCGGCATTCTCACTTCCATCATCGTCAGACCCATCTTCGCCATCGGAATCCCCCATTTCCACATCATCCGACTCGCGAGACTTGGCAGAGTGCTGAGAATCTCCCCGGTTCAGTGGCTTGTGTGGTTTGTTTGGAGTCTCAGCGTTCGAGGTAGCAGGTATCGCTGCTGGGAACGGCGACGCGGGTGGCAGAGGTCGTTGACTCGCGAGGGTGCCAAAGTTGGCTCTCGTCGGTGTTGTTGCATCGTCTCGCATCATTTGCTGTACTTGTGCTGTTGGTGCAGTATTCGGTCGTGGAGTTAGAGGATTTGTTTCTTCCCCATTGCGACCGTGGCTCTCCGGCACAAGGGTGGTGTTTACTGGGCGAAAGGTAGCCATGATGGTTGTGAAGTGTGGTTCGGAGTCCGTATTAATGACGGAGGAGGCTGGGAGCGTCGAAGCGGAAAGACGAGGATACGGCCTTTCGCAGGAGGGCGGCAGAGAGGATTAAAGAGGTTGGGGCGATGAAAGGAAGGTGTTATATCGGCGCATCAAGACATATGAGACGGACGTGCTGTTCGTTTGCCTGGGTCAGGAACGAATCGCAGGTTGGTTGGGGATGAGCCGCACTGCGAGGCTTTCAGCGGATGTCTAGATGACACAGCTAGACCAGCAGCAGCGTCGAGTTTCGAGTATCGAGTACCGCGGGCGGGAGATGTCTCTGAACAGGGCAGACTGTGGTCCAAGTCGACCTTAATAACCAGCTGTTATCGATTGATAATGGATGAACGAGGTCGATAAGGTGATGGCGGGGGGAGAGGGCCAGGAGGATGATGGCAGTTATGCGACCGGAAGAATGTGCCCTGAGATAGACGATTAATCGACGACAAGGATCCACGAACGGCTAGGGAGAGTCGGGATTAGAGCGGCGGATCGAGGGGCAGAGAATTAATGCTGTGGAGGGGACGTCGAGTCGAGAGTCGAGTCGAGTGTAGTGTAGTGTAGTGTAGTGTGCGACGGATGGTCAGCAGAGATCTGGATGGAGGGGATGCGGTCTCTGTGTTGGTATCACCGACGAGAAAGGGGTGAGGTCTGGGAGGTTTGAAGCTGCGAGCGTGCGATCTGCGGGTTGAGGGCGGCGGAGGATTGCGAAAGAGGTGCGAGGGAGGATGGAGAGACGAGAGAGGATGGATGGACGATGATTGAATGCGCTTGATGGGTCCTGCCTTCCTAGTGTGACGATAAGCGAGGAAGGCTTACGAATTGCAGGCGCAGGAGGATGGCAAGGGCCAGGGAAGGGCAGGACAGGACAGGAGGACGAGGTGAGGGAAGACGGTGCAGGGAAGAGGTGTAAGTGCAGCAGCAGTCTGAGGCACGGCGAGGAACGAGGGGCAAAAAAAAAAGGAAGACGGAGAAAAAAAAAGAAGAGCTTGTGGGAATAATAAATAGGGAGGCGTCTTCCCCCCATATTGTGCTTCTTATTGCATTACGAGGCAGCTCTGGTTTACTTGCCGTATGACAGTGTCGATGAGTATGGTCACTATGATAGCAGACGACGCAAGGAAATACCGGTCGACTAAAGAACCAGGTCGACAGCGTGGCCCTACGGTACAAGTGCCTGGAAGAAACACGGATAAGTATTCATACTCGACTCTCCTATGATGATCCAGAGTATGGATCTCGATGTTGGGAAGTGGTGTGCGGCTGGCTCAGACACGACCGGAGGGAGATCTGGATGTCCTTCAGGCGATGGCTGGAAATCCGGGGCGGCTGGCAGCGAGTGGTGAACGCCGGTCAGGCAAGGCGTTCTGCTAGTGCTCTCGGGGCTTGGAAAGCTGTTGAAGGAGGCCGCAGACTTAATCGTCAGTGGTGTAAGTAAGTGAGGTTTGTGGGAGGCGGGGCGTCTAACAGCGGCAGGGACGGCTAGACTGACAGAGCAGAGAGGGGCAGTGAGATCAAAAAGGGAGAAGATTTCAAGTGAACGACCTACAACTGATGGTTCTGGAACCAGATCTCATCTGATCTGACCTGGACCTGGACTGGACCTGGACCTGGACAATGAACTGAAATTGTCATAGTCAAGTCTTGCTCTCACATACTTCGTCCTAGCTGCCTGCATACCTGCACACCACTGCACTCGCCAGCGGGCCACAGCTTATTTTAGCACTCCTCACTGCCTTAGTGCTGCTGTTCGCCGACTTAGTGCGTCTATCTCGCTGTTTCATGTCTCTCTCTGTTCCTGAATGGTGCCCTGTCCTTACCGAATGGGGGTTCCCATGCAGCCCTCCCTCGATGCTGCGAGGGTGGCTGCAATATAGAATCACCATATTTTTCCCTTTCTTTACTATGTAACCCCCATATCCGGCAAGTCACGCCACAGTAGACACTCCAAGATTCCAACCACTTCATCTGGGGGTAACGTTGTTGTTAATATCGCCATATCAACTTTCCCATCTCCCATATGAGGGAGTGAGACAGACCACCACCTCAGGACCCCACCCATCACCGGCCACACTATGGTGGTGCACTGTGCGTATCCTGGTTTCCCAAGCGGGAAGATGTCATGATTCCCATCGACGGCTTCTATCGGAAGTGGTGGGCATGTGCATCAGTACTGTATTATTATGCTTGATAAGAACGAGGGGCGAAGATGTGCAACGCACACCAATTGTAACACACCGCCAACCACCTTAGCCTCGTCTTCTCTCCTCGCACGCAAGCTTGCCCATCGGACTCGACTCAACCCAACCTTCACTGGCTTCACATCCATCCACATCCACCATCCACCTGCCCACATAAAGAGGGGTCCATGCTTACATGCTGCCGTAAGACTAATGTATCCTACTGTAGCAACACTGACATCGAATCACCATACGAAGCTTATTCGCGGATTCGCTCCCTGCTCCCAGGATATCCCATCGTTCTGGATGCAAACGACCGACTGTCAAAGAGGCACGGCCAGTTCAGCTCCAGGCACGACCAGCAGACCAACACCAGCAAACATCCTTAAAACTCAAACCCCACCCCACTTGACTCGACTCGGACGGAGCTGCCCCGCGGCCAACCTTCATCCTTCGACTTGGCTTGGTACCTTGCGCAATGATTTGCTTTAATTCCGCTCACCACTTCGCCTTACCTCACCAGACTCCCTCACTTCGACGACAAACATCTCACAGCCCTGCGCTCAAGACTCAAGACACTTTACATCATCATGTCTCACATCTCACCTAACCGTTCCTCAATTCAGGTTCATGATTCCACGCCAGCACCACCAGCGACCAACCACCGCCTCTCCAGCAAACACCCTGATTCAGCCCACTGGTCAGCCACCGCGCGCTACCCAGCAGCGAGCGAACCCTCCGCCAACCCATATCTGCAAATGCAAGGCACGACGTTTGGGAACCAGATGATGCGCCGGCATGGGACGAGCTTGCTCGAATCCAGTCATCTCCCATACGACCCCGAATCCCGTATACGGATCTGACAGGTAGGATCGAGAGCCTTGCGTTGCGTTGCGTTGGATCCAATATTGTCAAGTGACCGGATGCTTGGGTTACACCACATGCATTGCAGCCACCCTTCCTTTTTTTTTTCTCCTCTGCTGCTCAGCCGTTTTCGGATCCGTAGTGGGGTGACTGTTGGTTGTGTACCTGCTTTGAACTGGTGATATGCCAGTCCGTGTTCCCTTGTACCTGAATCCTGTTCCTAGATGCGTGTGATGGAAAAGGAAAGTTCCTGAGGTCCCTGAGGTGGAGGATTGTGGTTCTGGTAGGGCTCGGCGAGGATTTAGGGCCCGAATTCAGGTACGATCCCGACGTCACGAGATATTTTCTTTCTAAATGTTTGGTATTCAAATCATCATCATTCTTGTTCATTGCGTCGATATATTTGATTATGATAATTCCTCTCTGTCAATGTGTCTGAAACTTTTTGGGGCCTAGCAACAAGTGTACGTGTGACGCCTACATTTGCCTTACCCAAAATGATTCAGCATCATTCAACCATCCTCCTTCTAACTGCCTATCTACCTCACCGAAATTTGAAAAGGGAGTCCTTCCCATCACGTCAGATACCACATCTTGACAACAGCGCCGAAAATAGCGTCCTCAAACGGGCATTAAAACTACCTAGTAGCAAATACCATCCAACATCTTATGACCCGACCGTCAAACCTACACACCCAAAGTACGGAATAGGAAAACAGTCAAAGTTGGTTATCCGGTCCATCCGAAGTAGGTAAGAAGCCAAGCCGAGTCCCGAGTGCATGCATACATGCCGAGATTCCGTGTTCAAGATCATCTGAGTATGTTACGTACGTCTCACTTTATAAGCAGCGAGGATGAATAGTTTGCTGCGGATGAGGTGTACGTGAGTGAGTGCCACTCTCGTAATTCATATGCTCATTAGCTTATTAGGTACCCAGAACGGGTATCGTCATCACGTGACTGGCCTCAGCTTGATGCGTGGCAGTCTTCAAGGGAACAGGATGTATAGTAGACTGTCTCTCAAACTGTCAAAGATTTTTCAGGAGTTCGTTTTCTTACATATTAAAGATTCTAGCACAATCATCAAAGCTCATTTCCCAGCCACCCACTTCAAACTTTCGATACTTGACATTCTCTCACTTACTTCAGTTCATAGTTCATCATATTCAAAGGATATTTTTTATTATAATAAACCTCTAGCCTGCGACATTTCAATCTTACCTTCTCGTTTCCACAACCTAATCTCCTCAGTTATTCCAAAAATCCCTAGCCTTTGATCTTTCTCAGATATTCTCCTTCATGAAAATCTACACATATCTTACTTATTGCTGGAGCGTTTTTTTCGGCGTTATTCTCATCTCCCTCTTTGTGTATTGTTTGATCATCCATTCCTTTCATTTCTTCCCCTTTTTTCTCTCGTAATGGAAGAGTAAGTAAGCATTGCTTCTCGACCACAACGCCTCGCTTAGCTCTCAGCGTTTTACAGTAAGGGTCGGAGTGACTCGCTCAGAAATGCCATTCCGGTATGAAATAATGATTTGATAAGTTGTGGATTATGCGTGAAGAGGTGGGTATTTAGAAAGGTTTGATTATGATAAGAAGGTGAGGAAGTATTTTGCATAGTTTGCAAGCTTTTGGGCGTGAGCATGTGAAAGAGACAGAGCAATTTGTAAAATACAAGCTTGATATAACTAATTCAGGGGCTCTATTCCACCCCAGGTCAACCATACAACAGAACCTTCGAATCAATCGCACAACATACCATCAAAACCCCACCCTTAGCCTCTCATTCAACCCCCCGGCCTATCAACCCTAACCACCACCCTCGCAACATTAAAATACCCCTCATACTCCACCACCCCATCCTCCCCATCCCCCTTCAAATCCCCATGATAATGCCCACCCCTCCCCCCCTCCACCTCAAAAAAATGCGTATGCTCCACCCTGACCCCAACCCCGAAATCCACCCCATGAAAACAGCTCAAAAAAACCAATCCCTCTCCCCCCCACTCAAAGAACCTCAACCACTTCCCCACCTCCGCATCCTCCAACCTCTCCCCACAAAAATCCGGCATAACATGCGCCCAGACCTTCGCTCCCTCAACCACGAACACGCCTCCCATACTGATTTCCCTTTCCTCGATACCCATTCTCATCGCCTCCGTAAAACTCTTGTCGCCGATGCGGTTCCGTGCCGTGATTCTGAGCACCGGTCCCGGGTCCCCGTCCGAGAGGAAGAGGTTCGCCATCAGGGCGCCCGCGGTACTTGCTCCTGGGACGGGGCCCGCGATGCAGGTTTGCGTTGAAGGGTCGATTTTCGCGTAGTGGGTTAGATTCTTCGTCACGTTGCCGCTGGCAGAAATATAGAAGTTGGGAATTAGTTCCGAGTTCTGGCCCACGATGTGGACTGCGGGAAAACTAAGTTAGTATTCTTACTTTCTTTCTTTCGTCTGAGGAGGAGGCAAATGTTTGGGAGTCCATTATTGCGTGTTTGGAAAGAATACAGAGAAACAAAACCCCCCAAGAAGAGCGAAACTCACAAGGCCCAGCACCAGCACCTATCGCAAGCCTCCCCTTTCCCTTTTCTTCGCCAGAGGACAGCGAAGCGACAATCCTGCCCAAATCATATTTCTTGCTGAAATCAGGGACGGGGTGTAAATAAGCCGGTCCACCGATATCAACGATTGCTTCGTGGCCGCTGAGGCCGGGGGCCGCGAGGTGGAAGGGCGGTTGGGTGAGGTTCGGGCACGGGACGAGGGAGATGGTTGCGTCGGTGAAGTTTTGTTTGAGGGATGTTAGGAGGGGGGAGATGAGGTTTGAGAGGGAAGTGGGAGGGAGGGGGTGGGTGGTTGTAGGGTGTTTGGTGGGCATTTTTGGTTTGGGGTGAGGGTAATGGGTTGAGATTCAAGAGGAGGGGTGGAGTGAGGTTGAAGAGGGGCTGTCACGTGGCATGGGTTTATGTATAGACTCTGGAGATCGTTTGTGCACGCCAAGTGCAAGATTTGTTGTATTTGGAAGTGCTTAAAGATGCTTTTAGGTGTCGTTACAGCAGAATTGTTACAAATCCACCTCAAAAAGAGGGAAAGTTATACGAAGGATGTCGAGGAAACCATCATCATTCATGATCCTGTCTAGGTTTCTAGTCTAAAGCAAATCTTCCCCCTGGCCGCCAATCTAGTCTATGCTTTCATCTAAAAATTCAATAGACATCTAGAAGGAAAGACATCTACATCAACGCCTTATTCAAAGTCATCTTTCCTCTTGTTGGCGGAATTGGTCCCGGCATCTTAGGCGTATTGTCCAACACCTCGTCAATCTCCTTCATAACCTCGTCGGTCATCTTAGGGAACAACTCCAAACACTTAACATTCTCCGTAATCTGACTAGCCTTGGTAGCACCTAGGATAGCCACCGACACGTGCGGGTTCTTGATCACCCAGGCCAGCGCCAAGTTGCCGACGGAGCCACCAAGCTTCTCGGCAATCGTAGTGAGTTTCTTGACTTTCTCGATCTGGGCTTTCGTCTCCGGTTGTTCGAACTTGGATACCTGATCTTTAGAAATCGTCGCGTAGCGAGAATCGGCCGGGACGCCATCATTGTACTTCCCTGTTAAGATACCCTGATACAGCGGAGACCAGATGGTGGTACCATAGTTGTAAAGCTTGTAGAGGGGCGAATACTCGGCTTCGAACCTCTCGCGGACGAACATGTTGTATTGCGGTTGTTCAACCACGGGACCGATCAGGCCTAGTCGGGTGGCGACGTGCTGGGCGTGCTCGATTTCGAAGGCGCTCCATTCGGAGGTGCCCCAGTAGTGAGCGTGGCCATGCTCGATGAGGGTGTTGAATGCGCGAACCGTTTCTTCCATGGGCGTGCACCAGAAGTCGGCACGATGAGCATAGACAACGTCAACAGAATCGAGTTCGAGACGCTTGAGGGAGCGCTTCATGCCTTCGATGATGTGCTTTCGTGAAAGACCGTGATTGTTTGGGTATCCATTTCCTAAATTTTGTCATTAGCCCACTCTTGTCCCAAACAACAGAGAGAAAACCTACCATCACCAAAATGCAACTTTGTAGTAATCACGTAATCATCTCTCTCAAACCCACACTTCTTCAGCGCCTTGCCCATAATGATCTCCGATTGACCTTCCGCATACACTTCAGCCGTGTCAAAGAAGTTGATTCCGTGATCCCAAGCTTCTTGCAGACATTCAGCCGTTTGCTCGACTTCCTTGACGCCATTGTCACTTCCGTACGTGAGCCAACCTCCAAGACCGAGCACAGAAACCTTGAGACCAGTGTCGCCCAGGTATCTGAACAGCATATTCTTCGGCTCGAACCGCTTGCCGGTCTGGGGGAATCCTTGGTCCGGCATGTTGATGATCTGTGGAATGTCAATTGAGTTCTCCAAGCTCAATGGATACCTAGGGAGAGTCACTTACTGTTGATGAAGAAGTTGTCAATTGTTGAGTGTAAATGAAGAAGGCAGATTTCCAGCAAGAGAAGAAAAGGAAAGTATTTTTATGCTCAAACGCAGGGTCAGGGTCAACGTCATTGACTTTTTGCCTGCTGCTGCTTCCGTAACAGCAACTGTGTGCGGGGCGACGGGACCTTATCGCCGAAGGGATGTGAGGTGATGTGGGGTCCCTTGCGTCCTGTAGCTAGCTGCCTGCGGGGTTCCTTTCTTAGCCACCTTCCTGTTCCTGATAGCTAAGCTTCCATCATCGGCCGCTCGTTGCCGCAATGATTCTGGTATCTTATAAATGCAATTGCTTGCGTAGACCACAATCGTTCTCGCTCTTGGAGTGAGATATAATATATCTCGTGTGGTGGTACAGGAGATGGCCGTAACGAGCGTAACGAGTTGGGTGATCACTAATTCCTGACAAGCTTTGAAAGCTTCACCTCTCTCTCACCGTAACCTGACTTCCACCTTTCTTCAACGACGTCGAGAATGATCTTGATGAGTATATTTCGCTGAAGCTCACCGCGCTGCCTTTCCTCTCTGAATTGCGTCTCTTCTTCGGTGTCTTGAGCGTGGATGGCAGGTATAGATCAACGACCTTCGTAGCGAGAATTATCGCGACATCGTCGATGACTTCCCGAGGGTTTCTCATCTTGCTGTATTTGCGTTCTCTTTTGCGTCGGTAGTTGAGTGGAGAAAAGGCTTGTCTCAGGTATTGTTGACGTTCTTATGTGGGTTGAGGATGCGATGGATTGGTTTCGGGGAATTCTTCGTGTGTTACAGATTTTATAAAGTCGCCGAGATGTTGGGATACATCGTGAGTTTGTTATGAGCTTGACGGCTATATTATAGTATGATTTGCCGCTGATGATGTGGATTTCTCAAGGTTTGTTTATTCATCTCATGACGATGGAGGTTGAGAATGGTTGCTTTTCTTTCGATAGTATATGTTGTGCTGACGGAAACCGAGCAGCGCGAATGCGAGTACGAATCCTGTGGCCCTACCATAAATAGCCGCGTCATGGTAATTATTGATCTGAATATCAGATACGAAAAGCCGCACAGGAAAAGGTGACGCAATTCTTGCGACCATTGCAGCCACCAGATACATTGAAATCTTAGGGCAATGAAGAGAGAGTCTAATACAGAGGCAGGGTATTCTCACTCCCGTCTGCGGCGTAGACATGTCGACACGCTGTTGAATGCATCTCGGCACGCGTTTCGTATAGAAACCCATTGAACTCGGATTTGAAAGTTCTGTACCTGCTGTATCCTCTAAGACTAACTGACCTCCTCAAATTTCCTTGTCAATTTTCATATGGTAGCATATTGCAAAAGTCTGCAATCACGTGGGGCGGGTTTCTGACCACCATAAATGTCCCGTCATATTCCAGATTATTGACATTTTCAATGCTCTCTCTCTTCTTCAAGTTGAAAGTGAAAGATTTACCCAAGTTCTTTTTATCCACCACCATAGATTGTGTCTCCTGCGCTGTGTTGATGTTCAAGACCTGAATGCGACTTTCTCGCTGCGAATCCGAGTTCCCCTTTTCTATCCGAAATTCTCGGAAGGCCTTATTCAAACCTCAACCCCACAAGTTTGGACGATACAAGCGTATCAAAATGCAAAGGAAAGGCGCACTCGGGCCTATTTAGAGCTTATGTTAACCTTAATTGATGTTGCCTGGTATATGCTTGCGCAACGGCGCGTGTTCTTGTGGCTGTACTTTTTGTTAGACATGAGAGTACCAACGCTTCAAATCTGGACAGCTGCTTGATTGGAGTTGGCCATGAATTGCTCTTGTAGATGACGCGGCGATCCCTTGCCTGGTCAAGGCTGAACGCATCAATTCAAGCCTCATCCAAGGGGATGAACATCTTTGGAAGACCTAGTGAACCTTCTTCGCAAAAGTGGTTCCACTTCTCGCGTTCTCATGTAGGTCTGTGTCACTTTAGATCTACACATGCCATCAGCCACAAAGCTATGGCAGTATATGGCAGGCCGCGGAGCTGTATGCAGGATCTACGAGAGACATAAGTATACTCGATGGAACGCCTTTCATACTCGTCTACTTATTTCAACTCACCTGCCTTCGATCATTGATCACCTCACAAATCCCCCCTTCTCTATGAAATCAGTCCCAAGTCCATCTTAGACATCTTACACATACTTACTACGACTTCGAACCCTCGATTATCTGCTTGCAGCAATCCCGACAACATGCCGTCCAATTGGCCCACCGTGTCAGAGAAGGACCAAAGTACCACTTCGGAGATTTACGAAGCATCGGAGGTGAACTATGAAGATAGACGCGAGACACTGCCTCCTCAATATTCAGAGTACTCCATGCCAATGAACAGCGACCTCCAAAAGCCTGTTGTTATTCCTCGTAAGTATTTGTTGATCCCAGACAACTGCTCCAAGCACGACTGAACTGAATGCAGAACAAACTAATATCTTTATGATCAAAACCTTCTCTCCCTTCGCACGAGCCTACTCACCAGCATTCTCCACATTACCGAACCCCATCCCAAAAGACGAATTCATCTCTTTCATCGACGGCCTAAACAAAGCATTCATCTCCTCGCCCATATTCCAAGCAGCCCACGTCGTCGGCGGCGGCCTTCTCGGCTCCCAAATCCTCCCCGCCCAAGCAGTCGGTGGCGTCTTCCAAGTCGTCTCCGTCCTCGGATCAGCAGGTGTATCAGTCATCCGCGTTCGCAGATACATGAAGAAAGCCAACGCCAACATATTCGCCCCGCGCGGCCTCATCGTCAAGATTATGTCCACAAAGAAAATGATGACAGAAGTCGGCTGCCCGACCGTCGATCCAAAAGGAAAGCTCGCTCTCCCACCACTCGAAGAACTCAGTGACCTCACTCCCCAGACCGGGGCGCTGATCCGCCATCCGACTGGAGGGACGATACACTCACGCACCGGATCCAGCGTCGAAGATCCACGCATGAGGAGGATTCGAGCGTTGGGAAACTACATTTCTCCACTCGAATTCGAAACCACGCTCGCTCAACCCAAAGGCATGATGGATAAATATGGCGGCGCACCTCTACGCTGGATGAACAAACGAGCAGACACCAAGCTCGTCAAAGCAGCTGATAAATCTGCTTCCGCACGTCTGGAGAAAGCGCCAGAAGCTGAAGTCATTCTGAATTCGGCTGAGCGGAAACTAGAGTCGATTTCCTCGCGCATGGCAGAGATCCATGATACGAGTTTGCGGGAGCGAAATCGGTATCCGGAGGATAGGGAGAAGATTGAAGCTGTGGCTGAGCGCGAGTTGGCGAGTTTGGAGGAGAAGAGAAATGGGGTGGTGGAGGAGAGGGATCGGAAGATTAAGGCCATTTATGAGAAGGGGGATAAGAAGTTGGAGAAATTGGCCAAGAAGGAAGAGAAAATTGCTAATAGGATTCTGTGGGTTGTGGTCCAAAGGTTGGATGGGCATGTGGGTGATGAATTGTTGGAGGTCGAGAGTCGGGGTTCAAGTCCTACTTCTTGATTTGAGACCTTGGGGGACGCATGACAGGCTGGTTTGTGCGAGAAGTTTTGGCTTGAATTCTCAGAGGAATTTCCAATTTTAGGAACGCGCATTCTTAACGAAGAAACTCAACAGCTCAATGTTCCTTTCAGATTGGGGAGTAAGTGTACTTCCTATCAAATAGAGACAGTAATTGACGAATATAACGGCAGAAGCGAATGTTTTGGAGCTGTGAGGAATGTGGAAGTGAGACCAAATCCCCCGGATCCTGGAGATGAATCTATTTTGGGATTACTTCCAAAACATTCCAACCACGATTGTTTATTTTTGGGGCTCAGCCGCATTCATTTACTCGATTGCATGAGCAATGATGGCGTTACAATCACTCACTCTTGATTCACAAACCAAAGATTCCCAATAACTCGATATACCAGACCTTTACACATGAGCACACTCAGCCACTGCTCTATATAATGTCAAGAGCCTAGAACTATCAATAAACAAATTCAAACTCCAATATCATAATAAAAAAAACCTCACCACTTCTTCAACAAACCTCTAGCATTCACAACCACCACCATGACGTCTGAGTTCACCCTCGAGAAATGTCAACAACACATAGACCACTGCAAAAGCATCCGCAACCAGATCGCAATATACAACAACTCCTTCATTGGACTCCAACAAGACGAAGCAAAAGCTAGATTACTGAAAGCACAAACACATCTCAGCGAAATCGAGAAAGAAGTCGCCTCACGAAAAACTCTCTTGGGCAAAGCCCACGTATTTCTTGCTCGAGACAGAGACCATCTGGAAGAAAAGACTAAGATCATGGTTGCAGGCTTCGATGATTTCTGGTTTGATCTTCAGCAGGGCTTAGCAAATTCCGATACTGTGCGTACGGATGGCAAGTTTCAAGTACTTGAAGCTTGGGAAGCTGAGATTGATCGTTCGGAGATCAAAGGAACTTTTACGACGAAAGTGGAGGAGGCTTGGAATATGAAGGACAATCTTCCGAAACTTAAAGATTGGGAGGTGGAGATCGATTGCTATGAGATTAAGGGTGCATTTACTGCTGGGAAGACACCGGGAGAAGGAGAAGGAGAAGATCAAGCGAAATTGAATAAGTGAGTCAAGTATTAGACATCAAACTAAGGTGGAGCTAATAAAGAAGCAGACATGTACACTTCGATAGCTGAATCTTGGACAGGGAGCTATTATGACTTGTTACGAATTGCTCTGTGGTTATGGACCTTGATATCAGTTGCAGATGGTATACATCTGTGAAATTCACCGATCGTGAGAACGATCCTGGAAATTCCGAGTTGTTTTGAAGCATTTGATGGAGTGATATTAAACAGTTTGTTCTCATGCGCCAGCCATCACTAAGAAGTCCCTGGCTCCCATCTAATAAATCTCCAAATACTTATGTAAGCATGACAAGTTACCCTGAGGAAGACCCGTGCTAGCGTGACCTAGACTAGCGCGCTATGGGGCCTCATTAAGACTCAAAGTTCCATAGAGACCGGACAACCTATAATACCCTCATAAGCCTAGGCATAGCTACGACCTATTCTTGTCTCTGAGAGCCCTCGCTACTCAATTCTCAGCAGCGATGAGCCCGAAATATTTCCTTCCTCTACCTGCTTACTCAGTTCCTCTATTTCCTAACCGCCACCCAGTGAAGTTCCTTGACTTGCTCCCTTATGTTTGCGTCTGATGTTTGTTTTGTTCTAGCTCGAGATTGTGCGTTAGCTGCTTCCACGATATCCGCTTGATGCTTTGCACGCTCCGCCTTCAAATAATCGGTCCTTCCGTATGCTTTTGGAATCATGATATCGAACGGCTGTTCCTGCATCCTCCCTTCGTCTTTGAGGAAGAGTGCATTTTTGTCATCTATCCAGACATTGAACTTCTCTCGAAGCTCACGCGGCGGTGGCGTCTGGACATGATGCTTCCGGATGTGTTCAAGCAGACTATCTCTGCTGTATGTGTTGCTATATGCATTTGCCAGAGGGCAGAATACGCATTGATAGCGTGCTGAGATGTGCAGGAGAGGCTCTCTCGCTTTGATGTGACACTTCCAGAAGAAAATAGTGTGGTACCAAATACCGTCATGCTCGGATCGATTACGTCTATGCACTTCGAAGTAATATTCCACCGACGACGGCTTCAGAGCTTCTTGTCGAGGAGCAAAGAAAAGTGGCGTGTTGTAAGGCTTATCTTTACTCTTGAGAGGTTCATCTTGAAAGCCATGGAAGGAACAATGCCGACAAATGATTTCATATTTGGAAGCTCCGAAGTGTTGAAGTAAGTGATTCTTACTTTGCTTGATAACATCCTGTTTGCCACTCTGGAGAGCGGCGGCTCCAGGACATACAAGAGATGAAAGATGAGCGGGTGTTGGTGGGCCTACCGCAATGTCCTCGTCAACAGCATCATCTGGCCCTATAGTTGTGTTTTCGTAGACCATGAGTTGTGATTCAGCTTGCTCCACCTCGCTGAGAGCTTCCAGATGTTGTTTGATAGGTTCTTTGCATGTCGCTGCAGCCTCTTTGCTGAGTCTGAGTCCTCGGCGCTCAAGTTCTGCAACAACGAGTTCCCAGCCGTTCTCATTATTTGCGAATCGTTGACTTAGAACACCACCGATTTCTTCCAGGATGTCTGAAATCTTTGCCAAGGTTTTATTCTGCAAACCCATGTTGAATACAGTCAACCCGGTAAACTGGCTGTGGATTTGTTTTTGCAAAGCATGTACCTTGGTCTTTGGAAACGTCGCTCTGTCCCATATTCTTCGTCCCGATTTCAGATCAGAGTACCTGTCGCACACTTCGTTAATCTGTTCAAGGAGATTGAGCACTGGTTTCAATACAGTCTCGAGACGTTTTCTGTCGATGGCGCTCTGGGGTGGAGATTTTTGGAGCGGTGCAATGCAATGTTGCAAATGTTCGAGCTCGTTTGAGAGATTAGTAGCTTCATCAGGTGCTGAAGCATAATCTTGTTGCAGCTTATAGAGGAGCTTTGCGATTGTTATAACGATCCCAATCTCCCCGACTGGGAAGGACATATTGGCGGATGGGACGAAGAAGTTTCTTGAAAACCCTTCAATTGATAGGTCGAGCACTGTTCCAACCCCTTTTTGGGTCTCGAGTCTTGTTACTTCAGCAATTGTCTCTGGCAGAACAATCACCAAAAAGTACAATGATGATAAGATACAGGGAAGTTGTCCTTGCTTTCAATGTCTCAGTGTGGGCAACAATCATCACTGTCTAGACTGTGGATGATTTACTGAGTGGCAGCCTGGACAATCAACAGATATAGTTCCATGGTATAGCAAGCTAAAGTGACACGCTTGATCATTTTCGCAGTAAGTTGATCCACATATACCCCTTGAGTTCACAGGCTTGGTCGAACACCTCCACTCAGAATTGGTCAGGCTGGCAAAGCCTGTTGTTATTCTTAGGCATTTCGGGCGCCCACTGGTGGCAATTTTTCATCAGCCTAGGGTTCGTGTGGTTCAGATGTGGCAGAATTTCAGCCACAACACCTTTCGGGTTAAGAACTTCCAAGTGTGCCAAGTTTAGCTGCTGTCCAGCCTCTCTTGACTGAGACAATGTGACGACTATGGCGACGAGCCACCACATGGGTTACACCCATTTTCTCTCACCGAGCCCTAGCTTCGCCAGGTATGAGGCTAGGGCCATCCGCGTATGTGTTCATTATCCTGATCACCTCCATGCTGCCATTGTATCAACAAAATTAATACCCGCCAGAACTGCAAATCAACTGTCGCTCAGTAGTTCTTGATAAAATGGTATTGAAATGGGGAGATATCCGTGGTCATCACGAGGATGAAGATCCTTTTGGGTTCATTTACTCACTCATCAGAGGTATGTTCGAGGTAGCTTTGATGAGCATCACATGCGTATTCCTTGTTAAACATGATACGCATGGTTCTGCGCTCGCGACGTAAGCTCAACTTTCTGGGGAAAGATGCCAGCCTTTTGTGTTATTTCTAACCAGTTATCTAGACTTCTCTCGAAGATCATAGCCATCACATGTGCCGCAAGCGGAATCTTCAGCTTTATTGAACTGTGTGCATTCGCAGCGCCGTACAAGGACCCCGGTGTTTTTCCGGTGCTCTTCCATCTCTTATTTTTGGGTGGGAGAACAGCTATTCTGGTTCTAGGTCTCATACCTAAGAACGTTCTAAGACTCATTTGGGTGCAATACAAACGCGATGATAATGGTGGTGTGGTGATATCCATGCTTGCCGTCCTGATGTAGGTGTTCATTCTTCTTTAGATCTGGAGCGGACATAATGATCTACAGGGCGATCGACGCACTTTACTTGCTTCTGGCGAGCTGGAGGTGTTGTTACGTAAAGCCTTTAAGAAGCCTGAAACGGAGGGCGAAAATGAATAGAGAGGTTGCAGGCCGATTATTAGACAACGAGGATAATGAACTCGATGGGAGGGTTTGAGAATCCGATCAAAATCTTGTTACAATGCACGGGCGTCTGGAGCATAGTGTTGTTAGCGTTGGGACATTCCAGAATAGGTGACAGACAAGGCCTATACAAGAGTGTTTTTTACATCAATAGATCTTTCGTACGCATTGCAGTTCTCCATAACCTGACAATAAACTCGGGAATAGAAATGCCAGCAATACTCGAGATGCTGCAAAACCCGAAGCGATGACCCTTTTTAAGCGAAAAATCATTCACAAGACACTTGACTCTCTTCCGAGCAACATCAAACGCGATGTCCCACACTAAGCAACTTAAGACTTGAGCCCTTGGTGGCTTATGATAATGATTCAATGTGTCCTCCCGTTTCAAACCAGATCTCAATCACAATCGTATTGTGATTCGGATTTTTTGGCCTCGATTTGTAAGAAGGTCCACATCCTGAATTGTTCTCATTGTCCCCATTGTCATCATAACAAGAAACCTGTTACACCGGGCCCCCACTTCTCAATCTTAAAATTCCAAAATGGCTGACAGACATTCTCAGCAAATCAAAACCACACCATCTATGATCTCCTTCCACGAACAACAGTTGACAAAGGAGCTCGAGCACCTCCATTCTCGTCTCGAAGATCATAAAGTTCAAACAACTATCGAACAACATCCTTCATTCAGGCAACAGAAATTAGACAAAGATTTGGTAAGGCAGCTTCTGAGTAGGGTGGAATACGTGATGATGCAGGTCAAGAGCAGACATTCGTGGGTGGGTCGGACAAAGAGATTGTTCGGAGCAGAAGAATTTGACAGGAAAGTCGGCGCTCTTGAAACTGATACAAACAAGCTGTTTCTGAAGCTGGGTATCGAATAGGTTAAACAATTCAAGTCAAGAAACTTCGTCCCAAACCCATTTGTCTGTAATCCAAACATCTATGCATGCTCTCAAGTCCCAAAGACCGTGACTCTGTACCAGTTTAGCACTTCTGTTTTGTTTGCTATTCAGTCATAAATATCACGGCTATTGAATCATCTTTACATTCTAACACAATCAATCCTTGAGTATAGTGCGAAGTATTTGCTGTGAATCGACTCATTCTATGCTGCACAAAATCGCAAACATACACGGCCACTCCCCGTCAATAACGACCAGAACCTACATCAAACAACCAACCTTTCGGAACGCAATGGGCACTCAAGCGCCAATGGAAGGCTGGACCCATCTTCATTGCGCCCAAGAAACCGCCGACAAAATTCTCAATAATCGATTAACCAGTGTCAACATGGTGAATTGCGACGCGCAGTCAACGCTCGCATCTTTATAGACTTTGTCCGACAACTCAAAGCTTATGATGCAGAATGGTCCAAGAGAAAGCGCATCAAAGATAGCATATTCAGGCCGAGAGATAGTAGCAGGAGCGAGCAACATTTCGAGGATGGGGTCTCAAACTTGCGACAAAAGCTGGATCTTTTCGCAAAGGAGTTAGAAATGGCATCATCTGTGAGTTGCTGCAGGTCATCCGAAATGTTCAATATGGAAGGAGAATCGGAGACAAGCCTGGAAAGTGAGTCATCTGGTAGCTCTTTGGGCAGGTTTGAGGATGCATTTCACACGAGCGTAAATGCAGTTTTGGAGGAAGTGGACAATGATGGCAAAGAGCAAAAGGTATTTCGAAGGCTTGGAACTGTACTCTTGACGCTATGGAGTACCCACATGTCCAGTAAATCGAGCGAATGACATTTTCATCAGTGTGGTGACCGGCTTAACATGTCGTCTTTGAACCAATGCCTCCCTCCTTTGTGAACGGTGGAGCTGTCCAGCACAAGAATATGTATTTCTCTACAACAGTATCTCGCCTTCCTCTCAAAACTACTAGTGTGAGCCTTGATTCCCATCTGACTTCATGTATCGATGGCGATCTCTCATTCAAGGCGTTCTGCTCTTATGCCCACTGCCACATACCTCTCAAGGTCCAACGTCTCTGCTGCAATCCAAGCTCTCACAGAACCATAAACTTCTTCGCCGCCCTCTGTCAAATGATCGTAGCTCACGTAAGCATACTCTCCCTGTTTGACCCGAATGCCTTTGCTCTCTTGATACTTTTCCCAGACACTTGGAGGACAAAGCACATGTACAAACTCTTCACATTCTCTGCCACGTTCACCAACAAGAACATCTCCCCACCCCCTTTTTAAACATTCTTCTCTTGTACTAGAGCGAATAACATTCACAGTAACCTCATAGGTACTTCCATCCAATCGATAGATTGTTTGTGTCTCCTGAACAGGTGGAGGATCGTATCCTAGGAACGTTTCATATTCTGCAGCGCAGTCTTTGTGCAAGCGCTGAATGCCAGGCCAGCCACCTGCGAAATCCCAGCCGCCGTGAAAGCCATCAGCAACCAACGCAATTTCTTTGATATCTGTTGGTAGTGATCCCAGTTTTATCTCAATGTCTTCAATTTCATTGAGTGTGAGTGGAGAGCAGAGGATGTCTTTGGAGCTCTGAATGTCATTCTCCATGTACTCGTCTTGGTGCACAAAGAAGGCTGCCTCGGAGAAGCGGCGAAGCAGCTCCGTCATGGAGATATCGTGCAAAGGTCGTTTCCACCCAGATTTCATTCGAGCATCCAGGGCGGCATGTAGGATCGTTTCTGTTTCCCTAATTACACTTTCATCCAAGATCTTGGCTAGAGGGTCTTCAATTGAAGTTGCCATGAATTTGTACACTTCTGGGACGTTCAGGAAAGCGGGGAAATCGAATTGATGCTGTTGGCTTTCTGACCTCAGGATCTCTCTAGCCTTCTCTCGATGACCCAGATAGTTTGCCAAGATGAAGTAGACATGCAGGGGAAATGTAGCACTGCGAGGCCGATTTGGCCCGTTCATTGGAAGCTGTGTGAACATTTGTCAACAGCTTCAAAAGCTTCCTCCAAATTCTGTCGAGTGGGTGGGATTCCATCTTTTGGTTGGCACAATAGTCTGGCGCAGATATCATGTGTCCATGGATCTTGCGAAGATCTCCACTTGTGGGCATCGTAATCTGAGTTAATAAGAATGTATTGCGTTGTTTCAATCCATTCTGTGTTTGTCCATGTCTGATAGAATGCAGCACTCTCGGGATCAAAATATCTCCTAGTTTCATCCAAAGCTACCTTATCCCATGCATTCCATGGAGTATTGGCAGGCCTTCCGGTGAATGAGTGCCAGAAGAGTTCAAAAATCAACTGTTCTTCGGGCGAAGTTGTGAACCCTGGGACTTGGAACACTTTCTCCAACAGTCTATTTGCAACAACTGGCTGACCACTGAATATCGAAATGGTGGCGAATGAGATAAGCTCCTTTGAGCTTTGCTCGAAAGACTCCGAGGTGAGGATGTTGTCACGTGTTATTAGGGCTTGTAGCCTTGATTGCTGAGGAGTCTCACACCATTTCAAAAAGAGTGCTTGCACCACCTGCAAAGCCATATTCGCTAGAGCTTTTGCTCTAAATTACGCTAAAAAATTGTAAAAATATAGATGGAAGAATTTGTACAAGTCGCTGAGATCGAACAATGAGGTTCAGAAACACATGCACTTGGTAATTTGCGAGCGCATATTGATACTAAAGGAAGTTGGTGCCCTACAGGCTGAATTGATGACTCAATCTTAAATCCAACACTTGGCAACACTAGAAAATGTTGGTGTTTGGTGAAACAATCTGCTACGCCGCTCTGAAGGCCCGAAAAAAACCATTTGGTATCCAGGTGAAATGAAATGGATTGGTGAAGGGTTCATTTACTGATTTTAATCACTCGAATGACTGCTGTAACAGGAAAGAATGCTAGATTGCTGCTGAATTCCACGTAATTCCAAGAATGGGCCTTCCATCTTTCTGTTGTACTAAACAAATACAAAACTTGACTCTTGGCGCAGACTGCTTGGCCTGCTGAAAGATATCGACATCTCCGAACGGTTGTGGAAGGAGCGAAACAAAGCCAGGAGATGACATTAACCTGTCCCATATGAACAATTAAACTGCACGGCTGAGCTGTACAGGATTCGACCAGATTGGGAATGTCCACGAGGTCATCGTTCCTGCCCAGAGCTAAGAAGAAGAGACGCAGAGTGGAAGAGAAGAGTGTGCGATCGTTGAAAGTTTATACTAAAGTTAACCATATTTGGAAGATATGGATTGCGTACAGAGAACTCACCCCCAGCGTACTCGAGAAGAGCGGATTTGGGGCCAGGATACCCACTGCAGAGAGAGGAAACTTTGCAGCCATATACCGAGGAATACTTCCATGGCGAGATGACTAAATTGGGTGATGGCCAAGCCCGGGATTGCAAACAACTTGAATGCATGTACAGCGTTCTGAGTCTAGCAAAATTTTCGTGCGGTGATATTCTCGACCATCTTTGACATTTGGAATTTGCGTGATACTTTGTTGATGATAGCCAAGATTTCAATGGCGAGAGCAGCTATCAAGGGCGAGATGAACACTGTCAGTGACCTCTCCGCATACTTCAGCGAGATGAAATGGGAGTAAGTACCTAGGTAAATGCCAGAATGCGTTCAGCACGTGACATGCACGATAACCTTAAATGCTTCGTTCACCCCTTTCCTCTTGCACCTTCGCTCTTCTCAACATCCAACTTTCTTATCAACTCGAGGTTCCATGGCAGATAATAAATATGCCCAGGACTTCTCTCCGATTACCCCACCTCTTCTAATTTTCCTTCTGGCGCGAAGCTTTCAGCTTGGCGTACAGGTGACCGCCACCTAAATTTATTGCTTTGAAGTGGCTGAGACCCTATTCCCGCATTTGGAGACATGACAGACGCCACAGTCAGGATTCGCGAATTGGAGACCATCAAAGATGGGTTTTCTCGGTGATTCTGGCGAATCTGCGAGATTGAGTATGCGACGTGGCTTTCTGCTCCTGCGGGATGTGGAGATGGCAGCGCCAAGACCTATAAGTGAGGCTTTTGGCCTCTTTGTTTCGTGGTTTTGAGTTTCGATTTTTGATTCCTTCGATTCTCACGACGTTTGTCCTGCATTTTCTCTTCTGACTTTCGGTATCTTTTCACTGCGAAGCGTATTCGAGGCTGCAAGAGAATTTCTCTCTGCCTTGGATCTACTGCTGCTCAATCAACGTTCCGGAATGCTTTGATGTGAGGCGTTGTGAGGTGGGAATACGCTGCCTTAAGCTCAACCTTCCTTTGAAATTTTGCACAATGTGGTGGAATATCTTTGCACAGAGAGCTGTAACTTCAGTAACCAGTGCACCAGGTGCTACCGCTGTAGCAGGGAAGAGTACAGCTGTAGTTGTATCTACCAGCGCTGCTCCATCGGCTACCTCTGTAGAGGCATCAACAACTGCAAGCAGCGTAGCTCCGGTTGCAACGGCGACAGAATCATCCATCCAATCCTCGTCGGCTTCAGAAGCGACAAGCAGTTCGTCATCTGCTTCACAAGTTCTTACGAGTACAACTGCCCCTACATCCACAGGCTCACCATCAATTGAAAATATATATCCTGTTTGTGCAGTATGTGTTCTCCCTCAAAATATCAAGCTCCCCTATCCTCGCCGAAAGCTAACCATTCCCCTTCCTTCAGCGAGCATGCATCTCACCTGCCATCTCCGCAATAGGCTGCACTGCCGACAGTGCAACCTGTCAATGCTCCCCTTCAGATGCCACTGCATTCGATAATGCTGTCACACCTTGCGTTGAAGCAGCATGCAATGCATCTGATCAATTCCTCGCAATCGAAGCCAATGACGAGTTGTGCGCAACGTGGTCATTATCTTCTTACACTGCTGCGCTCTCGACATATTCAATCTCGTTTAGCACGGCCGGCTTGGGAGGATTCTTGACAACTGCCAAGACAACATCGAAGGCTGGAGCGCAGCAGACGGGCATTGGGACTGGTTCGACCTCCAATTCTGGGCAACTTTCCACGTCCACTTCGGGTCTATCAGCAGGCGCAAAAGCGGGGATAGGTGTGGGTGCAGCATTGGGAGGACTGATAATCATTGGACTTATTGTTTTCGCATTTGTATATGGTCGACGATCAGCAAAACCAAAGCCCGAACCGGAAGCGCCATCAGACGTGATACCTCAAGTCGAAACGGATGGGAAGGTGGAGCTGGGTGATGAATCAAAGGGGGGAATCAATACTGGGGTAGTGGAACTCAAGGGCGATATTCAACCCATTTACATTCGACCATTGAACGAGGAAGAGAAAGCGGAGCTGGAGAGCAGGCGCAGAGCTAAGGAGTTGGAAAGTAAAGTGAGAACGGAAATTGTGGTTGTGAGTCCAATTGCGACTGAAAGATATGAAATCGAGGGCGTAGAGAGACATGAACTAGAGGCGCTCAGGAGAGAGGCAGGCGTGCGGCATGAGTTGGGGTGAGAAACAGATAATCCTTGGGATGATATCGACATCACACCTTGTACGATTCCATCAAGTCTTATGTGTGAGACAACGTTTAATGCTCGCTTAGACTGGTGACCATTGTCCTCAATTGAGTCCTAAGCATACCCCTATCTACATGTGATGGGAGATGACTAACTCACAACTCCATGCTGGAATATTTGAAAGGCGTTATTGAGCGCGCGACACATTCCTTTATGGTAACATACGTTGTGAATGGGCGCGAGAGGCCGATGACTCTGGGTCCAGATCATTGAACGAACATAGATACTCGATGGACTCCACGCTCAAGAGAATCATAAGACACCGTTAACACATCTCCAAGCATGTCTTACCTACCCATTCATCTCCCAGCACTGGGGAAGAACGTCCATCGATTCAAAGCAACTCCCAAGATTCTCTTCAACTATCACGGCCAAACAATCATCGAAGACACACTTGCTGACCTGCTCCTGGAACTAGAAGACTTCAAATTGCGCTGGGAGGAGACCACAGCCAGCAATGTTCCAAGGGTGTGGTATGACTACTACGACACAGTGAACGAGGCCCAAAGTGTATGGGGGCATGAGAGAAATGGTGCAGGCTCGGAGAGCCGTAAGATGAGAAAGTTTTGGAGGTGGTCGAGCGCAGTTAGAGAGTTGAGGGATTCGATTATTCATTGGATGAAGGAGCAAGATCTACCGCCAGGGTATAGTCAAGGGAAAGGCCGAAGCTCCTTAGTGTTTGTTCCAAGACAGGAGGAGGTACTTCCACCATATTCACCACCTGGAGAGAAAAGGCTATCAAAATCGCCTTGTGTGGATCGGAATCAGGCTGTAGTCGAAGAGCTTGGGATAACATATACCATTTGGTAAAATGCAAGGGATACAATGCCGAGCAGGTGTAGCATATGATAGAATAACACTGAAGATGATGTGCGATAGTATCAATGATGAATGGAATAGTAACGACGAGACAAAACGATGCTTCGAGAAGATCCTTGATACTCATCCCACCTTAATGTCGTCATAGAACATTCTTGGAATCTAGGATCGCTTTTGAATCGAACTCAAGCATATTTTTTTGATGGTGACCCAAAAAAATCAAAGGTACTGAATCATCATATATCGCGAAGCACGTCTATAAAAAGCTCTACAGCGAATCGCAAAGCATGAAGAAACTAAACCATCTATTCTCCCCAACCTCAACCAAGATCCGGAAGCAGTATCTACCCAACTTACTCCAGCGACAAGATGTGCCACCTGTGCAATCCATGGAACAACGGCAGGGGATCAATGCCCATCGAACTCCAAATCGCTGAGATAGGCGATGATTATGCCCGATACCGCCTATCCCACCCATCGAAGGCACCGTCGTAGAAAATGGAGAAGCTTTGGACGAGAGCACTAGAGTTGAAGACAAAGGTTGATGGCATCAGGGAGAAAACCCGACTTACCAGTATACAACTTGAAGATGATGAAATGAAGAGTATCTCGGACGAGGTGGATGCTATGAGGAGAGGAAAATGGGCACCTGGATATCCGGGTGTGAAGTCCACAAATCAGTGTTGCAAGTAAGGGCCGAATGTAGGGGTGGATTTGAAATTGACATTTGAGTATGTCAGAAGAGATGTCGTGATGAGACGATGCTGTTGTTGTTTGGGGGCAGGAGAGGAAGCCACTTGGTCAACTCACGAGCGTGGTGTACATAAAAGAGTCTCTTCTCTTTCAGTTTTACAAGCATGGATAATTTTCGTGTCAGCTTTTCTATCATTTGAAACTCGACATGAACGAAAGTGACTTTTGATGAATTAGATTTCTGAAACGTATCATAATGAAATCATCCCTAATGACTCAGGCCTCTATTCGATAAGTCCATAGAACGATGTGAATCACCACCCACTCAAAAACATTCATACAATCAATCACTCAAAAGTACTACAATAGCACACACTTATACCCTTCTTCCATTCCAACCCCCACCACAAACCCAACACCACAACCACAACCTTTATCAAAATGCTACCACCACCCTCACTCCCACCCTCATTGCCAGCCACCATCAACAGAATAACAAAAACCCTCTCCAAACTCCGAACCTCACTCTCCCAACACCAAAAAACCACCCGCTCCCACGACCGCTCCGGACTCCCGGACCACCACGTCCTAGACCTCTCGCAGAAACTCACCAAACTGGAAATTGAATGGAGCGTCGAATTTCGGAGCACGGATCCACGTCGAATAGAACGGTTCGGGAAGAAGGTTGATGCCTTGCAAGAAGAGATTGAGAAGTTGTCGAAGGGGAAAACGGGCAAAGAAAGGGGCAGTGGATGGGATGAGAAACGAAGTCGAATGGCGCAGTATGAAAGCGAGAGGGACGCGGAGATGCGGGGACGGCATGGGGCGCGTGGGTCCGGCGGATGGAAAACGTGGTTGTCTGGCTATTGTTTGTACAGTTAAGAGATCATGATGTTATTAAGCATCATACAGATACGTCAACAGCAATAGCTGGTCCAGGTGACATGGTGTAATGTGATTTCATTATACAGAAGTGATACCAGACACTTGAGGGGGCAAGAATGAATGTGAATATCCCGCCGATGAATGGACTTTGAAAAGTTAAAACTTGGAAGAAAAGCTGCGATAATGTCCGTCACTTCATAAATCATTCACAAGCTAGGAACTCGAAAGTAATAACAAGTACTTAAAAAAGCTACAACAATGTCCATTCTTTAAACGTTCATTTATAAGCTAAGAACTTAAAATTTATAATAAACACATAAAAGCTAGACAATGTTCGTCACTTGAAAGTTTATTTATAGTTTAGAAACTCGAAAACTAACAAGTACACACAAAAAGAACGAGAATATCCCTGATTTGAAGGTTAATTTATAAGTCCGGAGCTCGAAAATTAAGAAGCACACACAAAAGCTACAACAATGTCCGTCACTTGGAGGGTCATTCACGCAATCAAAATCACCAAGAGGAGACCGTTGAATGATTGCTCCAAGCGTATTCATATCTATTTTGCATTGTCCATATGCCATCCATTCTATACACACTCTAACACCAAAGTCCCAATGCATCTCGCTCTCACAACTTCCCACCCGGCATCTCGTCAGGTATTTTGATTCCTGGCATCGAATCTGGGATCTTGCCATCAATGACCGAGAGAGGACCAAGATCGGCAACGTTTGAATCTCCACCATTAAGGAGTGCAATACTGGAAATAACGTCTGCAGGCTCTAGCAAATGCCAGTGTGCAAGGGTCATTTTCGAGCTAGCGCCAACGGTGACAGTAAAGACGTGGTCCTTGGGTAGTGCGCTTCCATTTAGGGCACGGAACATATCTTCATCTGTGAAATCGTCTCCCAGGCACAGAGTAAACTCTGGTGGCTCACCAACTTCCTTGCCGTATGAATCCACCAGACGCTTGGCAATCTCACCTTTGTTGATGAATGTTGGGCGGACTTCGAGGTTCGCTTTGCCTTGCATGACTTCAACATCCCAGGCTTTGCCAACGGTTTGCTCCAGCTCCTTTTGACATTCACGAGCGTTGTGAGCAGCGAGTTCGGGGTCGGATGGTCGGTAATGCCAAGTCAACGCGCATCGTTTACGTTCGATGAAGGATCCTAAAATTATTAGCTACGAAGTACAATAGCCATGATAAGACTTACCTGGAGTCAGTTCCGTATATTTCTGGAAGCACTCCATGACCTCCACTTGCCAACCCATGTCAAAGGTCTCGGCCAAATTCTCCCACTCAGTGTGGCCTGGATGACGCATGAAGCTACCATGCTCGGCACTGAAGCCAAGCTCAGAAATGAATCCAAGATATTGTTGTAAGAAATCTTGATCCCTTCCACTGATGATCCAGACTGCATTTCGGTGATCTGATGCCAACGCTTTTAGTGTTCGGATGACACGCTCGGAAGGGATGGCGTCTCCTGGATTCTTGACAATTGGGGTAAGAGTACCATCATAATCGAACATGAAGAGTCGCTTCTTAGCACCTCTGTATTGCGACAAGAGGGCAGCCTTGTCCAACAGGGGCGTTGAAATAATCGCATTGTTCGAGCTCAGAACAGTCAAAAGACGTTTAACGAAGCCATTTGACCAAGCTTGTACATTCCTGGTCGTGACATGATGGTACAGACTTCCATGCATGACGGTCTTCTTGTCTTCACTCATAGTAAGAGCATAGTTGATTTGGTCCGCAACACCAGAAAGATCCCACGGGTTGATGTGGATGGCATCTTTCAAGCTACCAGCAGTTCCAGAGAATTCTGACAGGATCAACGGTCCATGTGTGTCTCTCTGACATACAACGTATTCCAGACTGGTGGTGTTCATGCCATCTCTGACACTGGTGATAAGACCAATGTCAGCAGCTCGGAGAAGTGCCAAGTATTCGTCCTGGGACAGGTATTGTGGGTAATGCTGAACCGGTGAGAACGAAAGCGAACCGTACATCCCGTTGATCTTGGCGACAAGTTCGGAAACCTTGTTGGCGATCTTATTGCCCGCATCCTCCTTTTCCTCTTCCACACTTGTAGGACTGGTGACCTGGATCAGCACAACCTTGCCAATCCATTCTGGATACATCTCCAGAAATCTCTCGAAAGCCATAAGCTTCTGTGCAACACCTCGCACACTATCAAGACGATCTCTTCCCACAATGATCTTCTGACCATGATAAAGCTGTTTCAAGTCTTTCACTTGACTATCAACAGTCGCGGAGTTAAATGCTAGCTTCTCTACTGAAGCTGCATCGATTCCGATTGGGAAAACACCCACAGTAACCTTTGCACCGTATGCATCCACACCTGTGATATCTGAAGGAAAACCCAAAATTCTCGAACAGCAGGAGACGAAATGTCGCGAATAGCTATGCGATTGAAAACCGATCAAATTTGCACCCAAAACACCTTCTAGGACGTCTTTGCGTCGTGGTAAACACCGGAGAAACTCGCTACTGGGAAACGGAATATGCAAGAAAAAAGCAATGTACATGTGTGGAATTCGTTGTCGAAGCATGCTAGCAAGGAGAAGGAGGTGGTAATCGTGGATCATGACGATATCGCCAGGCTTGTAAATCGAGAGAATGCGGTCTGCGAATTTCTGGTTCATCTTATAATAGTCCGCCCATGATTGTCGCTCTGCTCGCCCGTTTGTTGGTTCATGTTGCTTGTAATGGAAAAGGGTATATAGCTCGTGCTCTGCGAAGCGTCTCCATCTCGATTGATCTTTGAGACAGATGGAGCCATCGGTCACTCCCTCGGTCTCATCATTCAGCCAAACTGGTATTGTGCGGCAATTCCTGTCGTGGCCTAACTGCCACTCTAATCGGCCTTGATCCTCCTTGTTGATCCATAGGCCCTCCGAGGTGGGCGGTTCGTTGACTTTGGAAAATGGATCGAGAGGAATAGGAGCTGAACTTTTATTCAGAGGGACAACTTTCGCAGCAGTTGTTGTCGCAGGAGGGGTAACTGGTGGGGTTAATTCCTCCACTGGGTCAATTTCGCCGGTCCAACCAACGAGCGTATGGTTCCATGGAGTCTTATCGGAGGAGAGGTATGTGAAGGAATCGAAGAGTGCAGAAGTGCCTCGTCGTGTGCTCAAGCCCTGCAATCCTGTTAGCGCAGCATGATAGATCTTCCGCAGATCAGCGCACCCAATCTTGCCCTTTTCTGTACCGCAGAGAATGCGGTATACAGAATGTTGCTGATATGACACCTCCGCTCAGCCCCAAAGATGGATTCGCAGCTCGCGGATCAATATCTGCCAAAGACTCCTTTCTCTGCAGACCTGGGCCCGACAAGCTCATTCGACGGAGGATCTCATGATTCGAAGCTGCGCCATGAGCTGCCTCAACAGGTGATTGTGCCATTCCGTCTCCCAACCTGCTCAAATCGTGTGTGAAGTATGATGGATCGGTATCTTTTCGTGGCAGCTCTTCGCCCAAGTGCATGCCCGGAGTGACTGGGATGTTGGTCAGAGAGGGTCGCAGACCTGGATGGATTGAGTCCTGGCGGTCTGGAAGCAAAGGACGGGGCGATTCAGCGAACTCAGCGCCGTCTTCTTCGAATTTCTGTGCCATGGTGAGCAGAATGGCCGAGGTAGGCAGTATGGTTATGAAACCGTTGGTGCAAGGAGAGACATGAATTTTGTGAAGAAGAAGAAAGTGAGACTGCAGGTTTAATAGGTAGAAGAGAAGCACGAATGAACGTGGAGGTGAGTGTCTAGGTGGAGAAGTTTGCGGAGGATTTCCTCCAGAATCAGTAGGTCAACAGAACGTGTCTGAGATTCTGGCGGTGGACGTGGGGCAGCTGAAGCCTTCCAAAAACAGGATTGGCTTTGCAGAACAGGGAAGTCGCGAGATTGGCGACGCGGAAAGTAGAAGTCGTACCTGACGTAATAAGCAATTCTGATAGGGGCCAAGACTTCAAGCTGGTGAGGAGGTGAGGTGAACATGCACTGCAGATAAACCCCCTGATGGCCTAGAGTCTAGAGGGGTGTGGAGCACCACGCTGGAAGACCTGGTGACGGTGCACTGTCTGGGACCGCCTTGATCTCATTTGGCCCTGGCAGCACTGCTTAGTCCTCTAGTTTGCAGCAGCGAAACCTTATGACTACGCATTCTAGACCCGGGCCAGAACATGGCTATTCCTATTCCTATTCTCCCATCTTGCTCTTCATTTCTCTCTCTTCTGCATTATTGTCTTGTCCCGTCCCACAATTACCACTTAATCCCGCAGTGGCTATTGCGGAGTCTGAACCTCTTCTCCATGCTTCTCCTTCTCTTAGCTCGCCCTTTCCTGCTCCTCGGCCCCTCTTCCAAAATTGCAGCATCAGGCACGAATACTCTCGCGGGACGCTGCTCACCTCTTGAACGCCCAACGTGCCCAAGAGGCATGGTCTGCGTGGCAGCTGTATCTTTACCCTTCCTTATCTGGGCCCAAAACCCTCATGGCTAAATGGCCTCACCCAGTATCATATTGTCGTCGAGGCTCAATTTCTTGCAGATGGGACGGAAGCCCGCTCCTAGAATCGCCGAGACTCTTTCTCACGAGCCATTCACATGTGGAATTCGGTCCGAAGGTGCGATAACTTTAAGGAACTGCGAGAGAAAGGCCGCACGAGAGAGATGGCTATCGTGGCTCTTTTTATCGTCATATGTGCCTCGTACGATGTTTTGTTGTTTTGGAGCTGCGTGCTGTGTTGAGTGGCTGCGACATCGCTTGCTATCTTCATTCTTCTGCAGCCATGATGCAGGATGGAACGAAGATTTCTCACAGGAAGGCTGATAACATTTCTCAAGTTTCAAGCAGGTAGGGATCTTTTTGATTTGTTTTTTTGTGCAACTCATCATCGGGATGTGGTTCCAAGAGCTAAAGCCGCTGTATACAAGATGGATTCCTTCGGCATTGAGGTCTCACTTCCAGTGTCTCCAGTCATGACATGATCTTAAAAGATGCACAAACCACTATAGCAGCTGGTGTATTGCACATCATTGTTCAGTGCTCCTCTATTAATTTTCATGAATAGCTGTGAATAGTCAAATTAAAGATGGGTCGAGAGCAGGTTCACCGCCACGTGAAAAGGAGTCATGATCGGAGAATTCGTGATTGGCATGTTCTTTACCCCTCCAAGCTCGATGGAGGGGTCAACAGCTTCGAATGCTTCCCCGCCACGGAGATATGGAACGCAACGAAGGGTCAGCCTCACCGCTAAATTTCTTCAGAATGTAAAGATATTTATTGCTAATCAAATAGAGTGCTCTCCTCAGCTAGACAACATTTAGAAGGAGAATAATCTCTCGAATGTATCTAGGCAGAGCAGAAATGACAAGACCATTACACCATTCAAGTCGATGCAAGGCCAGACGTCTTACAAAAGAACTCCAGTGCAAAAGCAATTCAGGAGCAACATTCATTCGATGAATTTCATCAATTTCGCATATTCTCTAAAAACCTTCAAACTCTAATTTTCTTCATCCCATCCCTCCAAGCGAAGCCGCATCGTAAACCTCTCAAAACCGTCTCAAGTCCCTCTCAACACCACCTCAACACCATTTCAACACCAGCTTGACACCAACTCAACCCAAGCTTAATACCAAAGCCCGAATGCGATGTGCAACAAAACTCTCATCCCTGTCCACTTGCCCGAAATGGATATGATCACGTGCCTAGTCACGATTCTCTGAATAGCTTCATCCTCCGCTTCTCGCTCAGCGCAACGTGCTATCCTTTCGAATTATTGAAGCTTACTGTCATTCTCATATTTTTCTGTGTCCTCTGTCTTTTCTTCAAGAGAACAAAGTATCAGAAATAAGTTAGAAAAAAAGGTTCCCACCCAAATGTCTTCAGCACAACAAATGCACCCCTGCGAGAAAACGTCTAATTAAATCTGCTGAAGATTCACTCCGATGTGCAACAAAACCTTTCCTCCGTCCCGAAATAGAAAAGTGGCAGACGCGATTACCTCATTGTGGAGCAATGTGCACCAATGACAAATGGAGCAAGGTGAAATGCGACACGTGAGTTGGTGAGTTCGTAAATTCGAGAATTTGAGAATTGGAAAAGTATTGTGATTAATGTAATCAATGTTTTCTGATATTTTGCTATGAGCTTAGAGATGTCAGTCTAAGATTTGATCGAGTTAGATGGAGATGAAGGGGTAGTTGATGCACGTGTTGATCGATTCGCTTGTCTGTTTCTGGAATGTATCAAGCATTTTCGGCACTGGCAAGTCTTCCAAAATGATCACAAAATGATCGCATCTCTAACGCACCGCGTAGCACACTTCTCCCAGAGCTCTTCTCCCCTCAACCCTAATGTCGTCAAGAGACATCGCCCCCTTCATTGCCCTCTCGTTCTGCTGGCTCAGTACCAACTCACTCCCCGTTCCATCGAGGTATTTATAGTCCTCAGACGGCACTCCAGCTACCAAATCCTTCCAATGCTGCCGCATATACGCAAGATTCGCAGGCGTCGACGGGGCTGCTGGGATGTAGCAAACGCTCGCTGGACCGGTACCATTGTGCGTCGTTTCGACAGCATGGCACATCTACTCCTTCGTCAGCTTCGCGACTCGTTGTCCACGGCTCTACTCACATCCGTGTGCCACCAAATAGTATCTCCAGGCTCCATATCAGGAATACTCATCAGTGTATCTTCAAGGTAGAGATGTGGATGACTAGCAGGACTCAACAGCTGCGAGTCCCATCGAAATGTCCCTGGAAACCATGAAGATTCATGATCCAGCTCCCAACTTTCTGGCTTCCTCCAATCTCCTTCAGGCGCCTTGAAAAACGGTCTAAGTATCATGTATGCAGTCACAATCTTAATGTCCGGGACCAGCATCAGACCTCCTTCTCCAGGCTTGCAGGGCGTCAAAGCAGTCCAGCCTTGAAATGCTCGCATTACACTACACTGTGCACCGCCCGGAAACATCGCCGGATTCGCATTCTTTCGGTATGCCATATCATATGGATCATACCTCTCTGGTCCACCTCTCAGGATGGCGTCGTAAGTCTTTCGATACTCTTCATCTGCCCATCGACTGAGTGATCCACCGTCAATATGCGGTCCCAGACCAAGAAATTCTTGCCCAGGGTGTCTGATCCGCAAGCCATCAGGGTACAATACCGGCTCGGACTGGGCTTTCAGCTCGTCATCTGAGCAGGATGAGTCGGTCCAGAGACAGTTCAGCAAGCGCTGTACTTGCAAATGTCGTGGGTTTGTTTTGATCTTTAATTGTATTGGACTCGAGTATAGATGGTAGATGGCAACGCTCTTCGCCGGCCAGCCCGTGACTGTATCATTATTGTCCGCGATGAAAGATTTCAGATCCTCAAAGTACTGGATAGCTTCATTCTTCGGGATCACGCCTCGAATGATACAGCAGCCTGCTTCTTTCATCGCCTCTAAAGCTTTGCTGTCTGAGAGTATATCGTCTGCTTCGAAAATCGGCACGGCATTATTTCCTTGGGATGCAAGTCGTGAAGTCACACCGTCCAAAGCATTGCAAGTCTTGATCCATGCCGTTCGAAGATTGTCTGCGCCGTATTCGGCAATTATGGTTGCTTTAAGATCTTTTTGAAAGGTGTCGGTGGGGTCATTGTCCTTGGGCGTGAAGGATGGCCAACCACTAGGCCAGGTCGTCGTTTTTGAAGGCATGTTTGATTTTAATGGTACTTAAGGTTACACCTCCCTCGCTATCTCAACTTCATGAAGCGTCCTTGATCGCTAAGCTCGAGCTTCTGGGCAGAAGTGGGGGAAGGTATCGATCACCTGACTGACAACTATACCTAGGTAATGATCAAACTGGAAATCTATTGGACCTATCAAGGTGCCATATAAAATTGTTGTTCTATTATCAATGACGTATGACATATGGTTCAAGTGGTAGTCCCAATGCTTCTCGGTAGAGAAGGATGGATGTTCTGGTAGGGTCCTAACCTCCTGGCCCCGATCTCTTTGCCCTGGAACCATAAACTAACTTGCACTGCCACTATTCAAATGTCAAGAGCGGCTGCGACTCTGGCCATTCTGAGTGTGATGTAGCAAGAGGTTGTACTTGTTGGAAGCCTCGATCACGAGACGTGTCACGTTAATTGGATAGGTATCACATCCGACGACGGTCGCGCTTCTGGCTTCTATTTTCTCCGCGCGTTTACGCTTATTACTCCTCTAGAACGGATCAAATGGAATGATTTCACCCAATCAAGTCTTCTTGTCCAATCGTCGACCGTTTTGTTCACCCAAACTCTACCGGCCAATCAGAAGCCTCCTCGCGTCTGCAATGCGCGAGTGTGAAACATCAACTTCAAACCACAAGTCTCATCTTACCGCGCACAAAGAAGCATCCACTGGCTCACACCGACTCTTACATCTCATGCCTCATTCTTTATATCCTAGAAGATTCTATCCATTGTCTCCTCTGAACTGGTCAAGGACCCGGTTTCATTTCGTGAACCGCCGCCAACATGCGACGGGTCCTCGGGGAACGAAGACAAAGCCTCCAAAGCGACCTAAGTCAGGTCGCTTTCTTCGTGGCCTCTGGAATTTGAAACCGGTAGACAGATGGTACAAGACGATGCATATGTCCAGGAGAATGAAAAGGCACTTTCGTCAGTGTTCTTCTGCTTGCTCGTGATATCGCTCTTTCATCGTTGCTCTCTTCTGTCTTTTTCGTATTGTTTTGATCTTCGTTCTTTATTTCCTATCGCAAAATCATACAACAAACTGTGTTGATTCGAGTTATTGATTTCGAGGATACATATCGCGAAGAGAGGCGTAGTGCTTCGCCATCATCCGACATCATCCTTCACTGCAGGTCGGGGATATTCAGCCAGCACCACAAGGCACACTCTAAATCATGAGGGGGCTTCAATTATTACGTGGAATATTCATCTTCGCAGCCTTAGCAGAAGCAGGACCAGTAAGACGAGATGCTCCTCGCCGGTAGTAAGTTCATCCTTGTTGTTGGCATCCAAATACTAACTTCTGGATAGTGGGGCAAGAAGTGTTGCATTCGTGAACACAACTCAATCAAGCACAACCAGCACCATTCCAGCATCTGACGTGCTTACGATAATACCTGTCGATTCCACTACATCAGAATCGTCGACAACGAAATCGTCAGCTTCGATCTCATCAGGCCCTACAAGTACGATCAGTCCGACACCTTTCCGTGCTAGCGATACCAGTACATCTCATTTGTCAACTTCTCTAAGCGCGAGCGATACCCAAATCAGTTCTACGACTTCGAAAGTCCCGTCCTCAACAATCTCATCAGAATTTTCGTCAACTCATTCCACACAATCAGCAGTTTCGAATACCGCATCACTGGTTGGTGCCAATTCGACTGCACCTAATCAGACCGGACAACAAGTCGGTACTAGTGCCACCGCGTCCTCAAACCCAATTCACACCTCTCAAATAATCTCGTCCACAAGCACCCAAACTGGGATTGGATCTTTGACGAATAGCACTTCTCCAACATCGACTTTCCAGCAATCTTCAAAATCGATCGCAAGCCCGTTTACAACTTCCGCGAAAACCACATCTTCAGTTCAAAGATTTACACTCAATAATACGGACTCAATCGTCCCTCCCGCGACTCAAATCTCAACACTATCCTCCATGGCAGCTTCTGCAGGCTTTCAAGATCCCTCATCGACATCTGAATCACTCACCACAGCCTCAGATGTGTCTACACAATCAAGCTCCACCAAAGCCCCTTCTATCACACCCTCGGAAACAATCTCCAAGGCACCCACGATCATTTCCTCGGTTCCCACCGCCACATCCACCGTCTCCTCCTCAGTATTCTCCGCCAACCTCGCAGACGCAGATGCATACAACACTCTCTTCTCAACACTCAACTTCTCGTCCCCCTGTACTGGCGACCAGATCGCTTGTATCAGTGGCAATGTTGGCACGTGTAACGGCCAAGGCAGTTTCGAGATAACTCAAGTCTGTACTTCGGGCAACGAATGCTTCGCTATGCCGATGAACAATACTCGCGGCGTCTTTGTTGGCTGTACGCTTATTGCTGAGGCTCAATCTGTGTTATCTCTCAGTATTACTGCTACTACAGCATTTTCCACTTCGAGTTCGTCGACGTCTATCTCAGTTACGACCATCTCCACGAGCAGCATAATCGAGTCCACAACATCAACAACCGCATCCCAATCCTTCGCAAGCCAAACAACCCTCCCCGTCCCCGGCTTCGGCACCACCACCCTAACCGCTTCCCTCCTCTCCACATCCACCACCATCCCACCAGCAGCAGAAACAACCACAACCCTGCTAATCCCCGCCTCCGAGCTAACCACCACCCTCCCGCTCTCAACAATCTATGTCACCACCTCAGAACGCTCCGTAACCACCGTCTTCGTCACCAAATCGAGGACCAAGAGCGTGACGCCGACTAGCACGAGTAATGGTGGCGGACTGACTATCATTCCGGTGCCAGATACGACGGCTGCGCCGTCGGGAACGGGGAATGGGGGCGAGAAAACGGTTACGGTCACCGAGACTGTTACTACCACTGAGAGGATTTGACGCGCTGGGTCAGGAAAGGTTCGGGGAGAGAGGTGGTGGAGTTTAGGAGTGAGGTTGGGAAAAGTAGATAGATAGTTTGCAGATAGGCTGTTTGCCGAATAATGAATAATTTTTGCGCTTTATGTGTTGGAAGTCAAGGATTTGAATGAGTTTTAGTGAAGGTGTAATTTCGTCTCTTTTCTGATTTGCTAGCCACTAGTATCTACTTGGTGGATGCATGAATAAACCTGCTTGTGACAGACATTGTGACAGCTTTGCTGAATGCTCTAAGTTTTACTTTGGTATGAATGACCCCCCAAGTGACGGACATTGTCGTAGCTTCGGTTACTCGTGCTTTCTACCCTCTTCCATGTCGGAGATGTCCCTCACCGCCTTGGCAGTTCCTCTCCATTGTCCGTATGCGATTCTGATATCGTAGACACCGAGTGCCAAGAGAAAACCATCTACAACCCAAACCCAGACATTCTGGGGCTTCCAGGGGCCATTTGTAGCGATACCCCATATATATACGGCCAAAGACCCAAGGAAGGGAAAAAGTTCCAGACTCAATTTCAGAACGCATTGTTCGGGAGTTGGACGGAGACTCGATTCTGGGAGTTTGTCGGGCTGCAGTTGTAGAACAGACATATAGAATGATGTGCCAGCCTTTATTGATATCATTAATTTTGCATGATCAGAAGCTGCTTTAGCCAGACTTACAAGACCCACGCCAACCCAGAGACTCTCCGTATAGCCATTTTCGTAGCCAATCTTACAAGCAAAACTCCCAACAAAAAGGATAGCGCAGATCTTGAGAGCAGCTCATTTATTGAGAGGTGCTTTATCGGGAGGTGCCATTTCAAGAAGATAGCAACCGGGAGGTGCGATGTGCAACAAAAGTTTCGAATGTCTGGCGAAGGCTGAATGATTGATGGTCGGAATTTGTTGAAAGCTCGAAGACGTTGTGAGATTGTGACAATGCGCTGAATGGTAGGCTTGGACATTCAAAGTGCTCTGAAAGTTGGACATGGTATAGATTATGGTGGATTGCACCTTCCTTGTGTAGTTGATAATTAGGAAGCTGCAAGTGTAATACACAAGGAAGTAACGATTACCCCGCAAACAGCATCAATTGTTCAACAGGTCCTAAACTCAGAATATCCGGGTGGATTACAGCGTGCCATCTCAGAGTCCGTCCCCTTTTCGACACAATTTCCCAACATTTGTCGCCACTGCTCCTCTTTGTCCCATCCACTTCTGAGTTCTCTGAGCACCGAATCCCTTCCTAGTTCCCACATCTTCTGCATACCCGCTCTGGTGCGATCTCCATCGCGAGCTCTCAACCCCAGGAATCTGTTCCATTGTATTGTTTGGTCACCGCTCCTAACACCTTCTCTTATGCACAAGATTCTAAGATCGTACCAAAGGGCGTCTGGATTCTTCGATTCAAGAAGCCGCTGTAGCAAGTCATACTGTGCCTTGCGGGTGATGAATTTCGTTCTTCCTTCACAATTCTTGCATTGTCGTGGCGTTTCCTTGTGCTTTTGCACTATAAGAGAAACAGTGAGGAGGAATGATATCGAGAAACACATGCTAGCAAACATGAGCGGACATTCCCAACTGTCGAATGGAGAGTTGAAGGGCGAAAAGAAAAGAGCTAGTGCGCGATATGTGGTGGTAAATATCGACCAGATGAACAATATCAGCTCCAATACGAAGTCTTTAAGAAGTGTAAACATTATTGACGAGTCCTACGCATACATATTAGAGGAGACCATCAAATATAGTGTGTTAATAGATCACTTACAGTGAAGTATACTTGGATTCACATGAAAAATGAGAGTTTGTGAATTAGACAGAGGATGGGAAATGGTATAAATGGAGGAAATGGAAGTGCGATGACACATATACGACCAAGTTAGCTTCCACTCCTGGATGCACTGAACCAAGTGCCACACTATCTGGGGCCCGAAAATTAGTTCCCACAACAGAACAATTTAAACCCCCGTCCAACCTCTAGTTAAATTCTGTTCAATCTTCCCACACCAGCACACACTTTCAAGCTTTCGATCTTCAAACCGACGACGATAAAATGCATTTCGAAACACCCATTCTTGCAAACGTTTCGCAATCATGCGCAACCAATCCAGCAGTACCATACTGCTATCTCGAATGTCTCGACCCAAAGTATGCTCGCCTGGAGCTCTCCCGCCTGTCTGGTCTATTCTTCGGCTTGTTCATATCGCTTTTGGGCCCCGTTGTCTTTCTTCACATATATCGAGAATACCGCGATGGTCCACGCGCTACCGAAACGACGAGATTACTGGGCCTGTTCGCGCGAACGCCAAAGGGGAAGAGGGAGAGGCTTTTACAGAGGCTATGTGAGATAAAGGAGGTCGAGTATCCGGTGTATATCTCGGAAGACGAGGGAGAAGCGACGAAAGTGATGAATTCCCATGAGGTCATATCCGTGTCGAGGAGGGGAAGGGTGTAGGAGCTCGCTTACGGACAAGCGAGCCCCTTTTTTGCAAGGGTGGCAGATTCTCTGTTGTCCTTGGCATTTATCAATGTTCACTTAGACAAGTATTGCTATAGAAGAATGGTTACAAATCTTGCCGAACATGAACGAAGTGACTGGAAAAAGCACACAAATCATTGCATGCCAAGTTGGTATCAATAGTTGCCACCGGCCTAGGATCGAATCACTCGTGCATCGGAAATCCATTCACACTGACGCAGATACTGTGTCTTGAATCACACATTCAGTTCTATTAGTCTCGGTTATTATTATGCGTTAACATGTGAATCACCAAGTCCGAGTTCACACTTACTTGTCTTCGAGGATAAATAATCTCGTGCCCCTGCTGGTTGAACACTTTAAACTTACCTTCAAGGTCTTACAAACTTCGTCTGATCGCCACGATATGTCTACGCATGGGGAGCAAGAAGAAGATCCTGGGTCGGTCGCTGTGCATCTGTACAGGGTCGAAATGAAACTACGAAAAATGGAGGAAGCGAGCGGCGACGTGCCGCCAAGTGTTCGGAAGTGGCTCGCAACATTCATGAGAGCGTGGGTATTTGAAAAGGAAAAATGGCAAGCAGCTCCTCATTGGTTGGATGGAAATATACCTAGGAACCCGGAAGTAGACGAGAAGATCCATGAGGACTTGAGGGAACTGGGAATTCGGATCCACTACAATATTCCCCTTGAGATTAGGTCCCGAGCAGGCGACATAGTGTAGACGAAGTTTAGTGTGTGTAATCTTACGCAGCATCTAGGGTTCTTGGGATTTATGCGATGCAAAGAAAGATGGTTTCAGATATGCGTACGACCTGGTGGTGAAAGCATCCCCGCTCTGAATAAAAACAGCATGGCAAAGACTAAACAGAAATGACCTCAAAGACTAGTGTTAATGCGAAATGATACATAAAGGCCCGCTGCACAGTGATTTGTACCGTCACTTCATACCTCCCATACTCAACGCCGATACGCTCCATAATAGTACAAGTCTAGTGTGTATAAATCCCCTAATCTACCCTCTATTCACCCTGATGCTCTAGATGCTTCTAAGCAAAACAGCGTCAAGACGAAGAAATAGAGATGCAAGTCCCCCCTATGCACGAGAAAGGATCGCAACAACCCGAGGCTGTGTTGCAAGGCGCTCCAGATGTAGCATATGTACAGATGAAGCACGTCGAGGCTGAGTATTCGCACGCTGAAGGACTCGGACAATCGGAGTCTACTGTGCACCTCACTTGTGAGTTCGATGTCTTGGTGGATGTGGTACTCGGAACAAAGGTGATAGGTATGTGGGTTGTGGTAGAGGGTATCGTGGAAGATGTCGTGGAAGGGCTGAGACAATTGCTGAAACACGTTAGCTGAAGTACTGTAGGACAGCGGGCTCCTTACGGTGTGCAAGTACTCGACAAGGCTGCAGACTTGGTAGTTGAAGATCCTTCAGTTGTGATCAGTGAATTCGTCTTTGTAAGGCTCGAGGACAGAGTGGAAGCGGAGTCCGTTGCCGTGTTGTCCAGCTCCTGAAGGGACATCGAAGACTTCGATACAGTGGCAGAGGAGTTCAGAGAAGTATTTGCTTGTGACTTCGGCTGAGTTGAGATAAAGCTGCTAGTGCTTGTAGGTAGAGTATGGCTTGCTGTTTCAGATACTGTAGACAGACTGGAATGCTTGTCCCATACTGTAAAGTGTAAAACAATCAAAACAGCACCGACAATAACGAGAACAAAAAGTCCGGTAGCGATACAAAACTTCGGGTGTCGTCTCCATGACCAAGGTAGATCTCTTACTCTCCATCTATCTTCAAGTGACTTATCCGCAGCGCGGATGGGTGAATGTGAAGTATTGAACTCCTCGAGAGGTATAGCACGCTCATTATTCGATGGTATCGTGCTTCCATTGTCTCGCGATTGTGATCGTTCGCGTGAAGAACTAATAAGTCGAGATGTGCTTGCAGCTGGAGGATTATTTGCGACATAATTCCCATACAAATTGGTGATGTGTGTCAAAGGATGATGATTGAGGACGCCGACATTTTCGCAGTTGGCTTGCGAAGTCGACTCCCCTTCTGCTCTTGCATTTTCGTGTCTAGTTCTGGCATCGGACATTCTCGAACAGCCCAAACTGCCAATGAAGATCCTTGAAAACAGATTGGGTGCATGCATTCATGTGGAAGAAAACGAAAGTCGGTGTGGATGGAGTTTGTGTTGCGATGGAACCCAATCCCATACAAGCTGGGCGTCGCTTGCTGCGGCCACTGCCACATTGCATATGCACGACGATATGCAGGTGACCATTTTCAAAACGCCTGCTCAAACCTTCCCTGATTGTGAGGCCTAAGCCTCACGACATGTGATTCTGAGCCTCATCTTCCCACAATAGTTCACCGGAGAGGCAGTATCCCCATGGTATCTTCAAATAGCCTAATCAGACAAAGCATATTGGCTGGGACGAACGTCACCACGTTGATCTCCCGTTTTGCGAAGCCTCATATCCGGCCGAGCCTGTGGACCTTGGTCTGTGGAATCATCTCTTAAGATGACAATGTACGGCAATCGTGGAACAAGCGACGACGACGGCACTACAGTCCAACTCCTTGATGCCCAACGCGAGGAGTAATGGTGTAGGAAGAAGGCTATCTATACGATATGCGGTGTCAAAGAAATGGGGCGGTCTTCCGAATGGAAAGATGCCGTGTGAGGCGAGATCGGTAACAAATCAATGAGATATGAGGCGGGGCGTTTGACAGCACACAAGGCAAATCGGTATCTTATGCAAGCACCTACACTCTGCTACGCCCGGCTACGGTCTTGGATCATGGCTTTGTTTCAAGGCCAGAATCCCACACTGTCTAGCAATGACCCTTGACCGTCTGCACATTCGAGCATCTCGCTCGGACGCGGTAACGACCCCGCTTCAACAAAAACATAAAGATGTCCGGACTCGAGCTGATAACGGCGTTGGGAGTGGCTGCTAGTGTCGCCCAGCTGATCGAATATAGCCTGAAGGTTATCAAGACAATATCAGAGATAAATAGTCGTGTCAAGAACGCTTCAAGTTGCATTGCTCAATGCAACAAACAAATACGGCAACTCATTCAAGTTGGCCAAGCGATACAAGGGAACGAGAATTTTCACAGCGACCTTATTGCATGTCAACTACAGAACACTTTGGCAGAAGTCAAACATCTTCACGAACTTCTAGGACAAGTTTGGTTAGACTATACGACAGGCTCAAGTGGCAAGAGGATCTGGAAAGCAGTTGTGGGGGATAAGGAAAGGCATATGCTCAAATCTTCTGAGCGGCTGGAAAAAGAAAAGACCTCGCTTATTATTTGTATCGGCGTATTTCAGAGTCAAACTTTGCAAACCATTGAGGCCGGAGTTGAGATTTTGGTTGACAGGGATATGCCAAAAGTGCAAGACGTCCTCGACAAGCTGAAGATGAGCAGTAAAAAGTCCAAAGCAAAGGTGCGTAGAAAAAGTCATGATTTTGTCTTGTACGGCAATCTAATGAGCTCTTAGAAGCACCGTGAAAATGTCTCCGCCATTATGATGCCTCAAAATAATCAGCGAGAACAAGACCAAACATGCAGATCACTGGTAGTCCGAGAATCAGTCAACCCTGGTGCGTTATGATTGAAGTCACTGCTGAGTTCGAAGCTAAAAGTTCCATTTCAAGACCCTGAGACAGGCCCCAATGAACACTCGGGCCTTTACCGACCCCAGCTTTTGCAAGCTGATGGCCACTCCTATTCTGGAGCGAACTCAAACAGAGCCGTTCAGATGAACGGTGAAACAGGAACTGGCTTAGACACAAACAATGCGTACGCCAAGTCGCTTTGTGAAAACAAAGGTTTTCAAGTCAACGGCAATTATGGAAGCTCTGGTTTTCATACACATAAGGATCCACTGGCGGCGAAAGGTGCGTTTCAAATTAACGGCAACCTTGGGCCAGGAGTAACTAGAGAAGAATTGAACAAATGGAATGCAAGTGAAGGTGAAGGTACTCAATAAGACTTGGGGCATAACGCGGCAAAGCGAGCAAATCACATGAAATTTAGGACAACGATAGGGATTCACTTGCTCAAAACTTAGGTGCACCATTTGGTACTAAGCTTTAGCTTATTTGTGGTTTCTTTAGGTCTTGGACTCTGCAAAATAACTAGCTAGCAGTGCGCTTTTTCTTCAAGTAAATGCAGCTTTCTATTTGTGGCATGGAACGTTGTGCCAAACAGCACGGATGGGCAACGCGTGACTCCGCCGAGAGGAATTTTTCGAATATCAATTTGTGAATCAGAACTTGCCCACCTTTTTGTTTCTGTAAGCAAATTGTGTGACTGGTTTTACGACAGTTATGATTCAAGAAAGATAGAGCAGCCAAGCGGCATTTGAGAGATCTCTTGCAGCTTCTTACTCCGCAAATTCAGCTCTCGATCAACCAACAACTCTACCAACGAAATAAGCTTCAATCAAAATTTAAGATCATCTCTTCGTAGGGACTTGGGAGTTTCTGTTGACTGGGAGACGCATTCTGCATACAGATTTTGCTGAGATTCTGGTTTAAGTGCTGCATATTGGTAGTCCTGCTTGGTTTCGCTATCTGCAAGACAATGTACTGTACCCATGGTTTTGGGAATCGAGATTACTGATAATGTATCTTTGCGCTCAGGAGATCCTAGTTTGGAGTGCCATGCAAAGCTCGTACATAGCACCTCACAGCTCAGATGAGTCACATTTCGTCTAGTGGTACTTCCAGAAGCGTAAATAAAGCTAGTGTATCTTTCTACGAATCGCAAAGCTTTGCTTTACATCAAAACACCAGCTTCACAGCCTCTGATTCTATCTACGAACAGTATACCAATCTCCAGATCCACAACACCATTCCATTATCATGTCAAAAACAGTCCTCAAAACGACATCCTCGTCCGCATCGAAGATAAAATCGCAACCTTGCGCAGAAACCAAAACAACCAGTCCGCCGCTCACATCCGGCCAGGGAAGCAAGCCAAAGACTTCGACAAGACGCTTCAAGATATCAAAGGCTCTATGGACTATACTGTTCGACTCTGCGGCCACACGCCTGCTACGCACGAAATCGATAGGCAATTGAAGGAGTTGGAGAGGGCGCTTAGTGATGAGTTGTGGTTCTCATTCTATGTACCTGCTCCGAGAGCAAATGTTGCGCCGCCTCCGTATGACGATCCGCCGCCGCCATATAAAAAGCAAGCCTGATTGATATTAGTCAATGGGAATTCAGGATTTGGCTAGGCGGTAAAGATGGTTCTCACGGTTGGGTGATCAGTGACACGGGGGAAACTGGATAAGTGGACTTTGTTGATGGATGTCCTCGTCAAGACTGGATTTTGGGCATAGATTGGCGATAGAGCAGTAATGAATATCACATCAAGCACATTCACGATCCAAATTATTCAGTGGCTCCGTAGCTTACACAGTGTGAGTGGTTCAGTCTTAATCCAAAACTTGATTCACAGATTCGAGATCATGGAGTTCTACTATAAAGTCTCCACTACTACTGTGATCAAGACCCCAACACTCCCGAAAGACTTTGCCAAGTACTTTAAGGCTAATCAAAAAAACTCATTCATATCATTACCCAACATTGAACATGCCTGAAGCGGAGTATGATGAAGAGATCGAGAAGAGGTTCGCCGAGGCGGAGAGCAGACTCAGCGCGCATGACGAATTCTACCAGCATGAGGCATTTAAACGTAGACAACCCTCCCAATTGGATCTTGGTCCCGCCCCCAGACCCCTCCCGCTGGCAGCCACTACTTCCGAGGACATTCGCTACGTAAGGGAGAAATGGGACGAACGACATAAATATTTGCCCCGATACAAGAAAAAGGACGTTATGGAAGACTTCAAGGAAATTGAACGGCAGATTGATAGATTGGAAGAAGAGGTATCCATGGCATCACACATAAAGGATTATAGGCGAGTAATAGAGGGGAGGAACCGAAATAAAAGAGATGAAACCGACGACAGGCCACCACCGTACAGGGAGAGATGGCATCTCCGACTAATTCCATCAAAAGCGGTATGCAGATTAGGGAAACTTCGATTTGGTGGGAGCCAACAGTATTGAATCATACTTGAACATAGTCTTAATGCAAAACTTCTCATCAAATAATCTAAAGCTCTAAAGAATTTCTGGTGATATCTCAAGGTGGGAGAAATTAGGCTGCTGTAATGTCACACCCACGGCTCGCCAGAACCAGACATGGCTTAAGTAACCATTTTCTAGTCTAATACTGCGAAATTTTAGTAGTATTTGTTAATAAAAGCTTAGCTTGTACATGAATTCTATCTATGATCTATTTGGGTACGATTTTCTTGAATCAGGCAGAATGTCTTGGTAGTGGTAAATAGCAAATGAGAGCGAGTTCGCATTAACGCACCAGCATAATCACAAGCATAGGGAAAACGTTAGTAAACTTGAGGTGTATGTACTCAATGGTGCATGAATCTAATAATTAAATTGAGCATTCCCAAAACATGTAGAAATGCTATATTCTGGAGAGGCTGAAATGCACCTGATATTGACTATTGTGAATAAAAAACTTGCGAATTATGCTGCATTACTTGGGCATGCGAATCACGGTCCTCTGACATTTCGAGTCATGGAATCTTGAAAGCAATTTCTGTGAGCGGCTATATAAGGTTCCAGAGTTCCGCCAGTGGGCCCTCAATTACTTCGTCTCCGCTACAACCCCGTTATCTCCTAGCAAAACATATCCAAGTGGACCGCATCTTCCTTTCCTGTATGAAAATTATTCTCATTAAGAGCGCAAAAACCTCCGAAGAATTTTTCTCTGCACTACACGAAGTCTAACAACAAAGCTTGCAGCACGATATTTCAGCATTGAAGATGTCTCAAATTGCATATGATGAAGAGATCGAGCACAAGTTTACCAACGCGAAGCGCAGACTTCAAGTGATCAACAAGTTCTTCCCACTATCCAGGGAGGAGAACCTGCGAGGGGTACCCGAATTGTCATCTTTTTGGAGGGATCCATATTCGGCTTCAGAATACTTCCATTGCTTAAGAGAGGAGTGGGACGAACGACATAGGTTCTTCAGCCGGTTGAGGAGAAATGCTATGATGGAGAAACTCAAGGACCTTGAAGATATGATCCTCGTGCTAGAACGAGCTGCCTCGAGGGAGACAGAAAGAGAATGGAATAGGGCAATGGAAAGAAACCGAAGAAGAGAAGAGAGAGCAGGCTATCGATCTCCGCCACCGTACAGTGAGAGGTGAGGTTTCAAAGTAAGCGAATATAGAAGAGTGATGTGAGACTGTGGGAACTTGGATTTGGTGGAGCAAAATGTATTGAATCATGCTTAGACATGGTATGCGCATGCATGGCTTTTTGAATCATTCAGATGAAAACACATTTTACAATAACGATATTAAGAATTATTACTAACGTCATGCCCGCAACGTCAGTCGTAAAAGAACTTTGAAGATGACAACGATAGACTAGAGTGTCTAAGTGTGAATATGATCTCAGGGTTTATTGAACGAATTTCATATCCATTTCAAAAACCTAATTGCTACGTCTTTCCAAAACAAGGGTCAGAAAAACGAAGATCTCCAGCGTCTCGCCAAACATCAACAAAATCCAACAAAAAGCCACCATGGACTCGGATAACATCTCTCGCCAAATTAACCACCTCAAAAATGAACTCGTGAACGCACCGAAGGACGAGCTCAACGAAAGTTATGACGTAAGCCAGCTCCGCCTAAGGTGCTACAACGAGCTTCAAGGACTAAAGAAAGATTGGATCCGCCAGAGACACTGGACAAGCTGGGGTGACAATGAGCCAACAGTTCAGAGATTCGTCGGAAGGTTGGAAGACGTAAAACCGTTGGTTGAGCAATATCTAAAGGCGGTAAGAGATGCTCAGCCGCCGGCATACCCTTTGGAGCCTCCCAGTTACGATGAAGAGGCTCTACCACCGTATGCAGATCTCAGATCAAATTGAGTAACGGAGCTAGGAAGAAACGAAAACATATGGTAGAGGGTTGATACCGAGAAAAGCTTTTTGTATGAGACTCTAAATGTGATTTGCTGTGTGCTGATTCATAGACAAAAGGAAAATGACTCGAGTACACGGTATCTCTGAGAATATTCCCCAACAGTGCAGGCAATGACTCCTAAAGGCATTATGGTGTTGGCAGTGATTCACGATGTTCATAAGCACACAAGAAACTTCGCTGCCAGTCTGAGCATACTCCTCCCGAATTCAATAAAAATCATTATCAAAACTATGCCGATAGAACAAGTCATTCACAATGCAAAGCATCACCTTTACCACAAGCCCTCCTCTTACCATCGAACAAATGCTAGAAAATACGATGATGATGCTGGCCAAGGTTAGCAGCAAAGACTTAATCATCAAGCAACGCATGCAGCATGAACTTTGGAGAGGGCGAGTCAAGCGTTGCAAAATCGCACTCGAGGAGTTGACCAAAGAATGGAATAATCAAAGCACTTTTCCTCACGAGTGGGTGGACATCTTGGGGGACAACTTGCAGCAAAGAGTGCAATTTCTACATGAGAGCACGAAAGAGTTCTATGACCACTTGGACTTTTACGGAACGTGAGTAGTGCCATGTCATGAAGCTTCTTTATTCACTACTGGGGACTTGCTGATATTGATAGATACTACGCGGGAGACTGGCCACCGAAGCAGAAGTCGGGGGAAGTAGAGGTACAATTAGGATCAAATACTGTGCAATACTATTTGTACTGATTGGAAAAATGGAAGGGAACTATTGAATTTTGCTAGGGCGTTGACTACATTGTGATTAATAACATGAAAAGATAGTCAAATCAACGAGATCCTAGACATGCACACGGGACTCGGTTTCTGTTTAATAGCCCAATCAAGAAAAAGCCCGCAACGAACAAATTAAGGAATGTAGCACAGGGGTGTGTTTCCCATAGACGCATGTTGAGAATCGTAAGGCTGCAGAGGTCTGTTGTCCAAAGACTACCAGGTGACCAGCTGCCAAGCCCTGGGCCGCGTACACTTAGAGATCTACTGCACACTACTGCCCGCTAGGAGACATGTTCGGGAACACAGGAACGATTTTTGATCTCTGAAATAAATGTTGCATGTTAGGTAGCAGCAACTTTGCAGTGTTCAATCACACGAGGATGACATAAAAACTACACACAGAGCATATCTCGAGAAGAGACAACGACCGTAAAGAAGTTAAACAGCAGTATATACCATCGACAAGCAGAAACACATTTCGATGAGCCAGGAGAAAAGAAGTCCCAAATCCCAACGTCAGCCCAGCCATGCCGCCACAAAAGTGCGGGGTCTAGCGTCAAACATAGCACCAGTCCCAGCTGAGCCAAGCTTCCTCGCCAACGAAATGTACAAGGATGTCTCCCCTATTTATCCGCTACCAGATGTTCAAAATCAACGACTCTTCATGACCATCATCCAATGGTATATCTTCGCCGCAGCGAATAAGCTCCCAGTTTGCTGTTCGACCCTGCTTTGCTTTCGTATTCATACGGGGCTGAGCAAGGCTGTGACGAGATTGTGCATATTGTCCTGTTCCTGTTTGGGGAGTTCGTGAGGATCGTTTCGAGCTTCTCTTTTGAATTCTATGGATGCTTCACGTATATCGTTGTTTGGGCGGCGAATGATGTTTGCTTCTGGTGAATTCTTTGTCAGCTTGCTCTCGATATGCCAAGTATAAGCGGCTCGGAAAGCGGAAAGGTTGCTCCACACCCAAGCTACTCCAAGGGGAGAAAGATGAAGCTTTCAAGATCCAAGAAAAGGAAAGTTCTCTTTCACGGAAAAATATGCCGTCTGAACCACTCATGATCCTGCCATGTCGGGATTCTCATGCGAAATTGGTGGACAGGGGACGCGCCCAGATGCTTGTAAGATTACATTCAAGCCAAGAAGATCTAGAAATCCATCAGGACTTGGAATCTAGGCACGACTTGAGATCGACTCTGCTGTTGTCGATGCTAGGGATCATAAGGTATTTAGGAGACCGCCTCCCGTGTTATTCTCTCGTTCCTGAAATCTTCCTGAGATACCCATTTCTTTCGTTGACCTTTGACCATCACACCCCCTCGTGCTTCACCATGCAACTCAAATACTTACTCCCCTTAGCTCTTGGAGCTGGAGCTTCAGCACAGAGTCTGGCTGAAGCACTTGCTTCCCAGAACGCTTCACTTAGCAGCTTAAACAGTATGCCACTCTTGCCCCTTCCACTTCCCCCTTCAAATGATTCCACTCACACATCCCAGGCCTCCTCGCAACCCAACCAGCAATAGTCTCCACTCTCAGCAACGCAACGAATATCACGATCCTTGCACCAAACAACGATGCCCTCTCCGCCTTCCTAAACTCCACTGCCGGCATGGTAGCAGCAAGCGATCCCGGCGCCGTCGCAGCTCTACTCACTTACCACGTTCTGCAAGGAAACTACGCTTCCTCCGCCTTCATGAACACATCAATGTTCATCCCCACCGCGTTGAGCAACACCACCTACGCCAACGTCACCGGTGGCCAACGAATCGAGGCCCGACTTAACGGATCGAGCGTCGATATCTTCTCTGGATTATTGCAAGAGAGTATGGTTGTCACGCCAGTACGTGCTCCTTCCCTCACACATCAGTGTTCACCCTACTTACTTATGCTTACTAGAATATATCCTTCACCGGCGGCACCATCCACATAATCTCCAGCGTCCTCGCGCTCCCCACATCCCCGTCCAACACAGCTACATCCCTCAACCTAACCTCCCTCGCCGGCGCCCTCACACAAGCGGACCTTGTCAGCACCGTTGACTCCCTAACCGACGTAACGATCTTCGCGCCCTCGAACGAGGCATTCTCATCTATCGGCTCTCTGCTCGGGAACCTCACCACGGAGGAATTAACTGGTATCCTAACTTACCATGTGGTGAACGGGACAGTGGGGTATAGCACCATGCTCACCAACACGACGTTGAAGACGGTCGGCGGCGGGAACGTGACGATTAGGGTGCAGGATGACGGTGTGTTTGTGAATGAGGCGAAGGTCACGGTGCCGGATGTTTTGGTTGCGAATGGAGTTGTGCATGTTATTGATGGGTATGTTCTATTCCTCCTTTCTTCCAGCCCGTTTGTTATCTGGCCTGTGTACTGACTTATTTCTTCCGCCCAGAGTCCTGAACCCAAATAATACTTCGATTGCGCCTCCAACCTCGGGAGCTAGTACCACGTCCGCGGCGTTCACTGGCGCTTCGTCTGTTTCGTCTGTTCCTTGTAAGTCTCACTCGCGCTATACTTTCTCAATCCTTGTTTTTGGCTCTGTCCCGAAGTCTATCCAGCTACTGAGAGCTAACAACATCTGAAGTCACGTCACTGGTCACTCCTTCGACAACAGTAACTTCAATCCCGACGCGCGCACCAACGAGCTCTAGTTCTTCTGCAGGAGCAGCAATGATGACTGGTGCTGTGGGGATGGGTGCTCTATTTGGTGCTGCTGTGGGCGTAATGGGAGTCGGGGGATTGTAATGAAGATGAAAATAATACACCAAAATGTAAGACGGCTCATGGAAATGAGGAAAGGAGGAAAGGAGGAAAGGAAGAAGTAATGTAGTTTGAATATTACCACGTGCTGCAAACTAACCTCTTCCATTTTATTGCTCCTTGACCAGAAATCCACTCTTATACCTCATTATGTAAACAATAAAAACTTCTCCCTTACCAAACCACACTCATTCCAGAAACCCCCAAAGATTATTCAAACTCTCCGCCAAACTAGGATGCGCCCAAACCGCCCTCTGCAACACCTCCCACCTTACCCCTCCCATCATTGCCATCTGCACCACAGCCATAAGCTCCCCGCCCTCCATCCCTAGACACGTAAAGCCCAAAATCAACCCCGTCTCCCGATTCACCACCGCCTTCATCATGCCCCTGCTCTCGTCCGTCTCCAGGGCCCTCGCGACGTAGGACATTGGCATCTTTGCTACTTGGATGGTTTTGCGATCGGGGATTTCGTGTTCGTGGAGGCCGATGTGGGCGAGTTGAGGGTCGGTGTAGACGACGTAGGGGACGAGGCGGTTGGTTGTGCTGGATTTGGGGGTGGGGGAAGAGGAGGAGGAGGGGAGGAGGTTGTGGGAGAGGATGCGGAAATCGTCGTAGGAGATGTGGGTGAAGGCTGGTGGGCCTTTGACGTCTCCTAGGGCGTAGATGTTTGGGGTTGAGGTTTCGAGGAAGGGGTTTGTGGCTATGTAACCCTGGTTGATGTTATTTGGGGAGTTGAGGGATGAAGAAATATCTTAGGGTAGGTATTAAGAGATTTGAGGTTGGCTTGGACGTACCTTGGAGTTTGTTTTAATCCCCGCAGCCGAAAGATCAAGAGCTTCAGTGTTTGGGATACGTCCAGCAGCGAATAAGATATGAGACCCAATCAATTCCTTTTCTGGCCCACCTTTCCCTTCTTGATACTTCAACTTGAACCCCTTACCATGAGGCTCAATCCCCACCGCTTGACTCTCCAACAAAATATCCAACCCATCTTCCTTCAGTATATCAAACAAACACTTCGCAATCTCCGGATCCTCTCTCGGCAGTAACTGCTTCCCCCTCTGCAACACCGAAACCCTCGCCCCCAACCTCCTCATCAACTGCGCAAACTCCACACCCACATACCCGCCCCCAATCACAACCAAATGCTCCGGCACCTCATCCAATTCCTGGATACTCGTTGAATCGAGCACAATCTTCGGATCCAGCTTCTCTACTCCCTCAAGCTTAGCAGGAGCAGGTCTCTCTCCCGTATTAACGAATATCCTATCCGCAGTAACAACTTTCTCCTCCCCGCCCTCAAACCTAACCTTCACCGTCCTCTCATCAACAAAAGCACCCTCCCCCATCAAAACATCCACCCCCGCCTCTTTCAACCTCCTCTCACTCCCTCCCCGAAAACTATCCACAATATCCCTCTTCCTCTGTCTAATCTTCTTCATATCAACCTTAACCTCATCTCTATTTACCAGAACGCCATAATCAGGTCCCCGCTTAGCGAGGTAAGCGACGTGTCCTGATGCGATTAAGGTTTTGGTTGGGGTGCAGCCTTCGTTCACGCAGCAGCCGGCGATGTGGGCACGTTCTATTAGGGCGGTTTTGTGGCCTGCTTTTGCGAAAGCGGAGGCGAGGGGGGTGCCTGCTTGGCCGGAGCCGAGGATTAGGGCTTGGTAGTGGGTTGACATTTGAGATGTGGTGTATCTGGAGATGCTGTTGATGTTGGAGACTCTGGTTCTGCGTATGAGTTCGAGGGTGGGACGAAAGACCATGGATATAGAATGAGGGAACAACCGGAGTGTCTTATCCAAGCAGGTGCTTAGGATTGTTGGTTGAAATGATTTGAGTTGAGAAGTTCAGGGGGCTGCTAAGTGAGAATGAAGACCATCGAAGGCGGGTGAGGCAGACGTAAATTTGATAAGAGTTAGGCGACGAGATTGTCTTTCCCAGAAAGTGAAATTGGAGTATTTTTGCAAACTTTACTCATTTGAAGAGACGTTGAAAACTTGAGAAGAAATTCGAGATAGATATCAATGACTTTTGACATTAGTTAGCTGCCGCTTGAATAAGCACCCAGCATCTGCACTTTACCCCGCATTAAGCGGTGAGAGGCGGCAATTTCCCCGTACTTAGTGATTGCTCAACCGCATGCATATTAAAGACTCGTGTAGCCACTTGGCTCTGAATACTGTGCAAACTTCGTCAAAATGTTATTCCCGTAATTTTGCATTTTGAGTTTCTACGAAAGGTTCTTCTTTTTGATTGGAATTCTACTTCTACATCATACATACGCATTGTATGGATCCATGTACCATGAGCAACTATGAGCTACTGTATTCGGCAATAAGCCAATCCAAATGAACTCGCAGTCGACATGAACAGGCCAGCCTGCATATTACCGCAATATGCAACGATCATTCGAAAGAAACTGAAATCAACGTCCAACAAACATGCTGGTTCATATTGCCAGTGCGACATTCCGTCGATGATTTTGAGTAACGAAAAAAAGGTACATCAGACATTAAAGAGCAGATCCATGTTGTGCTGACAGCTTCATGATCCGATATTGCGCCAGATATTCATTCAAAGATGCTTGACAGCACGAATGTGAGAATTTTGGCGACAGAGACCTTGTGAGCAGGAGTTGTCAGCCCAACCCATGCGGAGATCGTCCATCCACCAGATCTTGGGTTGACCGGCAACAGTAACATTGATGCGAAGCACATCAAGGTTTTGGAAGCCAGATTCAAGTGTGATAGGAACGAGGTCGCAATTAGCCAGAGCAGGGCAAGCAGGGATTGCGCAAGTCGTGGAGATGACCGTGTCCGGAAGACCTGTTTGGTTGTCATACTTGAAACCAGTGAAGGCGAAGACACAATCAGGGCCAGTAGAGTCGCAACCAAATGAGGCACCATAAACATTGAAGCTGAAGCATCCAAGAGCGCCATGATCAGCATTGCCAATATCGCCAGACCAGCCATACTCAGCCGAATTCGGTCCCGATTGTGTAGTGCTTGTAGTCAGGTTGAAATTGGGGATGAATTCGGTCATAAGTGGTGGTGATGAAGGCTTGTATGGATCAGTGGGTGGTGGGACAACGACGAAGCCATCTGAGAAGTCGAATTGGTGGTATGGACTGAAGACAGGTTCCGGGTCGACGCTGTTTGCACTCTGGTTGCTAACAGCCAAGGGTGGAATGTCATCAAACTGTTGCGGGTTAGCTCAGTCTCTCAAATATTCGGAACACTTACATTCAAAGTGAAGTCACCTTGCTCTCCGCAGAGGCTTGGAACAGCGGAGCTATATACGGTAGCTGTCTGGCTTACGCTCGTGGACGGAGTGTATGCCGGGCTGGTGATCGAGAAACTAGGAACACTAGAAGAGCTACTCAGAGGAGACGATACCACGACAGTCGAGAAGCTTAACAAGGTCGATTGGAGGGTAGTGATAACAGAGCTGGAGCTAGTCGGCGTGTAAGATGTGGGCAGGGTTGCGATAGGCTGAATGCTCGGAGAAGTGGTAATGTTACCAACGTCAGTCGAGGTCGATGCCTGCGAAGCACTAGCAGGGATGCTTGAGGATAGAACGGGGCTGGACGAGGTTACGGCGCCGAGAGCTGAGCCACTAGAGCTGGCAGGGCTTGAGAGAGAACTCTCAGAGGCCGACGAAGTTCTTTGAGGCTCGTCCGTGCAGGTGGTATCAACACTTGAGACTGAACTCGTGGAAGTGAGGAGACTTGAACTAGTTGTGTCGGTACCAATGGCTGATTCGGTGGAGACAGCAAAACTAGAAGTCGAATTGCTCACGATTGGTGATCCAGTTTGAGTTGGCTTGTAACTGAACGTGGTATCAAGACCAAGTGTCGAGCTAGTGGAAGAGAGAAGACTTGAAGTAGCATTTCCCACGGATGGCGACGGAGTCTGGCTGGGTTGCTGGGACGACGTCTGAATTGCAAGGGCAGAACTGGTTTGGGATGCAGTGAGGAAAAGTGTAACACTTGAAGTGACATTACTAGCAGATGGTGACAGGGTCTTGCTCTGCTCCTCAGTGCAAGTCGTATCGATGCCAAGAATGGAGCTGATCGCAGATCCTAACATAGTGTATGCGGTAGAGTTAGCATAAGGAAGGACGATCGAAGAGCTGCTTGAAGGATAAGCAGAAGTAGCAGCGTTTGCGGGACCTCCCCACGAGACGGTCTGGCCATTGATGACAGCTGTAGTCCACTGTCCGATGGCACTAGAAGTGGAGGAGATCTCAGAAGTCACTGTCGAAGATCCGGAAGAAACGGATGCCAAGCCATAGGAAGATGTCTCAGTGTCAGATGTTGATGCTGGTTGAGAGCTTGAATCTAATGGCCCAGAGGTCAAGGCGTTGAATCCGCTCTTTGCAGCGTATGTGGGCAGAGTGTAGATGGTCGAAGTTGCATGATAGATATCGTACGTCGACTCCTCGGTGATGAACGAGACAGAGCTGTAAGGATTGAATTTGGCACCAGAAATGCTTGTCAATTGATCGTAGGCCCCAGTAGAAGCAACGCCGGCCGCAGAAGAGGTTGCGTTCCAGCCGGCCCAGCTAGAAGCAGTACCGAACGAAGAAGCACTGAGTGTATTTGTCATATTAGACGTGGCGTTCGATGCTGAAAGCGTCTCGGTGATCGTGAATGGGACGGTGTAGATCACAGTGCTGTGTACTGTGACGGTGCTGGACTCAGTATCTGGCAGCTTTGCAGGTGTATTGACGGGCATGACGATAACAACGCTGGTCTCAACAACATAGGACTGAGTTGGAGGCGGAGTCTGACCGTTGAGCCAATATGTAGTGCCATTCTCCACGATGAAGCTGAGCAGGCCGTTGGAAGTAGAGGTATCGCTGGATGTGACGCTACCGCCAGACGAAGTTGCAGCCTTTTGAGTCTCCGTAAGGGTGACGTCCGTAACAGTGACCAAAGTGGTCTCGAAGACGGTAGACTCGGAGGGGAGAGGCGTAGACGAGCTAGCAAGAGAGAGGTAAACAGTCTCAGTTTGGGGGGTGAGGTAGGTCGTGGTGCTCGAATACAGAGTTTCAAGACGCGTGGAGGTGATTGTAGGAATCTCACTCAGGCCGACAGTGATGTAGCTCGTCGGAGAGTCATGGACAGTGACAGTGGTGGCTTCGGAGACGGTCACGAAGACAGTAGACGCGCTCAAATCACAGGAATCAGGTCCACCGCTTTTGAAAAGTCAGCGAGAGGCCGCAGATCGAATGGAATAACCTACTAGGATGCGGCTGGAGCTGCGACTGCCAGAGCTGCAAGTCCCAACGCGCCAGAGATGGCGGCGAAGACCATGGAACGCATTTTGAAGGTTCTGCGCGGCTTCGAGCTGAATCAACAAGAAGGCTACAGGAGGAAGTACGTATGGCGTACGAGAAGAATCAGAGTTCAAAAAGAACAACAAACAAGGTCAAATGAGTGTGGGGGAGAAAGGTGGAAGATCGAAGTGAGGAACGTTGTTCAAAGAAAGATGTTGTTGACAGTTTGAAGAGGGGACGAGGTTGTGGGAGATGGAAAATCCCGACAAGGCTGCAAGCGAGTAAACAAAAATCTGAAAATTGCAGTCACCCACGTCATTCACCCATTGCATTTCATTACACCCAGAACTTGCACTCCAACATTACCAAATTCACCCTTCAATGCCATCAACAGCCATCAAATTTCGTTCAACAGCTAGTGCGCTGTGTTGGCACAAGGGCAGTCCACTCTATGCCCCCTTTCTTACTACAACTTGGAACGAAGTCGTTCAGCTAGTCCTTTTTACATGCAAAATGTTTCTGATGCAAACAGAATGAGCGCTCAGGGGCAGGTACCACGAGTTGAAACGGCACGTTGCATGTAACACGACGCGGCTACCAGCTCCCAGCCTTCCATCTACGTAACAAGGAATAAGATTGCGTGCGGCGTTGAAGAGCAAACAGAAGAGATTTCAGATGAATGCCAGCTCAAATGGTAGACTTACAACTCTGTATATCATCACAGACATCCTAAATGTCAGGGCCCAGCAAACCGGATCAAGTACATGCAGTATTCCAACCCGTGGCTATTATTGATGATGCCAGTCTTCCCCCTTTTCATATGGACTTTCGATATTTCTCTTGGGTTCAGCCTTCGTATGATACATCGCTATTTTGGTCAAGACCTTCAGCAGCTTGCTGTTATTCCCAAATTCCTGAAGCCCCTTAACATACTCATGCATTGGGAGCAGCTTGATTATGCCAGATCGCAATTCTTATGTAACTTGCAACCTTTGCAGGACTTCCAACATGCACGCCATAGTCATATCAGACGTTTTCCTGAGACTGAGATTCGAGTTTTGACCGGACCGACCCTGTTTGCCCAGCTTCTTTGACTCAGCAGCCTTATGCATTTTCGAGTAGGTGAACAATTCAAGCAAGTCGATCAGCAGCTGTTAATGCATCAAGTCGCATTTCTTATGGGTGTTGAAGGTTCATTGTCCTCTTCCTGAAGCTGCAAAGTAGAAGTGAGGTCTGATTTTCCAGGGGAAGCCGCACCCTGGTTCGTCACCTGCCTGCATAGCTGCGTCATTGGCAGCGATCCACAAAGTTTCACCCGCAAAACAACTTCTGCCTACAACAACTCGACGACCTCAAGACCTCACACAGAGTTCCTCTGTCAACCTGGACAGTCGTTCCTCCTCCTCCCATCGTCTCCACCTCATCATCACCATGGCAGACCAAGGCAGACACCACGACACACTCACTGAGATCCGCGACATCGTGTCAACCTCATGGTTATACCCTTTCAAAGGTGTCTACTATTTTCTCACGCACCGCGAGTTCTGGCCTCTGTTTCAACGACGATTGATTCCGCTCACGATCCTCTCTGTGGTCGTTCTTGGCTTCCTATTCACATTTGCATATCTGCCACAGGTCGCTTTTCTGGCTATCTTCCATGGCCCCGCAGCCTTCTTTAATGCAGCGATTCTGGTGCTTGGTGAGGGGCAGATCATAATCGCTTTGCTCTTCGAAGCCTTCCTCATAGATGAAACATGTGTCAATGTCTTTGATGTACGTACCCTCTTTCTTTTTTCGGTATGCAATCACAAATGCTAATGCTCCATCAGGCAACTCTCATCAGCCGAGGCTACAAAGACCTCGTCTCTCCCGTCCGAATCCTCTTCCACGATGCCCCGAACCCAGTAAAGATGCTCGGGAAACCAACTGCCTCCGCAATATACAGTCCTTTCTCCTTCCGCCAAATATTCGAATGTATTGTCTTCCTACCCATAAATTTCATACCTATAGTCGGCGTATTCTTCTACCTCCTCCTAACCGGCGCCCGAGGCGGTCCTCTACACCACTACCGATACTTTAAACTTCGAGGATGCACACGAAAAGAGAAGAAAGAAGAGATCAGAAAGCGAGGATGGAGCTATACGTGGTTTGGGACTGTGGCACTGTGTCTACAATTGGTGCCTGTGCTGAGCATGTTCTTCCTTCTGTCAACACCAATTGGAAGTGCTCTCTGGGCAGTAAATTTAGAGGAGCAGAAGAAGAGGGTGAGAGATGCCGACGTTTCGGTGCAGAGAGAGGCACATAATCAGGATATTGGGCAAACAGTGGTGGATGAGGAGGCCCCACCGCCTTACACTGATGATTCTCTATAAATGTCCGTCCATAGCGTGACATCGTTGGAATTATTCCAGCGAGCCTTCCTAGGTAATCTTTAATGATAATACCAGTTTTTTCAGCAAGCAAGGGGAGACTCCTTTCAACTTCGCAAGTCTCAGTCTCAGCGTGCCATCTGCTTCATTCAATGCAAGGAAGTTCATAAGCCACCGCCACAGCTTTCGCTTAAATTTCAACATCAACTGTTCAACCACGTCCTCAACTCCAAGTAACGATATTCTGGCATCAATACTCGCTCTATTTCGAGGTTCGCTTGACGCTTCAAAATCTTGCAGAATGGGGTTCAACATACACTTAGCAGTCGAGTCGACTTCGTGTAAGGGCATCCATGCACTCCGAGCAGCATTCGCTATCAGCATATTACGGGACTTCGTGTACTCAAAGTCAAATGAGAGTTTGCTCTCTCGAATCTTGTCCCAGGTAGCTGCCAAGCAAGCACCATTTGACATGGTCTTTTGTGGCTTACATCGAACCCGAAGCCCAAGGACTGCCAAGCAAGCTGTCAGATATAGGCTTCAATCCAATGAGCTATACCACCTGAGAGACAATCTCCGCGAGCAGTTAGCCGATGCCAAAGTTTTCAAGAACTCCGCACACCCAGGTAGCCACAACATAATCACATTGCGAGAGAACTTTCTGCTCGGTCCAAGGGCCTACGCAAGGCCTTTCAATGTACCAATTCGAAACCGAATAGATGGAGACGAAGAGACGAATAAGATATTGCAAGAAGTGTCGAAGATAGACCCACGAACGCTTGACAATCTCAGAGCCGTGGGTTTCAGGCTGCGTGGACAACGCGGGAGTGGCGGTCCTGAAGAAGACGGAGAATTGATCCCATTTTTAGGTAGGTCGTAGGGCATGCGGCTCAATCTCGTTCTCTGATTTGTACTCGCCTCCGCTGGATTCATGGCTCGCTTGTCAACACCACCGGCCGCTAGCAATTACGAACCTTGTCACGGTACAAGCAGCATGGGACAAGATATTTGTATTCTCTTTCCGACCGATCAAGAACGAGGCACTTATGGCTTGTTGCGGAGTTCCGAAGTTGACAGGATGTTGGCTGTTGGGTCAAATCAAGACTTGTGTGAGGGGGGCCACAGGAAGATTTCCTTGATGACATCCAACACGTTCTGCAGGACTACCCGACTATCGGGCGTGGTATCCTCATTCATATCAACTTCTAAGCTTCTTAGATTACACCGAATCTAATCCTTTGGATTCTGGATTGCCTACGCTACCCGCATGACGTTAGGTCGTGGGCCATTCGCCCATTTTACGATGCCCGAAATGAGAATAGTACAATTGCTCCCATATCAATCGTTTCTGATGTCTCAGAAATTGATACATAACGATCAGACAGATGAGGTTCTCATGTGCCACAGGAGTTATGCAAGGGTTGAGCGCCATACAACCCACAGCCTCGCTAAGTACCAACATCGTCTCGTGCTTCCAACCTCATCTCTCTTCGTACATTTCCAACCCAGAGCCCTCCAACCGGCGTACACTGGCTTTGCCTTCAATATCCCATACTGCTATTTCTACTGGCTCAGACACAACTACAAAAGCTACCGACATGCCCTACTCCATTCTCTTGGTGTTGGAGCCACAGTCTTGTAGAGCTATCCATGCCCTGAGGACAAGGTATCAGCAGCCCCCAGAGTTCATTGTCTCCGTGCTACGAGGCTTAGTCTACAAAGGATCAAACTTAGAATTGCTCATAAAACATCTGCCTCGACTGGCTTCAGAGCAGTCTCCTTTCAACATGGAGTTTTCCAATCCGCACGTCTCTAAAACAACAAAATCATTCGCTACGAAATATATCCTTGGTTCCCCAGAGCTAAAAGCGATGAAGCGGCTTATCCATAACACTTTTGAGTCTGCTATGATATTCAACCCGTCAAAAGAAGATCGAAAGCCATCCCATTCGACCATTATTCTTCGTCAATACTTTGCTAAGTTTCCATCTGCATACCATCCCGATGTCACTGTCCCAGTGAAGAGTAGGATCCATGATCAATTAGAAGCAGATCGAATATTGAAAGAGATAAAGAAATTGGACGTTGGAGACCTGGGCACTCCACGAGCAATTGGGTTTCAAATTGAATTTCGTTGCCGCCAACTTGATGCTTGTGGAATGGGAGAATTTTATCCATTTCTGTGCAAAAAATTATCGATCCATCCCTTCACGGGATAACAGTATGTGGAGCCCAACGATGATAAAGTACCTGAACAACGTCCTTTCAGCCGATCTCAAACCACCGACCATCATCGTTACTACCGGCACGGGCAGCGACATACGAAAATAATACACCATCTAGACAGTGGCGAAGCATGAGTCTCACACAAGGCGTTGCGCGGAAAAGGAGACCTGTGAAGAATGATATTCCTGTAGTATATGTGGGACATGCCTGAAGATCCTTTTTCTTTTCCGGGCGCATGTTCTAGTATGAATATCGTTGGACTGATGCCAGGTCACTCTTTGAACATCATAAAATGGACATGCTTCATTAACATCTAAAATGCACTTCCAGGATGGGTTTCTATCTTCTTTTTGTCTCTTTTCTGCTTCATCTTAGCAGTGGCACCTGTCTTTAACTTCGAGTTCCGTTGTTATAGCTAACGTTCGAGCTTCCCAACTACTGCGAACGTCATCGTGCTGCAATACGAAAAGTGCATAATACCGTCTAGGCTCTAGAGAGATGACTGAACATCTAATGAAATGACAACTTCTGGTACAAGGGTACCTTTTCTCTTTTTAATATTCCTGGTCCTCTTTCCAATTTCACGTTTACTGACATGGTAAAGACCCAAGATTCCGAGTGCTCACACTGCAATAGGAAAGTAAACAATGCAATCCGCGTCAGGCACGATCCCTTCCGCTAGCGGATAACATTTCCGATCTGTCTTCTCATCTCCTTTATTCCACCTCAGGGCAGGCTCTCGAATTTACCCCCGCGATCTCGAAATCTGGTAAATACCGGGATGAATCTAGTACCGGGATCGTCGCAGCATCGGGCTGTCCCGACAATGACCAGCCAGCTGCTGCCGGTTAAAACGACACGCAGAATTGTACCACATATCGTCGTGATACGGTACCACCTCGCTAGAGACCTACAAACCTTCTTTATCGCTTAGACGATGGAGCCAATCTCAAAGCCCAGATCAACTCTACAGTACATAAGTCTGGACTCCAGAACTGCACTCTGTTCTGGATCCGACCACTCACAAATTTTCGATGGTTCTAGGCGAGAAATAAGGTTTTAATGTCAGATGAATTAAGGAACAGCTTCCGCTAAGTGGATGACTGCCTTTAATGATTAGGTTCATTGGAGAAGGTCAGCAACCCTTAAACATTAGGTACTGCCTTTCCTCCCCGATGCATTAGCCTTAGAGCTTGAATATAGAGTCGAGAGGGGATATGCTTAAAAGTAGGCTGGACCCTGAGAAAAAGGTCTTGAAAATCGATGTCTCCTGCAAACATGTTTTCAACTTCACTCGCATACTGGCTTCTGCTGGCAATCTCATCCGCCTCAATCACCGACGGGCGGCATCATCATTCATCCTGCCACGGTAAGGTCAAAGTGAGGAAAGAATGGGGTTCGCTCACCAAGACCGAGAAGCTGTCCTACATCTCTGCCGTCAAATGCATGCAAACCCTTCCACCAGAGACCAATACGACTGTTGTTCCAGGCGCACGCAGTCGCCATGATGACTTCATTGCACTCCACATCAATATGACCCGCTCTGTCCATCTTGACGGGATCTTCCTTTCCTGGCACCGTAACTACGTACACCTCTGGGAAACAGCCTTGGAGGAAGAATGCGGCTATCCATATGGCCAGCCTTACTGGAATTGGGCGCTGTGGTGCGATGATCTGGCTCATAGTCCTCTGTTCGATGGCAGCGAGACAAGCTTGAGCGGCGACGGAGCTCACAATCCAGATCAGGGCAACTACACAGTCGGCAATGGAGGCTCGCTGCCGCATGCAAATGGAGGAGGCTGCGTGACGAGTGGGCCATTCGTAAACCAGACCATCTCGTTTGGACCATTCGACTTTGCGCTCGCTTTCACCGGCCTGCCTTCGAACTGGACAACGTACACGCCTCATTGTCTAGTCAGAGATCTGAACAACTACGTGGCGACGAGGTACGGAAATCAGACCGCGATCGACGTGGTGATGAATACCACCAACGTTGAAGATTTCCAGAATACGATGTCTGGTGCTGATATCAATCTCGGTCCTCACGGTGGCGGCCACTTCTCGATCGGGTACTCGTTGCTCGATTTCTTCGCCAGTCCGGCGGATCCGGCGTTTTTCTTGCATCATGGGATGATTGACAGGTTATGGATGATGTGGCAGGTGGTTGATGAGAAGCGAGTGTGGGAGTTGAGTGGAACGAGTACGATTTTCAATGGGAATGATACTCCGGAGGTGACGCTGGAGACAATGCAGACTTGGGGTGTTCTGGGGAAAGACAGAAAGACGAAAGAGCTTCTGAGAGTGGGCCATGAGGGCTTTTGCTACGAGTACATGTAGTGGACCTGGCTCCTAATAGTTGGTATGTGTGGACTTGAAGCAGGCTATAAAAGTTTGGAATCTGAAGTCTGATAGTATTAAGTCATTCAGTGCATATCTCGAATACATGGAACTATTACTATTATATATACAGAAGACAATCATATATACACACGCTCAAAGGCTACCTACTAGTCGCTGATCGACTCGAAGACGACACGTGATTCACGACATCCAAGCCCAGAACTTTCCCCACAGGGTAGTGGGAGGATCGATGACCCAAGTAGTGTCATCGCTCTCCAAGCATCCCGTTGAGATATCGGCCTTCAGACTCGGAACAAACTTAGTCTTCATGACGAGCTTGTGGCCGAGGTATAACACCGCAAACAAGATCAAGCTAACATAAGCCACAAAAAAGTTGGATGTATTCCAAGGAATGAATGCCGTAAAGCCTTGGGTCAGAATGATCAGCACATTGAAGAATAAGCCGTACCAGGCGAAAAATGGCTGCCAGAATGCTTTGTATGGAAGAGTGTCGCGAGAAACGTTGCGAGCGGCAAGAGCACGCATGAATGCGATATGGCAACCCTTGATACAAGACCAAGTGATGAAGCCTGCAACACCAGTGATGTTCAAGAACCAGTTGAAGACCGTTCCACCATTGGCTGAGAGGTTGAGGAATGCAAGAAGTCCGAAAGCTGATGTAAACATAACAGCGAAATATGGAACGCCAGACTCTGAAGTACGCTTCAAGAATCTTGGGGCAGATCCATCGTTTGCGAGACCGAAGAGAATACGTGAGCCGGAATAGACGTTTGAGTTTGCTGCTGAAAGAACGACGAAGAGAAGAACAGCATTGATAAGACCAGGAAGTACTTTGACACCAGCAAGTTTTGCAGCGATGACGAATGGGGACGAATTTGCGTTAGAGCCATCCTGGAGCAAGTCTGGGTTCGTGTACGGGACGAGGAGACCAATGAAGAAGACGCTGAAGACGAAGAAGAATAGGATTCGGTAGAAAGTCTTTCGGATAGCGGCCGGAACGTTCTTGCGTGGGTTCTCAGTCTCACCGGCTGCAATACCGACAAGCTCGGTGCCTTGATAGGAGAAGCCGGCTTGGATCAAGACAGCCCAGAAGCCGACGAACTTAGCGAGAGCTCCATCTCCGACGAGATAGGGGGCGAAAGCTCCCGGAGAGCCCCAAGTGTGGAAGCCAAGATAACCATGTTGACCTGCTCCAGCGTCGATGCAGATGGCGAAGATGAGAAAGCCAAGAACGGTAAGTGCCTTGATGGTCGACAACCAGAACTCGAACTCGCCATAGAATCGAACGGGAAGGAAGTTGATGACAGTTATGATAACCCAGAAGACACCAATGAAGATACCAATGGATAGGCTCTGGTTCCAGTATTGAATGATGAGGCCAGTTGCGGTCAACTCGAGTGAATACGTCATAGCCCATGAGAACCAGTATATCCAACCCATCGCAAATCCAAGACTGGGATCGACAAAACGAGCTGCATAAGCAGTGAATGCTCCAGATATTGGGATGTAGGTTGCCATCTCGCCAAGCGAGGTCATCACGGAGTAGACGAGAGTCCCCACAAAGATGTAAACGATGAGAGCACCAGCTGGCCCTGATTTGGCGATTGCTCCTCCAGAACCAATGAAGAGACCCGTTCCAATGGTACCACCTGTTCATGTCAGCAAGTATGATAGCTGGTGACGGTGCAACTTACCAATGGCAATCATCTGTAAGTGTCTAGCCTTGAGGTTCCTCTTCAGCTCTGGCGCATGGGGCACTCCTTTCTCGGCATCCTGACTCTGCTCACTCCCTGACGCAGGCCGAGTAGGCGAGACCTCAGCAGTCTTCTCAGAGACAGGAGCAGCCTGGATAATATCTGATTTGTCCATCTTGAGAATTTCAACCAATCATAGAAGAACATACAACAACGACTTGAAAAATGTTTCTCGGCACTACACACGATCAAGTTATATAGAAAAGCCGCTTGCAAACATTTTCTCAAAAATCTTACGTTGGTGGGTCTATTAACGCCCTTCGGGTCCATTATTTGAAGTATTTCTCACGTGATCGGCTACTAAGCCTGAAAATTTCGCCGCAAAAACTCGCAAACCCTTCAAAAACCGAGGAGCGGACCCGTAACGGATAGCTTAGGGTCAAAATTTTCGAGCGCTTGCTACTTGGGACTTGGCTTTGTAAAGAAAATATCTCCTGCGTGGTGTTGTGGCAATAAAATATGCAGAATATTATTGGACGACGGCGATGGAGGAAGAGGAGGGTTTTCTGCCACTTTTGAAAGCAATATTGTGGGAATCGCACTAATATCAAACAGGACTAGCGTTTTAAAAGTCTGAGGGAATTTTTTGTACTCTTACTTCGCATCTTCATTCTATTTCTTTGAGTATTCCGTATGAGAAGCCATGAACTATCTACACTGCTCATGTGTTGGAAGTCCAACAAATTGCTCACAATTCCGTGCGTGCGGAACAATCTCTGGCGGCAGTTTTGATTTGTCAATTTCAGCTTGTTCTCGATGCTGATCTAAGCTATCGTTGTCGAAGTTTAGAACTCAAAACTTCAAATTGTATAGTTGAAGTTGGAGGGAGATTCGTGAGAAAGAAAGCTCTGACACGACGGGAACAGTCACGATAACTCTAACACGAGATGTAGTTCCATATCATTTGTGATATCGGTCGGTCTCAATCTGTTCTCATCCACCTGCTTGCAACTCCATTGCTACAAAACAAGTACTTTGCAATACCCCAAAGAACACATAATCATTCACTTCATCCATTGTCCTTCTCTGCTACAATAACTCTCAATGTCATCTCAATCCTCAATACAATCCGCCAGCCTGAATACGAAACGGGGCCTCGTCGAGCCCCAGATCAGCGAAAGTCTTACTCAATCCCTCGAGGATGTCAGTCTGCCTGCTCCTAATTGCCCCTTGGGCTTCGAATCCTTCCTCCCATTCCCAGTCACCCTTCGTCTCATCCAGCACCAATTGATTGAGCTGCTCAACCAGTACTAGCATCTCCTCGAGCAGGGGGATATCTCGCTCATACCCAGATCGTTCTATTTCATCCTCCTCGTTGGGTCCCAGAGTCGCAAGACGTTTCTTGACCTCCTCTGAGTAAGCCTCGTAAATCAACTTATGGACCAATCCCGAGCGCAATCTTTCTCCACGAGTAGCTCTCTTCCACGGACCGCTGACATGGAAAGTATGGCCGGTATCAAGTTCCATGTCTGTAGCGGCATGGTCACGATCCTCTTGATCGGAATCTCGGTTTGCTCTTCGGAGTGCTGCCATGTCTGTGCCTCCTCCGCCACGAATTATGGCCATTCCCCCCAAGATGATCGTTTGGCTTCCGCCGTAGTCGTAGCTGACTCCGGTCCGGGCGGAGTAAGCAAGCGCATTTGGATGATAGGGTCCTGTCCAATAGGTGGTCCACTGGTCTTCGATATCTTCGTCTGAAATTGACGACATGATTGCTTCTGTCGGCCGCTTGTTAATTTGCGATTCTGGCATGGAGGAGGGATTCGAAGAGGGGGATGCTTACCACTCAAAATGTGCTTTTGACTGAAGAGAGTCAGAGATATGAAACCATCCCTGAAGAGTGCTGGGCATTATATAATGTACGTTACTAATCTTTGGAAGAGAATTATATTCTGTGGTACAAAGACGATAATACTGATCCTTTGAAAAGGTAAATTTGATACAACTTTTCCCGGACTGGTCTAGAGCTCCTGGACAGCCTTTGTTGAGTTCCTCTTAATTTGTTTCATTTTGAACAATTGTCTCTAGAATGTCCTCCAGCTCATTGATCTAGTAGCCCTAGACGTTGCCGGATAATTTGTTCTACTCTTATTATCTGTCAATGAAGTCTCAGGCTCAATGAATGTTGAAAGATCACGGCATTTTGGTTGGAGGCTTGGTAGCACTTGTTGTCTTTGACCATTTGATTCTACCATTGAAAATCAATATAGAGCAATCAAGCAATAGGTACTAACGTTTTGACTTGTTAAAGATCGAAGCTCAGATAGATGTAGATGTATCTGTCAATGCCATCTCTCATCTTCTCTACTCTTGTGTAACTTTTGCTATTTGGAAAGGACTTGATTCGGAATTAGCTTTTTGCCCTCATTTCAGCGGAATGTGCTAGCCTCCCCCCATATATACATTTCAATGCTTCGAGCGTCTTTTCGACAGCTTCTTTCTAGGCAGCGGTCATCATAATACCAAATCCGAGTGAGTTATATGATAAGAAATGAGCCTCAATCCAATCTTACATCCTTCGTAAGTGAACGAGTTAAAAACCTGCAAAGTGGTATGTTATCCACATTTACACTTTAAAGTCATTGAGCCCTGGACTCTCCAGATAATAAGAGTATAGATGCTAATGCCTGATCGGAACAGCAAGAAGAAGAGATCGAAGAGCAGTTCACAACATGGTGGAGAGGCCCAGACGACCCAGATGCAGTGGCGTACGCATCTCGAAAAGGAATCAGTTTCTACGAAGTGGATAATAGTGACGGGGACAACGACACCATCCTTGAACTGGGAGGTGCCACGCCCATCGACATCGGCCCATTGAACTCTAGACAATTCTCTCCAGACAAATTTCGAGCAGCGAATCTAGCCTCCGATGCCGAAGAGCGTGCTCGCCACGGTGCTGATCATCAGTTAACAACTGGACAAGATATTGTCCAACGCCGCAATTGGGAGACTGCGCCCCCCGGGGAGAAACTTCGAACTCGTCGTGCTTGGTTCAAGATGTATTCTGATTATTTGGCTGCAGTTAAAAAGCAAATCGGGAAGCTGAAAGCACGACTGACGCTGAATCCTGGCTAGGGAAAGATCAAAATGAGCTTGATGAGCTTAAGGAAGATGTCGAGGAACTGCAGACGGCTATCGATCAATCCAATGTGGTGGAGGAGCTGGTCTTGAGTGAAGTTGTCCCAGGGTGGGATTGGCGAGAAGGATATGAAGAGCAGCCAAGGCACTAGAACTTAGTCATCACAGCCGAGTGCTCTTTGAAATCTTCTCCCCACGCTCTTGGGGTTTATAGTGTGCCGATTGCTCGTGGGCAGATGACACCTAATGACTGGCTCCCAGGAGATCAAGTGTGGGGATAGGTCGCCGTAGATCAAGCACTCGAACACAAGATTTAGAACAATTTAACAGCACATCACAACTTTTTCTCTTCGAGATCCTTTCATATTAGTTTTAGCTTGAAGTAATTAGTGCCAACGTAAATTATCATCAGGATCCGGCTATTGAAGATGTGACTTCCCAAGTTCTCATGATTGTTGAGCACATTTGGTGAGAAATTTTGAGTGAAAGTTCATGCTTTTGTTTATATGCCTTCACTGACTCTTGGAAACTCCCAAATCCTGCAGGACGTCAGATTGGATGATGAGCCAGCTTTCACCTCCTCATGCATCACGTGCCACCATGGAGGGTTGGCTTTCAGCCACTGCAGGGGTTTAGGAAGTCCAACATTCAATCTCACCTCACCTGAAAACTCGAAGATAACCATCATTCTTGTCATGAGTCAACGTCAATCTGCTTTTTCGGATCTCCAGCTTCTACAGCTTGTCACTCATCTTCGTCTAAGAACACCAGAATGGCGAAAATTACACCATCCAGATTTCAGTTTCTCATCAAGCTAAGCATCACGCCTACGTCCTTCGCCCCATGGCGGGCCTATAGATCTCGATACCCCAAGTTTGATTCCAGCTAGAATCTGCACACCCCACTAGAGGACAAGCTTACCAACTCTCTTGGAGTCGTGTCGATGTTCTTGGGCGGGACAAACACGCGCAACTTATTGGAAACGACTTTCTCGGAAACGACTGCTCGACAGCCACCATTTGATCTCAAATTGACACATGCCTTTCCCAACCATAGAACACTCAGTAGCATCTATGTCGCAGCATCATCTCCCACGTATTCGACCATGCTCGAAAATTTAAGATAAAGACTCGGAAATGCCTTGGTGATTGAGTAGCAAGGAAGGCAAACCTGTCAGACACACGGATAGTACATCTCTGCGAGAGTATACATAGAACGCGATATCCAGGACCTCGTATTCTCATCGTATCAAAGGTCGCGAAGGTCGACTTAGCGAAAACAATTGTTGGGGAGTTGGAGAAATGATCACCATAACGGCTTCGGACGAATCGTAGCGGACGGGCTCTTGTTGGTACAAATGTTTGAGGAATGCCCAAGCATTCTTATCAAGGCTTTCCATTCCTAGGCAAACCTCTCGAAGATCAGATGTCGATTTACTTCGTCTGGACATTCAATTTTGCCTGGACGAGATGTTCTTCATTTGCCATGTACACACTATGGGTTTTTGTTGAGGCAAGGCCCGAGTCTCAGATGGTGTTCGATACGGAATGGTTGCGTCTGGTTATCTCAGCGAAAGCGTCCTGTCATGAGGCAATTCGAACAGTGTGTTCTATAATATGCATCTCTCGGGAATCCATCTTATTTTCAAAGTCCTAGTGGAAGTTCCTCTTTTCCAACTATTATTAACATCAATTATCCTTGACAAACTTCCACCCATTTTCCGTCTTGCTGAGCCTCACACGCATACCTCTGGCTTCATGCGCCATCTCATTCATTCCAAACCTCAATTCTTGCGGTCTTTGAGATAGATGCGTCTCCAGCTCGGTGAACACCAATGGCAAAGCGTACGACTTGAAGTCATGATTGCCACTAGACAAAGCATATCTCGATGTGGTCTTGATCACCATTCCCACGAAAAAGACAAGTGTCAATACAAATAGTGCGGCAGGGAATGTCAACCACTGCCAGCGGACATGAACGCAAGTTTCTGAGAGCAAAACCTGTCCGACAGAGTATTTACTGTTTACGGGATCTCCATTCTGCCTGATATAATTCGTCATCGAGATGGAGATATTCTTGAAAGTGTCTGCAAGCGTGACGTCGCTGACATTGCCGGAGTTGAACATAGCAGCCATCAGATCGCTGCTTTGTGCTACGTCTTCAGACACCTCTCCTGCGTATCCCGCGAAGAGCGTCTCGAAATAGCTGCTTAGACTTTCAATCGAAGCGGATTCAGTCTGGTATACACACGCTGAGTTGATGGTGGAAACTGGCGCGGCAGACAAATTGGCTCCTGCTGCTGTCAATTGTGCAGCGCTCATACCAGCAGGGTAGGGTGTATAGTATCCCAGCCATTTTGTTGTGTCATTCCACGTGTAGCCTTCTTGTGTCAAGGTCTGCTTATCGGCTTCATCCACACATGACATATCGATCGTAGAGAGGTATTCGGTGCTACTCATGTTGTTCTTTGGGTCGCTCGCACTGAAGTCCGCCGGATCCGAATATAGTTCTGTTTCATAAAGCTTTCCATTTTCGATGTATGCACTATATGTTTTGATGCACATCTCCAGGGAACACTCCGCTGCTCCGTATCCTCGACATCCCCATTCCAATGTTGGCGGGTCGCAGGCGAATGATGTCTCGGTCACGTTTCCATTTTGGTACGGACCGTTACTGTCTCCGAGCATTGCCTGGATAGTGTCTCCCAGGGTCCCAGTGCTGGGACCCATCGCGAATTGATGGGCCTCATATCGAGTCGCCGAAAGTCCAGATGGCAGTGTAAAGTTTAATCCATCCTGAAGGGTATAAGTAGAATTGTCAGAGAATATCAGAGTCTCATTGGATGTAGTGATCACCACCTCTGATGATATATCGTTGCAAGTGCCGCAATATGCGAAACTCCTGTATTGGGGGAACGTACAGTTTCCTGTATCACAAGTGAAAGGTGTCGTAACGGTGTCTGGACTGAAGACTCCGACGTTGACAGCGGATTGCATACCGAGATCGACGGAGTCAAGATTCGCTCCGATATGGATGCCGCTATTGCTGTATAAATTTGTTCTGGGAATGGAAGCCTCGGATTGCGAAGAGATCTGTTGACAAGCCGAGTATCTGACAATCTGTTGCGCGAAAGGATCAATAGCGATTGAGAGAACGGTGATGACAGATCCAAGTGTGACCAATATGTTTCTGAGGGATGAAGTCAGTATCAGAATCCCCAGCCCAGGTGGGGTAGAAGACATGCCTGCCGCGAAGACCCCAAATCAGCTTGAATGCCCCGATGGGGCCTCGAGATGCCTCGTCAAATCTTTCCAGATCTTGCAATGGCCTGGTGTTTTCGAACCAGTTCCATTTCAGCTGTCCAATGCCTAAGAAATATTAGAGGAGGTTTTAAAGATGGAACAAAAGACTAACCGGAGCACAAGATTACGAACATTGCTGCTTTGAGTAAGAGGACATATAGAGAGATGAGCGAGTTTAGGGACACGTCGTAAGGTAATTGAGGTAGTGGTCGTCCTTGAAAAGGCGTCAGTGTCGCTGCAATGGCGGCCAGAGATATTACTCCCAGGAAGCAACAGGCAGCCTCAACATTCCAATCTCTTGCGCTTCCAAGTACTTGTGATAGGATACTGGCATATTCTCTCTGGTTGACTTGGGATGGGTCTGGTCTCCACTCTCCAGGACCCTCATTCCCAGAAAGTCCAGGATGATAGTTTTCCTGGTCCATCAATGGGACTGCACTCGCATACGGTTGCGCTTTAGTGGCATCTTGGTCTTCGACAGAGGAAGCGAGCGATACATTTGCGAAAGTCGATGGAATTGAGGACAGCGGATAACTCTCATTATTGGAAGCGACAGGTTTTCGCGAGATTCGTCGGCCGGGCCTTAGAAAGTCTTCCATTTTTGATTCTCTTACTGTACAGAGAAAACCCAATGTCAAGGTACCATGGTCGGGTGGGTCGCAATCAGATTGTCAGCTCAGGTCTCAGGGGTATTTTATATACAGTATTTCAAAGCACTATTGAAATTCTCAAAGGCATAAAATGTTTTATATAAATGAGAAAATGAATGTTCAGAAAGTCTTTCGCTTTAGAAGGACATTGCACGGTGTACTGTATGCATCCAAACGGCACGGGATGGTGAGATCCAAGTGGGGATCGGTCAGATTTGGCTTGCCCCTAGATCAAAGGATTGGCTAGCAATGTAACCTCGCGTGCGGCTGAAGATTGAGCTGCTGGAACGGGCTGGCTTGCATGGGGAAATGAGGCACAGCACGGACTAAGTCGCACTTTTCTTCCAATCAAACAAACGACTTCATCCCTACTTTAAAGTGGTTCGAGAGTGATCCTCTTGACGTCTTCTTCGCATACTTCCTGATCTCTTCATCCTTCCTTGAAAGAACAGGAGAAGAGACACCCACACAATACGTTTGAATTCCAAAGATTGATTCTACGAAATATCACTTTCGACTCAAGTTACTTTCTTCACCATGAAGACCTTCTCTTTCTCAATCATGCTCGCCATACTCGCAGCAGTCACAACAAGTAGTGCTGCACATTCAACTACCTCGTCGACAGAGCCAACGATCGTTTCGACGAGCACCTTGGTTGAGACATTGACGCCTTATGTGTATCAGACGTCGACATTACCTACGACTTCGAGTGTGAGTACGAACACGGCATCAAACACACCAACTTCGACGGCCACCGGGACAAGCGGTGGTTACAGAGTCCAAAGTGATGGCTTTGAGCTCGTATGGATGGCTGTTGCACTGACTGGGATTCTTGCTGCTTGAAAGAGTAACGATGGCGGGTCCGCAAAGGAATCGCTTCGAGGACGTTCTCGATCGCAAGAGGTGACGAATACTAAAGCGAAGGGAAAATGGAAAGTGCTTAAGCGAGTCAGAAAGGGGGAAACGACAGGAACGCAGTCCTACTCTTCCTTCTGTGTTATTGACGACCGTCGACACCGAATTAAGACGGAATCACCTCATGTTGCGCCCAGCTCTGCGAATATCCAACGACTTGAAAAATTCGAGATTTGAAAGAATGGCAAAAGATGTATACAGGTCAAGGGAAACATATGTTGGGAAAATGTGGATGATGAGTGGTGGAGAATTGGCGATGACAAAACGCAATGCATCAGATCAGCGCGTTCATGCTGGCTTCTATCGTGTAGCTCGTAGCCAAGACGGTATTACAGTCTGGGTTTAGATGCAAGGAACCGGATACAAGGATCAGGCATGAAGTTAACAGTCATAAATCAAAGTCTATGATTGACATACAACGAATACAGAAACGCAATTACATTCAAACGCAAACGGCTCGATTAAGCACATCTCAAACCAGATGCTCGTTTTCAGAACTCCTTCCACATCTCACGCTAGTTCGCAACCATCATGACAAGATCCCGTGAAATTCCTCCACAGATAAGACGCTAAGTGAACGCTGAAGAACCAATAGATGACCTCCCAAACGCCATCATGCTACCCTAAGACTCGACCGATCTTCTCTATATCAATTCATGCACATCGGAAGGTCTGCTTTCGAATGCTGGCGATTTCTGCGTCGACATTCGTCTGCTCTGTGGCGCCAACGTCACAGATTGGGAGATAGGAGACTGTCCTTGAGCCTCAACAAAAGGTACATATGGTGGCTGGGGTGGAGGGGGTGGTGGGGGTGGTGGTGGCTGTTGATAGTACGTCTTCGAAGGATCCATCTCCATGATATTAGACCTGGACCCGGCCTGCTGAGAGTGCCGTCTTTCTCTGTAGAACAGAAAGCCCAAGATTCCCACCGCCAGTATTCCCAGTGGCACGCCGACCCCAGCTCCAACTGCCGTGCCGATATTCGAGGACGAGCTGGAGGAGCCGTTGGAAGAGCCAGTTTGACTTGCAAGGCCGGCGGTAGCTGTCACTGTGACGGTGACAGGCGCAGAAGCATTGATGCTAGCCAGCGTCAACAACATCTGATCCATCCCAGGTCTGAAAGCTTCGCCCGTTGTTCCATAGGCAAAAGTCGCAATCGTACAGCAGTTCCTATTGGGGCTGTTACAGCAGTAATCTGCCTGGAATGCTCCAGCTACATCGCAAGACCAGAGTGGCGTGAATGTATCATAGGCATCTTTGGTAAAGGGATCTGTAAATGTCAGTTGCGTGCCATCTGAACTGTCAAAGAATCTCCTCACCTGAATGACATCCTGATGCACAGTTATCAGACGTCCAGGTCTTGTCTGTGCATGAACCTCTGTAGTTGAAGCCAGTCCGTCCTAAACATAAACCACTAGTGGTACAAGAATCTAACGGATCGCAACATGCTGATGTTGATAGGGTCGTATTGCAGGGAACATGATTTGGCTCGGTCGTGACTCCATCTGGGTAATAACAGGTCGTGGAGTCTGCCGCTACCACTGATCGAGCCGCAACTAGAAAGAAGAATATATGGTATGACTTCATCTTGAATGGCAAAAATGCAACAGTACAAAAGCAACACAAAGAACGTGCAGAATGGGAAAACGGATGGCATATATTTCCAGCTGGGAAGAAAGTGCAACCCAGATTTGAGACCGTTAAGCCTCTGACAATGGAGCATGCCTTCTAGGTACAGAAGGATGCGGAAATCCAGGCAATGAAGGATGCTGGCGCACATATCCACCAGTCAAGTTGCTGCTCATATCGGAATATTGCTGCTATTGGGGTCGAGTTTTAAGCTTCGTTACAAAGTGGGGAGAAGGCCAGAAAAGGATCGTGCACTTCCAGCGAGGATTGATATCCTTGTTTCTTCACGGTCTCGCGGACCCGCGGCCGCCCAATGAAGAAGGAAGGGGTCCATAATGCTCATGTATCGTTCATTTATCCTTGGGAATAAAGTCTTGGGGTTCTGGGGAGTCTCGCATGGGACTTCTGCTCCTCAAGGATTTCCACGCATACCCCTTGTCCGCCACTGTTTCGTATCGACGACTAATTTAGACGGAGGCTGATAGGCTTCGGATCCATCCGAGCATTCGGATGGAGCAAACGTTGAAATCAGGACAGCCATGATGAATGTTCCGCGGAATGTGCTTCTCAAGGACAATATGCCCAAAACTTGTCTTGAAAGCTGTCCAAGAAAGGCTACTACGCGGGCATGGCAGGATCAAGGGGATTATGAGATCACTTGACCTGACGTTGACTTGCAAGAATAGATAGACAGTAACTTCTTCATGGTTTATAGGATGTTGATGGAGCTCTGAGGGTGAAGGACGAGGTTGAAGTAAGCTGACCATGTGACTGCGTAAGCGAGAATTTCTTGCCTTCTTGATTTCTTCATCTGCTACTTCTGGCTTCTCTTCTCTCCAGTTATACTTAGAAAATCTGATTTTCTGTACGCTGATGTTTTCAGATCCAAAACATTGATGTTTCTCTGTTCGTCTATTGCATTGCGCCTTCACTAGGGGTTCAGCTACTGTGCCACATACGGGCAGGTCATGAGTGTCGGAATCCTTCATGCAGTTTCACAAAGCTCAACCCTGATTTACACAAGGCTTGTCACATCGACTGAGGTGTAATGAGACATTTGAAGTTCCAACTTTCATGTACAGCCAAGAGGCTAGCAAGGTCCCTGTGTGCTCAATTTCCTTCTCAGCAATTGCTTGCTCTTTTCCTACGTTTCTGCTCCGTATATGTCAAGTGCAGAGCTATACTACCACGCGTTTATGGTACGCATCGTCTCTATTTTCGTTCACATCACCAATACTAGATTCGATTTCAATCTTTATTCCAGAAGTCGAGCTACTTTTGAGCAGCCCTATCTTACGAAGTACCACCTGTAATTGTGCTACTATTGTGTCCCACCTTCAATCTACGTGTACATCAACTACCGATATCAATTGCCTCGATGTACGACTCTAGATATCATGATCATATGAATTCAGACATTCAGCTCTATTCGCTGAAGAAGACAAATTCCCAGTTCTTAAGTGCTTAATATTCTTTGGATCCCTTTCGCAAAGTCTTCGAGCGCTCAAAAGGTTTCACTTTCAACAGCCAGGCCAGTTATGCATATACATATAACATGATTGTTTTGCTTCAGCAGAATAAGACAAGCTGCATACAGTATAAATGTTGCACAGCTACGCACAGCACAATTACAAGAGCACAGTATCACCTGAAATAGATCACTTGAATGGCGCATGTGACCATCTGCAAGGCTGAAAAATGACTCGCGCAATTCTAACGAGGTATCGCGATAAGAGCTCATTGGCGAGGCAACGCTTATGCCTCATGATTCTCTCTTCTCTCTCTTCCACCCTCTGACCTTCTCCAGCAGCAAGAAAACCTTTATGGCTATTATGAATCGTATTCTACCTATCCTCGCTCTTTCGTCGCTCGTGAGCGCTTCTGCAGTGCAGCAGCCTCTGCAGAAAATACCCGAAGCCCAAGCTCTTATCAACACCAAACCTCTCATCACCTCGGATGCCATCCAAGATCTCATCACTTCGAAGAATTTGATGAAACGTGCGGAGGAGCTGTACAAAATAGCAGAATTGAGTTTGGACGAGTACAACCACCCTACAAGAGTTATTGGAAGTCCAGGTAAGCTCCAAACAATGCTCGCGTGCCCACTCTTGAAACTCGAATACTCACATCTACGTCGTACAGGACACCTTGGTACTGTCGACTACATCTACTCGACGATTGCAGAGCTCGGTGACTACTATGAGATCTCCAACCAAACCTTCCCTGCCGTTATGGGCAACATTTTCGAATACCGTCTCGTCCTTGGGAACCATGTTCCCAATTCGGCATCTGCGATGTCCTTGACTCCGCCAACCAAGAACAAGGAGCCAGTATTTGGACCTCTTGTGCTTGTGGCGAACGATGGATGCGACGAATCCGATTATCCGTCAAACATCACCGGCTCGATTGCATTCATAAGGAGAGGTACATGTGCGTTTGGGGACAAGTCTGCCAATGCTGGAAAGGCTGGAGCTATTGCTGCTGTGGTGTATAACAATATGAAAGGCAGCTTGTCAGGAACGTTGGGCGAGCCTTCGAAGTACCATATTGCGACCTTTGGTATCTCAGATCAGGATGCACAGCCATATATCAGGGAACTGCAAGCTGGAAAGATTATTAACTCTTCTGCGTATATCGATTCGATTGTCACGAAGACTGGTACCACCAACATCATCGCACAAACAAAAGGTGGTGATCAAGAGAACTGCGTCATGCTTGGAGGACATAGTGATAGTGTTGCTGAAGGACCCGGCATCAACGATGATGGTACCGGAACCATGACCTTACTTGAAGTTGCTACGCAATTAGTCAATTTCAAGGTTAACAACTGTGTCCGTTTCGCATGGTGGGCTGGAGAGGAAGAAGGTCTGCTCGGATCAGATTACTACGTTTCTCAGCTCTCCGAGAAAGAGAACATGAAAATTCGTCTGTTCATGGACTACGACATGTTGGCTTCTCCTAACTTCGCGTACCAAGTCTATGATGCGAGAGACAACGTCAACCCAGTGGGTTCTGAAGAGCTCCGAGATCTGTATACTGCGTACTACGAGAAACATGAGTTGAACTACACCTACATTGCCTTCGATGGACGAAGCGACTATGATGCATTCATCAAGAATGGTATCCCAGGTGGTGGCATCGCCACGGGAGCAGAAGGCATCAAGACCAAGGAAGAAGTCGAAATGTTTGGTGGAACTGCAGGTCAGTGGTATGACCCTTGCTACCATCAGCTATGCGACGACATCAGCAACTTGAACTTTGAGGCGTGGGTGGTGAACACGAAGGTAAGTCCAGCATGTAGAGCACATTATCAACGACATTTAACTAACGTGAATCAGCTTGTTGCTCATTCTGTTGCAACTTACGCCGAGTCTTTCAAGGGCTTCCCAAAGCGCACGAGTATCATGGCTAGTGCCCAGCAAGAGCGCTCCTTGTATCATGGACCTCAGCTCGTGATGTAGTATCGATAGACTTATTTGTTTCGTGTTAGACTAGAGAGGGCTTCAAGGAAGTAGTGTAATAGACTAGTTTCATATATCCAATTACAATATTCACAGATCTGCTCTTCTTTACTTCCATTTCTTATCCCAGTTAGTGTAGCATTCAATTGTTCTCCTTGGTGCAGTCATATCCAAGTCTCAAATGAAGGCATTCAGAGCAAGAGCAGCGGCTCCATTGCCATGTTTCAAGCAAGCTCTTGATGGTCTGATCGTGCATGACTGCCAACGAAGCAACTTGAGCAGCAGAAACAAGCGGCCCAATCATGTCCGCCGACCCTCAGGTCGTCCACAAAGATTCAAAAACATTTCGATTCAAAAATCAGTTTGATTCAAAAAATATTTCGATTCACAAAAATACAATTCTCTGACTCAAGATGAGAATGTCCTACCCGAAAATCTACAATATTCCGTCTATAAAAAGCTCGAGCTCTTCCAGACATTTACCAAATGCTCCAACGCATCTTCACAACTTTCCGCCTTCAGTCAAGATTATCGAAACAACTTAAGAAAATCAACAACACAAACTCATCGACATGTTCACTACCTCAGACGGCCAACTAGTCGATATGGGAAGGGGAGCCTACGACACCACCAATGTCCCGAAACCACCTCCACCAAAGCCGCGATAATAAATCGCACTCAACGTGCCAGGATTGGGATACAAATTGCTGGATAACAAATGATGTGATGGCCGGTACTTTTTGGGCTGCTATTGAGCTGATCTTTTGTTCAGCCTCTGGGAGGAGATGATTCATACATGGCTTTTTGCGATGACGGGTAGCACTTGGGGTGCGAATTAGCTGGTCTCTTCTTGAACTCTTTGGAGATGTTATTCATGCATGGCTTTTCGCATTGTACGGTTGTTTTTGGTGGTGTTTGGGCTTTGGGTCATTGTTTACTAGAGGTGCGGGCTTCAGATTGGAAATTGTTTTAGATGTCTCTTTTCACACGACAATTTGATCTCTGTTTTGGACTTGAGAGTGTGGCTGAAGTTGTGAACGTGATATGGTGCAATGGAGGAGTGGATTTGCGGCTTTTCCCTGTGATGATTATTGCTCTATGAGGGTAGCTTGCGGTCTTCATACTACTGCATTAGAGGCCAGACAAGCAGTGACTTCAGGCAGCGACAACATCACGTGTGACTTGTTGCACAAAAAAAAATCCAAATACTTCGAAGATGCGAGGAAGTTCCATGGTTTCTTTTCAGGTTGAGTGTCCCATGGCTCTTTCTATCTCGTTGCAAATCCTCCAACAGGTTTGATAGTCTTGATATCCAAAGGTGCAGCAAGTACCCCCTCTTTTGGAAAGATCTCGCCCAATTTCTGGAAATACTCGGTCTTGAAATGAGCATCGTAGGTCGATTTGTCCTTGTCTTTGAACATTTCAGTATAAGTGTGCGCAAGTATTGGAGATTTTAACTTACAAATCTCTTCTACAACAAAGACGTTACCACCTTGTCCATCATACTGCTCGAACAATTGGTACTTTGACTTCAATCCATTAGTGAGAGGCTTTCACTAAATATTTGGGAGACTTTGGACTTACCACGTCGGTTTCGTGTTTCTTAACATTATCTGCAAGTCCGGAGAGGAGTTCTCTGACCTGTTGAGATCATGTTAATCAAAGGTCATGTAGTAACACACTAGCACTTACTCGAGTCTCCTTTCCCGGAGCGGGAGTAATAATAGCAACAACGTGGACTTCAGAAGACATGTTTAACTTTTCTTCGGACTTCTATCGACAATAGATAGATTAGTTGAAATGTTTTTCGAACGGTTCAGGCAACGAAGCGATATATTTGAACCCTGACTCTAGAGCATGAACCCCACCATAATACAGTAGTTTCCGCTTCCCCGCCCCCACGCCGCACTCGGTTAGCCTCCCCTATTCTCTCGCCTCGGTTGACCACCATCTCGACCTCACTTCTTCATCAGCATCCCGAATCAAGTCCGCTTTTACCAGCTTAGCAACCCGACGATTCCAGACCTTCCAAGCTCAATATCACGTGCACCAATGGTAATCAGTAGATCATCGCTTGATTGAGCCATCGTGAACCCCGCATGCGTAATGCGGGGTCAACCCTAGTCGCTGAGCTCATTCTCACCTGTTCGTCCCTTTCCATGGTGACGGTATGTCCGGGGAGGAGAGATTGGGGAGCTTCAGTTCCCCTCTATAGTTTACTCTTTACTTTTATTCCTCCTAAATCATTCTTTCGGACGTAAACAAATCTAAGAAAATAAGTTAGCTGTTGTTGGCAAGATGTTACAAACTCAAACTATGAAAGCAGTGGTTTACCAAGGTACGCCTACCCCTGGAAGATGTCATTGGGGACAGGAACTGGAGGGGAAATGAACTAGTACTGACAGAGCATGGTAGAACCCTTCAAGGTCACCGTGGAAGAGAGACCACTTCCAAAGCTCGAACACCCTGACGACTGCTTGGTTGAAGTCACTACAGCCGCTGTGTGCGGCTCGGATCTTCACATGTACCAGGGACGCACAGCAGCTCAGGGCGGGTTGTGCTTTGGTAGGTTGCTTGAATCGTTGATTTTCTATCTTTGTCCGGCCGAAATATAAAGGTGAGAATTGAGGCTAATATGAGACAGGACATGAGAACATGGGTGTAATTATCGAGACGGGAAGCGGTGTCTCGCTATTGAAGAAGGGAGATAGGGTTGTGATGCCGTTCAATGTTGCGGATGGGAGGTGCAGGAATTGTGAAGAGGGACGTACAGCTTTCTGTACTGGAGTCAATCCGTAAGTCTCTACTTACTCGATTATCCTTCCATTGTCCCATGCTGACATATGAATAGAGGATTCGCTGGAGGCGCTTATGGCTACGGTATGTCAATACTACCTACTACTGTTCTTTCCTACACTTTCCAACTCAAGATTTCTAATTTCGAGACCTGTCTTGTGACGTCCGGATAGTTCGGGCAATGTCCCCATCTTTTCAGACACTTCAATGTCCCAACCGATGCTGACACAATGCCCTAGTTGCCATGGGCCCCTACCAGGGAGGCCAAGCCCAATACCTACGCGTCCCATACGCCGACTTCAACTGTCTTCCCCTCCCTGCTGGCAAAGAACATGGTATGTTCAATCCGAGCTCTTTATTCTCGTTCAGTCCCCAACGCCATTACCTACAATCCAACCTCTTCAATGTCCCATCCCTCTTACTAAATACTCCCAGAATCCGACTTCATCCTCCTGGCCGACATCTTCCCCACCGGCTGGCACGGCGTCGTCCTCTCGGGCTTCAAGCCCGGCGAATCCATCGCCGTCTTCGGCGCTGGACCCGTGGGTCTCATGGCCGCGTACTCCGCCGTCCTCCGCGGCGCCTCCAAAGTCTTCGTCGTAGACGCCGTCCCCGAACGTCTCGCAGCCGCCAAGAAAATCGGCTGTGAGCCGGTCGATTTCAGTAAGGTTGATGCAGTGGAGGAGATCATCAAGTTGAATGGTGGAATGGTGGATCGGAGCGTCGATGCGGTGGGGTATCAGGCTAGTGCGCAGGACGGGAAGAAGGAGGCTCCTAGTATTGTGTTGGAGAACTGTGTGAGTGATCTTTCTGTTGACATTGTCTGGTTCCTTGACTGACTTCCATGAAGATCAAAGTAACCCGCCCAACAGGCGGGATCGGGGTTCCAGGCCTCTACGTCCCCTCCGACCCAGGAGCGCCAGACTCTAATTCCTCACAAGGCATGCTGCTCATTTCCTTCGGCAAGCTGTTCGAGAAAGGCCTTACGATAGGAACGGGCCAGTGTAATGTGAAATCCTATAATCGCTACTTGCGCGATATGATTATCTCGGGCCGTGCGAAGCCCAGTTTTGTGGTTAGTCATGAGATTGGGATTGATGAGGCGCCGGGGGCGTATACGAAGTTTGATCGTAGGGAGGATGGGTATACGAAGGTGCTTATTCATCCCAATGGTGGGTTTTAGTCGGGGAAGTGGAGGGGGGAGAGAAGGGGGGAGAGGAGGTGGGAGAGGAGGAGGGATTAGGTGAAAGGAGAGGAGAAATTGTACGAACAATAAGGGTGGAAAGGAAGTAGTTCTGGAATGATGTATTCGAGATGACCATGACCAGGATATGTGATATGGATATATCCTCTACTTTCCTATAAGGAAGTAAACAAAACTCCTCGCTATGCCTAAAAGCACCTCCTTCTCTTGGTATATAATGAGTGTACTCCTGGAATGCCATCGCTAAATAAAAGGATCCTCCCAAATGTCAACAATTATGCACTATCCAGAACATTCCTCGGCTTCACCTCCTTCTTCTCTTTCAAATCACCCCAATGCGTCTTCACAGCCCTTAGCAAAAGATACGCCACCAGCCGATAAATCAATGTACAAATACCCAGCGCGAGGATGTTAAGCCCAGGATTAGTATTCAGATCATACAACTACGAAACATCAGCACTGCCTCACCAACGTGAAACCCAGATAGGAACGTACATTCAAAACCTGCTCCCCAGTACCAATCGGACATTGCCCATTGGGCAGTTTCTGTGCATCTGTACACGTAAATGTAATGCCACGCAGCGAGTAAGGGGCCAAGTTTCGGATCGCGTAGCGCAGCGGGGAGAGGTAGTTTACGCCTTGGAGGAAGGAGGGCATGTTGATGGACATTACGCCGGACATGAATTGGGCGATGGAGAGGAAGACGGAGGTGAGGTTTATGGCGAAGCCGGTGTGTTGGAAGAGGGTGTTGAACTGTCATGATTATTAGCGGAATTTATCTAGGACGGAGATGCTAGAGCTCACCATGATACCCAAACTCTCACCCCCACTGACGATACAGAAGCAATTGAAAAAGCACACCCAAAACATGCGTGCAGTCCTCGGCAATCCTCCTCCAAGGTCTACCAAGATGGCGAACAGAACGCTGGTGATGAGCTCGAATGGGATTTCGAGGGTGAGGTAGCAGAGGAAGAAGGAAGTTACGGAGTAGACGGAATCGGCGTGTTCGCGGTAGAAGACGTCCCGTTCCGAGGGGTAGATGGCAACGTTTTGGAGCATGCCGACGAAGTTGAATGCGCAGAATTCCTGGGTGGATGTTAGCAAGGATGAAGAGGGGAAGTGGTGGAGGGAAAGAAGTCGGTCGAGAACAGATGAGATTAGAGCGTGAGAATGTTTGGGATATGAAGGGACATTGAGTGCACAATTGAATGTCCAACTCGAGCATGAGAACAAATCTCCTGATAATAATCAAAGATAATGCCCAACATTGGTAGTACAACAATGTCCGAGACAGACCCGCACAATCACCAAACAAGGAACCACATCAAGAAAGCAGAGAACCTCACCTGTATAAACCCCAACCTCGACTGCACACTCTCATAATCATTCTTCAACGGGGCGAAAAACAACGTCAAAATAATCGCAAGCCCCGTAACCTGCATTATCCTCGCAACCAACAACGGTGGCTGCCTCCTAAAATTAATGAACGCCCTCTTCACTAAGATTGGATATGCCTTCCAAAACCCCGTTCTCTTCCTCACCAGAGATCCAAGCTCCGCGGGAGTAGAGATAGTGGTAGGATTCAAGGCAGCAGAGAAATCATTGCTAGACCACGATGTAATGAGACTGCGGACTTTTTCTCGGGTTGAAGCCTCGCGGGAAGAGTGCTGGAGGTCGATAGTTATGAGATCGAGGGCGAAGTCAGCGGGGTTGGTGGTTGTTGGGCAAGGATAGCCTAGAGACTCAAAGTGAGGGAGGAGGCCGGCGCCATTGCCTCCATAGACAGGATGGCCGCCTCGAGCCAGTAAGAGGACGTTTCCGAACTTTTGGAAGATGTCGGAGCGAGATTGGTGGATTGTGAGGATTAAGGTACGGCCTTCTTGTGCGAGGCCTTGCAGGACTTCCATTATGGAGGAGGCGGTGAACGCGTCGAGGCCTGAGGTGGGTTCGTCGAGGAGGAGGACGCGGGGGTCGGTCAGGATTTGGACAGCGATGGAGACTCGTCGCTTTTCGCCGCCTGAGATACCTTTAACCGTTTCGGAGCCGATGAGGTTGTCAGCGCAGTCTTTGAGACCGAGTTTCATGAGAACTTCTTCCGCTCGTTGATTCTTTTGATCTGTTGTCATGAAGGAGGGGAGTCGAAGACCTGCTGAGAATCTTAAGGTCTCACGGACAGTGAGGGATGGGAGGAGAGCGTCGTCATCCTGGCAGACATACGAGCAGACTGATCTGATGACAGAGTCTGAGGGAACAGAGCCATTGAATGTCATTTTACCAGCTTGTCGATATTGTGTTCCTAAAGTATTGTGAAGTCGTAGAGCCATGGCATTCAGTAGTGATGTCTTGCCGCTTCCGGATGGACCCATGATGATGTTTAGCAAGCCTGCTTGAAATGTTGTTGTTACCGGATGAATGATCGTTTTCGTAGGTAGTTTTCGTCCGAGCATTGATCTCTTGTCCAAATCGAGGGCGAATCTATCAAGAGAGATATCGACTGTCCTGACTTCAGCAGCAGAACGGACAATCATCTTTTCTTTGCCAGCAGACAAATCGGTATCAGAGTTGCGGGCTTGAGCAATGCTCATCTCAACGGGAATAAACCGAAGACCAATCCAGGCAGAGACATAGAACATCACTACAAACGCAACCATGATTACGATCGGCCTGACAATCCAGTTCTCTTGAGGCAATCCCAATGAGCTTATGATGAATGTCCCAGTATACTGGGCACAAGCAGGATTCGACTCTCCGCCTGGATACGGACAATCATAGAACTGTCCCGCAAATTCATTGGCACATAGAGCACCAAAGGCATAAAAGACATAAGCAGTCCATTTAAGCCAACGAACATAGACTGGAATGGAGTTTGCTTGGACAAAGTATCCACAAGCCATGCTTTGGATGGTATACCCAAGGTTTGCAATCAAGGATGCAGCAGCGAAAGTTCTTGACGCAGCAACACAAGCAGCAGCATAAGTCACCGCAATGTACTGGTTGATAAAAACAATTGCGAAAAATGTGAGGAAAGTACCAGCTTCTGCTCTGAAACCTGCCATCCAGTAAAAGATGGTAGAATATGCCAGGGGCACTGGCAAGTCCTCAGTGAAGAACCTGGCGATTCTTCTGCTGAGTAGAAACGGTACGACGTCCACGACATTCTCATTGTGTTCTCGATCAAAAAGCTCGATATCGATGGTTAGACGATATGTCTCAAACATCAGAATCAGGTAGCCTTGCAATGCTGCAGCATTGTACAGAGCGCCCTCTCGACTGCGAATGCCTGATTCATCACGCTTTAGGGCAAAGAATACCCATCCAGTCAATATTCCCATCAGGACTGCTTCAGATAGAGATCCAGCCATGCCCATTGGATCACGGTATGTAGTTTTGAACGTCCGAGCTGTAAGAACTCGAGTCTGACGTATGAAAGGCGAATGGACTGAAGCGAGTGAAGTGCTAGTGGGTCTTGAAGTAGTGGTTGCCTTCTCATTCGCTGCTCCGTATAGCTTCTCGCTCTCTGGTATCCATGCTCCTTTCAAACCCTCTACTCTTTCTGTCGAAACAGCTTCAAGCTCTGGCGTACGATTGTCTACAGCTGCTATGTCGATCAAGAATTCTGCGGGATTGACAAATGGTGGTAGTTCCATGCCAACGCTTTTGAACCATGATATACAGTCTTTAGCCTTTCCGGAGTAGACTGGACTTCCTCTTGTCAAAATAACTAGGCCATCAAACATGCCCCAAATTTCTGATCTCGGCTGATGTATGGTTGTGACGATAGTCCTGCCTTTCTTTGCTAAAGTCTTCAATGTTCTGATGAGTTGAAAAGCACTGGTAGCATCCAGTCCTGTGGTCGGTTCATCCAGGAAAAGCACACTTGGATTGCTCAGCAATTGCACCCCTATGCTGGTCCGTCTCTTCTCGCCTCCCGAGCATCCCTTGTGTTGGTGATTGCCTATTCTTGTGTCTGCGCATTCCTTCAATCCCAACTCTAGGATGACTTCTTCAACCACTTTCCTCCGCTCTTCCTCGGTGGTTGGTGGTGGCAATCGCAAATCGGCAGAGTATCGCAGCGTCTCCCGAACTGTGAGGGTAGGTAGTAGTACGTCCTGCTGCATCACGTATGCGCTTCGAACGCTGTTGACTCCATGCATGCCATTGAATGTAGTTGTGCCTCCAAAAGTCAATCTGCCGCTTGTCATTCTCTCGGCCATTGAATTTAACATTGTCGTCTTCCCCGACCCGCTTCCGCCAATGATTGACGTAAGTGTTCCCGCGGGCATTGAAGCAGACACCGAATGTAGAATCTGCTTCGTGTATGATCTTGGCGCGCCATCCTGATTGTGTTTCTTGGGAAGGTATTTTTCTATGGAGAATGCGCCGGGAGAGGTGTCCACTGTTACGGCCAAATTTCGTACTTGTACATCGACCGGCTGTACATCTGATAGCGAGAGATGATTGCTCTCCGAAGTCGACAGGTGGGTGAGGTCGAGGTTGGGCTCGTCGTCCTTCGAAGTGGGGGCTTTGTCGATTTGAAGAGTTTGCGCCGTGCTGCCCTCATTATCCTCCAGTCTCGCAGATGCCTTCTCTATATCATCCCCCATTGTGTCGAACCTCTATGAATATTCTCTTACCATCTCAGAACTTCTCGTCGTCATCGCTCGCCTCGACGCCAGTGGCGCATCAGTTGCAGCTGGATCTGAATCAAACCTCGGGAAGATATGCGCCTTGGAAGAAATGGAAGAAGAGCTTCCCATAGATCGCTATAGAAGAGAATAAGAAGAAAAGAGACTCGGCCAGTACAATAGCAGGCTGAGATAGATGCAACGAAAGAGTTGGAAATTTGAGAAATTACCTGTGTTCCGGAGGAATCTCCCCAGAAGCGATGAGAAGCTTTCAAGCCAAAGAGACGGGCTTCCCGAGAAGTTGGCCCACTAGCAATAGCATCAAAGCTCTGCAAAGAAGACAACATCGGCTACGAACCGAAGGCTGCGAATAGCAGCAGAGTCAAATGAGGCGAAGGGAGGGGAAGGGCATCAGATGGAGCCATAAGATGCGAAGTATCAGAGGGGAGCTACTCGCTTGGAGAGGTGGGATGCATCCTCGCGTGGATAATTATCTTTCCGACGAACATCACACAATCAATTGACTGGCCTCCGATGTCCCATACGGCCGAAAGAGATATGAAAGGTCAAAAGATTGAGGACATCGACAGATCAGAATGTTGGAGAGCGATGTTCGTTCATTTAAGGTTGTGGTTGTTGAAAAGTTGTGCAGAGGAGCGTAGCCTGATCTACCGGTAGGAAAACGTTTGGCGACGGCAATCTCCATCTCGGTCTCGCTGTCGTCCCCTTCAACTTTTCTGCCTTTCATTTTGTTTCATCTAATCTCACCACCTTGACGCGATCACCAGAAATTTTGAATATCATCTTTCCATCTCGACTTCTTGCACACCTCCATCTGCAATGTACCTGGTTCTGTCCCCAAGCTGGGCCTCAGATCCTGCAACACACCGTTTGCATTTCTGGTCCGGATACTCCAGCATCCGAGGAAACATCCTGGGGAAAGCTGCAGGACCGACAGGGGACAGACAACGATGAAATACGACGACCATTGGTCCATCGACTCGGCTTCAATGTCTATGTTCTGCAAAGGAGAGCTTCTCTGCTGTACAATTGGTGGCTTCGTGGTCATTCAGCTTTTCCAGGCTCTATGAAGCTCTCTTTGCGGCATACCTCACAGTCATCGCTGCTCATTCGTTGTTGAAACAAAGCTCAAGACCCTTTCCAGTTTAGATGCGGCGAATTCACGTGCTAGGCACGTGAGAAGATATTGCCTTCGAACTTTAGAAGAAGACTACATCCCCCAAGGATCATACCGGTCGCAAGGTACATGGAAGCCAGCCCCCCTTGAAAGCTCAGCTTCCAAGGACCTGTCGAAAAGACTATATCAGTTGTGTCACCTGCTCTACTTAGCAAGTGGCTAGGTTTGCATATCAAAAGCACCTCAAGGAACCGCCCTGTTCATCTGTTTTACGAACTGCTGCAGATCCAGCGTCTCCTCTTGGCACGAATCCCAGCTGAGTTCCAAAACTACCAGCAGTGAGAGGTCGATCCTGGCAACATACAAGCATATACGTACACTGTGGACGCAGCCCTGTCTTGTCTCGTTGCGAGCAGGATTCATCACCACCATCAATCGGACCGTTGACCATGTGCTGGCTCGGTAGTTCTATCCTTCTCAGCGAAGGTAAAGAGGCTGGACACATCGAAGTGTCACCAGAGCAGGATTCTGTGATCACACAAACTAGATGTTCTCTCGGAGACAATCTGCAAAGAGGCATACCTGCCGGAAAGAGCCTTCTTCTTTACACAGCGAAAGAATTCATGCTCGAAGACCAATACCCCGGCCGCAAGATGACTTCGAGGACATCCATGCTTCGGGCCTTCCATCGATCCAACAGCCTCGAGATTAACTCCTTCTAACAATCCTTCCCTGGTTGAGCTGCTACCTAATTGGCACTTGTTTGCAGCTATCTAGGGACGTGTAGCAATCGAAGGAGCAGATCCAAGCAACTGCCGTTGGAACAGGGCTGGGAGTGCCTCGATATCCTCTATCATCCCCCATGGAGAGAGCCCATATCAATCGGCCTTGCGGACTTTCAAACCAGATTTACAGCCTCAACACCAGCTTGCATTGGCCAACAAGACTCTCGGATTTTGCCGAGGTGGAAGCTTTGTCTTTCCACTAAATGGTCTACGGAGAATACTTTTTAAATTCCCAGCTTCTTGGAACCGACTAAGCTTCCTCCCTGCTGTGATTTAAGGAAACTTTACAAGGCCCTGAGGCTTGTCTTTTGCTGACCACCTTAGGCAGTTACACCCTGCTGAATATGCTACTCAATGCCACAACCTATAAAAACAAGTTGCAAGCGAGAGGCACAGATCGTCCGACAATTGCATCTCCTCTCAAGAGTGAACATGTGCAATCGCTGCCGGCAGTCATCCGACAACCCTTTTCTCTTCGACGTTTTCTTCTTCCCATGGCGCAGCGTCCTGCAAGACCTTGCATCGTTCCACGGTCCGGCCCAGAACAGCCTGAATCATGGGATGTTCGATTGGGAAATGGTACCAGGTGCAGAGGGACAGCACTCCAAGCTGCATAGCAAGCATGTTACGAACATGGTCGGTCCACTGGTTCGTTGCGATTCTAGAGTACATGTATGGACTTGCTGCAGTACAACGATTACTGAGGGCACAGCTGTCCTCTCACCTCTGCATTGCATTACTTCTGCAGCTTCATGCATCACATTGAAAGCACTGAACATGCCCAGAAGGATGCAGAGATCTTCCCAATATTGTCTCTTCCATCATATGTATTCTTCCGGGTGTCACCGGAACACCATCCACCGACTCAGAGATGCAGCAACGACGACGACTCGAGCATCACCCCCACGCTCGGTAAATTTTCGCTTCATATTTGAATTAATTGAATGGAGGGGTCGCAGATACTGGGGTGCGGATGCGGAGAACAGGGATAGACAGCTTGTCCAAATCCCTGGGAAGGCATGAAACGAATCGTGAAATTTGTTTCCTTATTTCCTGCAGAACATGCAGCATTCTTTCAAGCAAGTCTTGATTGGAGGCCATCAACGGAATGAGGCCCGCGACCGGCTGACCAGTCAAGGCATTCCGTCTGCTGTCACAGGGTCGGTATGCAAGTGCTAGGAATATGTCGGCTTTTGCTTTTCACAAGATCGAGACTCATCGAATTGTCGTGAGACTGTCCGATACTCCGGATTATGTAGCAATATTTGGTCGACGAGCCCAGACAATAAAAACATACGTGGAGCTGAACCTGGTTTCATGTCTCCACGTGCTGTGGGGACACGGGACGATCCTCAGCGTTGCAGAGAGCGTCCACTTTTTTGTTGCTATCCCTGTTTAAGAGTTCATCACAGTCGCATTCTTCTCGAAATCATCCCTACCATTACCACGTCGACACGCATCGGAGCATCACCAGTTTTGACCCTGAACCATAGTAGTGGTAATATTTTCCGCAAGGTAAATTTCAAGATAGTCCAGACTACTTAGCATGGGGGGAGAAATTTCCGACCCCGCGATTGCGGTGTCTGTTTCTGCTGTTCAAAGCGTTGCATTTCACATCAATTCATGGTCTGTCCACATTGCTTATTTCTCCACATCCATTCAATAAAAAGCACGTTTTGTGCCACTTTAATTCTCACTCTTGCGCCTGATGTACTGTGGCTTTACGCACCTCGCATCACTCTGCATTCTTGATGCTCGTACTCGCGAGTCTTGGGACAATTTACAACGTATGGAAATTACCGCCAACGGAGCTCGGCAGAGGATGCGCTACCTACTGTGCTGATGCCAGGAAGTGATGGAAAGATTACAACGCTGGATCTCGGGCTATCTTTCTTGTTGAGGTCGTGATCCGCAGGCTGGTAGTCAGCGTTGCAGTGAATCCTACTCTCCTATCTTTTAGCGGTTCGCTTGTCGCTTCGTCCCCCTTTTTTCTGTCATTTTTCAATTTGCCACTACTGCGTGCGTTCGTGAGATGGATTACGTGAACGGTCTAAAATGGGATATTTTCCTGATATTTGTGGAGTCTGTTATTGTTCTAGCCGTTGAGAGTAAACGGTGAGGTGAGACATCGAGGGGGCATTGTGTGGTGCCGAGCCGAAGTACATGGATGATCAATAGTTCCTTCGGGATCAACAAAGCGTCAAGTTCGGCCCGAGAGCAGTGAAGAATGGCTTTCAGATCCACAAACGTGTTTTCTAAATTCGGCGTTGGTCGCCGCATTTACCTTTTCGGCTTGTGAGTAAGCATCTTTGTAATTGAGATAGCAAGCCACACGAGAGCTTTTGCGGCCCGAGAATTCGTACTGAAGTTTCAATATCACGTATTGCTCTCTTTTAGATTGCTCCGCTTTCTCTCTCCGCTGACTTCATGCTAAAGCTCAATCTCCTTCCTGTTACATGAACTTCAAGGCTTGCTGCTTATCTCTAAATATTAAAAGAGTAATAAACAACCACCAATCGCAGAGTGGCAAGTATAATCATGACTCCTCCATCCTGCAAGTTCCTCCCAGAATCCATCTTTAGTTCAGAGACCCGAAAGGTGAAACGTGAAACGAAGAAAGATACACGACCTTCAAACATCCCATCTCAAATACTCTTTATCTGATACTCTCATATTGCAAACCATCCCATTGTAGCTTCTTCCGCCCACTAAATCCCAAATAAAACAACACCATCCCTTCTCCCCAAATCTCATATCTACTATCTTCAACCCCAACCCAACCACTAATCATCCTCCTTACCAAAATCCCATATCGCCTCAAACCCAACGCTCAGATATCCAACTGTTTCACACACCGCCTCCCTGGACCCCATCTCACTTTACGTTACGAATCCACCAACCCGGATCCCCAGATTTCTACCCTTCCAAAAGTCCCAACGGTCCGAACTCCCAAGCCGTTGTGACTGTGTAACAGTGGGCTGCTTCCTTCCCTTGCCCTCGTCGGTATATCACGACTCTTATCGGCCATCTGTCGTTACCATCCATCCATCCACCCATTCAGAACCTCGATACCGTAACTCGACCGGCTATCAACGGACAATGACCATCGACTTTAATCTAATTCGCGGACCCCTCTCGCGCCGTTTATTGAGGCAGGTGTGGCGTGTGCATGTGCCTCTTATTCAGCGCTGGCGACTGGGTTGGCGATCCGTGGCCTTGGGGTTGGATGAGATGTGATGGGATGGGAGGGGAATATGGTAAGGCGGACGGAGGTTTTTCCGTTTTTATTTCTACGTGTGTTGGAGAAATGGAAGGGTTAGGGAACGCCAGAGGGTGTGTTAGAGGGGAGGGGAGGGGACAGGAAAGATCTCTGTACAATGATACACCACCTCCATGCACACGAGATTCGTTCGATGCAGGAACAGCGATCCCCATCCACCAACACACACGCACATGTAAGTAAAATCCCCGGAACCAGAAACGAGAGAAAAAGAAAGGAAAGAAATACGCATCAGGTAGCAGCTCTTCATCCATTGCTTCGTGACTTGACTTGGTATCTTATCTTATCTCGTACAACATTCTCTCATCCATCTCCTCATACGTAAGTGGATAAATACAGACAGACAGACATGCATCATTCATATCATCTCATCTCATCTCATCTCTTGCATCTTTCCCATAATAATCCAAGAAACTCGCCAGCCACCGGCAAAATATACAAAATCCCCACCAACCTTTCCTAAGAAATCTTTAATGACACGCACAGAATATCCCACCCAGCCAGTACCCAAAAAGGAAGAAAAAAAGACTACCTCCCATTTTCAATCCCGAAGCCTGAGAGTAAACCACCCAGATATTGCAATAAATAAAGAGGAACCACCCAAAGCCGAAAGAACATGGTATCAAAACAAAGCAAGAAAGCAAAAGATAGCCACCAACCGCGCTGCGGAGAGATGAATGGACAGGTAAACACCGGATGTAGACAAGTATAGACTAGAAGCGAATGAGTCGTCCGTCGTGTGATCGTGTACAGAAAGATGGGATGGATGGATGGTTGATAGGTTGTTGGAGGGCGTGATTTGCGTTGCGTTGTGTTGGTGGTGGGTTGAGAAGAAGAAATATAGGTAGTGGTAGTTACGCCTTGCGGCTTTCTTTCTTTCTTTGTTTCGTTGGTGTCTTTCGTCCGTATCATTCATCTCCTCTTACGTGAAGCGAGGATAAGGCCACGATCCAAAATCAAGTAGCCAAAAAATCCATCCCCATCCGATGCGCAATACTCTGCCAATCCCAACTCCTCTCATCCCTTTCATCCATCAGCCGCCACACCTCCTCCAGCACCTCCAACGCCGTATCCGTATTCCGATACTCCATATAGTTCTTCACCGCCGCAATCGCCTTGCGAATCGGCTCCCTGACCTCCTTCTCGAACGCCGCGCACCCGATCACGAACGCGGGCGCGAGTAGCAACGTCTGCGCGGGATCCCTAGGTCCAAACCCCGAGAGCAGCTTCACGCCGTCCCGCACCGCGACCGTGATGTGCGGATCGAGTTTCCAGTTCGTGGCCTGCGGCGGGTAGATGGTGCGCCAGAGGTAGATCCACATCATCTGGCGATACAGCATCCCGGCCGCATCGCGCGTGTCGCCGGCGGGCCACGCGGGCGTCCATTCTCTGATGCCCGCGTCGATTTCGGCGGCGGCGTAGAAGGCTTTGTAGTCTACGATGGGGTCTTGTCTGCGTTCGATGTTCGCCCGGATCGTGTTGCGGATGTTGGTTATCTTGGACATGTACAGGAAGAGGCCGTCGAAGACTCCTAAAAGGCGCACGGCGGACGGCTGTAGGACGGTCGTGGGCAGGTTCCAGTCTTCGGTTATGGAGATGTAGTGGGCGTCGCCGGGTTGGGGGAGGTGGATTAGCTCGTCGGCGTGGATGTGGTATTGGAAGAACTCGTGGATGAAGCGCATGGATTCGCCGTCGTCCGGGGGAGATTCCTGGATGAGTTTTTGGTAGTGTTGCAGGTGGAAGCGGTGTTGGCCGTTGGGGGTTGGGTCCGAGAGGGTTTGCAGGACGAGACAGATCATTTGGGCGTAGGTGGCTGGGGTGGCTTTGGAGTCCGTTTGGGTGCTAACTAGTTCTTTGAAGGCTTCCTCTTGGTGGAATTGTGAACGTTTCTCTAGGGTCTCGATGTCGACCTTGGGATGTTCTCGGAGTATCTTGAGACCGTAGTCGGATTTGTAGTCGATATGTCTACTTGACAAGGCCAGTATCGAATGCATCAATCCAGCATGTTGTTGAGCCATCGGTAACAGGATATTCCTAAAAGCGCTATCTTGCTCTCCTTCAACAGTGAAGATGATACTTAACCGCGAGATGTAGTGATGTAAGAATATCCTATCACCCTCCGTCTCGAGTCCGTGGACCAGGAACGGTAACTGGATGCTGGACATGGTGATACTGGAGGCCCTGCGCAAACGGGCTGTTGATGTAATCAGCTCATCAACTCCTTGCTGGCACAACGGCGTCGTCCTACCTTCTTCAGCCTTCTCCTTGCCACTCTTCCACGTCGTCTTCTCGGGATACCCTTCACACTTGACCGAGTTCTTCTCACAGTTGATACCTGACCTCCATTAGCGAGCACGGTATAAGTGGGGCAAGCACATCGACTTACAACCAGGTTTCGTCTCGTCACATTTCTTCTTCCTCCGCCGACAAGTAATACACCCCGTTTTCGACCTCCCCTTGGCGACCTTCGACATCGATTGTGGCGTCGGCTTAGGATGTTTCCTCGGCCTCCCCCTTGGCCGCTTAACCTGCGCCGGCGTCGACACCGACGACGGCGTCTCAGGAATCACACTCTCCTTGACATCCGACGACGGCGAGAAATCCGCCATATCCACATCATCCAGCGGCTCCAGCTTCGGCACCACCTCATCGCCCTCATTATCCTCCTCATCCCAATTGAAATCCGCAGCGGTATCCTCGTCACCCTCCTCCACGAAGCCCGACGAGCTCCACGGCTCCCCGCTCGACGACGTCGCCGAGGTGGCCATCGTCAGGTTCGACGAGCACGAGATGTCGGAGCCGTCCATGCTCCGCCGCGAATCCATCGTGGTAGTGGTGATCTCAAACATCTGGAAATCCCTCCCGCGGCTCTTCTCGACGTGTATGCGTCGACGGATGGGCGGGCGCATGGAGCGGCCCTTGGCCGTGGCGAAGGAGTTCGCCCTGCGCAGAGGCTGTCGTCTATCCACCTCTTCTATATCGTCGAGTTCTGATGTGGCCGCGAAGGGGTGGAAACGTGGTGTATGCTCGACCACGACGCCGCTATGGTCCATGGTATTCGAAGCAGAAAGCTCCCGTAATGCCACCTAGCTAACAACAGTAATGGTTATATATGTATATATATATATATTCCTCCCAACAGCAACAGACAAGCCAACCGAGGAGAACGGCCTCATCTGCCAAACCAAATTGACCACGAGTGAAGAGAGAGAGGGGAGATGCACACTGCGGGAAGAAAGTGGGCAAGCAGGTAAGTAAGGAAGTTTAGAGAGAGGAGGTTCACGATAGTAATACGGTATTGGCTCCCTGTGTGTCCCTTGTTCAGCCAGTTCGACAGCAGCTTCCATTCGTCGTCGGTCTCTGCGGTGTGTCGGGGGGTTCACTTCGCTTGCAACCTACGTTGGACGCACTGGGGGGCGGGGCCCAGGGTAAGGGTCAGTAATGTGGGAACAGCTGCAGCATGTGCAGGGCAGGGAGTAGACGAGACCAGGTCGGGTAAGTAGAGTAAGACAGGGCAGGCCTGTGTAGAGTGAAGTCGTACGTTTGTAGTGGAGTCGTAGTGAGGTTGAGTGCCATTTACTTGTACAGGGGAGGGGCTGCGGCTTTGGACGTGCGCAACTGCAACCCAGTAGACTAGACCAGTGCTGGGCCCATGTTTAGTACTTACTAGATAGAGTGTGGATGTGGAGGAGGAATGGCACGCACGGAAATTCATTCCACACTGCTGCTTGGGGTTTAAACCAGTGTAGGTAGTAGGTAGGCACTGTAAATAAATAAATTTGATTCGGCACGCGGGCTGCTAGTACTGCAGAAGTCGTCGTACCGTTTGAACTTATTGCTCCGATCATGCAGCTGTCCCTTTCAGGGGACGATGAAAGGGAGCATATCAAAACCTCGGATTCTGGCTCTGCAGACTCATCCCGCCAGTGAGTGGCTCGCCTTCCGTCGGTGTCCAGGTCCCTGAGTCGTGGCTTGAGCCGTACAGTAATCTTACAATCCATCGAGTCAAAATGCTATTCAGTAGGAAGTTCAAATCCTCAGACATCTATCTATCTGGGAACAAGTAGTTACAAGGTTGGTTGACCAACTTCACGATACAGTATCTACATACTTCCGTACCTATTGCCTGTGCTCTCCTGCGAACCAGGATAGCCGCTGCACACTCGTCGACTTCTTGGTTTCGATCTCGCAGCAGGAGGTATGATTATTGCGGGCACGATCTCTTGGCCCTTGCTTTGCTTGCCCCTCTTTCCTCCGTTCCACTTGAATAACTTTCCCATGAGAGAGAGTCTTTCTTCGATTTGCAACGGAAAGAACGGGACCTCCACTTCTTAGAGTTTTTGATAGATAGGCTGATAGCGGGCGGGATCGATGTGCGGAAGACCCAGCACCAGCACCAGTCTTCGACTGTGCGAAAGAAAGCCTGAAGGATAGACTTACAGTAAAGCTCCGAAACGACGTTCCTTTTGACACCCCGCGATCGATGGCCAGAGATGGAGATGAGTACATATCCAGGCCCCGAATCGAAGGGTATCTCGAAATAGTGATGATTCATGCTTACCACTGTACAAGAAAGATTCATCCGGGCCGGCTGGTCTGGCTGGCTAGTTTGTGTAACACTTGTGTGCGGTGGCACCCTACTGTACTTCCCTCCCTCCATTCCTCACCTCCTGCTCAACTAACTACTGTACTCCACCCTTGCCGAAGCCCGCCGGACCACGAATCAGAAGCCCCCAGGCTGAATTCCAGGCGTCCGCTAAAATCCCCAAAAAGGTCGGTCTTGCATATATGTTCCATTTACATACAACCTGAAAAGGCACGGCAGAGTTGAGTGAGTGAGCACTTAGTCGATTCATGCCTCGAATATGCGGGGCTAGAAAGAATACCGTATCCCATTCTGGCATCGCCTTGCCCCCAAAGAAAAACTCACCACCACGAATCCGCCAGTGCCAGTTTCGTGCATAACTTGACAAAAATGCCGGTGCCGGTGCCGAGACCGAGATGTTTCTGTTTCTCACTGACTGATCCTGTTTCTGGTGCTTCAGTTCTGGTTCAGTTCTCCAGAATTAAATTTAAAAAAAAGAGTGAGTGAGTGAACCTGCTGCTGCGGCCGCAGCCTGTATGTAGTCCTCTCCACCCACTGTGTCCACTCCACCCCACGCCCACAACAGAGGGACGATGAATAATTCGTGGCTCTCCGCGTGCGGGTTTTCAGGAGGGAGGGAGCGCAGACAGGCAGAGGCAGGGTTATCGCCGGCATATGGACCCCAAAGGAGGGATGGGTGGATAGCTGCGAAACGAGGAAAGACCAAGACCTGGTGGACCAAGACACAGAGGAGACGGACGTGCCATGCGGACGATCACCCGAGGTGTGGGATGCGCTGGGTATCGAGGGAAGGGAAGGGGAGCTAGGCAGTTATGGAGCTACCAGAATACACTACGGATAGACAGAACCAGAGTTGGGATCGGGTGGTATTGATGATGAGGTCCCGTACAGACAGCGTACTGTATTAGGTTGGGTTGATGGGATGGGACGGTACAGTACAGTCAGTGTGAGCTGACTGCGCGGGATATTTTACTGTAATGATCGGTAAGTTATGGAGTGCGGGTTTGGTAAATGCCTATGTAAGTAATTACTGTACTGTGGAGATGTGAAATGTGATAGAGAGGGCTCTAAATCCAGACAGACAGACTGCTGTCCGTAATCAGATCCGACCGAGAACTTTCCGTGCATTGGAAATCTGCAGCAATTGTTGGTCCTCCCTCGTCTTTCTTGGAATAACTCAGACTGAGACATAGCGGTTCATTACCCCTCTTTCGCGTTTGCATTTGGGGAATGCGGCTGGCTGCACTGCACTGCACTGCACTGCGATGCCTTCATCTTTTTTTGTGCACGTCAACTCGGAACCTCGATGTTCCTGGTTGATGCTGGTTATTGGACGCCGCCGCCCATGTGTGAGGTCCGTCCTCCTCGACATAATTATTACTACCATGACAGCATAATGTGTGGGGAAAGCCGCACTCGTACCGCAGCGCAGACCACAGCGAAACACCGCAGTATCTCGCTCGCTCAGTGGATCCGGTGCGAAGTCCAGCCTGAAAAGGACGGAATAAGCCACCATCATACTCTCAGTGTTCATGTCTCTCTGCCTCGCTGATACAGATGTCTTTAGCCAATGCGAAAGACTGTCAGTAATCTGATCTCCGTTCGCTTTCTCCGCATTCGCTAGAACTACTAGCTATCTATCTATCGTGCGCCTCTCACGGTTTCAGTATGTTTCTGTCCCGTTGAATGTAAGAAAGTCAAGTCGGAGTAAGTCAGCATACGCCGCGCAAAGACCTCACTCAGTCAAGACTCTAGGCTCAGAATCAGAAAATCATTGCCCGTCCGTCAAATCTCGTCCACTCCGCCTCCCCTCCGCCGACGTTCAACCGTGGAGAAAGTGGCGGTCCCCAGTGTCTGTGTGGTGAGTGATGGGGATGTTGGCCGTGATACTGTATTCGTCACAGACCACATCCTGTCAGTTCAACGGGCGACCGATCTCTCGTTACAGTACTGCCCTTCCCTTCCCTTCCCCTTCCCTCCCGCACTGCGCATTGACATCTCGAGGGACCCAGACCAGACCACGTCCTTGGTGGTCAATCACATCCTGGCTGCTCCCGAAGATATTCTTATACAGTACTTTCAGCTAGTACGGTAGATCCTCAGCATTTCGCAAGCTTTTCCCTTTCGGAATCGCAGGTCCACAACGGTCTCTATCTGTCACGGGATTGGGGAGGGGCGGGCGATCCTCTGAGGTTAAGTTGATACTCTTGCTGTGTCGTCGCAAAGAGAGGGGTTCACGATACCTTCATCTTCAAGGAACAGAGTACGGGTGTAGTGCGCGAGTCAATAACCAGTCTCTAGCTCCAAGCATAATGGATGCAAGTATGGAATCCCTCGAACCAGCAGGCAGGCAGGTAGGTAGGGTGTGTGTCGAATCGAAATGATTTGAGACCTTTTCCAACCGTCGCACGGGTGCACTGCGACGGCGCTGCTGTCGCAAACCGGGCTCTTGGGAGCAGCTCGCGCAAGGGATTGGCCAGTGCTGCTGAAGATTGCGCTGCGACTTGGAAGGGGATCCATGTCCAGAACAACAACAGCAACAAAACCCGCCTTTTGCCACATGCCTTCATGGACATGATTCGCGTTATCGTGAGGTGGAAGTGGGAGTGTTTCTAGCGATCATGGAAGAAGCCGTCTAGAGGATGGAGATTTATGTCATGGGATTTCTGATTGTGTTGTGCGGAGAAAAGATCGTTTTTTTAGGAATTGCATATGATGTTCGCTTGTACGTAAGTCGAGTTTCCGAAATCTTCAACTGCCTCGTCTCGGGCAACCTTCCCTTCCTCGCGTCGAACTTCCCGGTATTCAAGCTGAGCCGGAGCTCAAAGAAGGCTCGAATCGTGCCGAACGAAACACTGTCTTGTCAAGGAATTGGGGTGTAGTTTACCAGCAGTATCCAGGTAAAGAAGTCAAGGCTGCTCCTAGTATTCATTCCATCGTCGTTGACCTCTCAGCTTTCTCTAAGGTGACGCTTCATACAGTCGGACTCGAAACTAGCAACGGCTCGAAGACAGCGGTTGACAACTTATCCGCTCCTTGATCCAAGGTGAGGTTAGAGTAGGCCTAAGATGATCAACCTCTCGTCTCGTGCCTTCCCGTCTGGGCCGGTCCATCCTCAGATCCTCAAATGTGACAACTTACTGTACAAGAATGGGATACTGGTCTAGAAACTACTAAAAACGCATCTAGTGTACACCATCCATCATCATCATCATCGCA